TACGCCCACATTAATGGGTTGACGGCTAAGCAGTTAACAGGACTCGTTCGTAAAGACGGTGTTATAACCAAGCAAGGCCAGTACTATGAAATCGTGGAAATATGCGAAATGGTGCATCGTTTCGTCCATGCATCTTATCCGTCTCGACTTTACCGCGGGAAACAGGTAGCGTCTTTCTGTTGTGGTTTTAGGACCGAATGTCCTTTTCAAGGTCCCCTTAGTTGGAGAAACGAGATGGACGTCGGCGATAGGGTGCATTCAAGCACTCGCTACGAATTTTGGTCATGTCAAAACACTCATCATGGAAATCAAAACACATCACTGGAATAAGTGAGGAATCGTGACATGAGATCATGACATTGTTGTCTCGCTCGGTTCGTGAGATCGTCATGCTTTATAGTTCCTTCTCTTCAGCATCAGCTCAATCTTGCGGGAGCAATGTCTTCAGTTGGAGGCGAAGTTCAATGAAGCATGCTTGGAGGAGCGTATTCTGACAGCTCTCGAGACTCTAAGACCCCTGAAGGAACTCAATCTATATCTGCAGAGTGACAGCACAAGCTTGTTCTATGCCACACAGAAAGTATTCACAGTCTATTCGGAGCTGAAAATGGCTCCAGACCTCAATTCGACCTCCCGAAAACAGATCAAGAAGAGGTAATAAGAACGACAATCTGCATTGACAATAACTTATTCCGCTAACCTGGTCATTTGGCATCATTTTGTCCTTCCCTTCAGGATGAGTCAATGTTTGCAGGGACGGGAGTGGATTCTCAAATTTGACCCTCGTGAGCTCCCTTCTTCACGAAAGGATGCGAGGAGAGAGGCACTCGATGCAATTGGTGCCATCAAGGAGTTCGATCTTGAATTTCCCGGGATTGTTGATGTTGAGGAAAGTTTGCCGCATGTTATGGATTACTTCATGAGGCAAGGTAGTTGGCTTTGGAGGATCGCTTTCAACTGACTACAAAAAAGATTTCGAGAGAGCGTTTCTGTTCAGGCAAGCATCAAAGGACTGACTTCGAGGTGCTTCACTCAATGCATCCGGGAGAATACTGGATAAGTTTTAAAAACTCTTGCACAGTGGCAAAATTCGTTTACCTGAGCCTGGTTTCACCCTGCGGTGAGTCCGGACCGCGTTTTCATCAAGTATACATCGCTGAGATAATCCTAGGTACATATGCTCTGGAGCGCTTATTCAGCTGTGCAAAACATGTCTGGAAGTGAGTAATATCATGTCTCAAGAGTGATGACTCATCCCTGATGAGCTGTCGTATTTGTGCTTATCTCCTCATCTCCGTCAGGACGAATATGCTACCCACGACAACGTTTCAGAACTGTTGTATACGATGGGCAGGACTGCCAGCAGAAGCACAAGTAGGGCACGTTCTGCTGCTGAACATTCCTGAACTATGACGATGCAACTATGTCTGTGCCGCGTCAGCTCTCGTCTACGATGATTGTCCCGAGGATAGTGGGCATTTTTTTGCGGTTTTTCAGCCATGTAAAGTACAGCGACGTTACCCTCCAAGGAAGGGAAGGACTGGTAATATTGGTGAAGGGGAGACTGAGCCACCCGGGGATGTGTGTGAGGGGGATAAATTTGTATTCGCGGAGTCGGACGATGAAGATGATGATGTGAGCGTCAGTAGTTCTGATGGCGTGTGAGCCAGCATGCTCAATGATATTTGTTTTCAATCGAGCTTCGTTCTTGTGTTGCCACAGTTTTTCCCTCTTATCTCATGAGGACGTAATCGGATGTAGAGCAACAATAACATCAGCGATTCCGCCTATAATACACATGTTCAAGATGAATGTCGATGTTGAATCAACATTCATCTCTAAAGTTGACTTCATGTTTGGTGTTTGATCACAAACTGTGAAGGTAAAAAAGGATGAAACCTCTGGAACATTAGTGCTAAGGTTGCGAAAGTTGTGAAAGGATCGCTAAACGATCTCATCCGACTTACTGACTGTATAACACTGCACACAAATAGGACTCGGAAATCGAGGTTTCATCAGGATTGTGCACACGTTAAATTATTGTCAATAATGTTGAGCATTGAATGCATCCCTCGGGAACTCCCAACTCATCGAGTGTTGCTGCTTACTCTTGCGGCTCACATTCAGAGTCTCCGGATTCTGATGGGGACGAGGATGACTCATGAGACTCGTCGGAGTCGGCGTCGATCTGGCTCTCAAGCCTCCGCATCCTCAAGTAGTTTATCAAACCAGTGAAGCAGAGAACTCCTTGACGCACCATCTCCCGGATTTGATGAATGCCGAACTTCTCTCTGGATATGACTTTCGACCGCTTGAAGTGAATCTCATACAGAACCGCCTTTTTCTTCCTCGTCGCTAACGGCTTCATACGCGCGGTCTCAGTAACACCGGACGAAGTATGGTCACAACTAACCCCTCCAGGTCCGTAATACTGCAAGAAGCCATGAGTTATGTATTGCGCAGCTGAAGGACCACTGCAAGAAACAATTTCTCCCGCAGAATCTGAGCTGGATGGTGATGAAGCCGCAGTCTCACCGCGATTCGGCCCATGATACACCTCTTCGATCTCCATAATACCTTCTCCGATTCTACCGTTGAATGAAATAATCATCTCTGCCAACTCGACATATTTGCAGCTGCCGACCCTGCCGGTACCGAATTTCCGTGCCTCATAGTATCGAGCGATCGAGCATCGGTACATATCATCGGGATCGACTCGATCGACAATCATCGCACCAAAGAGGGCAAACGCAGCAGAAGTGCACACAGAACTCGCATGCGCACAAATCTGTGCAGCGACAGGGCAGCTGTCATGCATACTCCAATATTCACTCATGTTGTAGCCGTGTAACGCAACTACAGGGGTCGCCGCGTGAGAACCTATGCGGGAATCGGATTTTCAGAATCTAATCACTCTCGAGTCAAGAACAGCACACGCAGACAAATTGGCGAAGACAATCACTGTGATATAGGAGGTGACGGCGAATTTCAAGGAGTCTCCCGTGGGATTACCTCTCCGTCGAAAGTAGTCTATGATTCCGCTGATCCACGCATCGTGACCCTCAGCCGAGTCATCCTGTTGGTGCTGGGTACTCTGAATCGTCTTTCGGATAGCCTCTTTTAACCAGGCTTCTTCTCTCTTGTACATGTGGGGATTGAGCGATCCGATCCAGCCGTATTTCTGCGTGTATATCGGCTCCCTAAGAATAACACTAGTTTGGAACATCTTATCTATCACACGATCATTTATATTACCTCTTTTGAAGTATCTTCTTCACGTTCTCAGGCAAGTTCGGCGATGCATTCATTCGCGAGAATGCTTCAGCCACCGCTGAGATTGCATCGAATGAGCTCAGGAAGGGATCGCATTCGAGTCTGTCTAAGGTATCCATCAAGAAACGCCCGACTTCATCCCAGATGCAATGGACCAGCTGCTTGAATTCTCTATCACGCAGCATATGGAGAACTTTCTCATCTATCATTCTTCCCTCGTCTGATAATCTGAAGAAGTCAAGGAGGAATTGAGGAGAATCGTTGAGACCTACTCGTCAATATCCAGGGATCGAGCAAGCCTCGAGAGCTGCTTCCAGTTCTCCAGCACAAACTCCAATGCCAAAAGTACTGACTTCGGATGGTCACGGCTCGGACGTCGCAGGTTGCTTGCTAATCCCTCTAAATCACCTTCATGAATCTTAGTTAGTCGGACTAGATCCAACGAGAGAAGGCAGAGCTCGTGCACCCGTTGTAATGGAGCATCTTCATCATAGAACAGACTGCATACCAAAATATTGACTTCCAGGTCGACGCAGTTGATGCAAACTATTTTGCCATCTGCGCAACCATAGCTCTCGAGCCGATCGATGAGCCTGGTTCGGATAGTCGAGTGTAGATTTATGCCCTTCGTCAAGATGGACGCAAACTTGATCGAATCTGAAAACGTCAAGAGTGAACATAAGTCAACAGTGACGCATGAGTTCTCCTCCCTCCTCAACTTACACGCTGCATGCAGTGTGCGGCAATGTCCTGCCAAGACGTCTACAATCTCACTAATCGTATCGTCGATGTCATTAGCAGAGGTGTCATTCCCCACACAGTCGAACTGCACGGGTCGCACCAAGAGAGGTACACAAGATATCTTAGCGCCATCGGTAGCACAAAAGCTTGCTCCCATGCGTAGGATCAGCTGGCCGGGACCTCCGATTACCGTGTCGAAGAAGAGACCTATCTTTTTCTTGCTGGAGCAAGCCTCCACCATATCAGCCACGATTACAGCAGTGCCCTCCTGTAACAGTTCCGCAGTAAACTTCTTTATCCGCTCTTCATCCAATGATCTAACTGTGTACCCCGGCCGCAAACACGCGAACGTGGCCTCCATGATCTTGCTGATGAGTGATTCCAAGGGTATGTTTAAACACATAGCAGCAAGTATGAGCCTCTTGTGAAATTGGTCTATGCACCACATCGAGGGGATCTCCGGGAAATGGTCAGTAATCTTACTCACGCATGAGGATCTTCGACGTCGACAAGGCTGCACCCTCACTTGATGTACTACCGTCGATGACGTTGTAGCAAAGTTGCATGGCGTTCCGCCATCCTCGGTACGCAGCTTTTTTGACTTCGAAAGAGTTCCACTATCCATCCTGGGTGAGTGGAGCAGCTCTGGCGTTGCAGGAATATCGGCTTCTTCGCTCATAGATGTAACGCAACGGATCCATGGTGATGATGGCGATAGAGGAACGGAGGGACCACTGAGAATAGGGACTCTCCCAACGTCACCACCATCACACCGTAGAGCCCTCTCAAGCGCATCTGCTGCTTCATAAACGGCTTCTGAACCTCGTCTAGGTGTTGGGGCTTCTGCGTTAATATATACTGAGCTCGATGTAGAGGCAACCGATCGTCGGCGCTTTTTCGTCGAATAGCAGCTCAAAGAAGAGCGTATCGCAGGGCGCATGTGCTCGCCCCTTGTGGCATCGAACTTGTACTGACTGGGATCGAAACGGCCTGAGTAACATGTAGCTAGTTCTACTGAGCAACGCAAGGAATGATGCAATTGTTGATAGCAATATTACCTGGTTTCCAAGTATAAGGTACTCTCGTGAGGTGAATGTTCTCAGATACCTCTTCGGGATGCTTGTTGAGATGCTCCCGAGTTTTAGAGTTGTTCCACAACATTCGTTCACTCGCACAGAATCTGCATTTAAATACCCACAGGTCCTTCCCCTCGGGCCACTGTCCGTAGATCCCTGTGTTGATCACTTCAGGGGGAACAAGGACTGGATAGAAGAAGCCATCAGGCTTGAGCTTCCCAATGGCGGATCGACCCATGGAAATAAAGTACTGTCACAAATAGCGATGTGCCTCCGAAATAGCGGATGGGAATGATCGGAATGTCTATTCTTGGAATCCGAGAAGTAACATCCGGATCGTTTTTATGGTTGCAATTTGTCACTGATCCTATTTTGAGACGTCAGGACTCGAAAGCCGAATCTCACATCGTTCGTGCTTCGGATTGAAGCACGAACGATACGAGCTCTAGTCTGCCACATGCGGAAACAATCAATATGGAAGAATTGTGAGGGAACAAAGATCAGCTGCTCACTTGAAATTAAATCTTGTGCACTCGCGATGTCTCAGTATGGAGAGTAAGCGCGCCTCGGCGCGCTTCAGAAAAAAAATTGCACAATTGTTCCCAGAATCGATTCTTCCCGGGAAGTTCCCGAAATTCTTCCCGGGAATTGGGAACATGGGAACAATGGTCGATTGTTCCCATCCATATGCAACCCTGTTCCAAAGCTAATTATGCAGGTTGACGAACGCATTCGGGTAGAAGTGTACAAAAACCGATAAGATTTCCCGCAATTTTTTTCAGAATTTTCATATTGTAATGAACGTCCGACGTTTACGGTCATGAACAACTTCTGCATGTATCAGCCTGCCGAAGACCGACTCAAACGAGTAGAGCGGCAGCCAGCTGAAGAGGTCTGAGCGTTCAGGCCTCGACTCAGTTCACCAGATTGGCACGCCTGGAGGTAGCATACAACACTGCTGAGCTCGTTTCACGGAAAAAAACAAATTCTGCATTACTCAAGACTTCACAATCTTGCGATCTTCAGCTTTCTCAACTCTCACCTTCGTTACATCTTGCGTCGTGAACACTTTCCGTAGAGGTATACTGCTGAGTAGATACATCAATAGATGTGACGACCCCACAGTAGTTCACTCAGCGAAAGGCTCATGCGGTAGTTCCCAACACTTGATATCTATTTTTAGACGAGGCACTATGACAGTAGCAAGGGGAGACTCTACTACCACTACTACTACTTCTACTGCTACTGCTACTACTACTACTACTACCACTACTACAACTACTACTACTACAACTACTACTACTATCGACAGTTGTATTCAAAACAGCACTTTCTTCAATGCTCTCGTTATATATGCCCAGTCCTAGCGCATTCAGCATGAGAGTGAACATCATCATAGCACATGATAACAACAGAAGTATATTCCCATCACTGAGCAGGTGTACTAGACCGTCAATTCTTGGTCATTTTTGTGGAGTAGTATGGACGATTCGGTGACCTGTCCTGCCGTTATTACATCAAGCATTGATACAGTGGAGTCGGTCGTCAATATAAATTATACATATATGAGTATATGTTTATGCTGAAATGATATCTCGTTTGAGGAGGGAGGACTGCTCTGTGGGGTGTCTGAGTGAAGCAAATGGCGACTAGTGAGGAGACTCTGTGGAAGCCGCAAGGAGAAGTCGAAGTAGAGACTTCATTGCAATAGGCTTGAGGCGATCGCGGTCGTTGAATCGATTTCATCCTTATTGTAGAGCTCGGAGATATTTCATATGTAACCGTACGTTGGCATCGACCAAGGAAGAGCCATTCTATGACTTTGTCATGTGCTAATACTTGTAACAGTGGCATTCCTTGCACTTGGACGCTACGCCGTCCTTGGCATACCAGTGTCGTGATGTCGTTAAGATCAACACATGCATATTCCGATACCTGATCCAATGGTGATGGAGGAAAGGCCCGGTCAAACTTGAGCTTTTTTCCTCTTAATGCTTCTGTGAAGGCCAAGGTGGTCTCAGTTCGCAACGGTAAGTAACGAAGCAGGGAGGTTTATCGGTCACTGCATCATAGTATGCTCTATAGGGCGATTCAGGTTGATCCCAAACGCCTATCTATCTCTCACCATCCAAGCATTTGTACTGATCATCAGCCATGATGAATGAGGACACAATTCCACAAGGGTGTGGATGCAAAGTTTATTATTACATGCCATGTTCTACTACACTGCAACGGTTCCACTCTTAGGCGAGCGAGGATATATACGGATCTTTGCAGTGAGAAATGGCGAGGACACATTTGAAAGCCAGTAGAGACCTCCGAGTTTTGCACAGTGCAAGGCATCAAGTGGAATGGGAATCTCCCGAAAGCAACAGCGTTCGGGTTAGTCATGGATAAGAGGCAAAAGGGGGATGCTTGTGTTGAGTCGGGGTGGCAGCAGCGTGGGAATATATGCACATCGTCAACTACATGTGTCGGTAACAGTATGAAAATTCTGAGGAAACTCGTATATAAACTCCTTTAATCAGTGCGGAAACTGCTGTGCTGAGGGCAAGCGAATTTATATTCCTTCGACACTGCTTGGTAGTGTACTGGGCTTTCCTCTTTAAATGCGTCCGAGCAGCCCAACCGACGGGGAAGCAGCGGGTCAACAGCAAGTACGATTGTGAGGATGGGGACCTCCTGTTGGCAAATTCAGCAGATACGGTCATCGGCCTTCGGGAGTTTGAGTAAAGAAATAAATCAAGCACGACTAGGGATGTTGGGAGAGCTGATGGAGAATCGCAAACGTGCTGAGGTAGTGGTGACAACATACTGTTGCTGCTTCTACTCGTATTTCTGTGGAAACTCTGTGGAAAAACCCGATATTCGCGGTGATATGCAGTAGTCGTGAAATATATTTTTCACTAGTGTTTATCATATCACTAGGGTGATGAAACTCTATTTTAGGAATCAGAGCAGTTCTTTCTGACTCGAATGCAGCAGGAAGCTACGAGCTTCCAACACCTCGTACAGATGTTCGAAGACTCACTTCACAAGGTAGTAACCTCAACAGTCGTGGTTCTCCTGGTCGCAGTATATTCGTTCGAGTAGCCCATCCGTTTTGTAAAGCTCTTTAATCTCAGGTGAGTGCTGATTTGGATTCTCGTCTGGTAGGGTTCATCCGTGGCGAAGACGTGAAGGCGATGCTGGAGGAGAAGACGGGAAAATTGGAAGAGAGGTCATAGGGGGAAGCTGATTCAGTTTATATCAGCGATGTTGCTCGACAGAGAATCTGACGCCTTGGGCTTACGTGTTAGGGACCTATTATAATAAAAGTGACGCTTATAGTTTTACACTGTAATCATACTTTTGCAGAGATAGGCTACTCGATTAGGCGTCGTATAAAAGACGGCACTTACACTTACAACTCGTACCACCGTCCATGGTTCATATTATGGAGTTTCACAACCCGTTTTACGTGAAGTGTCGCGTAAAACTTGGTGAAAAACGCGATATTCGCGGCCTGTACAAGTCGTGAAATATGTTTTTCACTAGTGTTTTTCATATCACTAGGGTGGTGAAACTCCAATCATTCAGGTTGTCGGGAATAGAGGCCAAGGTTGACCTGAAGGCTCACGAATCTACTGCTCGCATAGCATGTCTAGAAGCAGTGGTAGCAGGACTTCAAAAGGAGGTAGTTCCTTTACGTCGAAGTGTCGGGTGGAAATTGGTAGTTCAGATTAGCAAAATGAAGGAGGAGCATCAAGAGGAAATGGAAGCGATGGGAAAGCGAATTGAAGTATGAAGTTTGAGGCTTCTTTTCGACGGTCTGTAGTTTTCTTCCATAGGTGGTCTCGACGTCTACAAAAAGTGAAGTGAGCCGCACTGAGGCTGCGCTCAGTGGCAGAGTCGACGGTGTTGAGGAGAAATTCGGAAAAGAGTTGCATGAAGTGCAAGAGGAAATGCAAAAAGGTGTTTTTATGACTTACAAACTTTCAGCAACACGGAGAAAATTTCTCAGTGGAACGTAGACCTCTGCGGTGAAAGTTAAAGTTCTTTTAAATTTGGCTTTCCGCAAGAGCAGTGATAAGAGAGAGGCTGTAGTGAAACTTGTGAAGTGGAATACTATATATATTTTTTCACGGATGTAACATCAGACATGTAGTAAGCATATACCATATAGTTTTTTCGTCTTTAACCACACTAGACGTGTAAGCAAAACGCCGAGATCATCGTAGCGTGAAAATACCTAGTGTCAGCAGCATATTGAGGAAAGCCTCACGTCGCGAATGCGAAGCAAAGCAGTATAACATGAGCTTATAGATGGATTTCATTCGAAGGATGAATTTCTGATTCCCTCAGGATTCTCTACTGTAAATGGGGAGAGACTAGATGTCATTGATCACAGTATGACCGAACTTAGTACTAGGATGGATGCCTTTGATTCGAAAATCGATGCTGTTGATAATTGCATCATCAGCATGCAGGGCAAGCATAAGAAAAGCCGGGAGGAAGGTAGTTTGGAGCTGCTCTGGGAGGGGTATCTTAGGTTGCGGTTTAGATGATACGAAACATGCCCAATTGGAGACTGCCTTCAAGGAGCTGGACGGCAAGATGACGGGAGAGTTCACAAGTATTGGGGAGAAAATTTCCGAGTTGGAAAAACGTAAATCGTCGAGTGAACGTTTCAAGTCGCTGAAGGCTTTCCTTAGGTATCACTGAAAAGGCTAGCAGCGAGTCAATACGGCAGTTATGCGAGGGGACTGTGACTGAGAAAGTTGCTGCTGGTAGGGGTGGGGCTCTAGAGGGTGCAATTGTGCTGTTTTGTGGAACTTCCGTCAGGAGTGGTATGTGTGGTCAGTTACAGCGCAGATGGATGCCCGCTTCGAGACGGTGTCGAAGCAAATGGTCGACTTCCAGAAGGTCTGTGATGAGCAGAATGAGGAGTTCACAAAGGAGCATGAAGAATTGAAAAATCAATTGAGTACGCGAGACCTTAGTGCTTCGTATTGTGTAGTGGAAATAGTAAAAAAATATAATATTTTTGCCTTTTAGTAAGTTACTCATTCTTGACATCATCTGCACTTTTTTCGAAATATGATGTTAATGAATCAGCATCGTTGGAATTTCCCCAAATTTTTTCCATCACTGTAATTGAATAATTTTGATATTGCTAGTGATGGTATTAACTTTAGATAAAGTGCATGAAGTGGCGAAGTCGGCTGGCATCGAGAGAGATCAACAAGGAGCTAAGTTGGAGTTAAAATTACAGCACACTATGGATGGTAATAATCTGCATCTTTGGGAGACCTCTGCATCGTCGTCATTATCGTGTTGTTGTTGAGAGCGTTGATATTCGAGCGTTAGAGGAATATATTTTCGCTTCCCCCCGGAGTTCCCAAAGTTACACCATTTAAGTCTAATACCGAGTTAGGGTAGAAGTATCAATGAGAATTCGCAAGAATTTCAGTATTGTCACCACTCCATGTAGTTGACCATATGCATATGTTTGGAATCTCTTATCGAAATCTGGCGAGGTTAATAGTGTATATCACTTTTAGGATTAACGAAACGAGTTCAAGTTCTGGAGCCGAGAATGGATGAGCTACAGCGCGACATTCAAATGAAGCTAAGCTTGTGAGTTTGGGAGGCTTTTACCTTCTGTCCTGAGTAGTGATGAATTAATGAGCGTAATTTTTCCATCAAAACAACGGCGGATAGCGCAACGTTTGCTATCAGTGTTGGGATATATGTTCGGTCCCCTCAGCTGAGTCTGAGAGTTTCCTCACTGACTTTAGAATTTACATAGGAATTCGAGAGGAATGTACAGAAACTAATGGAAATTTCCAAAAATTTTCGCAAAATTGTCACCAACACATGTGGTTGATCATGTGCATATTTTACCACGTTATGTCTATGCTTGAACATATCAGTGAACGTGAAATGGAGGTCTTGATTCATATAACCACATTTTAGATGGGCCTGATTTTTTTCAGGATTTCTCGTAAATTGCGGCATCTTTCTCACTCGGGGTTGAATCATTCATGGAGGATTGATGATGCCGTAAGATTCTTTCCTAGTCCCCGTGAAAGGATTCATATATGGCTATCGCAGATGAATAAAATCGGAGCTCTTGGCGTCTCTGCTGGCCGTTTTATCGACTCTTCCCCGTTCGCCCTTGGTGCCTACAAGAACATGCAGTTGCGGCTTTTCCCCAAAGGATGCGGTCATGGACCGCCGGGGGTAGGTTAATGAAATCTAGATGGTTCTGTTGTTATGTTTTTTCCCTTCAGGCGGCATCGAATGTTGTGTCGGAGAAATCAGCACGATGTAGCGTATGGTTGGTATGGAATCCACAAGCATCCAATAGAGAGGCTCGGTTGCCGCCAATACGAGTCGAGCTAGCAGTGGGAAAGTGTGTTGACTTTTTATTTTGAATTCGCTTTACCGTGATACTGCAGGTCTCGGAAGGGACCTTTGGAGATGGGCCATCATGAATCTCTTTATGGGTGCTATGTTTGGCAAGGAAATGATATTTGTGTAAGTGACACCGTGATTTTGGGGATGCATATTTTCGCTGTGTCGGACAATCGAATGATCGATTTTATCTTTTCGGTTCAGGTGTTGGAGGATGAGCTCACCCCGAGCGGTTCCCTCGAAGTGTCAGTGTCCATACCGTAAATATCCGATCAGTTCCGCACCAATTTGAGGTGTCTCTATAGATATCGTCAATGGTACGATGCATTGGAGCTCACCCCTGACGAGGCTGAATTCGAGAAGGATCAATTGCAGAATACCGTACCTCGGGCAACTTTCGCACCAAGGGGTAGCGACAGTACACTCGATGACTGAAGACAATACAGTGCTTGTCGCAGGTCCACCGGGTGGTAACGAAGTGATAGGAAGCTCGAGAATGTCAGTGGCGAGCAGCGCCTTTACGTTTGGACCGGATGGGCCTCCTATGGGCAATTCTACTGCTTTGGTGAGAGTCGATTCACGAAACTGTATTCCTGCCGATGCGAGAAAGTATGCATATGGTCAACTAGGTGTGCAAATTCTGAGAAAATTTCGGGAAATTTTTTTCGGTTTTTGTACACCTCTGGACGAATTCGTAAATAAATTCCTATGATTAGTAAGAAAACTCCTGAGCTCAGCTGAGGAAAGGAAACATATATTCCAACATCGATTCGTATCAGCTATCGCAGATCAGGAAGTCACATTTACGTATTTATTTTCAGTCGGCTCCTATGATGCGCTCACCGGAAACGTCGAACCCCTTTGAGCAAACTCTCCCCACACTAGCTGAAGTCGAACCGAGCATGCGGATAAGGCCGAGTTCTGCCACACAGGTGGGATGCCATCATGTATTGTGTTGAAGTGTAGCTCTTCCCTTAGTTGCGATCGTTCTCACCAACGCCGACCTTTAGTGATGGAGAAGCCACTGTGACCAACAGGTGAGGTCTGAATAACAGGAGATCACCAGAGTGCCGCTCAGAAGCGATCGAGTGCGGCCTCAAACGATGAATCTCAGTGCCACGAGGCATAACCCTTTCAGCACAACAAGCAGTGACTTGGAGGCACCGACCGTTCCTAACAGGTGAGGGAGAGTAACAACTGGAGGTAGGCAACTACTACTGCGCCTCAGCCCTGCCGCCCTTGCGAGCTCGCAGCCAACTACCCGACAACGCGATTCTGTTCCCGCAAGTGAGTGTGGTCATTTTCGACACGGTGTCTTTTATCAGTATCCACCAGGTTTCTCTCATCCCATCGGACGGACCTCTGATACTATCTCGCCCCGACGCTCCAACTGGACACAATTTGCTGGTATGTTGTTGTTGCCCCTGATAACATGACCACTAAGGTCACTTAGTGTGTACGTGGATTTCGGGCTCTCAAAGCACAGGGCTTGTCTGATCCTGTCCAATGAATCGGATGTTCTCAGGTTGATGTTCCCGCGCCAGTCGCTGACAAAGCTATAATTTGCTGCTAATATTCCTGAAAGTTTTTGATGATATACTTGATTATCGCACTTTCCGCTACGTAATTGTGTTCCATGTTATATAGTGCGATACCCGCGGAACGTCATAAAAACTTATTCATACTAGGATAATTTGGGTGAAGTTGTTAACTTCTTTGCACAAGATGATCAGGTTAGTGAATGAAAATCGTTATAATCAACAAATTTACAAAGCCGTTTATACGAGGTGCTTGGCCACGGATAAAAGTAGAGTTCTACTTGACAGCTTTCCCGATGCACTACGTGGAAAAAAAGGTAGTACCGGAAAGGGTTACATAAGTTGAAACTAGAAAGTTGCGATCATTCAGTAATCACATATAAGCAGTTTGTTGAATGATAGTCGCAATGACTGAACCAATGAGGATACCGAAGATTAAAGCGAAAGCCATCACATAGCCTGCCACTTCCATCTCCTCCTTGTCGTTTTGGTTAACCTGCGTGGGACCATGAATCATACACCACGTCGCAACCACACCGTTAGAGCCCGCGAACAGAGCCATGACGATGAAGCGGAACCAATCCTGACTGAACGGAGAAACGGTGATATGTACACACAGGAAGAACAAAGGAATGAAAATGGCTCTCGCCAAACACGCATAACGTGTTGCTCTCTTACTCAGCCGAACATGAACATTGGGGGCGAAACGGCCCAGGGTATCGAAGACTTGATAACAATACGTCATCAGTTGACCGAAAGTGGCATCCGCCAGAGAAGATGGAGTCATTTGGAAGATGAGCCACGGGAAGACTACAAAGGTTATAGTAAAGTTTGCCCACACGTTGAAAGCCATAGGGACGGTATCCCAGACCACTCTGTTGATGGGCCGATTCATAGTCTTGTTGAGCTCAAACTTCTGACGATCCGCCTCAATCTCAAAGACACGGATCATATAAGGGTGTGTCTCCATAGCATATTTGTACATAGGAATGATAGCGAGATTCGCCAACAAAGCCAAACCGTAGAAAAACACCATGCGTGGGTATTGAACGTCCGTGACACCAGCACCCTCCAAGATGGCCTCGCATAGCTTATCTACAGGCCAGGCCAGGAGACCAGCAACACCCTCGCCAATCATAATCCACTCGGTACACTCAGCGGTGACCAGAGCAGCTAGACCGAACATTGAGGATTCCATCAGAGCATTGGCGAAACCGAAGGTACCGATGAAGATGCAACCACATGCGAAACCAGCAGCTTGGTGATCGCGAGCGAACGTAATAGCACAAATCGCAATGAGCATCTGGGAAATACCCATGCCGAGGCACCCGATGTAGAACCTGGGCGCAAACTTGAAACGATTACCCATATACACAAGCAAAAGCTGACCAGCATTAATGCACAGAGAGTAACAGAGAGAAACCCAGGTACCATATGCGTCACCAAAAGCATCAATAAGAGTGCCGAGCTCGCCCAAGATGAAGTTCCACCCAAGGAGGGCTACACAGCCGATGACACAGAACTGAGCCTGGAGCGTCCAATCGCATCGGGGCTCAGCAGATCCCTTGGTATCGCTAGCTTCACTTGGTCTAGTCTTATTACCAAAGCACGTAAATATTTTCATTGAGATTTAAGGAAAACTGAAGAAGAACCATCAAAAACGCTATTGTCCGGACCGCGAGACATTCTTTGCTTAAGCGGTCACGAAGCCCTCAATACCCCTTCACACGCTGCTTCAGACGCCTATGTCTATCATTCTGGGAACCACATCTACCGCCCTCAGGAATCCGGGTTGACCCATGCTGACAAGGGCGAATAACTCCCGGCGAGAACTGTTTCTAGTATGTTTTACAGACCCTTTAGGAGACCCTCCGAGTCCTCTGGCCATAGTGAGACTATGCCGAGCCGTGTTGCCATACCATCGTGTCGAGGGCGATCCTCTTGCAGGTCGACACATCCGAATGGAAACTCAGCGTCGACTTAGCCGAACAGCACGCATGCCCAAACTAACACAACTACCCTGCACGCATGCACAAAGTCGCTGGTCTATACCAAATCTCCCATAACTCATCCGATGGGAAATTTTCTCAATATGATGAGATACGGAATCGCGGTTTGAACAATCGAGCTCGGAGACACATGCATTCTGCATCTAGTCAAAACTATTACTACTGATCAGAGCATTTTGCTGCGAATGGTCGCGGTAGGGAACTCCTACAGGTTTCTTCAACGGCCTCCCAACCCTCGAATGGTTAAGGAGGGGCGATTCAGAGAAGCAGAGTGGTTCTTATGACTGACAGTTGTGTCCAAACCCTCTCAGTCGACTCATTATTTCTTTTTGCGTCGCTCCGTCCGATTATGAGACGCGACGGGACTGTCCTCAAGAGACATGTAATGGGGCACTGCATACGTGTATCAAGTGTCACACTTTCCACAATACATCCCCTGTTGGGTGTAAATGATTACATGTGAACCGACTGCCTGATGATCGTTGCAGAAACGAGGACAGTTCGAAAATCACAGATCGAGGCAATCAACGTGACATGGCTAGGCATCTCGAGTTCTTCCTGATCATTGTGGAAGCCCCTTTAATTAACCCTAATGGAGACATGATGACAACGAAGTGGAACTACAAATATTCACAACTCAAACACCGCCGTTTTTAGCTCGCGCGAAAAGGGTGATAGACAACAAATGGTCATATAGACTTATGTTCTTATCAAAGATATAATCAGCGACAGAAGCTGCTTATGGTGGATGAATTTACAGGTCTAGGGCCAATATGGCCGAAAAACATCCCCACCGTCCTTCTTGACTAAAGTGATTCTAGAGACAACAGTTGCCTCACATACGAGAGCCGAAATTACTGCCCCCAGCAACAACAATAGTCAAGAAAGCGAGAACAGCGATATATAGAGCAGGCAGTACCAACGGATAACCGCATATAATAAACTACTAAAACATACAAGAGAACTATCTTACATATAGGCACACTGCTGTATAATCGTAGCGATAATAGAACCGGCGAAAATACCAAGAATGAGAGCGAACGCCATAACGTAACCAGCAATTTCAAGCTCTTCCTTCTCATTCTGATCAACCTGTTGAGGACCGTAAATCATACACCAAGTAGCAACAGAGCCGTTGGTGAAACCGAAGAACGCCATGATAACGAACCGCCACCAATCGGAGTGGAACGGAGGCACATCGACGCTGAAGTTGAGGAAGAACAGCGCGATGAAGATCAGACGACCGAAAGACACGTAACGAATGATCTTCTTACTGATGCAGAAATGGAGATTCGGGGAGAATCTACCCAGGGTATCAAAGACTTGGAAGCAGTATGTCATAAGCTGACCAAACTGATCAGCTGACATGGCTGATGGGACCATCTGGAAGATAGTCCAGGGGAATACCACAAAACTAATTGTGAAATCAGCGCATACATTGATAGCCATGGGTACGATATCTTTGATGACCTTGCTCGTGGGGCGCTTCATCGTCTTCTTCATCTGGAACTTAACTCTATCTTCTTCGATCTTATATACAGGTTGCATGAAGGGATGACTCTGTACACCAAACATGTACATAGGGATACACGCAAAGTTGGCTAACATGGCCAGACCGTAGAAAAAGATCATACGGGGGTACATATAATCAGTAACACCACAGCCAACCAGAATAGCCTGGCAGAGTCTATCTACGGGCCAAGCCAGAAGACCAGCGATACCCTCGCCAATCATAATCCACTCGGTACACTCAGAAGTGACCAGAGCAGCCAGACCAAACATTGAGGACTCCATAAGAGCATTGGCGAAACCAAATATACCAACAAAGACGCAACCAAACACGAATCCGAGCACTCGATTCTGTTGGGCCCAGGTAGCAGCACAGATAGCCAGAAGAATCTGGGAAATACCCATACCGCCACAACCAATGTAAAAACGCGGTCCAAACTTGAATCGGTTACCCATATACACCAACAACAATTGACCGCAGTTAATGAAGAAGGAGTAACAAAGAGACACCCAAGTTCCATATGCTTCACCAAAAGCGTCAATTAGAGCGCCAAGCTCACCGAGGATGAAGTTCCAACCGAGAAGAGCAACGCAGCCAATAATACAGAAGTAAGTCTTCAACTTCCAATCGCAGCTCGGCTCCTTGGTCTCGGCCTCAACTTTGAAGGCGCCCGAAGAGCCAGCCTCGGTCACCTCATCATCGCTTTTAGATGTCTTGCCTAGGCACGAGAACGCCATTATCAAAAATTCTGAAATAATAATTAAACACATGATACCATCAACTCTACGCACGAAGCTCGGTCACCAACGATCCGTTCTCATGCAACAGAACAACAAAATTCTCGGAAAATATCCGCTTGGCACACTCGGCTTAGGATTATCGGGAGACGTTAGCGCAGCGGATACGCGCAGCGTGTGCGACACAACAAAAGGGACTGCATAGAGCGTCACTGACTGAGCTGGGCTCACATGAGAAAGAAAATTTTGAGTGACAGCGTGTCCGAGTGGTTAAGGAGGTGGACTAGAAATCCACTGGGCTCTGCCCGCGCAGGTTCGAATCCTGCCGCTGTCGTTTCTATGTAAATTTCTATAGAACATGATTGATTCTCTGCATTCGCCTACCATGTACGCTACACAGTTCATACTGCCAATGAACCTCCATCGCGCGTACCTTACCTCAGCATCCAAAGCGCGGGCCTAGTATTCCCTTCTCTTGGAACACCCGACGGGTTCTCTCTGCCGAAGGGCTGTACAAAATTGATACTAATCTTCCGACCATTGCGCCAGGCTTACTGATATCCCTATTCGGGAATCCCGAAACCTGCTCGGAAGCTCTTATTCGTAGATGTTCATCCACTCAGCCTCTCAAAAACACAAAGACATCAATTCTCGAACACCGAATTCAAGGTGTCGCACCCCCCCCCCCCCCACTCACACACACCTAGTGGAGCTATTTATCCGACATCTTCGCGATCCATCATCCCAACGATGATCCACGAATGCAGAGTCGTGCGTGTTTCAATGGGAAACAATACCCCCGAGCAATTTCCGAAGCACATCCCGTTTCGAAGTGATGGCCGCAGCACGCAAACAAAATGCTGTCTCTATCTCAAAATCTCTCATTCTCATGAGACGAAACTTGGCTGTCCTTTTCCCATTCGGACCCCACCTTGAGCTGTTTAAAACGCAACAACACGTGCATCAGAAACCGACATCATAATCAAAGTCTTACAACTGTTACGCGGCCAAGATCTACACCTCCCACTTGAAGGTAACTCGTCCTTCGACTCAAGCTCCTTGACTACGCTCCTCCTCCGTTTTCGAGTACTCAACCACTTCGCACGCCTTGCCACCTAAAGCACTTCATCAGGGACCACGTCCCTATAGCCCAACAAGCAACCAAATACAGCGACTATCTTACTGGACTCGACAATAGTCTCACGGATTTGTTCCGCCTCTTCCTCAGAGAGAGCGATGTATTCGTCATCGCTGGTCACCGCCAGGCACCTGGTCCGGTAATACAAGAAAACAAACATGATGTGAAATGCTCCACAGCAAATTCAAGTGCAGCGCAGCTCACCTCTGCTTGCCTCCTTCAATATCCACAACACGATGATTACCAAAAATCTTCGGCGGCACCAACGTGGGGACCTTACGCACAAGTCAGCAGAATAAATTTGCACGCATGCACACTTACCACCATAGTCTTCCCATCATCTCTCCCCAGGCATCCGGATGACTTCTTACCCCAGCTGTAGACAAGCCCACTCTCCGTCAAAATAAAAGAGTACTGAGAAAAGCCACGCCATACAGAATTAAGTGATAGAAATGATTCCCGCCATACCTTGGTCCCAGCTGCGAGCTTCTTGATGCCCTTAATGCCGTTCTCGTAACTGCATCACAAGTCGCAATCACCTACCCACGCGCCCCTCACTACTCAGATGGTACTGTAACAGAGTGAGGCTCCAGCCATGTCCGATCACCCCAATAGTATCTACATTACCCCAAAGAGCTCCACGAGGAACATGTACCTCTCCCCCGACTCACACTGCACCAGTGCTAGCTACCGCCACTATGTGGTGCTCCCCGCATACAGCGTCTACAATTTTCGTGCCTTCCAGCTGAGAAAAAAGGCAAAAAATTTCCCCTCGATTCAACAGCATCATCAACCAAGTTCTCCCAACTACTATTACAATACCCTGGCAGACTCCGACCGAATTTCCCCACTCGAGAAAAAAGCTCATCGCCGCCAAGGCTTTTTTTACTACCTTCAAACATGGGATTTCACGGGGATATCTTTCAGCCGAGTACCTCAACCAGCACACATCACAACCCACAATTAGCACTAGTCTCAATTCACTCACATGTCACCCATCGACTCTTCTCCTAGCCCCAACTGACCGTAGTCATTACGACCAAAGACGAATAGTCTGCCCTCATCATCGAGAATCAATGAGAAATTAGATCCACATGAAATCTGAACAACAACTATATCCCCTACATTCACAAACATTATATTTCATCATCATCAATATTCTGTCTATGGAATTTACTATTTATTTCACATTTTTAACATATAATAAAATACCACTATCTGCGAACTAATGATTGCTTCTCCAAAAGAGGTTAAAATCTCCACCAATCTCAACTGCCAGCAGTCCAGTTCACCCGGTCCAAATAGAGACCACCCTAATACAGCACCAACACTCATTACAATGCATGGCGATTCCCTAGCGAGCACTTTACCGAATCAGAATAGGAATATGCCCCTCACCAACAGCAGAGTCTATCCGTCGTACCTTCTTGATATGAGCATCTCCAAGCATGTCCTGGAAATACTCCAACATTTGGGGCTCCGCTTGGTCCGAGGAATCACCCAAACCCAGACTGAATGAATGATAGAAAACAATAGTGATAAAATCCCAACAATAGTGACAGACGTGAAAATGGTTAAGCCCATGGAGATTCATCCGCCCTTTGTCGCATCAGAAATTCTCCCCATTTAAATTCCATCGCCACATAGCGTGAAAAATGAAGCGCGGCAGATTCCCCACACCTACATTCCAAACTCTCCCTTCCCGCAAGTGTAGACATGATCGGACTTAGTTCGCATCATGACATGCTGCGTCCCACAAGATACTTCTTCCACTCGCTCACCCAGCTCCAATAGACGTTGCACAGCCTCAAACCTGTCAGGAGAATCATAAATCTTCGCTGTGCGCAAACGGCCTCACCTGTCTCTGTTATTCTTATCACCGAGTCCCAAGGCACCCTGGCCAGAGAACCAACTCCCTCCCCAGCCCGCCGAGTGAACCTGCACCATTACATCATCATCATCATCAAAGGCTCCTCAATAACACACCCCCCCTTACTGCGCCATCCTTCGTCCTCACCATGGTGTGGTATGCACCACAGGACACATCAGCGGCCAACTCTGAGACCAAAATCATCTCCAATCTCCCCAGATGCCCACCACCTACTGCTAGCCTGGGAGTCTGTCAATGCCTCGATTTCCGCGATAGCAGCAACGTCGTCAACATCACCCTTCTTCTACAAAAAACAAAACTCCCTATACAAATCACATACCTCATCAACTACTACCCCAGAGGCACTATCTCTGGCCAGTTGACCGTACTTGTTACTACCAAAGGTATACACCTTACCCTCACATACCACAGCCGAGTGCTCTCCTCCACATGCCAAGCTCTCGACCGACGACACTCCACTCAACTCCGGGACCTACAATAGAACTGCATCACCAAAGCTAGTGAGTCCACAGGCGCACTTTAATAGGCATCTTGCTAACCTCTCCCACTGCAGGGCCACCGGTTACTCCCGAACCGGCGGGTGCTCCCCAACGCCAAACCGTATAGGATGAACCTGCCAGTGGATTGAAGGCCACCAACAACAGATCAACATATTAAAACCATGTTGAGAAAGACTGCACTTACTGAAGCTCCTCAGCTGCTGCTGCATCACAGACGTGAAGGCCACTCTACCGTGCATAGGAATTGCCGCTGTAGCGATCATTCAAGATGGGAATTAAAACGATAGTAAGATGGCTATAATTCACAAATCGTCACGCGCCACGAAATTCATCCATCACACACGATCTCAATCATCAGCGACTGAGCCCAGGCCAAGTACTCCAACTCAACAGTCGCCGAAGAGTGCACGAAAAATATAAAGCAATCGGGGTGCTACCTTCAACACCCCTTACCCTATATTCAAACGGAACATATCGTTGAGACAGTAGATCCCACCAGAAGGGCTCGGTGCTAGGTGAAATACCTACAAAACGAAAAGTCGTCATTCCGAACATCCCATCGAGGCAATAGCCTCTTCACCAGCTCTTCCGCCGACCCACTGCTACTACCTGGCCGAACTTGAGCGGATTCTGGTTATCATCAACTAGCAGGTTGCCAGTCACGAACACCATTACACCATTGTTCGAAGGATTCGGCTGACAGTCGGCCTTAATAACCTGAGACCACACCCAGAGCAATTCTTTCAGCACAACAACACTGAGGCGAATCACCTGATGCTGGACCTTTTGGAATGGCAAACTGACCAGCTTCTGTACTATATTCGCCGCACCCTGAAACTGTTCTCCCTCGAATGTCAACATAGAGGTATCTAAAGCCTCCTAAAGACGTCCTCCATGTCTTCGACCTACCTCCATACAGGGGAGTCAGATTAGACCTGTTAGCATCGAACGTGCCATAATAGTGCTGGACGAACTGCTCCCCGATCGACTGAAACTGAGGGTTGATCTGAGCCATTGAGACAGGTCTATGTGACTACGAATATGCATCGGCAGTGAAACGATCAGTTGTCGCACAACCCGGGAGTGCTTCAATTCAGTCCATCACCGTCACCGCGCCACGAAATTCCCCCTAACCCCATACCATTGAACCAAAACACAGTGCAGATAGAATAAGTAGTACAGATGAAAGCTCATCAGCAAAAATCGAGGGAGCAGCCATACGCAACTACCAACACTAGCAGTAGAGACAGTAGCTCTCACAAGGCCAATCTTCCAAGCGCGAACACAGTCTTATCGGTAATCGTCATCCTCAACAACACTTCCTCTTCTCCGACCCCGACGTAGACGCTCCTCCATTTCCTACCGCTCCACCGGTGCCTCGACGATCCGATAATTTAACAGCGTTCGAGCTGGCCACTGAACCGTTATTGTGTACTCGTGGCTCAATGCCATTCAACAAACTGAACAAGCGGAATTCATGAGAAACACACACATGCATAGAATGCAGCGTTCTAACTAAAACTATCCCACGAGGGTTCGAACCCGGGTCGATCGGACAACAACCTCCCCCATTCCCCATTCGAGTATTACTCATAGCTGTCACACACTCTCTCCGCAATCGCCCTGAATGCTTGTTCTACATTAAGGCCACTTTTGGCGGATGTCTCAAAGAAGGTCATCCCATATTTATCAGCAAGAGCTTGGCCTTCTTCCGTCGATACTTTCTATGAAATATAAGCATGGAGAGACACATCGGTAATACCGATTCGGTAGTAGCAGAAGAGTATACCGATTCGGTAGTAGCAGAAGAGTATACCGATTCGGTATACTCTACTATTACTACTACTACTACTACTACTACCCGCTTAGCTGCCATATCAGCCTTATTCCCCACCAAAAGCTTCTGAACCGTCTTATCCGCATGCTCATCCAAGTTGCGAACCCAATAGTCTACATCTGATAAATGGAGGAATCTTGAGGTTGGCTGAGAAAGATACGAAACAGGTTACTTTTGAAACTCTTGGAATCTGTCATATCATAGATGAGCAAGACTCCCATAGCGTTGCGATAATATGCCGGAGTAATCGTTCGGAACCTCTCCTGGCCGGCAGTGTCCTATCAACACTCAGTCTTGTGGGAAAGCGTAATTCAGCTCACCCAAATTTGCAAGCGGACTTCTCTGTCTTGTATGTTGATAGTTTTAACTCGAAAGTCAACCCCAATCGTGATGACGAAGTTCGAGTCGAAGCGGTTTTCACAGAATCGCATCAATAGTGACGACTTCCCGACGGCTGAAATAGACAACAAAAGACACTCCTATACTAACCATTCTATCTACACTTTGTAGTTATAACAGTGCATGCAACTCAATGTACAGTTACTATTACTAGGCTCTCACTTTCGCCGAGTACCAGAGTTCCGCAGAGTGTGGTAACTACTACTACTACTACTACTACTACTACTACTACTACTACTACTACTACTACTACCACTATCGCCCAGGACCAGAATTCGTGCAGTAGCGTCGTATGAGTCGTCGCTGCTAGCTACACCTGCTGCTGATGATGCCGTCTCAAAGTGCGGCATCAGAACGCTAGATGATAAATATGATTGGAAAAGGCAATATACACCTGCTTGAGAAATGAGATGATGCACGCGACAATGGCAGACGTAATACGTTGTGGACAGGGCGCGCGCGCAATACAAACGCAAGATCCGATTCTACTGTGACATCTACTATACATCACCGTCATGGACTTGGTTCTCCTGGTACCAACTAGAGATGCTGACTTGGTGTGAGCACAGGGTATTTGATCATCGCTCGCAAATTCTGCGATGATCAGATTCTGTCAACTCCTTTGGAATTTCTCTGGGCGGTTCTCCGGAGGATATTCACCGTTGCATAACGACAGACTTTTACTGTTGTGATTGGATAAGCAGAGACTCTCTGCCAGAGAGACTTAGCTACCACCAATAACTGGTCTCTAGCACATCGACAGCCGTCAGGTTTGTATTCGGAATCTGAATGGCACACTCCAGCAATGATGCATCACGAAAGGTCCTTATAGCCAAGATCATCCAAGAGCGTCAACAGGTGGAGCAAAGACCCGCGTGGGTACTTCAAGATGGACACAAAACGATTGAGAATGCGTAACGTGCGCGTCGCTGTTCTCGTGGATTCTCCTTTGAGGACAATCATTCTAGCCACAAATTTGCGGTCTCAAAGTAATGAATGACAGCAATCCCGGAGTAGAACGCCTGCTTTCATGACGAGATGTATGGTCAGAAATACTGGCCATGGCAACTCAATTTGAGTGGCGAGTAGCTGAAATCGTTCGACTCCGAAGTTATCCAGTCAAGAAAGGCAACCCCTCAGGCCCCAATCCACTCCTGCATTGCCCGAGGCTCGTCCCTCCGGCATTCTGAACGGAACAGGGCGATCGAGTCAGGTTGTGTACGGCACGATGCCATCTTTCCAGACAATAGCAGCAATGCGCTCCTCTGGTAGGACTGTGGACCCATGATGGATTCTGAAAATGACGGTGGCTCGGGTAGACTCACTCCGCGATAATCAACGGAGAAGTCGCCGAATGTCGCGAGCAGACGTCTTCCCAGTGAAGACCGGAACGCGAGAGGTCCGTTGTGAACATTAGTAACATGAGCAATCTACACTTCAGGAGAGACCTCCCGATGTCGACCAAGGGGAGAATTCGTCCACAGATAGGCTACTTGAAAACATTAACACTTGGATGGACATTAAAAGAAGAGTTATGCAGCACCAGGAGATCGGGCAGGATCAGAAAGCCCAGACAAATGCAAGCCGTGGAGGCCACGGTAGGTCAGTAGTGCTGACTTAACACAGTCACGAACCAGTTGTCTCTAAGAGACTGTATCAGAGGACACTGCTGAGCTCTCGCAGATTCGGCACGTCACAATGAACATCAGTCGCCTGAATCGAAAGGACCCTCCGTCGAACAGCCCTCGGAAAGTCAAGGAGCTTGGAGTTTGTCCCGCCTCACGACGTGGTGGTCAGACAAAGACGAGGTTAGTGGATTCATCCCTCCACGGTTCGTGCCCAATGTTCTGGTCGCAGAACCCATCAGTAAGGCAAGATGAACCTTCGGGACTTGAGAAGGCTCGGGGTGATCCTCCATTGGACAGCACAACTGAAGATGGTGGAGGCCTCTGGGGTTACCTGAACACGGCCAAAGATAGAGTGTGAGCCCCTCAGTGGCCCGATGTTAAGCAGCTCCTCTGTGCTAAGGGTGAATGCTGCGATGGCACTGGTCGCACCTGAGGACGATCAAATCCTTCGAGAGACGTTGTTGAGGGAGTTTGGTGGCGGAGTAGAGGAGGTTGTCATTGCTGTTTACATCAAGCGGTGAGCTTTCCTGCGCTAATGAGCGAATACCAACGGTATTTTCCCCACGATATCTGCATACCGGTTCGAGTGTTAGTCTAGCATATCAAAAGAATACAAATCGCAGCACACTCTGATATATATAATATAGATATACATTCTATTAGAGGGGAATAAACCATAAGTGTAGGGACATTGGTGATGTATCGATAATCTAATACAATGGAGTTCTACCCGTTTATGTGAAGTGGCGTAATACTCTGTGAAATTCGCGCTATGCAGTAGTTGTTAAATAGATTTTTTTACTTACGTTTTTCACATCACGGGTGAAACTCCAATGAACAGTGCGGGAATGAAAGTTTGCTTTCTTCACCTGGGTCCAGAAGCACTTTCACTAGTTATAGAAGTTTACACGCAAATATCGCTAGGAGTGTAAAGGAACCAATGAGAATTTTCCTCAGCATTTCCACAAATTTCACTCCTAGCATGCAGTTGGGCATGTGCGTGTGTTTTCAGACCGACAATGAAAAAAATAATATTATAAGTATTTAATTTATATATATTTAATCATTATTGTATAATGGCGATACACTTATATCTAATATAACACTATAGCTACTAGAGTTTCGCTCGAACATGTGTCTATTCCTCGAGCTAAAGTGATCAACTTCGTGTAGTACAGTCCATTGAAACAACTAGGAGCGAACTACTCATGGTGAACCGTCGAGTGAATAAACAACTAGCAGATAATCAGCGGGGTTGCTCTACTGCCAAGTACCCTCAGATGTACGAACATTCCAAAGATGGATCTAATGGGACACGCTGACTGCTACGTTACAGTGCAGGTGGATACAACGGGCATCGCTAGGGATGGCGATTCTGCCGGACCGAGATCAAGGACGGTGTACGTCCATTCTTGAATGTTTGTACACGCCGATCGCAATAGCAGACATGCAAGCCTGGTGTCAATCGTGTCGGGTGGACTTTCAACTTTGCAGATATAATGAGAGTGACCCAGTGTTCAATGAATGGGTGGAAACTCCACCCCTCCGGGCAGTCGAGCTACTTTCGCCTAACGCGATGCTCAGATTGACCGTTTTGGACTGGGACATCATCGGCTCTGACGATTTAGTTGGTGGGGACGTGCTCGCCTCTGGTCACCACCCTCAGATGCTCAGGCACTTGCGTGTATCCTCTTTATGAGACCTTACAATGCAGTGGCGTGGCCCCCTATGTGTTGTCTCCTCTTAACGGTCAGGCTGCTCATTCTGCTGGAGATAGACCTAGCGTCAATCTATTCGTAGGTGATCACGTTTATTCGCATCCATGAAACCGTGTTGTTCGAGTTTTCAATCGCCAGATTCCATCTATGTACAGGTTAAAATATTGGCACGTTCGACTGCGGGAGCCGTGTGCATCCTCTTTACACCAGTGGCGATCACTGGCCTCACCGGTTTCGCCTATCGGAACGCCACACTGAGCTTAGGGGGGAAACTTGTGAAGGAGAAGAGAAATCCTGTGGAGCTTCCTCAGTCAGTCGCCATCGGAATGGGAACTGCTTCTTAGCAACGGAGCGTGTCACCATCCTTCGGTCTATCATTTGCTCTATTTTTGGAATACTGCTTCCACGGTGGTTTCGCGTAGAAGACCATGTGTGAGAGTCACTGGTGCCGCATTAGGTACCCTCTGCTCGGCGCCACAGAAGAGAGCATCTTTCCCGTACCTTCAACGCCTGTGACAAGCACCGGGTGGGCCTTGTGGAAAGCGGACCGTCAGGCGCCGCCAATTCTGTGCCGATCCGACAGGCATTTGTATGGTCGAGGGGCCTGGCTCGTCCCACGGGTTGGATCCGCATCTCATGCAGGTATTTGCATTTGACCCTGATGTCATCACCAAGTAACCCGATACCCCTCATGCACTGTGGAATCAGGATGAATGACATTGAGGAGTCTTGCGGCTTGAGAGGCCGCAGGCTCTTTAATGGGTGATAGTCCTTGACGCGCGCCGCTCACGTATCTTGGGGGCCCTCAGCTACTCCGATTTGGACCTCCGAAAGACGAGGCTTTACGCTTCGGCGGAGGTACGTCTCGTTGCACCTCCGCCCCTTCCTACTACTGATGTTTGACTCGAGTATGGGAAGATAATTCTCGGCAAATAGCTGACCAAGGTTCTTCCACTCTGGACACGATCTCTCTGTTCTTTCTCGATGGCTATGTCGCAACTTTCATGGAGAACTGAGCTAGTGCTTATTTGAGGATTCACTAGAATGATTGGTGGAGAATGTTACGAGTTATATCAATTGGTCGATGGGTTGGAACCGCTGGGGCACAAGCTATCTGGCCACTTCCTATGTTAAAATGGAAGACACTTTGGCCGAGTGGTTAAGGCGGCGGCCTGCTAAGCCGTTGGGCTCTGCCCGCGAGGGTTCGAATCCCTCAGGTGTCGTCTTATTTATGGTTCTACGCCTGGGTGGAACACCTCTGCCCAGTTGGCAGTTTCGTGAACCCCAATCAGGTGAACTAGTCGGCCATCACATCTCGCAGATGTTGTCCATCTAGTTGTTCTCGAATTCGTGGCAGCCGTCGACGTTCGGACAGAACCTGCACCAGTACGTTGAAGACTGACTGTATGGTGTACAGTCAGGTGGGTGAGCGATGAGGGGGCGGAGACTCCGCCGCGGAGTGCAGGTCAGAGATATTTTGGGGCGAGTTATCCTCCTCACTGAAGAATATCGGAGAGAACGACAAGCTGCAACACTGACCTACCGCTAACGTGAGACGCGTTTGCAACTACGACCACACAACGTTCAAACCTGTACAGGAAAGCTGAACCGTTGTGTCGTGCCACAAGAGAGATCCGTGCCCGTATGAGTGCAATGGATATCACTACTCATCATTGGCCAATGGCTATCTAACCATGATGTCGCAGGAACGGCTTCGTATTCCACATTGTTCCATCGTCCTATCGACTCCAGTAGCTGGAGTCCAGTTTCTCTGTCATCAGCTTCGTTGGCTTGTTCATTCCTCACTTCTCCCCTGTTAGCACCATATAGCCCTGTATATTCCACTCTATTCCTAAGCTATATCTCTACACTACACGGGACATTGCTTCGTGTTAACTCAAATGACAACTCAATGTTAACTCAATGTTAACTCAATGTACTTTCTTGCACACTTTTCAGCGTAGATAACACAGTAGCCAGTCGGGACTTTCTCCAATAACAGGCAGTTCTCCAGGTCGGAGATCTCTATTGTCATCTGCACTATTGCGTATCGTGTTGATATGTGGAAGCCTGCGAAGCCGCGATTGTTGTGCGAACAGTAGCTTGCGCTTGGAATCGGACTCAAATGGCCGAGTGCAGTCAGCTAGGCGAAACAGGCATAGTCAAGAAAGAACCAGATATGGCCACTGACGACGTGTCCCCTCTCACTCGAGAGCAAGTAGGTGGAGAACCTAGCTTTGCACAGACTGATCGAAGGGGCAGGTCATCGCTGGTCTCGACGGGCTCGGCGTCATACCATCAGATTCGGGCGGGCACGCCTACCTGGCATGCACTTTAAGGAGCTTGTCACTCACAAATCTCGACCCAGTAAGATATAGGCCCCGTCTTCTTGCAGCCCTCTTGCCAGGTCATGAGGAGTTATCGGCATCTCCAAGTCGTTGACGTGAGTCACAATAGGCTGAATAGGCTCGATGCGCTGTAGGACCCCTTGTTGCGCCGGCTCACGTCGACCTCAGATCGGATATGCCATTCCTGCGAGTACTCAACGCTTCCCATAACCTGCTCGGCAGGACCGACTGCTTCACGTTTTCTCGTTTGCTCGAACGAGTAGACATGAGTTATAATGAAATCCGTAATTGACTTATTCTTCTCGATGATCCCGGAGGTCTTCAGAGGAGCTCGGAGACTGGTCGAATTGTCGCAACTCCCTTCGAGAACTGCGGTTAAGCGGCAACTCGATCAAGCATATCCCGGCTAATGGCTTGGACAAGACGGAACGTCTGTGAGAATATCGTTACTAAACGACGATGATATTTCACCATTGTTATGGTAGAGAACTTCTCGACTTGTCCGAAAATCAACTCACCACCATCAATAACATATCTCATCTCCGTGAGCTCGCCGTGCTGAGACTCGCTGATAATCACATTGAATCCTTGCTCGGCTTGGATGGGCTGGGCCGACTGCGCGAGCTGGATCTCTCGAATAACTCAATCAAGGCAGGCCGAGACGCTGCTCGGCGGGTTGATGCGAGCCTTCGCCTCGCAGACTCTCGAAGATTTGAGTACATGGTCCTGTGAGAGGCTAGAGAAACTGTCCGTCTCGGGCAACCAGCTTGAAAGTCTTGAGACTAATATCGAGGTCAGAGAAGCGACATCAGCATATTTGATTTGGCTAGAAAAGCATCCCTGCAGGTGCTCGAACGTGCCTTCCCAAAATTAGCCGACTTAAGCATATCAGGCAATCCGATCTCCCAACTCCCGTACCTCGTAGCTTGTCCGAGACATTGTAAATGGTTGCCACGGTCTAGGTCGTTCAAGCTGAGAGTTATATACGGCCTTGGAAGTCTTATTCTCCTGGATAGTGTTGAAGTGACAGCGGAAGTGCGATCGTGGGGGATCACCTCTCCACTCGATTCTACAACGCATCGAACTTTCCCCTAGAAGGTTTTCGTTGACAAGAGGCCTTCCGTCTTGTGGGCTATTATCGAGAGCTGGGGCCTTGATGGTTCACCTCCTTTCTTAAGTGAAATTACCAGCTATCCCGCTCTTGCGCTTGAGTGCATCGCAGTATATAAAGGGGTCCCCTTTAAGGGGACTGGAGTTGCTCTCATCGAAGGATTGTCTTCGCAACATACCAACGTGACGCTATTTCGTCCTCTTAATCAGGATCGACTAGACTCAGAAACTCTCCATGGCGATTTGCTGGAGGCAGAGAAAGAGGCTTGGATAGCGTAGCTGCGTGTTATGTTTTTACAAGTGGTCCTATATTTCGTGAAGGTCCATGAAAACAGCATGTGCGGAGGATCTGCCAATACCCGAGTTCGAAGATCATCGAATTGTGACCATTGAAGGCCTCCAACGTGCCGAGGAGACGACAGTTGGCTCATAGTTGGTATGCAATAGATGTCGCATGCTGCCATTTCTCGTGATTGTTGTGTTGTTGCTTAAGTCTTGGATGGGCTACCCGGTGGTCAGTAGCCGAGACAATGAAGAAGCAAAGAGAAATGACCTCTCGCCAACCTCGATCGGGCGAGATGGAAATTTCTCAAGTACGACTCTCGAATATCGCTTTGTGGTGCCCTGTAATCGCTGGCAATTGGAAGGGTTTCATCCGGGAGGACCTTTCGTAAGCATCTTATATGATGTCGCACGACGGAACTAGGGTGTGGTGGAATATTAACGAGAACGACGAACGGTCACCGCCCGATTCGGGGGGCGAAATAGTCTCAAGCCGAACAAGGAGGACGGTCAAATTCTCGAGCAGCGAAAGTGAACTATTCTGAATGTGCAAGGTCAGTGTGAAACTCAGGTGAAGAGGGTAGCAAGAGACGAAAGCGAAGCAGCTCGAGTAAGGTCTCATTACTGATAACCTGACCAAAGATGAGTACTTCAGAAAGGAGGAGTACGCTTTCACCTCAGAGGAAAAGGAAATCTAAGATGAGCAGAAAGGCTCAGTCGTCGGACAGTAGAGGTGTCCTCTGGCGTTGTGGCGGTTGAACTTGCTTGATAGGAGCCAGCCTGGAGAAGGAAAGAGTCGCCGACGGCTTCCGACCTGGGGACTGGTGGGCAAGGGCGATCGTGAGTCTCACGACATAGTTGATAACAGGCACGAACAGCGAGCTACTACTGCTCCTATCGGTCTGAATGATGATGAAGAGGTTAGTGACACACAAGGCGGCATTTCGGAGGTGCACGTGAGAAACGCGCCGTCTATATGTAGTCCAAGTCTCAGGAGAATACAAAACGTCCATCAACCATTACGACGAGTCGTAGTGCTTCAGCCCCCCACGGTGAGCTGCTTACGATAAGACGACCTCCACTGGCACGCGAAACGAACACTGATCGTTGATCAGTCAGGTGAGAATCGGCCGTACAGGGCCACTGGCAGCAGAGCATTCTCTTCGAGAAGAACCATTCAGCATTCAGCCAGCAGTGTGGCTACTCTAAGGCGGCCTACTGTCAAATCAGGCTCAAGTTGGGGATGGCGCGGTATCCAGCTTATTGCCAGTCCTGTCATCGATTCAGGACGAACTACGGTTGCTCTCGCTCTCCCCGAAGGGACCACTGGTTCAGCCGCTGTGATGCTCGCTGCGATCACATGGGTGCAAGAATGGCCACACCACTGGCCGACTGCTAACTATCCCCATTGTTCAGGTGGCTTTGATGATGTTGTTATCCCTTGTGATAGTCATAGTATATAATGCCTCTACTTCTACCACCGCATATTCCCTTTCAGTGGACGGTACTCCTCAATCCTCCACTTTTTCCACAATTTATTTCCGCAGGTATAATGACCACCGGGACGGCCTTAGTGAGTCGCCACCTCACAGCACCGACAACTTGTCTCTTCGCCGTTTCTAACGCCCTTCGTGTTGGCATCTACACCGACACGAATCCCTTCGACTACAAAGCAGTGAATCAAATAGTGACTCCACTTTTCAACCAATGGCAGGATGATCTGTGTGGGGTCGTATCATTTTCCCCTTGCAGACGCTTTGGAAGGTACCTCGTGGAGCTGGCATTCAACGGCGAGTCCTCGAGCCTGCGCATTCAGAATCGCAGTCTACTGTACACTGAAAAGTGCATGAGTGAGATGCCAGAGCTCCACTTGAAAATACGCCTCTGTTTTAGTTACGAATAATCTCGTAGTGTCCATTCGTACAAATCACAGTTCTTGTGCTGAGAACTGCCACTTAGGTGTCACGTGCGAGGCACCTCTCACAACTTCTCGAACGGCGGCCAGCCAGGCTGATCTATGGTCACATTCTGACGGTGGCCGCCCCCGATCTCCAAACAGGTACGAAATGATCATGTCGCAGTACTCGGAGAACAGCGAAAAGTTCGACACCAATCTTGACTTGGACACAACGATCACTGCGGTTGGTGAAGGTGACTTATCAATCGCTACAGCGTGAGCATTTCCACTCGCTCTAAATGAGCGCCTAGTCCCCTCATCAGTTCAGGTTCAGCCTCCGATTCCATAGTTCGGGCACGTCAAGCAACGCAGGTGGCGTTGGAGCGGCTCAGTTCTCGGGTCCCTCAGCATTCGCCTTTGTCGGAGCTGATGATATCCTTTATGACTGGCATCCGGTCATCCATCTTTCCGTAAGGCACATCTCAGTAAAGCTTGAACACGGTATAACTGCTTATCAGGCTGCATTCGATGCGGGGACGACAGGGTCTGTATTAGCGCTCAGAATCTCGATGGACATGTTACCTCTAGCGCAGGAGCTGAGGACCAACATGGGCGGTTTCCCTAACTCCCATTTCTACGTTACTAATGAGCTCGGCCAGGTGAGGGCGTCACACTCGGCCCTTGTACTGCTGTGGTGGTCCAGGTTCTGGCTTCTACTGAGGACCCGGAGGTCTTCATGTCGCCGACAACCGTTAATGGATCGACTCAAGTGACTTGTATGTGTCGTTGCGGAAGAACACGACTATGTTCAGTTGACTTTTCGAAGAATATGGGATGTCGCACCAGCGGTCAAGCGAGATCACTTCATAGACCTCCTCCGCGTTCAGGAGAGGGTGACTGCGTGGTCTGGTGAGACGAGCAACTCTGACTATATTATCGGACAGCCTTCAGATGGTGTCAGAGTCGATCTTGAGATTTCCAAGTCATCTGGCGCTCCATTGATCCTGATAGCGACGACTTCCTCTAAGGACTTCCGAGATGCAGCTTTGACCTCTTTAGTGACCACACAGGTTAGTGTGATTGTATTACATACAGTACGTTAGCATAAAATTGTCCAGGGCTTGACTGAATTATTCCGAGTGAGAATCTCTATGCGTAGCCTGACTCATCAGATCAGGAATGCGTAGAGCTTTCGAATGGTGTAAGTTTCGTGGAACAGCTCGCACTTCTCATCGAGATTACTGGGTTTTAGACATTTTCGGTCCAATTTGAAAATCGCCTGCGTTGGAGCTAAATCCATGGGAGAAAGCGCGGGGTCACCGTGTTGCTTAATACGCGCCGAACAGATCTGAAACCCTGTTTCCACGAAGCTCTCAGGTTAGAGCTGTTCCACAAAACTCACACCGTTCGAAAGCTCCACAATTTCCTGATAAGGCTATTCACAAGTATTTTATATAAGCTTTCAGTTGACCGAACTGTATATAGGACCCGCGTATTTGCAATATTAGGTTTTCTTTGCGTTCGTCCCTACTGCTCTGTTCCTCGCTCGATGGATTTGGAGGAGACACAAAGAAAGGTGGGATAGTCTCCTGCGTCCTTGCTACTGCCACGCGTTGAACAGCTCATCACTGGGTGAGTCCTTGTTGGATACCATGCGGAGGCGTCTAGCGAGATCATCGTGATAGTTGATGAACTCATCGGCTCTGGTAAAGGCCTGTCTTGTGACCGATACGTGGTTACGAAGGCGGTATCGAGTTCCGACTTGGAAACGTTTTGAGTTGTTGAAGTCGAATAGTCTCCATAATGGCATATCTAGCGATTCGAAGACACTGTAGTTGGATGGCCATGCAGGAAATTGTTTAACTCCAATTTTTTTCTATCATCTCCTACCATCGCGCGACGACAGGGATCCTTCGGTCCAACGTGGAGATATCAAAATGTCTCTGACGAATTCATAGAGTTATGATTTGATTCCCTTGAGAGGCGCGGGGCTCCCTTGATCGCACACAATGATTCGGCACGTGTGCGCGAACGAAGGTTTCAGAAAACGTTACATGTCAATACCATCATCACCTTCAATCGTAGTAGCGATGAAAAAGGTGTGGTATGAAACATATCAACTATGTGCGATGACCAGCATCTAAATAGAACATCGGATAACCCCCACGTTGACTATGTGATAGAAACTGATACTCAGGGAGAGAAAATATGCACATGGTCAACTATGTGTGTTGATGACATTTGAAAATTCTGAGGTACCTTAGCGAGACTCTTATTGGTTTCTGTGCACTCCTACCTGAATTCGTATGTGAACTCTTATAATTAGTGAGGAAACTTTTGGACTTCTGGACGAGAAGCAAACATATATTCCAATACTGCTCGCTTGAATGAGCAACAATATGATTGCGACTTTACTGCTATCATTTACAGCAGTTCCCTCCCAACCCCTCAAACGACATGTCATCGAGCTTGGCGGTGCCTCTCATTCCCACAGAGGATGCCAATGGCAATCAAACGCCGGGTGAATAAATCATCAATTGTCTCTACTTCACCATCATGGTCTGCCAGGTGGGCGTCAGGTCGCTATCATCTCCCCAACGCATGTCACTGCCGCGATGCATTCTTCGCGTCGCTACCAGTTGATGAAGCACGCTGATGAAAAGTGAGTTTGGCCGCATTCTCACATGCATTTGAAGTGAGGTTTTCTGTATAGCCTGGAGGCCTCAAGAAGAGCGTCTCGAGAGTGGTATGTCGCTGGAGGAGTCGGCGGGGCAGGACAACTATCTGCATTCTTCAACACGGCCAATGTAAAGTGACCTTCCATTTGATGCTTTATGGTATCGCATCAGATGTGCGTCGGTATCGGCATCCTCGCGCTCCCAAAAGCCTTGGAGTTCTCTGGCTGGGCTCTAGGAATTACAAGTCTGCTTCTCATCGCTGTTCTCACATTCTATTCGGTGAGTGCGATAGACTCCCCGCAGGGCTCACCGACCCAGATTCGATACTGAATTTGATCCATTAGCCACTATCTTATTCCCTGGCCCTACAGGGGGGCGACACCCATCTCTTTAGGTAAGGATGATCGTCGCTGTGTCGGCCCACTTGGCCTTACAAGACATTGACGACTACGATGCATCCCAGCATGGTGGAAGAGTCGTGACACCTGGGTGAGCTCTCCGGTCTCTCTCTATAAGGGAGCATCCAATTAAGAAGGGACCATTTGTAGAATAGCGATCCAAGGTTGACTCCTATTCAACGGGATGACATAGGAGCTATACGATATAGGCTAGTTAAAGTGGTATATGGTGTAGCACAGAACACTAAGTCGTCGGGCCTGAGCCTCTCGATGCCGGACGTCCTCATACCAAATCTTACTAGTTGCTGAGCAGCCGCTTTCGCTCATATCATGGACAGCTCCTATTCAGGTACGCCGAGGTAGTACGACGATGCCTCGGTCCTCTGGCCGAGATGATCCTGACCGCTCTAATGTGGATATCCCAGCTTGGCGCCAACACTGCATATCTAATCTTTATTGCGAGTAGTTTCGCGACTCATTTCGACGGTAATTCGATTCCCACTTTGATTGAGCTCCAACAGGAGAGGAGTTGGGCCTTTACTGTGCAGCTAGAGCAAGACTGTTGGATGCTCGTTCAGTTTCGGTGAAGTCATCACTCATTGTTTGCATCGCCGTGCTTTCTCCGCTATGTTGCCTAAGATCGGTCAAGTTGTTGTCCCCCGTATCATTGATTGGCATCGTAAGTAGTCCGGAAACAGTTGGGAGTCTCCGAACCCCCGATGGTAGATCTCAATGGCTGTCGGTCTGGTTGCCGCGGCGTATTGGGCTCTAACGGCACCGATGAGAACATTTTCCGCAGAGGGCCCGATCCTGCAGTCTCCTGCGCTGAATGGGGCGAATTGGAAGACGTAGGGATGCACCTGGCCTTCTCGTGCTCGATGACCACCCATCCACCTGTGGAATATGAACCATCGTCTTGATCGCGAAGATATGAGTATTGAAGAATTCGAGTATCGTATTGAGCACCGACTGAGAAGATCGATTCATCATAGCAAAGGCCACTTCGCATGGCGAATGTTGCCACACATAACATGGTACACATGATCATAGGCGTCGTGTGAGCTCATCTCGTCAGTGGAAGCTTGGTACTCAGTCGGACTGGTTGTTTGTTGGAGAATTACCGTGTTTGGAGAGTAAGCTGTATAGGTACCCCCTATTCCTTGGAATCGCCTCGCTATCATTCGAAGGAGTTGGAGCGATGGCTCTCCCTATCGAGAACTCCATGGCGAATCCGGTGAAGTTCCCTAACGTAAGCCTAGGGATATGGTGTTTGTTGTTCGAGGGCCGAAAAGATCAACAAAACATAATGAGCTACTTACGTGAAACATACGAATAATTGATGTGGAACATTGATGAGGACGAGAGAGCGATACCTGTTTTAACCGCAAATATGATTCCTGCACCCACTGTTGTCGACTAATCGCTGACCGACATGGAAATGCTATCTCCTTGGTTCTACTCATTCACCTCGTTCTCTTCAAGATAATCTGCCTTGAATACCTTTTTTTGTTCGCTGACTGTCTCAGTCCGTTGCGTAGACTCCCATCAGGTTCTCGGTTACGCAGTATTGCTGATCCTCGTCTTGAATCTGCTGTTTTCCTCTACTATGGTCATTGCTGTATCGAATATCAGTGATGAAGTTCCCGGCGTCATCACTCAAGCGATGCCGGAAGGATCTTTGGTGACATCAGCTTGAGAGTCGAATCGCAGACGTGTTTCAGATTTCCCGCATAGTCAGTGTGTGCATGTCCTTGGAGTTACTGTGTACATATCCTGGTAACGCCATTCCCCTCTTCAAGTTGTTGGAGAAGTCAACAGCAGCTGTGAAAATTTTCAGTAAGAGTCGCTTTGTGAGCTAATATTAAGCTGACATCTGTTTGAGCTATGGAATACTCGGCTGTGGTCTAGCATGTGACTGAAGGACGGTCGTTAACACTAGAGAGGGGAATCAAACTGTAGTTCATTATTCTCGACAGTGGAAATGAGTCCGAGTTTTGTCGACCCATTTTCTTGTAATGGTATTTCAGTTCACGCTCAGTCACTTCGTATTCATCAGGTGGCATGCGACGGCCTGCCCGTGTGATGTATTTAAGTATCATCAGAATCGTTGTCGTGGTTCTCACCGGGGTGAGATGTTAACGAATCGTTGATGAATCGATATGGTATAACCTCAGGTCATTGCGTTTGTGTTAGCGGACGTCTTTGACATCTTCCTATCATTTGTGGGCTCTCTGGCAAACGCAAGTGTGCTTTTTGTTTTCCCTGGGTTGTGTTTCCTTTCTACAAGCACTCATGAAAACGACAAGAGGAGATACCGTTGGACTGCGGTAGGTCGCGTGACGCGACTCGCGTCTCACCTCGAGTGCCGTTGGCGAATTCGAGGTGTGTGATAAGATTCATCTCCAAATGATCGGGTACATCTCTCATATCAAGAAAATTGAGGTTACCATTTCTATACCTTTTTTACCGTGTAACTCTGTACGTAGGAGCCATTCTTCTACGGACGGATAGAACAGTGCTCCCTCCTCAGGGATTGGTCGTCGCTTTCGGATTGTCTGCCGAGCTCATCGGCACAGCAACAGGTGTCCATGCTGCTATTGAGAGAATGTTTTCTGAGTGATTGTTTGCCATTGTTTGGTCAGAGTTCGCGGGAGACTCAAAACTTTCTTTCTTCAAACTGATAGGCACTGATAGCACTGATAGTGTTTGTCAGTTTCGGTCACTCTCCACTTCCGGATGGGGTCAGTATGGCACGGCTCGAATGGTGTTCGTTGAACTGGTAGTTCAAGCATCAGCTATTCCCTGCTCAGTGGCACTGAGTTAGTGCACCCTAGTTCAGCTCGAAATTTACTCTCACAGACACATTGGCCGAATGGTTAAGGCGGCGGTTTGCTGAGCCGCTGGGCTCTGCCCGTGAGGGTTCGAACCCTCCAAGTATCGTTGATTGGGTATATACATGTACAGATTCTCATCTTAATCCACATGAGTTTTGGGAGTCGTTCCGCTTTGATACGACTAACTACAGTCTTCGTCCGAAGGAGTTACACTGTCTCTACACAATCCGCAGTATGTGAGAAAAGAATCTCTATCTACTTCGAAGTCACATTATGGGTGAAGATATTTGAACATTTCCATGAATCAACTTTGGCATGCCAATGACATGCTTCACGATAATACGATCTAACAATCCAAGTCGAATGATACACCAAGCTCGTGATACTGCACAGATTTAAGGTTGACGTCACCTGCAAACGTCACTCAAGGGCGTCGTACTTCCATGAAGTCCCACGGAGGGAGTCGTCACAGCCGTCAATGGATCCGAATAGTTGGGTGTACCAAATTCGTGAGCTCCTAGGAGAAGGTCAACTACCCATTGCCCGCTCCCCTTAATGATGAACCTGCCGCATCTCTTGGCCTCAAGCGCGACTGGACAGAGTTTGCCGTTCACGATGACTTCGAGAACACTGAAGAATAACCCAGACCCGTCCATCTGCAGATGGATAGTCACCACATCACCAGCTCTCATCCGACAGGCTGTCTCTCGAACTAGACACCCACGATCCCAGTGCTTCCCCGTGCTGCTGAAGCCTGTAGAATCGCGGCACCTGTCGCCCGTCATATCATTGACCACCCCAGGGTACTTCACTCGACACAAGCAGTTGTCGTCGTCACACTCGGTCAATCCCAGACTCAGAATCCTCTCCAACTCGATGATACGCATTGTGATCTTCTTGCATCCAAAGTGCCTTTGACCATCACCAAGAACGATCTCGAGTCCCCTCCAAGGAGGCACCATGCCCCGACGGTATTCCGGCTTGGAGGACACCTTCCAGTGCCTTCCATGACGTAGAACTTCAACCCCATCGTCCGCTCGATACACAGCAATCTCATCCATACACAAGTCCGTAGCATCGTCCATACTGAGAGGGATGGGAGTCGACTGTGCACCGCGCCTCTTTTCTTCCTCTTCCTCTGCTGCTTTCGCGCGGATTGACCAATTTGGTTGTATTTTCCATTCGGAGTGGTTTGGTTCTTGAACAGACCCAGTCTGTTGTGGTACCCGTACAGGAGGCTGCTGACCAGACCCAGTCTGCTGTGCAGGAGGCTGCTGACCAGACCCACTCTGCTGTGGTACCAATACATGAGGTTCTTGACCAGACCCAGTCTGTTGTGGTACCCGTACATGAGGTTCTTGACCAGACCCAGTCTGCTGTGGTACTCGTACAGGAGGTTCTTGACCAGACCCAGTCTGTTGTGGTACCCGTACAGGAGGCTGCTGACCAGACCCAGTCTGTTGTGGTACCCGTACAGGAGGCTGCTGATCAGACCCAGTCTGCTGTGGTACCAATACATGAGGTTCTTGATCAGACCCAGCCTGCTGTGGTACCAATACATGAGGTTCTTGACCAGACCCAGTCTGCTGTGGTACTCGTACATGAGGTTCTTGACCAGACCCAGTCTGTTGTGGTACCCGTACATGAGGTTCTTGACCAGACCCAGTCTGCTGTGGTACTCGTACAGGAGGCTGCTGACCAGACCCAGTCTGTTGTGGTACCCGTACAGGAGGCTGCTGACCAGACCCAGTCTGTTGTGGTACCCGTACAGGAGGCTGCTGACCAGACCCAGTCTGTTGTGGTACCCGTACAGGAGGCTGCTGACCAGACCCAGTCTGTTGTGGTACCCGTACGGGAGGCTGCTGACCAGACCCAGTCTGTTGTGGTACCCGTACAGGAGGCTGCTGAACACTGCAGAGCTCTCGTACAGGAGGTTTAGTCCCATCAACAGGCCTCCTCTGTCTTAATGACAACTTGCCTCCAAGTTCTTCTACCGTAAACCTCCTCGCTACAAAGCGGCACGGTAGCACATCGGTAGTTGCGAGCAGTATAGGGTCCTCATCATAGGGAGCGTCGCTCACTCTTAGATACCCCGACTTACCACCCGTATCAACTCGCAGGAAGAAGGCACCAGAATCGCATGCCACCAACCTACCATCAGTCTTGATCAAATCGAGGGAGACACCAGCCCCTGAGGGCAACTCTGTGGCCTCTCTACTGCACCCCAGCTGAGGAGATGGGTAAAGAAGGGCCGATCGCCGTACCTGAAGTCAAGAAGAAGGCTCGAAGAAAATGCTGATTAACGCGAATCATCCTACTTTGAGTGACACCGTTCCCGCCGAGCCCTGGGGCCGATGGGTGCTCTCATATTCTTGCTTCAACCAAGAGAGGTTTTTCCCTCCTGCTTTGGTCAGCTCCAACGAGCGAAAGTTTTCTCGAACATAACGTACCCATCGAGACCGCAAGTCCTGAAGGAAGCTCGATCGATATACCTCAACACACCAACACCCACGTAGTTGTCCAGTACAGTTAACATGTTGGGGTCTTCTCGTATGCTGATAACAGCAGGGTCCTCGAGGACCTTTATCCATTCAGACGAGGTAGGGTCCCCAAGGGCCACCCCAAACACAGCATGGCTGAAGAACTCAGCGAGCATGTCTCTGATGGTAGCATTGAAATTGCCGGTGAAATACCACCCGTCCATCTCGGTCAACTGCCATCCCTCTCCCTTCAGCACGCCAAGGGCCTCATCAAACGCCTTCAACACTGCTCTTTGGCTCTGCCTCATCCAATGTACCTCTCCCTTCGTGTCGTACCTCCTCAGTGTATTCTCAGTCAGCAACAACTTGTCACCATTCCCACAATGCAGGTAGAAATGGTAGTGATGGTTGACCTCATGCCGGCTTGCCGTCGCCTTCACTATACCTCCAAAAGCTAGCAGCTCCTCACACCAGCGGTGATTCGCCACATACACCCTCCAATCGAACTTGTAACCACGACCGAGGCTTATTGCGAATGGGAGTGTCACCTCTGCCGCTGCCTCGGATGAGTACTCCCTTACTTGTCTCTTAGCCTTACGGCACATCCACCACTCGGGAACTGAGTCAGGGTCTGTTGTTATGAACTCATTGACGTTATCCTTGCTCAGGGTCACTGACATTTACCTGGAATTTCATCTAACAGTAGGAGCAAGCACTCAAGGAGGCGGGATCCCACCGAACGCAGTGCCCGTTTACCGGAGTTTCTTTTAGATAAGGCTCTACTGATGGTCAGTATAGCTATGCATAAAAGCAGCCGATAAGGAAGACCTAAACTCCTTCCGGAGAAAGTCCGAACTAGAGCCACATCAGGTGAAACGAGTTGATCCTCCCTCCGCAAACTATCGTTAACGTACCAGAACGACGCCTTAACTTCCTCTGGCAAGTCCATGGGGTACCCTGTAATGCCCGTATTGAGATATCACTTCACTTGAACAACAACACAATGCCAATACCACACCATCCTGAACTAGTCTATTAAACTATGTAGTGGCTCTAAGAACAGTCTTCATCTACGAGTCGCCGGGACACCCAAGGGCTCCATAACCCCAGCCTTCCGCATCGCCCAAGGGACGAAGCGGACAGACACCAGAAAGACTGAGGCAATCCTAACAGAAGAAAAGGACAATACTACTCCCGTCCTATATTCACATTAGAGAAACCGCAAAAGTCTCGACGGACATTTTCTGGGGCGCGCCGTCGACGATCAATGACCAACTTCCACCGCCTAAAAGCTCCTTACTGAATTTTGTAGATCAACTCCTGTTTGGCGTAGTTCTCAGGTTTGGGAAGACCACCAGCACCAGCAGCAGCAGCTCCGCTTCGCTTCAGATTCCACATGTTGATACGACTGATGACAAACTGCAACAGAAAATACCCACGTTATACCCCTCGTAGAACTCGACATAGTTGATCAAATTCGTCAGAAATTAACATGCGTGTGTGAACAGCAACAGCTTGAAATAAAAACAACCCCACATTGACAACGCTCCTAGCATGCGAGCTTCTGACAATACTCGTAGTAGGAAGGTCCCCGGTTCGATCCCTGCACCCCACACTTTTAGAAACTGCACTCAACAGCTTTATCAATCAAATAGTAACATGGCTGGCATGTAATAACTAATGGCTGCACTTGGGATAATTTTACAGGGTGACACACAGCATATGATAGCTTGAATCTTCCAGGGTATGAACAGTTCATCACTACTCGTCCAGGGTTGACGATACTCGTCATCGTCTACGGTAAAATAGTAAATACGTATTGTTGGTTACTATACTTGATGGCACGCTCGACAACTCGGACACATAAGCTGACACAACGCGATGGGAATAGTCGCGGCAGAAGTCTAAGCCTACAGTCGTCAAATCTCCACCATTTACCATCTCCACCACAAACATGCGCTGTGTAGTGGCCAAAATCGATGGAACTCGATCCCGAGTGCTCTATGGTGGCGTACCTTAGGCCGATTCCCGAAACAGACTAGCTGAGATGCACATACAAATCATAAGCCTCAGTGTTGATGAGGAAGCCTTCAACTGGTGCGTCCACCCGACACGTTATTTTTCGCGCCATGCCCGACGGCGACCAAGTGAAACGTAATAGACACACCACCTGAACGTCTCGTATGTAAGGAGCGTGCCATTTTCTTAAGCAAATCATGAAATCGTCTATTTCTTCCCCAACAGGGGCAGTTTCCCTCTGAAGTTGGAGCAATCGATACCCAATCATATAACGGATACTATATCAAGAGGAATAGGTTATACTCGTAACCGTTTCAAAGATATTTAGACAAGCGCGATTCTCACCGCTCTCAACCGTGCCAGTTCCTTAAGCAACTTACAACAATCACCGTAGTATGCCGAAACAAGCTCACTTGAGCGACTCTGAGAAGTCTCTCATTGTCAAGAGGCTCGCTGAAGGCAAGAGAACTCTCGATATTGCAAAGGAACTCGCCAGAGATCATCGAACGATCAAGAAGTACTTGGCGGACCCCTCCAAGGTATACTCTAGGAAGGGTGGGAAGTATAAAAAGTCGGTAACGGACCGAGAGAGGCGGAGAGTCAAACACGAAGTCAGTCGCAGTCCTTTGAGTAGTAGTAAGCAATTATTCGAGGCAGCCGGGATCGGGAATTATAGCAAAAGTACGAGATGCAGGGTGTTACGCACCATCGGGAAGGTGGTGAAGGCCAAGTCCAGGCCATCACTCACGAAAGTTCATAGAGAGAAGAGATTGAAATGGGCCAAGGATCACATGAAGGTAGACTTCTCGAAAGTCTTGTGGACGGATGAATCGCGTGCCACCTTGGACGGTCCAGATGGATGGGCTCGAGGATGGATACAGGATGGCGCTGCCCATCCAACCCGATCAAAACGCCAGCAAGGGGGTGGAGGGGTGATGATCTGGAGTGGTATCATTGCGGGAGAAGTTATAGGACCAGTGAAGGTGGAGCAGGGCGTAAAAATGAACTCTCAAGAGTGAGTTAGCATCGTAGGTCAGGTGTGGTACAGTCGTTGACTTGCAGGTACACTAAACTCCTGGACAGGAGCTTCTTTCCTTGGTACCGTAGGCTCGGAAGGGCACGAAAGCGAGATCTCATCTTCATGCAAGATAACGCTCCTTCCCACGCGAGCAGATTTACTCGAGAATACCTGGATAAGAAAGGATTGAAGGGAGATAAGCTCATGGTTTGGCCGCCAAACTCACCAGATATCAATCCGATAGAGAGATACTGGAGTATACTCAAGAAGTAAGGCCTGCTATAGCTGAGCAATCATCTCGCTATCATTTCAGGAAGCTGTACGCGAATGGCAAGCAGTTCAGTGACGTTGAATCGCTCTGGCAGGGTATACAGGCGGCTGCTCAAGAAATCTCATCTGCTGAAGTCTCGGCCTTGACAAAATCTGTGGATGACCGACTAGCACGCTTGCTGGCATGCAAAGGGGGTCACATATCATCATGAATCATCATGTTTCTTATCTATTTTGTCGAATAAACTGTCATTGGTCGAGTTGCTTAAGGAACTGGCACGGTTGAGAGCGGTGAGAATCGCGCTTGTCTGAATATCTTGAAAACGGTTATGAGTATCACCTATTCCTCTTGATATAGTATCCGTTATGTGATTGGGTATCGATTGGTTCAATTTCAGAGGGAAACTGTCCCTGTCGGAGAAGGAATCGAAAATTTCATGATTTGCTTAAGAAAATGGCACGCTCCTTAGACAGCAATCGTGCGTGGTCATACCAAAACTGTCGGAAGTTCCTCTAGATCCATCCGTTTCCGAGCATCAACCCGCTGCTTGCACTCATCACACGTCCATTGCTCATCTCCTGGTGACACACACTCCGTGTCACCACTACCTCTTCCTTTACCCACCATTGAGTAACTCTTCCTTCCTAAACTGTTTCAAACAGTCGTCCAAAGACAACGAGCCTCCCTCTGAGCCACTGAGAGGCAGTGACAGGACATAGAAGAGGTCCCTAAGGGACAAGGACACCTCCTAGGGCAGTGAATAGGCAACAACAACAGCCACTACTTCGTTTGACTCTCGTAACCGCAGGAGTTGCAATGTACGGTGGAAAGGTAGACCCCCCGAAACGTATTAGAGACGACACTCTGCACACTATCAGTGGACGCCGATGACGGAGAAGATCTGACAGAAATGCACCAGAGTAGAATCGAACCTGCGTCCTAGGCAGCAATACTCTGCCTTATCCCTCTTCAATAGCCTCAATAAGGAGCCCCTAGAGGCCTTGCCCTCAGGCACCTTATCCACATTACCACCACCCATCTCCGTATTCATAGCATCTAGTATGTCACTAAGGAACTCCTGCGCATCTTGTTGCTTGCTGCCAGCCCAATGCTTGTTACGTCTAAGCCAAGACACGTGAACTCCCTTCCTCTCCATGTGGCTTTCGATAGCCTCACTTTCCCATCAGCTTCTTGAATGCCCTCGGCTCCAATGCTAGTCCATTACCACCTGCACACTACCCGTCATGTGACGCCTCTATTTTTTCTATCTCTATTTCAAATGCTCGCTTTGTGCCCACCTCCATCACCATAGGCGTTCTGAATGAGGCTTCGAAAAGCTGAGCATATTTCGCCACCACAACCGTCACTCGCCACAAAATTATCATACCTAATCAGCAGAGACTTTCCTCCAACGCCTAGCCCAGGAGACATACAGCTCAGTCGTGTGCAGCAAACACTGCAGGACAGCATTCATATAACAGGTGTTGCCGAGATTCCTGATGCCCACCAGGCCTCCCTCAGGGACGAAACGGAGGGATGGTGACACGCTGGCGGCCTCAACCGACACACTCCCATCCGAGGCGCCTGAGACATCATGGCAAAGCCGACACTCCTACCAGTAGTGAGAAAAAATAATATGCACATGATCAACTACATGTGTTGGTGACAATACGAGAATTCTGAGAAAATTTTGGGAAATTCTTATCGGTTTCTGTTGGTTTCTCTACCCCGAGCAGTGTGTAAACTCCCATAATTAGTGAGGAAATTCCTGAACTCAGCGAGCGTATATTCCTCCAACTGCGACTACCTTCCAGTGTCGTCTCCTCAGAGACAACAGGTGCCGCTGCTGGTGCCTACAAGCCCAGTTGTGGTACGACCAAGCGAAGGATGGCTTACACATGGAATAACTCCATCCTTGCCATCACTCGGACCTGGCACAGGACGTTTTAACAATGTGCTGGACGCTTCTTCTGATAGAAAAAGAGTAAAATGCATTACTTCAACTACACTCTACTACCCTGTAGACCAGTGATCTTCTGACTAGTACTTAGATAACTCCCATCACTAGTGGAGTAGCTGCCTATAGAACTTCCGATGGAAGACGACTGCAGTCTGAACAGGACCATTCCCACAGGGGGCCCACACACGGTAGTCAACCCACCCCCGACGATATCTCCGATCAAGGGCCGCTGAAGGAAAGCCCTTATCTGGTCGGCCCCCAGCCATGCGAGTGCTGATGGAACGAAGTTGTGGCGCGAGGGGTCGGTACTGGGAGGCCCCTCCATCGCTCGACGATGCCGTAGCACTGAAACCTAACACGAGGTTATATAGTGTATATAACTCGGCCCTTTATTCACCTTTAGAGCTGCTAAGGCCTGCTGCTCGGTTCTGCAAGATGGAGCCGCCTCGGACGGGCACGGAATCGGTACGAGCGCCTAAGGGAGGGGGTGCCGGTGTACCTAAATCGACCTCGAAAATATCTTTTCCTGAAATGAGCAGTACTCTTGATATGTAGAGGAGTCGAAGATGAATTTGTCGATACTGGCATACAAAAACTGCAAGTTGGGTGACGGTGATACATTAATGATGAAAATGCCAAACATGTCAGTCTCTGCCGGCGGAGCGAAGCTGCCGTAGCCGACTTCTTGTGCAGCGCACCCAAGCTTCTGTGAAGATATCTTCCCCCCTGGTTACCCCTACGTTTGGGTAGTCCACTGTAACCTGTCATCGTCGTAATGGAGACCAGTGGCTTCCACTCAAGAACTCCTCACACGTCTTCATCCTCTAGAACCACTCAGAGCTCCTCTTATTACTACTACCACTCTCCGGTGAAGTTCTCTTCAATTCCCCCAATGCCTGGCAGTCCTGAAGGTGGATTATCAGGCAGTGGAGGGCACTACAGTGAAAACGGTGGCGGCTCTGAATGTGACAGGCAAACCTCTAGGCCCAGCAGTGACTGCCAGTCGGGATCGCGATCTGCGCACTATGAAGATTTTGGATACCACCCACCCTCCACTAGCCGCTATTACTATGATGAAGTATCGCGTCACCCACCGCAAGTTGGCCAAGGATACCACTACTACGACACCCCCCGAGGGGACTCCTACGACCAAGGACGCCAATCACAACGACGCCCTATGGGTTACCCCACTTATACGGCTCCTCCTAACAACTACGATGGTCGGGAGAAGGATGGTATCGATGAGATAGAAAGAGCTGCTGAACAGCGCATGCAGGAGGCGGCCACGATGATTGTTCCTCTTCATAGACCCCAGTACCGCTTCCCGAGCAACTCTCCTATGCTTAAAATGTTCCGAGTATATCTCGAGAAACAACTCAACGATACCAAGCTCGGTGCCGTCTTGACAGAAGTATCCCTACCTGCCGCAGCCGAAGACGAATATGGCGCTGGTCTCCGTGTGAAAACCGTCTTGGAAGCAGCTGAGATCGGCGAAACTGGACTAGTAAGACCTCTTCATTAGGATCACCTCTAAACGCTATAGCCGGCGTGAGAAAATATGCACATGGTCAACTACATGTGGAGGTGACGCGTGTGAAAATTCTGAGGAACATTAGTGAAATTTCATTGGTTTCTGTACATTTCTATCCAAATTTGTATGTAAACTTCTATAATTAGTGAGGGAAGCGAACATATATCCCTCCACCACTGGTCATAGCTGTCGTTCAGCTGGCACGGTGGAATGAGAAAGCTCGTCCTCTCGATCGCGACGTGAGAGTTGGCGATGTTATCGTATCTGTTCTGGACGGCTCGGCAGTGGAATCGTTGGGCCCGGAGGCATCTAGTCGAAAATTAATGGATAAGTTGAAAGTAGGTTCCCGTGAGTCTCCGGTGAGGTTCATTTTGTTCGTCTCAGAAAAGTGTTAAATTCAATTCTCTCATAATTTTGGACGTATTACGCGAAGCACCACCACTGGAGGTGAGTCAGGATTTGAGAGAGGAGTGGTATGAAGCATTTAATCTTAGGTTTGCGATTGGCCACAGACTCAGCAGACTATAATAGCCTGTTTGGAGAGGATGGAGAAGAATTTTATCGAGAGGAAAGATCAGGCGATGACCTGGTTTGTTGGAGACGTCGCGCCTATTATACTCTCACCTTCCAGTCACTTATGGTAAGCACACCTGTGAGGTCGAAACGTTAGTATTATGATAACACTAGTAATACAGCATTAGTGACACGTATTCGATTAGTAACCGTCTTAGTAATACTTACACCAACTTGGTGTCACCAAGTACAAATGAGTCTATAGTATAACACTAGTAATACCAGTACTAAGTACAGACGCATCGATATAACAACACTACTAATATTCACACCGATAACAGATGCAACTAACCGATTACGCAAACTGCATTAATACTTAGGGCAAGTCGACCATTCGGCTCACACTTCATATGTGAGCTACAGGTCGCCTTTTTTTCATATATTCTCACGATAAAACTACCGTACCTCCGTCGGATCCTCAGGTGTCCCCTCTGTGAGTGTAAACAGCAGACTCTCACTGCGTATCTCGCCCATTTCGATTCGCCAGAGCATCTCGAGAAGCGAAGGGTGACCTCATCGAAGTTCGATAGTCGTTGGGCTAAGTAATTCCGAAGACCTTCTCCGTGTCGCATACCTCTATTTCAGGCTGCCGATTGGCATCAGCAAATACTACTGGTTTGAGTATTGCTACGGCTTTACTTCAATAGTTGATCCCTCCGAGGGCGATCCTTATTGTGAGTTCTGTGACTACTCCCCCATTGGAAGCTAGTCGGCCTTTGATTCCGCACGTTGAGTGTTTTCGTCTGTTGCAGTATAAGTACTGTTGGATTGATTTTCCGGAAGTATCATTAGTTTCTATGGGACGCTGTCTTTTCACTTTTGAGTTTTTCAAAACGAGTGACGAGAGATATCTGTTAATTTTCGATTGAAAATTTGACTGCCTTTTTCCTCCTCCCATTGTCTCTTTTCCCGTACCACGTTCACATCGGAATAAGCTCGCGAAGCCATCCAACTGGGGATAGCGAAAATTTGAGAGCCCGAAAATAGAAAACGATGCGAAGGTGAACATACACATGCTGACGTTCTACTTGCTTTTCGCTGAGCTCGTCACTCCTCATCCACATCGTGTTGACCTGTGAGGCAGCTCGAGAATGAGCCGGATCCTTCCTTGAAACTTTACAAAAGAATAACTGTGCGCTTCGCCGGCCGTCCAGGAGGTTGTCGGGGATGCCATAAATAATTGTGGTGGGATATACCGTCAATAACTAGTCTACGCTCAACCGTGGTTGCAGACCGATTTTCAATCCATCGTTAATGGGGTAATGCAATTGCAAGTATTCTCTATGACCGATCCCGCTGTGGCGAACGGGGTGAATAAGGTAAGGCCTCTTCTGCCTTTCTTATCCCGGCAGATGTTCATGCAAATCATGAGAGCAATGAGGGGAGATATTTCAACGATCCTCGAAAATGAATGTAATGGAGTCCAATGAGACGATTGTCTATGACACATCGAAACAGACACTGTCCAATGTCAATTCTCGGTGTGTATTGCGTTTGGGAATCGGACTATTATCAGACATAATTAGGTTTGATGCATTGACGCATTGTGGTGACTTGTATATGCGGTATTCTTATTAGCGAATTCTGCTACTTGAACAACTCAAACATCTCGCATTTCTTTATATACTCATCATTTGCCATCAAGAATAGGAAAAAAATCTTCTCTGTTTGCGTTGTCAAACAAAGCTTGAAAATTAGTTACATCTTTTCGGCGAGAACATAATATCTGCAAAAAAATATCGGCGTTACCGCGGCTCCCAAGCTCACGTGGGCGTGAAAATTCCTGATCTCCCTCCTTCGACGAGTCCTTCCGCTCCCTGTGCCAGCATTTTAGCGGTGTCGGAAGCGCCTTTGGGGGCAATACGGAGGAATTCGAGTAGGGTAACGAAGGCACTAACAGAGACAATAGAGTGACGCGAAGCGATGATGATGATGCATCTCCTACTTATTGAAAGCCCGGCCTAAAGTTGACATTTGCATTCCCTGTAAGGACCATGGGTCTGCGCAAAAGACCATACATCGTATTCCTCCAACTCTTGACTTGCTTACTGGCAAGGGGCTCATACCACGGGATGTCCATCACCCCATTGACCGTTCTGGCAGCCTCGCACATATCATAATCTTCAATAACTTTGAAGCCTACCTTCTTCAACTGCTTCACAACATCTTCAGCCGGAATCACATTTGCGATACCTGAAATATCTCAGGCGAATTTCGCCCATTGATTTATCCCCACCATTCCCTCTTTCGATAGCTCTTTTGATCTTCTTGTGCCGAAGATCTTTCGGGTTGTATCTACCACGCATTCAAGCGAAAAAGCACTGTGTGAAGAGACGCCCACTTGTCGGTCATCGCCCACTCGTAAGTGAGCAATTTTCCTCCTTTCTTGAGGGCTTTGAAAGCCTCAGTGAATGTCGGTACACGATCGGGAGTGTGCACGGCGGATTCACAGTAATATCTGATAGGAGTTTGTTGGAGTCAGCTCGTCTCGAGCACAGCGGAGCGAAGTGTTCCACAATGTGAATCAGAGATGCTCCCACATGGTAGAGAGATGTCAACTGCCTTACACGGCATCGAGGCTTCCTGGTTCGAACACCTTAGGCACGATATCAGTGAAGTCACCCTGGGCATAACGGCATCGATCCTTCATCCATTGGGAAAGAGCATGAGTGTGGCGTTTGGCTCGCTCGACCTAAATTGCGAATTAGATGACTAGAGTGGGAGAAAAGACGGGTTATAATAACAATGCCTCACCTGGTACTGATTGATGGTCACGCCAGTCACCGAAGCGCCACAGAACCTACGATTAGAAACCATACAACTCGACGTAATAACTCAGCAGCATTTTCTCCATGTGTTGCGAAGTAGCGTTAACGCGAATAGCAGTAGATAGGCCAGTCGATTGGACATGCGCGTACCCAACAACAGATCTCAGTGGTCCTCCAACTCCCATGCCTAAATCCCCGACCTTCGAGCCATCCTTCAATCCCAACTTCAAGGCAATCAAATGCCTGGAAGATAACCAGTCGTTACTCTCGAATCAAGGTATACTGATCTTACTCAAGTCTGGCGATGGAGGCCTCTCGCGTTTCCAATTTTCTTCTTGGCGCGAAATGGAAACTCTGGCCCCAACCGTACTCGTAGAAATCGGTGGCGATTCTGTAGTATCTGTCGTGTGATGCATTCGAGACGATGAGGGAAGGAGCCCATTACTCGTCGGTACAGGCCTTGTCGTCATGGGAGAGAGTTGTCGATTCGGACTTCCCCTTGAACTTGGAATCATAGGATTCAAAGATGTGCTTCCTGTCGTTACCTAAACTGGATGATTATCAATCAGACTTGTTGAAGAGTGAGTGAAGACTGTTACTGATGATGGCCATGATGCTGTCGCTGCCTCGGATTAAAGGGCCGATGAAAATGGCAGCGACTGCGACGAAAATTGCACCAACGAGCCACAGATGAAAATATTCGAGAGAGAACATATTCGAAGATACAAGACACTGCAGACGACCAACGGGAGGTCAGCGAAACCAGTACTTAGCCACCACACGAGGAGGCGCGGATAGCTGTCAATAGACCTCTCCTGAGGGGTGTATCCCAAGCCGTACAGTTCAAATTCGGCACTTTTCAACTCGGGCAATCGGTGAATGCGTTTCACGATTTTCGGGCAGTTCAATTCCGGACAGTTGAAACTGGGGCAGAAACCGGCGACGAAGCCGTACCAATCCGGACAGTGGAAACTGGTGCATTGGATTCCTCGCTCACCCTTCGGGCAGTGCCAACTGAGGCAGTGCTAAGCGATCCACTCGGCCAACTCAAGGACTGGGTATAGTTAAATGAAACTTCACAAGTATCATCACGATATCATTCAATTATCGATATCACGGTATCACACAACTGTGTGCTCTCGTCAACAAAAAGACTTCACACGTTAGTCATTTATTCAATGCTCAGTCATAGATATCGTTCACGGTGATGAACACTTCATCAGAGGATAGGGTGGAAGCTTGTTGATTCTCAGGCTGAGCTACCTTACCAGGGGACTTGCTCCTTTCAAGAGTAGCGCTACAGCTCCGGAGATACTGTATATATTTCTCATCCACTAATCTGATGGGCGTCGCAGACCAACACTTGCCGCCGTACTCCGGGAACGTCGCAGCATATGCTTCTCTCCAAGGTACCTTCAGTGTTCTTTCTATTGGTAGTGACTTTACGAGAGCATCGCCCTGCTCTATTCTGGAGAACATCCTGGCGAACTCGTCGAACTCGTCCACTATGTTAGTAAAATATAATAGAAAGTAGGAGTCGAAGTAACACACAGAGAATTTTATATGTGGTGGAATGCCTCGCAAAGGTTACAGAGATTACGATAGAGAGCTGCTGCCCAGTGGTACAAGCAAAGACTTGTGATGGTCTGTGGCATTAGAGCTTGTATGGCTCGAAGCATGCCACTTTCGAAATCAAGAATCACGTGTTCAATGTTGAGACCATCACCGAAGAGATCGCGGCATTTCTCATCAAGTAAATACAAAAAATCCACATAAATGTTCTTAGTTTTCGCTTGTAAAAACACAGAATAACGGGCGAACCATAATTACTCGTCTTCACATGAATCCCATACAATTGGCGGAACAAACTGGAGGAACATTTGAAGGTGCCATCACAGTAGATTTTGACTCCACCCAAAGTGAAGTTTCAGGTTCTCACGAGTGCTGAGACAAATGAATCTATATCCCCGGAAGAGTGTCGAACAGTAGTACTAGTGACAAGGGCTTAAGCGCCATGTAACGGTCGAAGAAGTTGATCAGGAACAAGACAAGAACAGAGTATAGAGTTTAGTATGCCTTTTTGGCGTAATGGTCAGACATGCTGATAAACATCTAGGAGGTCGTGAGTTCGATCCCATTGGCGACCCCCAATGGGAGTCGGCAATTCCGAGGGCGCGCGGAGCGCGCGCGATTTTTTTCACTATAGTTTCGCGAATGATTCGCGAAACTACAGTGAAAAAAATCGGGTGGATGGGTTAACACTGCATGAGTTTGCACTGTATGGGATTAAAGTGCACGAGAGTTTTACGTTACATTGTACGACTTTGGAATTGTCTGAAAAAACTCGCCTAATAGTGTCTGGGATTATATTGCCCGAAAGACGGTGTCCGAGCCGGGAATTGTACGAAAAAAAAGTGCCCGAGTTGAAAAGTGCCGAATTTGAACTGTACGGCTTGGGATACTACCCTCCTGAGCCTCGCGAGTGCTCCCAGGATGGATTACACATGTAAAACTCGATCCTAGGAGTGCTCTTGGGAATCAGGAGAGGTCCGTTGAACACCTCTTGTAACTTGCATTGAAGAGCTCTGACAGAGTGGAAGTGTAGAACATATCGATCGGATATGCTCTAGATCTATCGACGATGAAACGAATTTTAACTGTGCGCTAATAGTCAGAATGCGGGGGGGCCGCATGCCCCTTGCTGATTCAAGCGGTGAAGCAGAGAAGTTGCTCAGTATGTAAATCGACTCCGTTCGGCCATCGACAGCTACGTTTTCGTGGTTGTCCGCCTGTGCGGCCCTGCCTGTGCAGCCCTGCCTGTGCCGAATAGACAGTATAAGGCGAGCGCGAGAGCCTTATTCGTAGATAACGTGTGCATGGATCAAACGATCGATTACATTCAGAGTCTTTCGGGGGATTCTTTCGAGGATTACTGTTAGCACCCCTGCCGACCTTGTTGACCGCGGCTAAGTATTAGGCCTGACCCTAGGCCTCGACCGGTAGGTTATCGCAGCCACCAGAACAATCGCGTGCTTAACGGAGTTCGAACAGCACCTTCTAACCGAAATTGCAGTGTACTAGAGTCTCTACTGTGCTGACAGCACTGGAGACACCATGCACACACGCGCATTTCAAGGCGTGTACTCGCTTGTGTGGACCAATCAGGTGGTCGATTGATAATACTATAGACAGTTGATGCTAACGACTCTGGCAGACAATCCCATAAGTAGATACAGAAATTAGATAACACTTCAGCTGGGGTCAACAAGGTTGGCAGGAGTGTCAACAGTAATCAATCGTTTACCGCACGCACACATGAGCCACACCTAGGACAACGAAGTTAGGTGAGGCTGGTTGAACGGAATCAATTTACATATAGCGAACGATCAATATGAAGCAGACTGACCAACAGGAGCGGCTCGTATATCCTCCTATCACAGCATCACACTACGCATGCAGTCTATGTCTCCGTCGAGCATCCAATCGGCTGGAGAACTGCTACTCCCATGCAATGACGGCCAACAATCCATTCCCCAACTTGGCGTATCGTTACATCAAGTATGGGGTCCGACTTCGACCATGAGTGAACTGTCGATTGAGTCACACTTCGTTGGTCGGAGTGCGACTCAATAGATAGTTCACTCTGTGGCCCTCCTCGACTCGATGACGAGTGGAGGACGCGCCCGCCCGACACTGGCCAGAAGGGCAGTCACCACATCGAATTCCCCACCAACTAAAACGCAAAAGGAATTAGAGAAATCAGCAGCAATATCATAGTCTCGGCCCGTTTGCGAATCTACGGACTTTAGGCTGCGCCAGGAAGGCCTCCACATCCCGCCAGAAGGCTGCCTGACCAGAGATGAGAACTCCAATCTACGACTGCTCATAACAATGAATCTCACCTGAACTGCAGCATCCGTATGCCGTTGGTTTTTCTTCAGCTTCAACGTTTTCACGTTCCACGTTCCTCCAACCGTCTGGGGATCAGCAACATCGTCTTCGTATCTACCCCCCAACCATATGCATCAGCTCGATGATAGCACAGCTGACCTTATGCTCACTCCCAGTACACTGTGGAAGAGATCAGCCTCGGACTTGAAGGGCCAATGCTTCAACTGCCACCTCTTGCCGTCGAGGATTATAGCAACGCACGACTTCCAGTCATTCCTAACTCATAAACGAGCTCTTTCCATTCATGATCAGAAGAAGTCCTTCGAAACACAATGGCAAGACTGACCTCGAATGCAAGTGGCGAGGATAGCGGGGCTTACTTTCGAAAAGTTGTGACGCTGTCGACGATTCTGAAGTCCCAAGTGAATCCTCCAACCTTCTTACTGAACGTCACCGGACCTTCAGGCCTCGCCATTTTCCCTACAAGATGATGCATCGTCCAAGAGTAGCATCTTGGAGTGTGCTTACTCGGATCGGGTTCCTGATAGACTCCTTCCTCCAAGAACTTCTTCGCATTGAGAATGTTAATACGAGAAGCACTGCTGCTGATGGACGGCACCACCTAAACCACACCAATCTCAACTCATGTTCAACGACATAGTCATGCCCCATCACTCACAATAGTTGGTTTGAACTTCTTTTGTGCGATGTCGTTGATCTCCTCAATGAGCGGCCGTGCCTTTGGTATCGACGCGTGAGGCATAGTCGACAAGTGGCTACGCGGTCGTTTCTTAGCCGGATTCTCATCGTCTTGCATCGCACCGCGCGTCCCCTTTCTCGACGCACCTGCTGCCCAGTCCAGTCCAACACTCGTAGACCACCACACCTGTCGAATTGGACTGTTGATGTTTATCCTTCATTCTCTCTGGGGCCGAGCGAGCCCGATGGCCCAGAAAGACCTCAGCCGAGGGCAGATCCTCCGTAGACATCCCAAGCTCTTCCCGACCATATCGAACAGCTAAGTCTTGTTTCACGTCCTGATGATGAGAACAAGATACCCCAGCACCTCACCGTAATCTCATCTACTCTATTAGTGAGAATGCGCCTGCCGTTACTCTGCAACTCCGCCTCGTATTTCCGCAATACAGCCAGCTTCACAGGAGTCTTCATCCATTCCGGTGTATGCCCAACCATCTCCTCTCAAGTACTACCAATTCCACCCTTCAACACTACTACACCAACAACGCAACTCTCCTATTCGAAGGGCAAACGATGGTGGTAAGTAATGCTATCAATGTGTTACACTCCATGGAGGAATAGCTACTAAATTGCGGTCACACACATTCAAAAAACTATCCACAAAATAGTGTAAGTAGCAAATGTACAGTAGTAGGACCAAGTTTTACATAGAGTTGTAGATACGTGAAGGCGGAGCCTGTCAGTACCCCAACATGAATCGTTCGAGCTCAGCCTGCCCACGAGCTGCAGCCCGCTTCTCTCTATCAGACTTTTGGTCACTTCTATCGACGACTTTCCGATGATGACCAATTTTGCTACCAACAGATTTACAAGGGTTGCCCGCAGCGAGGAATGCAAGGCATCCAGAAGTCTGCTCCGACGATTGGTGACAACGCACTGGTTTACTACTCTCTGTTTCAGCTGCTTGCTGCTGCTCTCGGTGCTCTTCCTCAGAGTCCGCAGTGTCACTATGGACTTTCGGTTGCGGCCAGACTCGTCGACAGACCTTCAAAATGATGAACGTGAGAAGTGTAGTGAGAATCGGACGGAGCCATTCGCTCTCGAGTAGCAGCAAGGCGCCCACCATAGGAAAAGACAAACTGGAGAAGCGTCGATCAACTGCAACTCTCGGAATGCCATTACAGCCGATGAGAACACAACACGCGACGAGGATGACCATGGATGGTAACATGGAAAATCAGCGCCAGTAGCAAAAACAGTTGAGCTGAAAATTTAAGGTGTCTGTGGAGGTATAAGTGCTGCGTGTCTAATCTGCGATCAGAATACGTCACGCGCCACGAAATACCCAACGCTGATACACTACCCCCGCAGGTGAGCCAATGACCTCCACCGCTACTACATAGTCCTCCTCCTTACTTTTCCTCACCTTTCCTCAGCTGCAAAGCATCATAGAGACTACCAGGCCACGACCAGATCCAACGACCTGAATCCAAAAATTAGTAGTGCCATACCGTTACATCTGATGGCGACACGTTGCTGCCGCAGCAATGCTGTGGCACCAGGACTCTCCACCGGAGTGGGGTTGGTTAGCTCGCTGTCCTCTTGCCGCATGGTAGCTGATATGCGTTGTTGCGAACTTGTTGAGGTGTCAGAACATCGCTTCTCCAGCCGGTAGTGGTATGTATAAGTGAGCGAATTAATACCTTTCTCTTCGCGATTCTCCTCAACTACCCTATTAAACATCAATCACTGAGCGCAGGTCGGAAACCGCTCACACTCGATACAAAAACACACCTACAGGGGACGACCGAGATGCTAATAAGCTCGAAACTAAACCCTTCCACTGGGGTGTTGTAAACCAGTACTACTCAGCACTCCAGTAGACCCCGCGATCTTCCCGGTCCAGAGACGTGAATAAGGCCTCACTACAGCACGCGGTTTGACAGCTACCCGACAGCTCAATAAGGCCTCATTATACCCCGTTTTTGATATAACGGGAGCACCCCATCGAGGGTGCCGTTGTATAATCCGATATTACCTTTGACAAGTAGCAGTGCCGTCCAGAGGGCCAGGGAGCATCGATACAGAAGGACGAGACTCGATGAGAAGCTGATAGGTCCTTTCCAACGTGAGGATGGTTAGCTGAAGCTTCACCAGAAGGTAGTGCATGCTGATGGCCTGAAAAAACGTCGGATACAACAAGAGCAGTAATATGGTACATCGTATTTCCATATTACTTCGCTCCGCCATCGAGACGAGGCGCGTTTGCCATTTTCGTTCGAGCAATACTGTATGTGCTTGCGTGCTTCCTGAGATCCATAACTAATGCTCCCAGGAGGACACGTTACCCTTCTCTCTCCTAAGTCTCCGTAGCTCAGCTACCTCTACTACAAGCTCATCAGTACTTGTGTTATCCAGTTCGTGGGGCTTTACTATCACATCACACTCTTCCGTTACATCCACTCAAACCTGTTATGTGTTCAACTTCAAGTGCTGCGAACAAAACCTAATTAGTGTTAATGACCAAGGTATATACACATACCCCTTCACGTCCAGAGGACAACATACTGGGCCCACTCAACACAATGAGCAAAGAAATACCTGGGCGAGCCACAGGAGATTCCTATGCTCTCTAATCCAGAGGAGTCTCTTCTGTGTGAGGGGACTGTAGAACCCAACATAGAAGTGTAGGTGACACCAGATAGGTAAAAACCGTCGAACGGAATAAAATCCTTAAGGTATCTCGAGCAACATCTGTCTCGTCTCATCTGTCGCGTCTCATGCAAATAGCGCACGTCATTCTAGGTAAGACGCGTGCACGTGACTTATGACAGGTGACGTGCAGATCACGGTTCAGATGTGCCCTTACGTAGTCTGCACCGTGGCCATCACGTTCAGCACAATACTTAGTCCAAGAGATTAGCATATGGTAAGAGGCCGTGTATAGTTCGGCAGGCATATGCTGGGCAAAAGTCGAATCAACCGGGGTAGATGCAGCAATACCATTGGAGACTAGGCGAGTGAGCACTGTACTCTGCTCAAGCAGGTAAGTCATTCGGCTCGCTACAACATGGCGTGATAACAGACCAACCAGGATATTTGTCAGAGCAGCGTCGAACTCTTGTCCATCTGTGGGGGAGAAGCGCAGGTTATCGTGAAGTAGAGGGGGAACACGTCCGGGAAGGAGAGCAGGTAGGCTGTCGTAAAGGGTACGACACTCGCGATGAGCTTGAGGTTGCCCGGGTTCTCCACCATTTTGTGAGGGGACTGTAGAACCCAACATAGAAGTGTAGGTGACACCAGATAGGTAAAAACCGTCGAACGGAATAAAATCCTTAAGGTATCTCGAGCAACATCTGTCTCGTCTCATCTGTCGCGTCTCATGCAAATAGCGCACGTCATTCTAGGTAAGACGCGTGCACGTGACTTATGACAGGTGACGTGCAGATCACGGTTCAGATGTGCCCTTACATCTGAACTTGAATTTGACTATCTCTTCTAAGAGATAATCAAATTTAGGTTGAAGGTATACGTAACGTATCGAGGAGAAGACGAAGGAGCGGTATGAGAGTCACCCAATCCGGAACCAGGAACGCCGGTCGGCTCCTACTGATACGGCCTCTTCAGCTGCCTCTACTTTGTTACAACGCAAAACGTGGCGTAAAACCCTTCAAGTACGTCACAAAAACTACGCTATACTATCAATCATGTTTACGTCTGCTTTAATGAACGGAACTACTGACAGTCTGATACTATCACTCGTAATCATTCTCACTATTCGATCGCGTGTTATTGTCCGCCGTCGAGGAGAAGTCAATACCGTCTCTTCTCGTGGGGACATCCCGAGCCTTTCTGAGGCGACCGTGACCTTCAGTTGATGCCTCCACCGCTCGTTCCTCGTTATCAACAGCACTCATATAATTATCCACATCGTCCTCTTCAATAGCGCCTTCCCCCTCGACAGAAGCTGTAGTAGCTTCTGTAGCACCATCGCTGTCATCATCAAATTCATCGAGATCGGAGACCACGAAGGAGTCCAGAGAATCCGTATCGCCTTCTTCCTCACGTCGTTGAATCCATTTCTCTACGGCCTAACAAACCCATAAACCAGTGTTGGAAGAATATATACTAACTTTTCTCATTTAAGTTCCGGAGTTTCCTCACTAACTATACAAGTTTACACACGAATTTCGGGTAGAAGTGTACACGGACCAACGAAAATTTCCCAAAATTTCCTCATTATTTCTATATCGTCACCAACACATGTACACCTTTTCCCGTGCAAGTTTGACAAGTGAGCAGACAAGAATGACAATGTTACAAGCAAGTTTGACTTTGAGAATTCGAGTTTGTCACAATCTACATTTGCTACAATCAAGATTGACAATGAGAATCCAAGTTTGTCACTTGTCTATTTTGTGACACATGTAGTTGAGCATGTGCATATTTTCCCACACTGGCCACGACAAAACACCTCACAAAATGTCAACAAATTACTTCACTCGCTTCCGGGAAAACGCCACAAATTGTCTTGCGCACATCCTCCTCTTGCTGAGACGACAGTCGTACTATATCATCAAAAAACATGGTCTCCATAATTGCATCTGCGGCGTACATGCGCAAAACGAATTCAAGATGCCCTCACTCACCCCAACATGCATTGGACTCAGCTACTTCCGAAGGGTGATACATTCGTCTCACCATCGCCACAGTTTGATCAACATCATCACAAACATTTTCAACTAGCTCCAACACGAGTCTTCTAGTCTGCTCTTCCGACAAGTTATATGGTTCCCTTCGTAGTGTGTAGAGAGAGGCTTTCTCCACGCTTATCACGCCACAACCAACCAAGTCAGGAAATATTTCCACAAAGTCACCGTCAAAACTAGGATCTTGCATTCCGCGAAAAATGAACTGCATTTTCTGTCGATTTGTGATGCTTTTTCCAAGTCCCTCGTAAAATTCAAGTGACCGTAAGTGACCATAGAGGACCAACTCGTGACTAACAGCATGGAGTAGTTCACGCCCAACATGTGGCTTTCGACCGCGTAACTCTGATATAAGCGCCTGTATCAACGCGCCTGTAGAACCTCACTGACGTCCCACACGAGTATCTGTTTCTACCTAAATGATGGCTACCCGGAGGACTTGCTGCCAATGAAGTACTATCAGCATCAACAGTGTCGTCGACTTCTGAGGTGAATAAGCAGTGAGTATCGAGCTAAAGGTGGTATCAAATATTATGCACTCGTATCATGCATGCTGAATATCGCTACGCCGGTGGTAACACACAGATATAAACCGAGGTATACCTCAATATAATATTAATACTTTCAGGCTAGGTGGACATAATCGTGCGTGAAAAAATCACATTTTCAAACTTCTTTCACAAATTCTCACACGTTGCTTCCCACCTATTAATTCTAAACGCCTCTCAACACTCCAATTCTACTTTTTTGAATGCCCCCATCAAGATTAATTTCTCCATACCAACATACTACTAGAACTCTGATATCAAACTTGATATTAAATCTGTCCCTTTATATTCAGCATCACCACAAACCCGTATTGCGCACGTCATATCCATGCAACTCTCAACAACTGCGAATTCTCAAATTCATTTCGCAACACCCCTACATTCCCGCTTACTCACAGCAACAGAGGAAGCGAGCGATTCCCATATAAACGCTGGACTTATACACACATAACCAGGCGAGAAGTTACAACGCACTTTTTATAGCGACTAGATTCCCCACCTGAAAACTTAATAGCCGCCCTTTTAACTGTCCTGACAGCGAAGTCGAATTCTACTTTAACTACGTCTTCAAAACTGAGGGCAGCAGTAGAGGGCGTCATCGTTGCTGATGGTCTGCGAGTGGAAATTGACGGCGATTGAAAAAACGCAAGAGAAAATGCAGACAACTTGTAAATTATCCGAGACAGGTATTATTGGACTATAAGGGTGATAGCACAGCCGGACTGCCAAACAGAATCATCCACGGAGAAAAAGAATAGCAAGGGTCGCAGGAGTGATGATATTGGAGATATATTATTACTAGTGTAGCGCGTTATACCAAGTCCTTTGTGAACAATAACAACAACGGCAGATGATGATGATGATGATGACCCTGTAACAATAACAATGGGAAGGGTCGTGGAACGAAAACTCCACCAGAGCGAAAACTAAACAACAGGACGATGCTGAAGAGCCCAATCGACATGCCGCTACTACCACTCGACTTAGCAATACGATACAATTATACTAGCACAGCAACAGACATTGTGGAGCGACGGCAACCATGAAACCGGTGATGCTGCCGAACATAATAACGATGACCAAGATGTTGCTTTGAATGCTGGGAATAGTGGAGCTTCACGACCACTGTTTGCTTACTGATAGTGGTACCACGGTGACTCCGTCTCACCGCGAGCACCACCTCAATACGACCAAGACCGCTACGATGATGATGATAGTATTCACCATCGTGAATTCATTCTTTCGTCACACTGGGTTGATAGAAAATGGCATCCACGGTAGTAAAAAGATCACCTTACCTCGAGTACCAACCGCTAGCACTATAGGAAAAACCGTACGAGTCTTCCCTAGTGAACAGCAATAAATATGATAATCAGAAGTTACATTAATACAATTGGTAGAAAAGGGGCTTCGACAATGTGAAAACCAGCTTGGCAACAGCGGCATTCTACATTCGACTAGTCAATGATATCATAACAACGAATCAGTTTCACTGACTGAACCCGCAAGCCCCTCGACGGGACACAAATAGGATTTCTCTAGAATTCAAATCAGTTCAGTGATCCATCTCGATCCACAAGCTAAGTGCCACTCATCCAACACGGTGAAGGGGTGACACGACTGACGTTGCCAGTGTCACCACTATTCTCCATGACCTTCCGGCCTGGCTGCACCGCAACCTCGCTTATTACAGAAAGGACGACGAGGATAGTTCAAATTGCCACACTCCAAGCACCTGATGGATCCTAACAGTAAAGCTCATCATAGTACTTACGTCCAGGATCCTTCGGGTATCGCATCTCCTGCCACTACTCCATGCCGAGCATCCATACTACCAGTGAGAGGAGGAGAGAAAGGGCCAGCTGCACTGGGTATAAGCATCGGAGACTGATTGTTGCCACTGCTGCCATATACCGCGCCAAGTTGTTGTGCATACACTGGGTCAACCTACGACCCACTGTCAAGTCGATCGACCACTATTACACACTTATACTACTTCCTGTCGCGGTCGCTTGCAACGGTGACCATTGCACACAGTCCTGTGAGGGTAGTTGACGTTGTTGCATGCCGAACACACCCACATCCCAGTCACTGCAACAACTATAACCACATCATCATCATCCTATCCTACTCTGTTGCTGGTGTGCCAATAACACTCCTTCCTCCACGGTCTGCGGTAACGGCACTGTTGGAACCGCTGACATAATTCACTTTACACATACAGCCACTGACCGAAGCTCAGCTACCATTATGTTCAGAAAATCCGGCTTGTTGCTGCTGTTGTAGCTGTGCTGACTCTACCGCGCGCTGACTAAAGATGAACGAAAATACGAAAACATAATACAAAATGCGAATTGCTACTTGTAAAGCAATGCTGGACTTTGGAGGTCCATCGGCCGCGGCAAACCACACTTCCGCATATTACAAACAGAACGGTTCCGATAATTAATATTACCACAGACACATCGCCATTCTCCCAAAGGTCTCGGGGCCTAGAGTAACCTCAAAATTCCATGTACATGCGTGCAGGGATATCCTACGTGGCACTTATTCATATTGCAGAAGCGTCTGCTGGCGTAGTTGATATTGCCACATAGTTCACACTGCCAGCTACCCTCGGTCTGCCGTGCTTTCTCCGACTGAATAGTTGTACTAGGATTCAGCGTACCGAAACCACCCATATTGTGATGATACCGTTGTTGTTGATGATGATGTTCATTCCCTAAGACTAGTCAAATTATCACAACCAGTCTATGCCAACCAAAAGCCCACCTCCCACAAGGAACGCTGATGGGAGCTGATAACCGATCCCCTGTCCAGTAGCAAAAACAGCATTCATTTGCTGCCCATCCAACGCGACTCCGTACGATTCAGCTCCTCTGAACTGTTGCTGCATCTGAACGAAAATACAACCCTAAAATGCTCTGTAGTAATAATACATGACATACCATTAGAAGTTGTTGTTGATGATGAGCAATGATGATCCCCTGTTGTTCCTCTTGAGTGAGTTGGCGTTGAACCGGCTGAGGCTGCTGCTGCTGCTGCTGCTGGACCGACATCATCTCCCCTTGGGATTGCCGCCCTTCTCCGTTGCCTCGAGCATCGCTGCCGTAGTTTTGCTCAGCTTCTCGAATAGCAAGACTCCTTCCCTCAGACTTCGATCTATTGTCCTGTGGTTGCCCCAAGCCCTCCCCTGTAATCACTCCTTGTCCCGATTCCCCAGTGGCTATCGTTCGATCCATCGCTAAGGGAGTAGTCTGCCCTGTTGTTGTTGTAGTAGAGTCCCTAATAGAATCAGAACCCTCTAATAGACCCATCGACTGAGGCTGGTGATGACTTGACACTCTTTGCATACTGACGACTAAGACGACAGAAGCTGTAACCACTCACGAACGTCCGTAACCCTTCCCATTAAAATTGCACTAACGCAATACAACGTGAATGGGCCGTAAACACGCTTTTAAATATCGATCATTCTCCAGCAATTTCGTCAACCTCCAACGTAGACGAACAACAACCAAGGCTACGCTTCGGTCAGCAGCTGCAGAACTATTAGAAGCTAGGGGAAACTAAGAGCTCCACGGTCATTCAAAATGTCGTACAGTCCCCCCCAGTCATCAACTGGAAATGAAGTACAACAGTGAATTCAATACGGGTGACCGCAACTCCACGCTCTAGCTGCATAAATCGCATACGAACCGTCCTGGCTGCATTAGGTCCTAAATGGAAACAGACTCCTCTCATTGGGACCTGGAAATGGTGTTTTCGAGCGCCCTGCAGCATTGTGAATCGAGCAATTCCGGAGCGCGCATCGCTGAATGCGAATCGCTCATAACGACACAGTTTCCTTCCTCCACTGAATATCCAGGAAGAGCCACCGTCCTCAAGGGAGAGGACAACTGATAGTAGCGGAATGATCAGCATTGAGGAGGCGGAGCGAAAGTTGGACCGACTCAGACGAGAGAATCAATGCTTACAACGACAGCTGGGTATACTATTGGCAGCCAAGGCACTGACGGGGCTACAGCTTTTCGCACAGCAGAAGAGCGAAGGGGAAGACCCTAGTAGAATGATGACGTTGCTGAGCGAATTGGTGCAACAAAGAAGGCAAGCAGCCACTGAGGAAGGCGAGTTGAAAGAAGGAAATCAAAGTACTTCGGAATCTGGACCGGTTAATGGAAGCTCCAGTCGGGACAAGAGTCAACTTAGGCGCCAGGAGAGAGGTGAAAATGGTAAGAGTCATTCCAGTAGGACAAAAGAGGCCGAGAAGACGGAGCTCACAGAGGATGGGAAACGGGAAGGAGAATCCAGAGGAGTTGATGAGAGTAAAAAGCGGAGGCCGGCCAGAAGGGAGAGATCCACGCGGAGCAGGTCTGCACGAGGTGAAGACGATGATGGGAAGAGGCGCTCAACGAGGAGTCGATCCAAACGAGATGAGGACAGAAATGAAAGATCCAAAAGGAGCAGGTCCAGACGAGATGAGAACGGAGAAGGGAAGAAGTCGTCGAAGAGGTCCGAAAGAAGCAGGTCAAGACCAGATGAGGACGGGGAAGGGCAGAAGTCGTCGAAGAGGTCCGAACGGAGCAGGTCAAGACGAGCTGGGAACGGAGAAGGGAAGAAGTCGTCGAAGAGGTCCGAACGGAGCAGGTCAAGACGAGATGATGACGGGGAGGGGAAGAAGTCGTCTAAGAGGTCCGATAGGAGCAGGTCAAAACCAGATGAAGACGGGGAAGGGAAGAAGTCGTCGAAGAGGTCCGAAAGGAACAGGTCGAAAAGGTCTAAGGATGATACCAAACGGGAAACCTCGAGGGAGAAGTCTAAGGGGGACGAGTCTAAAGATTCGAGAGACAACGATAGGGAAGATACTTCGAAGAGAGGAAAGTCCAGAAGGGACCGGCCCAAAGGACTTACCGATGGTGAGAGCGGCAAACTGAGAAGGGACGAGCAAAAGAAAGATGACAAGACAGAAGTCCAGATATTGGAGAAAGAGCGCTCCGATGAGCCCAGCAAGGACAAGCCTGACAGAACTGGTAAAAAGAGAGTTGCTCACAAGGAGGGAAGTAGGAGTGCTTCCAGAAGAACACGATCTAAGGAGAGCAGACGTGCAAGGAAGGGGAGTGACGGCGAAGGCCGGAAACGGAGCCGAACGAAGGAAAGGAACAAGGAAGAGAAGGGAACCACTGGTGTTGATGATAATGATGGCCGTGGGAGGTCGACGAGGGAAGCCGAGACGACTGACAAGCCTGTGGAGTCGGGGAATGGTCACGATAATGCCCAATCCACCGACCCGACTATCACTGCGAGAATAGTCAACTTCACCACTTCACTATTGGCAAGTACTCAACCAGCAACACCGGCACCGGCTGTACCCTCTACCCCAACACCCGTGATTGCAACGACTCAAGCACAACAACAACAACAAGAGCCTCCACAAAGCACGACCAAACCACCAGAAGCCAAGCAAGCGCCTCCACCACGAGAGTTAGAGCGACACGATCTGCCCTTCATGCCAAGTCTACCACCGTTTAAACCAGGTGAGTTCGCTATATGGAGAGAATCAGAAGCCCGAAAGGCTAGGATGAGAGCAGCAGCTACTAAGAAGAGCAGGATGGGGGACTCGGACTCCGACTGATAACATGTTATTATTAACAACCATTAACCTCTTCGCGAATACTTGTGTTCAACATTGGAGTTTCACCCGTTTTACGTGAAGTGGCGTAAAACTCGGTGAAACACGCGATATTCACGGTGATATGCAGTAGTCGTAAAGAATGCTTTTCACTAGTGTTTTTCATATCACTAGGGTGAAACTCCATTATCGGATCTTGACAGTAGTTGCCGGAAGAATGCACGATGTCGTGTAAGCGTTGAGGAATCGTAAGGAGCGCAAGATTTGTAAGATTTTGATTTGTTGGTTATCACCACCGATAGTGTTTGAGCCGCCATGTCCAGAGCCATCCTGCAAGTGTTTGAGGAGTATCAGCAATCTCGAGTGACGTTCGTACAGACTGTGGCAGAATTGGCCAACAGGCCTCAGAACATAGACACCCTTCAAAACGCTGGTAAGAGGAAGATACCAATCATGCCCAACAACACAGCATTTTCCTCGCAGGTGTTATGGCCCTACTGAGGCCGCTCCTTCTGGACAACGTTGCTTCTATCCAGCAGAGTGCCGCCCTAGCCCTTGGACGTGAGCCTTTCATAACTACTGTTCAGAATGGACCTTCTCAGGTTTGGCTAACCACTCGGATGAGCTCGCTGAGTCCGTAGTTACCCACGATATACTCCCTCAACTGGTTCATGGCCTAAGCCAGCAAAACAGGTAGCAACGAAATGTCAACGTCAATGCTAAGATGATGATTAGGTTCTTCAAGAAAGCGGCAGCCTTCGTCCTGAGAGCAGTGGCTAAGCATTCTCCCCAGTTAGCTCAAGCCGTGGTGGATTCAGGTCGGAACGTTCATCATTATAGTGATCAAATCTCGCTATCTCACAGGTGCACTCGAGGCGTTGGTGGAGTGTTTGGAAGATTTCGACCCTTCAGTGAAGGAAGCCTCAGCTTGGGCTTTGGGGTGACGGCGATTTCAATGTCTATTGTGTGAGACCATGATATCAGGTACATTGCTCGTCACACCAAGGAGCTCGCCTTAGCAGTTGTTGATGCTGGGGCTGTTCCCTTATTGGTATGGTGCCTCGTGCCTTAGCTGTTCTAACATAAGATACCCTATCGTCAGGTTTTATGTTTCCAAGAGCCAGAGTTGACTTTGAAAAGGATGTCAGCGAGCGCTCTCGCAGATATCTCGAAGCACACTGCTGAGCTCGCCCAATCAGTAGTGGATGCCGGGCATACAGGGTCGACTCCTCATCATCAGGTTGTTGACGCTGGTGCGGTATCACTGATAGCTCGTGAACTGGGCCACTCTGATAGTGGGTTGAAGCGACAAGTATGCTCCTGCCTAGGACAAGTCGCCAAGCACAATGTGGATCTGGCTGAGGTATTCACCGTATGCACTCGAGTCCCTTGAAATTGAGGAACTCAGGTCGTTGTTGAGGCGGAGGTCTTCCCCAGAATACTACATTGCCTGAAGGATGCTAACGAACATGTACAAACAAGGAGTGCTGTTGAGTATTGTGTATTGCTCGTGCCAGGTTCGGAAGAATGCTGCTACGTGCATTCGTGAGATAGCTAGACATACTCCAGATCTTGCCAAAGTGAGGGATCGGATTCCCTTGGGTGAACATGATCTTACAGTTGGTTGTCAACGCTGGTGGAGTAGCGGCTATTGTTGATTACATAACAGAGGCTCGTGGGAACAACAGGTTGCCGGGCATCATGAGTCTCGGGTAGGGGCTCATATGTGTCTAGTTGCCGTCTATGCAGCTGTAGGTTCATCGCAGCATTCAGCGAGACTCTAGCTTTGGCAGTCATCGTTTCAAAGGGCATTCCTCCTCTGAAAGATGGTAAGATGAGACCTGCTTTATTGGATACTATCAGACTTGTTCTTTACTAGCACTCATCAACGAGCCCGAGGACCACCTCAAGGCAGCGAGCGCTTGGTAGTAGTGTAGTACTGTCTCGTGTACTGGGAAGTGCATGCTTAGGTCGTTGGGTCAAATCGGACGTCATGGTCCTGACCATTCTAGAGCCCTCGCTGAGGCTGATGTGCTACGACGGTGAGTGATAGCTGCTTAGGACTAGGGGGAGTGCGGCGATACATCTTCGGCAGGTTATTGGCAGTATATCTGCATGAAGACTCCTCCGAAGATCTGAAGACTAAGGCAAAACGAGCTCTCAAGAGTGTTGTTCAAAAGTGCACCCATCTGCCAGCACTCGAGCCTCTGTTACAAGTAGCTGCTTGTGTCGGTAGTGTGAAGTGCTGATGTCGGTCTCAGGAGGCACCAACGAGTATCCAGAAATATGTGGTTCATCAGTTCGCGAAGGTCTTGCCGAATGACCAGCAGGCCCGTCGAAGCTTCGTACAGTCGGGAGGGCTACAGAAGGTAGTGTTTTCGAACGCACGCAGTTACGTCTTGTTGTTTTTCCACAGATTCAGGAGATCAACGCGGAAATGGGCTCTCAGCTTAGGGACTATATTGACCAAGTGAATCAAATGTATCGATGTTGTTTGCTCTATAGAGGCTATGGTAGCCCGTTGTGCGTTGTAGGTATCCTCCTGAGATTGTGAATTACTATTCCCCCAGCTATCCAGAACAACTACTCCGCAAGTTGGAAGAGTATACTCCTGCTGCATAGTAACCAGCGTCGTCATCATCATCATGCTAAGCCACTGTGATGTACACAACGTTTGTGTTATTGCGTTTAGTCGGTTTACAATAGTATTGGACCTTTCGATTCGCCTTGGGGTTGATCGTGTGATCCAAGTTGGACGGATTTGTTATTTCTGTTGGTAGTTGTTGATATTTCACAATGGGGGCGTATCGTTCCAAGCCAGAGACCAAGAAAGAACTCGAAGACGGCTTTGATCTACGGATTGCTTATGGCAGTGCTGCTATGCAAGGTAGTAGTCAGGAGGTGGGTCTTATCTCTTACTGATGGCTTGTGCCGGAGTGATCGAGTGATTGTAGCTGTCACGTTGCTGATGAGTAGTCCTTGGCTCGGCGTTCAGGTTGGCGCTCAACGATGGAAGATGCGCATGTACAACAGCTAGGGTTCAACGGGAAAGATGATGAAGGGCTCTTTGCTATCTTCGACGGGCATGGTGGCAAAGAAGTTGCTTTATTTTGCGCTGTAATAGTCAACTGAGGGGAGGTCTTTTGTCATGATTCGCGAAACCCTGGTTCGATTCCCGGATGGTGCATTTTTTCAGCGGCATTTTCCGAAATGCTTGTCATCTCTGAAGGAGTATAAGGAAGGGGATGTGAAGGAATCGATGAGGAAGGCCTATTTGAAAATCGATGAGATGATGGAATCACCGCAGTACAGAGAAGAGCTTCTTGAACTAATGCGGTCAGCTTTCTCACGATAAGTAGTACCATACCGTGAATGGCTCAGGTTTGGAGACGGCCCATCGAGTAACGATTCTTCTGATGAGGAGACTGAGATGAGGAAGAGGACCGAACGGTTGCCGATGCACGAATTGACTCAAGCAGGCTGTAGGTTTTGGTACTGTCGCTTAGTAGGTGGTATTCGTGAGATAGGTACGGCGACTGCATGTCATATTGTGTATAACAAAGCAATCACGATAGCGAACGCTGGTGATTCTAGAGTGGTTCTTTGCCGAGGTAACTCCTTGGTTAGGTATGACTCATAAGAGCTCTTGTGTTGTAGGTGGTAAGGATGGTACTAGAGTAGTGCCCTTGACAGAAGATCACAAGCCTGATCTTGAGGAAGAGGCTGAACGTAGCACATTGATGTTTGGTTCTGGGTATTGGCGTCCATGTAGGAATACGTAACGCGGGAGGCATCGTAATGCAAGGCCGAGTGAATGGCAATCTGAACCTCACTCGAGCCATTGGAGATCTCAGGTGGCCAGTTGACTGCTAGTATCATTAGTAATGGTATCGGCTGGGTTGGTTGTGTAGTTATAAGCAAGACCACAACTTGAAACCAGAAGAGCAGATGATTACTGCCAATCCAGATGTGTCTACGATCCCCATCACGGAAGAGGATCAGTTTCTTGTAGGGTTATTCGAACTTGTGTGGATTACTGGTATTCACTTGAAGGTACTGGGCTGTGATGGTATATGGGAGATCCTTGATACAGAGGGTGTTGTGAATTATGTAAGTCTTGGGTGACCGCGTGTGTCGCAGCATTGTGTGTTGGTAGGTCCGACCGTTGGTCCGAAGAGCTAGGCTTCTTCGAAAGGAAGGCCATGTTGATGATGAGGATGCTAAATTGAGCATAGTAGCGAAACCTTAGCCACAATTCATATCGATCGCGAAATGAGCGATCCAGAGCGATCGAAGTTTGCCTAGGTTACCTCCCAGCTGTTGGATGCAGTATTAAGCCCGAATGTATCAAACAGTTACGGTCTGGGTTGTGATAACATGAGCTGTGTAAGTGTTCTTCCCGGGATTTGAACCTGCGCGCGTCGAAGAGCTTCTGGTGCTGCAGATTATCGTCGATCTACGCCCTACTGATCCGGATTCCCTTCCTGATACTCCGTTGCCCGAACCTGGCCCCGCGATGGAAACAGTTTATGAGGAGCCGGGAAGTAGCCTTGACGATCTCCCAGATGAGGAGACTCGCGAGAGCTATCATCCAGTAAGTCGCCCTTGAGGACTCAAACAGATATTCTTTTTCATTTCTAGAGTGATTGCATGAGTAAAGAAGAGTTAAGCGAAGCGAAGGCGGTAAGATGCGATTCTGTTGAAGGACGATGTCATTGGTAAATTAATCAGGTTGCTGATGTTATCTCGAAGACTTCATCATAGTCGTGTTCGAGGAACTCGACTGCGATCGAATATCTATTAGCAACATATTGACTGGATCGTTTGTAACGTTGCCTATACTCTTCCTTGTTATTGACACCAATTCTCAAGTGACTGATATCAGTATCATAGTTGATACCAAACTGGTATCACCATCATCATCATTGAGATTGATCCGTAATTCCTGATAGTGGCTCAGCTTCCCGTTGTTCATTGCCATTATATCAACACCAGGCTGAGTGGACTTATGATATCGAGTGATGACCTCAGTTTTCCCACTTCTTTCACGCATACTTCCACTGTCTATGCATTGATTTAGAAGGCTGTGGCTGACGAGTGCTATGCCAACAGCATGTCTCTCATCGGTCACGTAGTTGACGTACTTCTGCGATTACTATGGGTATCACTTTTGTATGATAGTCTTACACCCACGCTCCGATCATAGGAGGAAATTAACTCTTTGTCTTACTGAGCTCAGTATTAAGGTTGATGGTATGATTGATGAGTTGTGGATCACGCAAGGAGGAAGTGAAGTGAAAGCTGATATACTCATTGTCTGTGTGAACAATAGAAACATTTCAATCTCCAGTGCAGCTTCTGTAATCTGAATGACACTTGAGTTTAACAAAGTTTCTTGAAAACTGTCGAGGGTCAAGAAGATTATCTACTCTCACCGGCTCGTCAAGAGTTAGTTCATCATTCTCTATACCATCTACTTGAAGTGAAAAACTTGTAATTGTAATGTTGTACCGCTGTAGACACAGAGAATTCACTTGCTAGTAGTAACACCCGCGATGGTTGATTTAATAACATTCGGTTTGCCAGGCTTACAGTGTTCGAGAGCCTTGGCAGGCACCGTAGGTGATACCGGAGTAGCTCTGTGTGAATTAGCATTGTTGGTGCACAGCTTGGGGTTGGATGTGGTTCGAGTGAGATTCTCATCTACAGGCAAGAACAGTAAGACTCAATTCAGGAGTTCGGCACACTTCTCCCGAGTTTCGAGAGTGCTACAAGAGTCATGTTTCACACGGCGAATTCAAGCCTAGAAGCGGCGTCGGATCGCACGTTTTCACGCAAAAATGGGGACAACTACACAAGAAAATAGCTAATCGACACTTGTACTTTCGGAGGCTAGCACTAGACTAACGTTGAGTTGAATCTGTCGATGAGGATAGCAAAATGATAGCGTAGCACTGCATTTACCATGCACATTACGAGCTAGTTGGCATGCTTGTCAGCTCTGCTAGCGGCATGAGAACCTTCGTGTTTACGGATGACTAAGCTAGGGAGAATCAGTGACTAACTACTTCAACGTACGCTTCGATGATAGTGCCTTCCATCGCAACATGTGCTGGCGTGTGGGTGGAAGTATAATGGTTGTTGCATAGTAGAAAACAGCTTTAACTTTGTCTCAGCGCTGTTTCGAAAGCTCTTTCCGAATAAAGATGATGTCCGCCATCAGAAGCAGTGCCTTGTTCCTATCGTGCATAGTAGTGGAAAGAGCTTGGGGTTTTGCACCGCTTCGTGGGTTGCAGTCACCTTGCCTTTCGACGGGGGATGTCTTCTGTCAAGATCCTCGCCTTGAGGGTTCTGGTTCCTATTGCTCTACTAACTCACATGTCTGCCATGGTGGGACTATCCCTTGTAGCTGTTCGAGCTCGGCCGAACAACAATTACAGAACTACTTGGGTGGGGCTAGCTCGTCGAGTCCTGCTGCCCCCAAGACCGATCCTGCAGCTCCGTCAACGACGTCTACTGCCCACAACCCGGCCCCTCCATCTCCATCGACTAGTGTAGGCAACTCCTTCATGTGGGTCGAATTTCCGGAGATCTACGATGTCAATGAATTGGGTGCTTATTACGATGAGGTCTACAACCACGTGATGGGCAATCACATAGGTATGAGCTATTCTCAAGTTGTTGTTCGAGTGACTGCTCCTGACGACGCTTTGACTGGCACGAAGAAGTCCCCGCTATACACTCATCTATTGAATCGTATTGCCGGGAAGATGAGCGTTATCTGCTATCCCGATTTGGCTCCTGCCCATGGCAAGCGAGAGCGATGGGAGGGTGCGTCCCCTATGGGGTCCTTCCTGGACGGTGCCATACAGTACGCTGCTCGACACGGTGATATATTCACCGGCGTGGTGTACGACCCGGAAGAGTTTGCCGGAACTCCCTCGTATAACAAATTGCTCAACGGTGACAACTCGGACATCAGAATGGCGGCTGTTGAAGGTCTATCTACTGCTTTGACTTGTGGCTTCGATGAAGTCACTCGTCCGGATAATCGCGGTTCCATTTTCCTTAATACCGTTGACCATCTTTACCTACAAATGTTCAACTTCTACAATAATGCCGGTGTCCCTGTAGCGAGTTCTCCTGCAGCGACTCCCTTTGTTACTCATTTGAATGATGGCAATGCGATGTATGACTACCTGTTCAGTGGTGATAGCGATGTGACAGCAGTCAAATACACTGAGCCTTCCTATACCAAGTACTCTCAAGAGGGTAAAATCTTCATGATGTGGTCTACTTCTTTCAACACGTCACCTAATTGTATGCATCCTCTCGATGGTCAATGCGGTGATGTTGAGGCTCATTATGAGTTTGGTGTATGGGAAGGTTCGCCGTTCGTGTCGTTCTTGTCCAACGTTATTGCTCATTACCCGGGCGCTCCACAAGGTATCATGCAATTCGCATTCATGCCTCATAGCTGGGAGTAATTTCCCATCCCCAATTAAGTGGGATTATAGCTGGGTATCAAGTTCAGTGGTATGCCACAAGACTCCTTGTCTCATGGTGGTAGTTCTGTTCCTTTGGTCGTTGTTTTTCCTTGTACTTCGACACTTTTGGTCAATACAATACCACCCTATCGTTATCAGCATTTTGCTGCTACCGGTGTTTAACTTGATCTGCTATCAACTCATCTGATACTACTTATTCCAACACGAGAGAGCAAACAATGAGAACATCTCACTGTTGAGTGTTTTCTCTCGCTGTTTGTATGCTAATAATGGTGCTCGGTAATAACGAGTACCATCAACACAACCTTCGAATACATGTTCCTTGCCATTATTTAGTGGTAGTATGTGTATGCTTCTTGTTGACCTTCTGATCCTCCTGTTCACTCCTAGTGGTGGTTCCTTAGCCATCAGAGTGTACAGGGCTGGCTCTGGCAACCGTGTAACTCAGGTTACTAGGTGTGGCACCGTGTTGTCCATCGCCAGAGCCTTTTGGCATTGCTTTATTGCTTTAGGGTCATCTTCTGTCGTATATATCCCATCGAGCTACTGGTGTTATTCTGTCCGTATAGAAAGGACAGCACCAGGAGCTCTCCGGATTGACGACATCAATCATCGCAACTCTCGTCGGTATCCGGCGGATTTGTCTCTTCGGTTGCGTGAACGATTGTTCATCGTGTATGTGTATACCTCAATCAATGCTTTCGATGGCGTTATGCGTCAAATCGAGATGCAAACTCTCCTTTGCTGAACCATGTATTATATTGCGTTTGTTGTCAAAGTGACGATGGGTAAGCCAGGCCGTTATCGAAAGAGCGATTAAGTCAGGTTATACATTCTCGACAACTTTGCTAAAAAGGTTGCAAGTGTGGTAACAATTATAAACTGAATGAAAATAGATATCTGGCATGTCTTAGCTTGTACTTCCAGTATAGACTTGAGTGTATTCGGTGCACTCCATCGGTATCCTCTCTAGCAAGCAACAACGCAATGCATAGTAAATTCGCTAACGGCGACATTGGTCTTTCTCACGAGATCTTGACCGTCTTTCTTCCCTCCTTTTACTGTGGTGTTTGTCCTGACGATCTCCCACAATCATTCCTTCACCTGTATCCATGAATACAATGCCGCCTCAATGAGATATGTACTCACTCTCTATCGTCCCATCTTCGCTCATAGTGTTGGGGGCTACCTTGAATTCTCTCACGTGATCGATTTCTTCCCCTGTCATGCCTTTGATGATCATTACTTCCTTGATCTCATCACTCACCTCATCCTAAACACTTCCATTCTTGTTCGAAATACTCAGCTCTCACCTCCTCTTGATCGTCGAGGTCAGTCTGTAGTTTCTCATCGGTGATCTGGCCTGCGGTCGGAGGTTCCTCTGCGAGTCAATCCATCGGGTCGGGGAATAGGTCGTTCAAGAGCTGGGTAGTCGCCATGGAAGGAAGAAGCCGGTCATCGCCAACTATTGCGGTATGCTTGAATGAAACAGCTTGATGTCGATTGAATTGTAGGCATGGTTATCCTTATCTACGAACACTTCATTGATCCTCAAGCACACCATGTAGTCTAGATTGTTAGACTCTAACAATCTAGACTACATGGTGTGCTCTAACAGGCTCTAACAGTTAGAGCTGTTTTCCCTTACGAGACCGTAGATACCTCGATTACGTGACTGGAACTTTTGTCCAACCGTACAAGGACATAACGCGGCGGCGATCGCAATGTTTGCTGTGACTCGGGAACCCTGTCACATTGTGGTGTCGTTCATCAATGAAGATCATGCCCCCTCGCCGGCTCTTTGTGTTGATGAATACGATCATGTGTCTCACATATCAACACTAGCTGATGCCTGGATTCAATCCCAATCCAGTGGATTGGGTTGACAATGTTCTCGATCCTAGGCTTTGACTCGTTGGTTGGAGCGCAACTAGTGAAAGTCTTCTCCTGCCCATTACGGAGAGAGTTGAATCAGCTCGGTTGACAACTTCTCAGCTGCAAACACAGTCCCGATCGCAGCTTCCCACCCAAAAAACTCGTTAACTCAACTCGTCCCGCCCTGCCGACTTCATCTGTGGCCATCGGACGGCCATCCTCACATAGTTGAGGATTGCACGTCAAGATGCAGACAATCAGAACTACCGGATGGCAGAGGGTGGGCAAAATGAGCCAGCACGCTCACCAACAACTGACAGATGAGGTAACATCTCAATAGCCTCACAGTAAGAGTTAGGACCAACAGCAACAACAGCAGCGAAAAATACACAGGCTAAGTATAGCTCAGAATAACTAGCTTCGCGGGCGAGCGCGTCACGGGCCAGTGTTTGCACCACTCTACACTCCACAAGCTTCGTGTAGGGTAACATCCAATTTTGGACATCTCCTAGTCGCGCCGAGCGCAATAAAGGTATTTCAGGTGTCCTGCTTAGTGTACCCAAAATTCATTGACAGCGTGTCCGAGTGGTTAAGGAGGTGGACTTGAAATCTACTAGGCTCAGCCTGCGCAGGTTCGAATCCTGCCGCTGTCGTTAACAGACCAAAGAGTGTCCTCAATACATGCTCTGTGTAAGCGTACACTATATGCCTCACCACAAGAATCAACATACATAATACGTACTTAAGATACGTATCATGCACTCACTGCCTCCCCACTAACACAACGACCGGGGGAAAAGAACGTTTGCCGCACACGGTCACATGTTACATGAAACAATCCCGCTAATTCGCGAAACTCATGCCTCTCATCAGCTGCTCCGCTTTTCTATAGACGGGTTTGTGCATGCGCTAGCCGGGACCTGAGTCATTTGAATAGCCCAAAGTCTGGCCCTCAGGCACAATAACTGGGAGTGGATTCTTTTACCCTGTTCTGTCCATGTGAAATCTCGCCGCAGCGCTTGAGCAACTTCTCAGCTTCGGCTGTGATCTTCTTTGCCTCGACCCATCTCTCATCTGACAACACCCAGCACTCCTTGCCCAACGAGAACTCACTCATTTCGCACTGGCGATCATTCCGAACAACTTCCGTAAAGCTGCATCCAATTCCCCATGGGACGCGACTAAAACAAGGGCTTCCCGGATCACTGGTCAGAGACACGACTTCGCCTGCGCAGTTTCTCCTCCCGCTTCTCGCCGCCTTTGACCAGATCCTCAGCAACGCCGAGATCATATTCGAGCGTTTCAATGCGTGCTCTAGCATCTTGCATCGCTTCACGGTCGAGTTCCGCTCGATGCCTGAGATGCAAGCCGACGGTGGCATCGAGCATATAGGCTACCAGTTACACAGTCTTACCGCATTTCTTCAACCTCATTAATGAGTCGACCTCTATCGCTTCCGATCGCCGACAGGGTCTCCTCGAGTTCTAAGATCTTCTTCTTATACTTCATCAGCTGCTCCTCAGCATCTCGAGTTATGGTGTCACTCTCGGTCAACATGGGGGAACGTACCTAAGACATCGCCCACTGTGTAGTATCAACTGCGCGTTTCCGTGAGCGAGAGTCACACTGCTCGGGCTGGCGTACTACCAAGACCTCTGTGTGACACAATGATGCCTGTCTCAAGAGCTGTCCATGGTCGTATGCCCCAGCCCCAGACCGGTCAGCAACACCCTCACCTCCTCACGTGGCGTAGCCTTCAAAGGCGTATCACCATGCTCGATAATTATAGATGCAGCATGGTCAGCGAATAACATCACCCCTCGACGCTTCCCCCTCAGGTAAGGAGACACAGCCCATAAGCCCTCGATTCCGGATAAGCGCCGGCACACGTTACCCGACATCAACAGCTGTGACCTGTGACCAACAGATAGTGGTAACGTCACATGGTCTCAGTGATCATAGACCAGCCTCGCCCTTCACAGTGAGATAGATAAGCCGTACCAATAGCATTCTTCAAGATCGATGCTGTAGAGGAAGGGTGTATCCTTCGGTAGTAGCAAAAGTGTGGTATCATCAATACTCCACAACCATGACGAGCATCCATCAGGGCCATGACAAGGCGGTGGGGCTGACCTAAAGGGCCGGACCAATGATTTAGTCCACGAAGGACCAACTACCCCCTGGTCTCTACTAGCTCCCATATGTAGGTATGGCAATCGAGGCGCCACAGCTCGTTAGAGACATCTGTACTCCACTCCACCCCTGTCACGAATACATGCCCTTCCATTGGTCGTAGAATACACAACCTGTCTGTCCACCGAAGAGGTAGATCGATCTCGATCCCGAATGAGAAGTAATAGCGAACTTTTCTCGAGGTGACGGTCGCACTGCAGAGGAACTGATAACGGCTAGAGTGCATCAGTCACTAGGTGCAATATGATGACCCACGAGGCACCACCATCCTTCACACGTCTCCAAACTCCGCCCTGAATAGTGTTGGCCTGGCTCGGTATGGAATCATAGGACCAATCGGCCTGTGATAAGTCCAAACTCCACAGATCAGAACGCCGCAACTTCTCAGGGTTGCCTATGAGCGAGCACTAGCCCCTATCACAGAAGGGCCACCCTTCAGTACTGATGCCCCCGAAGAGTAGCAGTTCACTGCCCTCCACAGGAGAGACGCAGAGGCCCGAACTATCTCGTGGAAGGGGGCCTCCATGAGTGAAGAAAAAGCGTCGCCATCGGCGTTGGTTGACGTCATAGGCGTATGTGTCTGAGCCTAGAGGCTGGAGAGGAGGGGGAGTAGACTGACCACGACGGACCTCCATCAGAGACTCCACCACCGCTGATCCCCCCGAAAACGACCAAATACGAGTGCTGGTCGCCAAGGTCAACGATCACGGAGGGCGCGAATGAAAACAATGGTAGACGAGATGAGTCCTCCATAGCTGTTGGGACTACTTCCCTGATATCACATCAATGCCACAGTGAAGCCTAACTCCTTAGGGTTACCACGTCCATTGTCCCGGAGTGATCTCAGCAAGAGTGGTGACCCTCGGTGTGAAGGCGCTCTTCGAGGACTCCCCACCGAGTAAGATGAACCTATCGTTGTTGCCACTCCGATGATTGTGTCTAACGTCCCACTTCTCGCCCTCAGGAGTAGCTACTAGAGCGCCTCCCCTCCTTATCCCTGGGGAATGCCCATGTACTGCTATCGCCTCAGACCGGACGCAGCAGGGCATTCGGTCCACCGCTAGAATGCTCATGTCTTCCCATTCAACACAACAACTGAGAGCTCAGTGAAGGGTGGTACGGTACGTGAGGCAGCAGCGACTAGCGATGTAACTCAGGAGTCAACTTCCATCGAGAAAGCCTCAGCATCAGCCTTGTTGGTGCTCGAGGGATCCGATACGTTCACGAAGTGAATGCCGTTACGATGGAACTCCAGTAGTAAGGCCAGGTACTGATCGATGTCTATTTTTATGGCGCGTGACTCTGCCAGTCCTGACGCCTTCAAAGTGTTCTCCACATGGGCCTTGAACGTCGGCCCTTGATGTTGGACCTACACGATCAAGGAACCTGTCAGATCGCACTAACCCTCCTTGAAAACCCACTGGCTGGTTATGCAGAGAACAGTAAGTCTTGTAGTTATCCTCAAGGACCTTGATCACAGCCTTGTTCATGAATGATGAGTGCAGCGTCTTGTTCTTGCGGGTGAAGGCAATTCGTAGGAGACCGTCGAATTCCGGGAAGTCCACATTGATTGGGTCCTTATGGAGCACCTACCAGCAACGATAGTAGTCAGCAGATGAGCGACGACCTCACAAATTTCACGATCATCGAGTCCACCTCGGGTGGAGGGTTGAAGCTTCCCTTAGAGACATTACATACTCGAGTAACCTGAATAAGGGAGATGTGCGGAATCAACTACATGTGTTGAAATTTCCGAGGAAATTTTGGGAAATTCTTATTGATTTCCGAACACTTCTCCACAATCTCGTATATGAACTCCTATGATTAGCTCTGGAAACCCCTGAGCTGAACTGAAACAAGCAAACATATATTCCTCCAACACAGCCTATATACGTAACAGCCAGAACGCCACCTTCGAGAAGAGCTGGCAGTTGATCGCTAATCGCCCATAGTTCTCCTCCCCCACTCTGGCAACGAGGCGCTCACCAAACTCCTTCTGGAACATGATAACCTATAGAGGAGTATAGCGATTTTCTGATGATAAATACAATGCCATACCCCGCATCTGAAGACAGGCCTATGGGCCAACAGCTTGAAGGTGAACGGGCTTGAGATCTGATAGGGCAAGTTGGCCACGCAAACGTCGAAAACTGGGAAGGCCGTCTTCAAGGCATCGCCCTCAATGACCTTCAAATTCATCCGACCTGATACCAAAATGATAATGCTACACTCGAGTGATAGCAGACCCTCTCACCCGCCGTCTGTGCTCGCTTCTTAACCTCAGCGGCCATACGAGGATCAATCTCCAAGGCCACTACCTTCTTAGCTAGCTCCAGTAGGCGCATGGTCAGATTACCAGTACCAGGGCCGATCTAACAATACACCATCGCAAGAACACATCAGGAAAAAAAGGGCTCCACCTCAAGAACAGTGTCAGTGCTCTTGATATCACTAGCTTCAATGATCTTATCTAGGATCCCTGGGTTCTTCAGAAGATGCTGACCGAACCTGTCAGTGGCGGTCAACATAGATGATGGACATCAAACAATAGTGCGGACTTTTTCTGCAAAGGCAATGCCAAACCGCCACCACCTCCACCCTTCTGGGCAGCAGCCCCCCTAGGAGGAGTATTCTTATTGGATCCAGGGGCCTGATGGAAAATGATGAAATCCATGAAATCTATCATCCGATGCACTCAATGCGGACCTCACTACTACCACTACGCCTGAGGTTCATACAGTGTAGGAGATCAGAGCCACTACGAAGTGCGGTGAGAGAGGATATTCACCTCGCCATACTTCCCTCATTGAGATAATAGAGCACTAGTGATTCGATAGTACTCAGACCATACAAGCCCTCTTACCTTGATGACGCCTATTGGACTCGATCGGTGGACGCCACGAGAGGCTGCTGGTCGGCGTATCATAATGGAGGAGCCTCTGCCACTAGAGAGTGAATGCTCGTGGAACCAAACACCAACGTGATCCAAGTGTAACGTGCAATGAGGAGAAGGAATGGTATTAATAGACTTGATACAAGGCGAAAAGACAGTACGGCGAAGCTACCATCTGCTGGATTACGGCTGAACGCCTCTAAGCCGGAATCCATGCTGGATAAGCAGCGTTGTACACCGTGCTCAATGCTACAAGAAAAAGGCTAGGTCAGGCTTCGGCCTGACCAAAATGGAACTCTAAAGGAGGTCTCCTATCAAAAGACACAGACTATGAATAGTAACCAGCATGGTAGTCCCAGCGACGGTCATTGTATGGTTTCCAATGCCGCCCCCAGGGGCCAAGCCGCATAGATGAGACCCTTAGCATAGGACAAGCGTTCTGCCACTACTATAGGCTCTGTTTCGGGTATACCAAAACCGTCAGATAAAAGGGAAGTTACATAAACAGAATCTAAACACGCCCATGGGTTGCCATCAGTGGCCTCGGAGCACCTCGCCCGAGCCACCTCTCTGAACTTTGCAACGGTGATGACCACTTCATGAGCCGCAGTAGGAACCAAACCATTCGAGCGGGCCACATCGAAAACGTAGGAGAACACCCTAAAGGTGTAACTAGCAGGATCTATAGGGCCCCTCCAAGCCCCATCAAAGGCACACTCGGACGCCTGAGCAGCCCCACAGTCCTGGTCCAAGTCGAGAGCGTCTCGTACAGTAGCAAGGCATCGATCATAGCGTGTCGAAGAGGAGGGGAGACTATCATCTGGGAGGAGGGCAAGACGTACGCCTGCATAGTCATAGTACTGGGGTAGATCGTCATTCGATGATGTAAGGCATGGACAAGTACCTTGAGGGCAGAAGTGATAGTGATGGAGAGGACGCTTCTATTAGGCTGTTACTAACACAGTGAGGTCTATTAGCTGTTTGCAGAGATCTGAGAGTACCCATTCAACTCTCAGCAAGCGAGTCCGTGAGTAACCGAAGCGAACGTGAACGGCCATCGCTTCAGTGGATACGACATTTCGATGGGATTGAGCCTCAGAGGTGAGGTTCGAGCGGATCGGCTTTAGAAAGAACCAATAATGATGGTGTAGACTAGTGTGCGGAAATATGTACACGGCCAATCACATATGTTGGTGACAATATGGAAATTCTGAGGAAATTTCGGGAAATTGTAAATGATTCCTGTACATTTCTACACGAATTTGTATGTAAACTCCTATAATCAGTGAGGGAACTCTTGAACTCAGCTGAGAAAAGCGAGCATATTTCCCAACACTGGTATGGACACTAAACAGTTATTAGCAAAGACACCGACCGAGCTGAGCACCCGTCCAGTGCCCGTTCTGCATACACATGAACCAAATGCGCCAGACCACCCCTCTCACTACTACCATTGACGTTCTCCTCCAACACTCGCTGCCTCGCCGCCTCCAAGCCGTACCCAAGCCAACTATGGACATACAATGGTCCGTCACTGGTCACTGACTCCGCAGATGCAGATACTAAGAAGTAATCCTTCTTAGTAGAAGTAGAGGACGCTATCGGATCGGAAGACCTCAGATACCCAGTGAACTTCGTACGGTCGGATGGGGTAATCTGAATTAGCAAAAATTCATTTCCGCGACGAAGCGTTCTTCTTCCCACATTACCTGTGACTCTCCCATCATCCTATAGGCCAACTGAACACTACCACCACCCAGGTCTACCACAGCGCTCGGCTTGGAGGCATGCCTTGATTGACCATAGGTGAAGTCGACACTCCGCCACATGTAAAGGCCCTCAGAGGAGCCGTCCAATATAGCTACATCTTCATCGCGTACCAATGTGAAGGGGCTTTCACGTATCACCCTTCGAGAGACCTGAGGCTACGTCTCAGCAAGGAACTGATAGGCGCTATGTCAAGATCAGAGAAGACAGCATGGTGTCTACTATGCGAGCACGAACCCTATCTATTGCGTGAAGTAGAAGAATTATGGTATCATAGCGGAGTAAATTAAAAAACATCTCCTTACGGTATCCCGGTGTTCTTCATTCTACCTGCAATAGCTCCTCTGCCGCTACTCGCGGTATTAGCCTAAGCCCTGCTGTAGCCAGTAGTAATGCCTGCGATCCCACAGCCTCTGGTACTCCTATTGAGGCCTCTTTCAATAACCATTCAAGTCCCCTCCTGAGGGTTAGAATCACTAAGGACGAGGCAACGACTCCCGAGATATCGAATAACTAAGGACTATAATGTATCTCGAAAATTGAGCACCCCAGCGCGGCAAAGAAAATAAAGGCAAGTCGAACCTCTAAAGGCTGCTCAGGAATTACTCTGCTGAAACTGAATCGACTCTGAGTCCAATCATCAGCGGCCTATCAGTATTGCAATGCCCGACTGGGTCACGACTAACACCCCCACGTGTAGTACCTGGCTCCCTCTGGATTGTTCTTGTACGATGACAAGCCACCGTCAACTTTCCGATAAAACGTCATTTCAGTGTCGGCCGTTGGTTCCAAGATGATTTCCCCATCGCTTTGGCGAAATTTGAAAACGTGAATGCGGGTACCAGTAGAGCCCGCATCCAGCACCACTTTATACACCGGCTCCTTCGCATTAGTGCTATGCCGAAGTGTAAGACCGTTGCCGAACCGAGTCCAGAGACCAATCAGAAGTAACGTCACGAAGGCTACGAGCCCTATTCTAACGGCTTGCTCTCGACAACTGCGTAAAAACTTCCAACTCCTCACTTTCATACTGCCAACAGTAACAGAGATTGGATTCATGACCAGCAGCTTCGGGTGAAAGGTCGGCTCTTTTTCAACTGCCCATCCATCCTGTGGTGTGCAGTCTTCCACCATACTCTCTTCCACAGGTGCCCTCAGTGAAGTCAGCTCCAGACGGCGTTTGACAGAGTCGAGGCCATAGGAAGGATGGTGACGCGCTGAGCTGTTGGGCTCATCGTACATCGCGGATAAAATGCTGAACTACTAAACCCAGTGGAAGCGCGCGCGTTGTATGATCAACATGGAAAATTAGAGTAGACCAGCACTGACATTCCAATCCTTTCCCCCCTACACCGTACTTTACAGAACACAACACTACAGCTTAGTCCCCAAAACTCCCTAGGGTGGAGAAGGTGGGTTTAACAGAAACAGTGACTTCGTCACCTCCATCGTAAAACTATCAACAGAACTTCATATCAAGGTGCACACAAAAGTTCTTCAATTACACAAACCGTATTCAAAGTAGCGGATGTGTTGGGGATTCGAATTGTACTTACGTGCAATAAAGTGCACTAAACTAATGAGTTCCAAAGTCTTGAAGACTTTGTACTAGAAGGTATGTGGTAGACGACTCAGTTTTCTACTACAGGCCTGATATCGGCCGGGGTGACTCCGGGGTCGTTCAATAAACTGACGATTTCGAAACTCCGAATCGATTGTTACACGTATAATACGATGCTAGAATCGATTCTGAGTTCCACAAGTGGGGATTCAATGAACATGAGGTAAGAGAACGGTTGGAGTAGTACATGAATGTTGTACGAATAGATCAGAGTAGCCGATTCATGGAACGCTTACTCTACTAACTGGAATAGCTAGCATTACTCTGTACCCCGCGAACTTCGTCCTTGCTAAGAACTAACCATAAAGCACGATTCTTGGGTGATGACGGTTTCCCAGGGCAGAAGTTGAGTTCACGGCTGTATCAGATTTCGCCAATTCAGAATTCGTCGAAATGACGCCAAACAGATTCTTGTCTGTTGGAGTCTTTCACTCATCCCTGGTTCACGCGCCCCTCAGTCTGAGTCTGATAACCGATAACCGAGCTCAGCTGTCAGACCAAGTTAACCAGGGACAACAAGGGCCACCGACTATCAGTTGACTAGTGGCAGTTGTGGGAGTAGCCGCTGCTCGAACTGCTACCACCCTGGCAGTACCAGGTTACTCGTGCCACTGCATTATCAAGTAACGCGGGGTGGTCCGCGGCATCTAGCATTGGCGCCTCATTCATTGTTCCCCGAGATGACCCAATGCATTCAACTGGAACCAGTCTCATTGGTGAAGACACGAAGTCTTTGGATGTGTGAGTTTAAAGTCCAACGCTTGGTTCTCATGTTATTATTGGCACTACTAAGCTCACAAGTGGCAGTCCATTTTTCGGTTCGGCAACACTTTGGTTTCCATCATATCTCGGTACAAGACCCTCGGTACATCCGAACATTAACGGTTGCTGTATCCGCGTACCCACAAGACTGGTCCTTCATTGGACATCTGATTCAGAGGCTTGGTGCGAGTCTAATAGACTATCCATAACGGATCAAGACAAGTGAGATGGACCAGTGTTCCATCCTCTGCCACCACAGTGGTGACATGAGGTCGCCGGCACCGCCGGGGCACACTTGGTGTACGTGAAGCAGCCCTGGCGGGGCTGGAACAGCATGGCTGCTCCGGCATCCATTACGATCATAGGACTATTCACTCAACTCAGTTGAAGCATGAGACGTTTATCATGAGTGTAATCCACTAGGAGTAGCCGATATATAGCTGATATCACTAATAGGACTGACCAAGTCGCTTGTGTCGTGCATGAACTTGCTAACAGCTCTCGACTGATCGGCCATGAAGCGTTCCAGACTGCCCTCAGGCTCATGCCGCGACCGTTCACCTCGGAGCTCAGCATTCTCCTTCTGTAGACGGTAGACCTGCGAAAGTTGAGTGACCCCACGCCGAGAGCCCATATCGTGCCCGGTTGCTCAACTTGGTCAGCAACGTGCCGTCTCGGAGCCTTGATACTTCCTCTGTCAGCCGTTCGCACTCTGCCTAACACAAGTCAATTGAGGATACATAAAACATACGAGCAAAAGACTTCCACCGCTCTCATCCCCAGCCACCAGAACCGTGACCTACATTCTTTGCCTCGAGAGCATCCGTAAGGGAGTTTATCCGGCCGCGGGCTTCAGCTAAAGCGTGCCCGAACCTCTCAGCTACTCGATCATGCTCTGGGGTGGGCATCGATCGCCTAGACTGTTCTCGCAGTGTATCGCACTCATCTCGATATCTGACTACGTCATCCACGCCACTCATGAGTAGAGTTGAGGCGGCAGTCGCTCTGCTATCGCCACCCTGTAGGAGTCGAACCTTGGACTCACTTATTGGCCATCATTCTTGCACCGGCCAACTGCCGTGACAATGCAGTATTCGAGGCTTTCAGTTGGCGTATGGTCTCACTGGCTCCTGCCTGTGATGAGAGAATACTTTCAGCGTCAGTAAGCCGATTCTCGAGCGTTCTGATCTATGAAGGTATATAGCCTCAGCAGCAGAGCCGAGGAAAGCCCCTCACGTAGGAGTGCAACTGATTCTTCCGTTGAAGAAGGTCCGCAATGTCCTCCCTGCTACCAGTCCCATCTCGCTGGTCATTCATACCCTCTCGTGCTAAGCTCACGTGATGAAATGCGCATCGATCTGTCGGTGAGGCAGAGGATGTTGGCTGGGACCGGCTACGATCCGAAGTTATCTGCCGCTTTTTCACACGCTCGGCTGACTCTCTTATTTGCTGCCGTAGGCGGGCGAGTTTCCCCACAAGGGAGTCGCCAGCTGCTGGCTTGTGAGCCATCGTTAACTGGGGTAAACTTTAAAGAGAAAAAGCCCCACGTGATGGATGAGCATTGTAAAAATGCTTCACTCAGATGCCCCTCGATGGTGGCACATGCCCAGCATAAGTTTTCTGTCTCCCCTGAGGTAGTAGCGTACCCCAGGTAGGTCACAGAGAAAAGCCAAGGGGCTCAGCCCATCAAGACGCTGAATGGTTTCAAATGGGTGGCGAGTCCTCAGCCGATTTAGTGCGACCCTGTGGACCCACTTAACACAGCAGTATGATTTGGTACCACAACTCAGTTAACATGATTGAGTAAATCAGGTGATCGGAGATTCAAACAACGGACCATCTGTCGTATGTGAAGTTGTTTGTCTGTGACTCCCTCGCACATCTGATGAGAGTCCATCGGGAGCCATTCAAGAGCCGCCACTACGTACATGGGGATATGCCTTCGGTGACCACCATGACCCCGACCAGTCATTAGTCGCTATATAGAGAGGGCCCGAGAATGATGACCTAACCGGAGATCCCCTGTACTCAGTTTATAAACCAACCACTAACCTTTGCAGGTGTGGAAGCTTCTCAACAGTCCCCATCGCGGTAAGCCGAGGCTGTCGTCTCCTACTCCGACGGTTGCAACTCGATACACTCCTTGAAGACACCATTGTGTGGGAGGAGCTACTACAAGACAACCGCGATGAGCTCGTCCTAGTCATGTCTGTACCTGTAGAATAGCGAGCTGTACTGTGTGCTTAGAAATAACTTCATGAAAATTTCGATATTCAGAAACATGCCAATGTGCATAACAGTAGACTCGATATCCCTCAGCTAGGTATGCTCGACCATGGAATGCTAACCCAGCAACTCACTCATTGTGGATGATTCTACGTCGAGCTCAGGCCTCACAGGTATTGAGGTATAGTCATGTTCATAAGTACTAATCTTGTGGGGAGTGCGGACCTTGCTCCGTAGACTGAACGGAGATGCTACCGTGGGAGACAAAACGGTGAGAACACAATTTCGTAAGCATACCATCAGTGATTGATGACAAGCTGGTTCGAAACAAAGGCGAGGATGATGGTAGTGAGAAAATGACAAGATAAGGCACATGTATTCCGCAGTGAAACGATAGAACCACAGGAGTCTGTGAAGCGGGCATGATCTAACCACCTCCACTGCAGCCACTGGAGCACTGGTTGCTTACTGATGCTTGATGGGCGCAGTCCTATACACCATACCCCCTTCACAGCGATCATCTGGTTTATGAGCAGGCCGACGAGGGATGACCAAGGCATGCGGATACACCTGAGCTAAGTGACTGCAATGCTGTTGCATCCTATGATGCTATTGACCAGTTCCTGTACTCTGTTAGACCGGTGGGCACCAGAAGTACCCTGTCGTTGGTCTTGCATCTGGCGAGTCGAACCTCCCATTTGAACAACTACACCATGGAAATCAGTGAGCACGAGGGGCTCTCACGATGCGAGGATCCCTTCCAGCCGGGCATGAATTGACAACACAACAGCAAGCATACAGTGATGGGCCGCAAGAGACCAAATAGTTTGATCAGCATCAACGGCATGGCACGATTACCTGGAACAGTGTTATGGTGACAGAAATGATGATATCGAGTCCCACGAGGGTGCCTGGGATATCCCAGTGGTCGATGGTGAGTATAATAATAGTAGCAGACTGAGTGAATCGATCTTTCCAATGTCTGTTCGCCGAGCACTGTTGTTTAATTTAAATGGTGAATTAAGGCTCCATAGGATGTGAGCAGAGAACGGACAGACGATGCTGTTGACAATCACATAGAGGCTTATGATGGGTCAACTTGGGAGTGGCCAGTGAAGAGCCAGATGCACTGGTAGAGGGCCCGCTTCCTGAACCTAATAAGATTCTTCACATATAAGAACCCACCACACCCTGCGAGCCTACCTGAAGTCGACCTTAGCCAGCCACCTGTCACACAGTCACCACGACGTCGCTTGGGAGCCTCCAAAACACTATCAGGGGAGGAGCAGCCACCTGAAACAGCTGAAGACACGCACATCGCTTAGCTCCCCTCTCACCTTCACAAAGTGACAATTTTTCGGATCGCTTTCGTTTCAAGTCCCGCAATGGCCACGAGTGACCACCATCAGAGGGAGGGCCCAGCAGTGTGACCAAATCTCGACATGTTAACCTCTCACTAGGGCTGTGCTTGAGACAACCGCTCAGGAAGGCATGCAACCTCGGGCTGTATCTGAAGCCACAGCATCGCCGCGACCAAGTCGCTGATAGCAAACCTGTCCATTATGAATTGTGGGGTGCTCAAGTCGTGGCCAGACCGGATGCCGCGCCTTGTGGTTGGGGGTTGAGGAACTGGTAATGCATCGTTGATTAGCTTGAGTGTAGCCACGTCCGAGTCACCACTGAATGCCGGCTCACCTAAGAACATTTCCAAGCAAAGAGACTACGAGTGGTGTACCCGTGTCACACTCAGCAACGACACAGCCAAGAGCCCAGATGTCTATCGACTGCTCATAGCTGCCGTTCCTCCCTCTCCTCCTACCCCGGCCTGGCAACCCTCCCACCAAGAGCTCCGGGGCCCTATACCATCGGGTGGACACATACCTGTGATTCCCATGAGCACCAGTCTTGTGATGCTAGAATTACTCAGTAAGGTTATTGGCAGTGTTATCAGCCCCACCTGACGGAGTCTCACCATCATCTTCGTGCAAGTATCGAGCGAAACCAAAGTCGCATAACTTCACAACGTCCCGCCGCTTTCCTGAATGATGATGAGCATGGTATCAGAAGCAATAGACTAAAGCACCAGTGAGAAGGATGTTCTCTGGCTTCACATCCCGATGGATAACGCCTCGAGAATGTATATACCCGAGGGCTGATACCAGCTGCAGGCTTATGGTAAGAGTCATATCGAGGCCGATGCCTCGTGCTGCCTCTTTGGAGAGCTCACAACCAGACGACGGTGTCCGAGTAGTAGTGGCGGCACCAGCAGAGTGTTCTATCACATCAAGCAAGGTGTTGGGGGCAAACCTGATGAGAGTCAGCCAGCTCGACAGGTAAGCCCAGTAAGTACAGCGCGATGGAGTATCCGAGAAACAACAGAAGTCACCATAAAAGACGGCAGGCGCTCGTAGGCCGACTACTCCCATTCACAATAATATCACTAATTGTGTATAAGGGATAATTTCGGCTTATAGTCGTCCCTATTCATCTCGCCATTTCTGGTTATTTATAAATATAGGATTACGTAGTGAACATTATCGTGTATTTCTGTTTGGATGTAAAAAAATGACATGAATATTCACAGATCAATGGCGTAAGAGGGCTATATGGCAACGGCATTCCCTATTGTACAGTAGTGATAGAGGCCTAGACAGAAGTGGCCCTACTCAAAAACAAGATAGAGATTTCCTTCGTCAGTGCGGACGACTTCCAGCAACTCGACGATGTTGGGGTGACTGAGTTCGGACAGGAGACGGGTTTCGCGTGCAGCCGTCCCTGGCAAGAGGCTAAACAACAACGCCACAACACCAAACCTACTCTCAACGCTACTCTCCTTCCCCTCCGGCTTTCGGAACTTCTTGATAGCAACATAGTCCTCCTCGACAGACGTAGACCTCGAGCCCTCCTTAGAACAGTGGAGCCGCGCCTGCTGAAGGACTTACTCCTCCCCCACAATAGACTACCCTACCTTATATACAACTCCATAGGTGCCTTGGCCAACTTGATTGATAATCTCGTATTTCTCCATCGGTAATCCCCAACTACCCTTATGGCATCACACGCCACCACCCACCACTCTCATCGTAACTCCAGTCACAATCATCGAGACAAGGAAAGTATATAGTTATCGTCGGTAGTGCAACCTCTGTCAGGATTCAAGTCCACCAGTGCTACCAGCAGCCCCTGCGGCCTCCCTCTCCCTCATAGCCTTCCGAGCCAGACGTCTCTGGCGGTAGATGGCTACGTTAGCCAGGGAATTAGGTCGACTAGGATCGGGTGCAGTCCGAGTAAGGAAGTCCGCTAGTGCACCGTTAGAGGCGTCCTTGAAGGCCACAGGAAGTGGGGTACTAGTGGCCGCTCGAGGCGCTGTCCCATCGACCATCAGGAAGCCGCTGGCTTGATGAGGCCGCTTACGCTTGGCATCCTCCTCCTCCTCAGCAGCAGTAGCAGCCACACTCGGGGGTGATGAAGCCTTGGGCTTCCGATGCTCCTTTCGGCGCTTCCTCATCGATGCTGAGGTCTTCGCTGGCGGAGGATCCACCAGGCCATTGGAATGACAATAAGGACAGGCAAAGTAGAGATGCTGACAGAGTGCGGTAACCAGAGGAGTTGGAAGCCGCCTCTCTCACCAAGAATCCTTCATCGACCTCATTACGGTGGTACCCAAGCTCCTTCACCCGCCCATATAGTAGCTCCGATGCGCAGTGCCTGATCGTGGACGTACAGCAGAAAAGGAGGACAAGAGCCACTTACCCATGGAAAGTAGCTAAACAGCTACCGTCCATACCAGTACAGAGGACTATGTCCTCATCATCATCACTTTCTGTATCTTCCGGCAGGAGGTGACCACAGCCCTCACAGCGTAGTTCAGCCGCCTCTGTGTTCTCGATACCCTTCTGTCGGACTAGTTTACAATGAGCATACCTGACCAAATCACATAGACTACTACTGATGCTGTGAATACCCCAGATTAGGATTCCCTACAGAAAGAAAGAATTATCCAGAATCTGAACAACCCCTATTGGGAAACCTAAGATTTACGTATCGCATCTAAATGCAAGACGTGGATATTGCCTTGAATTCTTAGAGTAATACTCCTGAACAGTGCTTAGGAGTATTAATAAGAAGTGCACACTACTACAATACTCTGTTCCCAATTAGCAGTGCTTAGTGAGCAGCACCTACCCTTTCTCATTGCAGCCTACCTCATCCTAGTGCCATCAGGGCCATACTCGGCTATCCACTGAAACCGTCTCTTGCACTGTGGACATCTGTTGTCTCTGGTCGACCACTGTGATATGCAGTCGTAATGGAATATATGAGAGCATGTATTGGTGCAAGCCACCGTCATTGGAGGCTCTCCCAGACGCAATAAGCAGGCTGAGCAATCGATCTCCTCCTCAGCAGCAGCAGCAGCAGCAGCAGCAGCAGCAGATGGTGGGCCCATTATGACCCCCAAGGACTCAGGACGGGTGAGTGGAAGAGGACATTTCCGAGGGGGCATGAAGACCAGCGAATAGCAAGCACTGCAGTCCTCCAGTCCCGAACAGGATCTACTACTAACAACGTAAATAAGGTCCTGGTCTCAACATATACAGCATTTCCGTGGATGACGATTCCTAGGTAAACTGAGCCTTCTAAACTTTTTAATAAACCAGGTATAACATCAATCGGAAATTTATCAAAACGATGGGTAAAATATAAATAAAAAGAGTAAAACACCAACTAAATGGCTCGACAGTCCTGGAAATGCTCGACAGTGGCCGACCAACCCATCCTCCTTCAACAACACAAGTCTACTCACAAGGCAGACAACAAGCGGAATTATCATGGCAATGGTATCCTCACCGATCACGGCTCTCCTCCGATCTCGTGTGAGAACTATCAAATCGGTCCATACTCCGGAAGGTTCTCCCTACCACAGATGATGTAGTGCTTGATAGCGTAAGGCAGCTAGGCTGGCTCGGTGGGGGAAGGAGACCAGGGCTCGGCAACCGTATCGGTAGGGGCTTCTCTGGTGGCAACCACTTCTCACAAAAGCCCATCTCCCGAGCTGCGATCACCACATCACGGCGTGATGACGGATGAGACCATTCGCGCACTTCCCATACCTCCACCCTGCCATTTGAACAGATGACGTAGAGTAGATCAGCGCACATCACAACGCTGATCGCATCACCCTCGGTCCGGAGCCTAGCACAGGTAGTGGTGATCATACTACCAGACGGTTCTACAGGCAAGACCACCACATGCTGCTGCTGTTGCTTCTGTTCTACTCTACTGCTCAGGGCAAGCAAGTACCTGAGGGACCGGTCGATATTCGGACCGACTGGCCGATAGCCATGAGGCTTTTCTATATGAGGCGGACGGACGAAGGCCGTCGGGCATCAGTTCCAGGGTGTCTAGGGAGGAAACTCGTGGTCCCACACAGAACCACCACGAATGATGCGTGAATCCACTAGATATCAGTGTGGCGACTCAAAAGCGATAGCGTAGTGCCATTGCCGAGAATACAGAGGGAGCAATCTAAGTATTAGATTCTAATACCCTTCTAGAATCTCAATAACTCCCACAACATTCCAAAACCTCCCCATAGCCTACCTCCCCGTATCATCCAATGCAAGTGCTTCCCACCCACTACTCTCTCCTGGCAGCCTCCCCTTACCCTCCACCTTCCTACCAGACTCCCAAAGCCGCACCAATTCAAACGACCAACTGCCATCTTCAGCAGGCAATAGCAATACTAGACTGTATGTGTGGTTATTCATACACCACTTGCTCTCTTGCGCCCACTTGAATTTCCTCAACGCTGCGTATACAAGGGACTTCCCTAGTTTGTATATTTCATACAGTACCAGACTACTCTCCATCTCGGCCACGCAATACCTGTCAGTGTGCTCACCTGGACGACCAACACATTCTGCCCGCTTGCAGTGTCCATGGTCAAACTTGAACTCTTGCAGCATCTTGAGATTCCCCAACGCCAATGATGCTTCCAACAGCCCCACACTGCCATCCTCCAAGGTCAGCAGAGCCTCCCTAGTCCCCTCTAATGCGCTCATCCAGACCGGGGAGTAGTCGCACGAGTACTCACCACACTTTGTCCACACTGTGTCACCTTCCAATCTAGCAGTAATAACGTCCCCATCATCAAAGCCGACCCACAGTAGTAAAGGTGACGCCACACACAGTGCCGATACCCCAACTCTCTCCGGGACCAAGGCGAGCCTGCCTTGGTCCTGGCCACCGACCAGTACCGCTGTGCTCAGACCATCACTACATAGAAGTGCATCCCCTGCACAAACAGCAATAGGGTAGTCCCGATGTGAGAGGGTATGCTCACGAGACGCTACCCTTCGACCAGAGCGAATGTCAAGGACTTCGACCAAACCATTAGCCTCCACTACCATGACCACTTCTGAGTTACTATTAGCGTAAACAACCTCTGACCGAGGCCTGTCGTTGAGATGGACGAGACCGAGCTCCTCACTAGTTACCGTGAGTTCCCCGCCAGCCACCACCAACGTACAGCTACCATCACTTCCTGGCCATAACGATACCACACGTGAACCATCAAGTGGGCTACCCCCAATAGTATCCCCTTCAATCTCAACGAGCTGACCATCAGCCGAGAGTGCCAACAGCTTGGCCGTACCACACCTAGCTATGGTTACGACCGAACCGTCCGTTGGTCGGAGCCTAGTGACCGTCACCGCGTCCTCAGTGGCAGCACCGAGGGGATAGAATGAGATAGCCCGACCATCCCCGTCCAGGAGGGCAGCTGTAGTCCCCTCAGCACACTGTAAGCTGACCAGACTGGCAGGGGCCAGCCCAGGTCGCCACACATCGATACACTTGTTAATAGTGATCGAGAGCTCGTCAGAATCGAATGACAGCTGAAGGAGCTGCTGTCGATCAGTGACTACGCAAAGGCTGAGTACCCCACCTGTCTCGCCAGCATCACCACTAAAAGAGGCCAACGCCAGTGCCGGGGGCCTAGAGTGACCGCTGACTGATACAGTAACAGTACCATCACTTCTTTGCTTTCGGATAGCCCACACCCTCATAACGCCGCCAGTGTCAATAGTATAGAGCCCATCTCCCTTATTAGAATAGCATGCATCAAGAACAGTCCCCTCAGCCTCCAAGCAACGGAGGTATCTACACCTGTTGGAGCAGTAGTCCCATACAGTGAGGAGTCCCTGGGATACCGAATGCATGACCAAGGGCTTGGTGGGGTGAAGCCAGTAGCGATGGCCAGGAGGGGAGTGTACCCACTTTAGGAAGAACGACATTACAAATGGGCTTTGGTCATAATAACACAGGGAAGCTGAAGTAGCTTCTGATAGCGACTACATCCATGGAGGAATACGCACTGCTAGGACATATTTTGATTCTCCTCAGCTGAGCTCAGGAGTTCCCTCACTATCTATAGCAGTTTGCACACGAATTCGTGCAGAAGTGTACAGAAAACAACAAAAAATCACTAAAATTTCCTCGTAAATTTCATATTGTTCATATGTATATACTATATGACATGATTCAACCAATGACCAGCTCTCACCGTAAAATGTATATGTTTGCTTACCGTAGCTGAGCCCAGCTTAACGAGTTCGCTCGATAACTATAGAAGTTTACCTAAAAATTCAGGTGGAGCTGTACAGGAACCAAATCGGATTTCCATATTTTCACCAACACACATGTGCATATTTCCCCACACCAGAACACTGTTGACCATCAACGAGGCCGCCCCCCCCCTACCCCTTCTGACGCCCACACAACACCTTATAAGGGACGTATGCCGAATGGTACATCGTCAACAGTGACAAGGGACTACAAGTTGCTCCTAGGGACACTAGTAGTAGTAGTAGGGGCCGCGGCAGGCCTGTTATCATGACCAATGCTACTATCGTGCAACTTCCTGACCCATGTAGAAAACTCTACAACGTCCGTTCGTTGTGAGGTACAACGTGGAGGGAGTACACCCCGAGTGCCACCGGGTTGGAGACGCTGATGATGCAGCTGATGTAGGTGGGTGTTGGGGCGTGGGACCAAGGCCAGACAGCGCAGACAGCGGACCACTGAAAGGCAAAACTATCACGGATGTGATGATAACAGTCGTGTATATGCCTTGGAAAAGTTTAACCGTTCCTACTGTTGCCAAATCATGGTCAGTTGATGCGGCTCACAGAAAGCTATTTAAAATCACAGGTGAGAATATCCTAGCTAGCTCTACGGCGGCAGGAGATTTCTCTGTGATAGCCCCAGACTACATCCTTTGTTCCTGTTGGTGGTCCTGTCCTCAGCCAACATACTATCGACAATGTTATTAGCCCATGTATTGAAGTCGCCCATATGCGTCCGTTGTTGGAAGGTGGACCTTTTCCACCATAAGAAGAGTACCAATAGGAGCATAACTCCAGCCGCTGAAGAGACCATACTTCCGACCACATTAATACAACACTTCCAGGTCACGTTAATTTCTTACCCACTTGGTTAACGTTATACTTTTTTGGTTAATAATGTGCCCACGGTTTTGACAAACTACCGTGGAAATTTATGCCGTACTCGGTTGCTTAGAAAGTTTAGGAGTTCAATTTAACCTAGCCATGGACAATTTGACTTGGAAACGCTATAGTCATGATGAACTCTATCACTGGTCACACTACTATGGTGTAACCCCTACATAGTTGTATTCGCCAATACCTATACTACCTGTCTTGACAAGGGTGCTCGGTCGAGTCTTCCCCTTTTCCTCTTCCTCAGCCACACAGTGTTGCCAGACCTTCTCGAGTTCGCTTTCAGGCAGTGCCCCTCGGGTGCCCATAATAAACGACACGAATCTTGCTTCTATCGCCCTACAATGAAACTTGCAAATCTTGCAAATCTTGCAATCTTGCAGTTTCTTAATTTTCAGCTTGTCCGCGCCCGCCATTCTAAGCTTGACCCCAGCGCGCTGAATACTTTTTTCCTCACCGTGTCGTCCAGCTACTACAAGGACTTCATCATGTTCGCTGTATCGACCGCATTAGCTGCTCAGGAGGGCTTGTACGCTGGGATGGGGTATCTTAGGTCGACTTGTGGAAGATTCGAATTAGGTCCGTGTGGAGTCACTTTTTCGACCGCCTATTTCCATAGACATTTGAATTCTCTCTAGCATCTTTCCTTTCGACCCTACTTAGCGTATTTCCATGCGGGAATTATAAAGACACTCTACTTCATAATTTACTAATTGCTTTTGTTCGGTGTCCTGAAGCCCCATGGGGTGCGGTCGCCAGTCCACCGCCCAATTCCCATCGATCAGCCCAAGATAAGCCTTCTTATTCAGATACTGCTCCCCCACCAACTTCTTCCTTGCCTCTCTGGGCATTGCTGCTTCCATCAGTCTAGCCAACCTTGGTGCCGCCTATGGCACTGCCAAGGCTGGTGTTGGTATTGCCTGTATGGGCGTTATGAGAGGTAACCACTACTCTTAGTAAAAGACAAGGTAACCCTACCTTACTCCTCTGTAGGTGATCTCGTTATGCGATCTCTCATCCCTGTTGTCATGGCTGGTGTCTTGGGTATCTACGGTCTCATTACCTCCGTCATCATCAATGGCAAGCTTGAGAACCCCGCCGCCCTCAGCCCCTACTCAGTAGGTCCTTCTTCCCCTCTATCCTCCTCTTCATTACCTCTTTAGGCTTATGCCCTACTCGGTGCCGGACTTACTGTCGGTTTCTCTGCGTGGGCCGCCGGATATGCTATTGGCATCGTTGGTGACATTGGTGTGAGGTAAGCTGATTCTTATATGCACTGCTGGTTTCCATGCTGCTCTTACTAGGTGCAACGCTCTTTCCAACGGCAAGTTGTTCGTGGGCATGATCCTCATTTTGATCTTCGCCGAAGCCCTGGGTCTATACGGTCTCATTGTAGGCCTTGTTGTTGCCTCTGGTGCCATGGAGAAGGGTAGCAATCTCTGTATCCCTTACAAGAGCTAAATAGTAGCCTAACATTCATAGTGGTGACTGGTGTTCACCGTCATCATCCCCCCATTGTGTTTTTCATTTCTAGTGGTGACACCTGTTCACCCATCCCTCCACGTGTCACCCGTAGTGGTCTATCGATCCTAGTGTGGCGCTTGCGATACTCAGTAGAATTCTCTCATAACACTGATGGTCTCTTGCCACTTGGAGGGAGGGTGACGGCTTGTCACGGAGTTTGATGATAATGCATCATTGCGAAATGCTAGAACAATTTCCGTCATTTTGTTTGGTTGTGTTGATCAATTTGAAGGAGACCACTGGTGTAGATATTATTCGTTCCTGTTCTATGATCTATAACCCCTATGTAGGCCTTATTGGCACTGTTATTGCGCTTCTAGCCACACGAGAGGCCCAAGGGCTCTCTTTGACTGTTGTCCAGCACGAGACCCTTACCTCTCCAATGACGAAAGGCTCTCTTCTTTCTAGTGGTAGTGAAGGTGTTGTGACGTAATTGATCGGTTACGCCCTTCAGAGAGCCCTTGTAAGGAGCCACCACCAGAGGTAGGGTTGGCCACGTGGGAATGGCAGTATATTGATGGCGAAGCAGTAGCAGTGTATACATGTAGGCTCGAAGGGTATGTTGAGTGTAGGGGTGAACTGTGGTGATAGGCGAACCGGGCTGTATGACGCCTAATAATAAGAGGACCTTCATGGTTAAATGCTCGGCCCTTGGTGTCTACGTTGGGGTTTCGAAATGCGAGAAACGAGGCTGCACTGATGTGCCCAGCAGTATACCTAATGGGAAACTAGAGACAACTTCGGTATGACAAGGCGGTGTTGACAGACTCTCATGTTTTGTTAGGCGCATGTTGCTGCCTTCATCGACCGAGGGTCTCATCGGCAGATGTCCTTCGACTTCCTCTTGCCAGGAGAGACAGCTACTTACACGTGTGCCTTGGGTCACACTGGTGATGGACTCCCGAATGGTCCCAAGAGGATCGTCTATGTGTGCGACTCGACCCGCCAAATGGTAATACCAGGTGGTGTCCTCTGGGCTGGGTAGGGTGGCTATCAGGTTCCGTTGGGGTCGTTGTCGGGGTGTGAGCCGGTAAACTGTGGTGCCCCTCGGTATGTGAAAGGAGGACGGCCAGTAGTAGAGGATCCACACGCGAGGATCTCCTATGGCCACAGTGTGGACTATCTATGCTCGACGGGCTACACTGCAGGCTCGCCGGCATTGCGTCATGGAGCGCATGAGGAGGACCAGTTTACAGTGTAGGTGAAGATGGTCGAGCTGAGGTCCTCATAGTGGTCATCAGTACTTGTGGTCCTGATGGGCATTGGCAGCCCTCACCCTTCCCTATCTGTACGGCAGTCGTGTGTCGGACGGCCCCACACATCCCCAATGCGAGGCCTTCCAGCAGGGCAGAGGTAGGATGCAGTAGAGGCGGCGGCCTGTTGAGGGGGAGTGATCATGGCTAGGCGGCAGTCGCTATACGTGTTGGGAATCAACTTGGGTACACGTGCAATGCGGGGTATACCACGCCAGACGGGACGGGGCAGTTCAGCCTCCCATGTGAGACTACTAAGAGGGCTGATGGAGACGTTAGAGTGTAGGGAGAATGCTGTGTTCAAATGGTAGTTTACTGTTGTCTTCCTCCAGTGAGTTTACCAGTCCCAAGTCGGCACCGTGTGAGCGAGTGGCGTGCCATGAGAAGCCTCCAGTGATCGCTAACGCCACCTTGAGTTCCCCTTTGGATGGTATTGACCTCCTACGCTACAAGGATCAGGTAGTAGTTGGGTACGCCGGATACGCTGTAGTAGGTAGTGTCCTTGGTCAGCTCAACTACACGTGTAGTGATGGTAATGCTGTGAGTGGCGAGGCTGGCCGGACGACCTTGTCAGTGCGGTGCGCTGCCTCTGGGGACTGGGAGTAGGCTGATGCTGGTCTGTTGATGATAGGAGTATCTTTAGTACACCTGTGGAGACGTGCGAGCCGATACAGTGTGGAGTGGTAGCGGACATCCCATCGCAGTGGACCACCAACACTAACCATGACCTCCACTCGGAGTCCACCGTTATAGCTGGGCAGGCGGTTATGTTGGTAAGCCTCACGAGGGCGTGGTTCCATGCAATAGTTCCTGTTCAGTCATGCAATGCACATTCTCGGATTGTCGGGAGCTCCTATGGCACGGTCGAGATCAAGTGTGGCGAGGATGGTCACTTTGTGAACCCCTCTGGTGGGGTGTGTGCAGCTGACTGTGAGCTGAACATGGTTGACTTGTAGCTTCTACTTGGTGGTCTCAGGTCAAGTGCCGGAGATAGACGGAGCCCATGCTGTTGGGGTTGGGAGGGACACCTCCCATATACCCTATCAAGGCAGTGTGGAGTTCCAATGTGATGAACCTGTGAAGTAAGTGGCTCTGGTGCCTGTATCGTCTGTTGATGCCAATCGGACTTGAATAGGTCCCACTTTGAGGTGTCCCTCGACTACCCTGTGTCGGTCACGAGCGAGCCCCTCACACCGGACGCCTCTACCATAGAGTTGGCCTGTAGTCAGAGTGGCCAGCTCAGCTATAGAGGTAATCAACGGCGATGGCGCTGTTCTGATGTGCTGGGCCTAGGCACACTGCTTAGCAGTATGGAGCTGTCGTGCGAGAAGAAGAGATGCACTGGACCTTTGCCGCTGATAGCGCACGCCCAGGCGATCGATTATAAACCGTCGGAAGGAGGAAGGGTTGATGATCGTGTGGAGTTTGTGTGTGATGAGAAGTGGGCCCCTAGTGGAGACGGCGAGGTGACTACAGTGTGCTGGATTGACGAGGAGAAGAGTGGTGGGGCAACTGGTCTCCCATCTAGAGGCCACTTACTGTGGTCTTGCTGGCAGATGCGAAGCCTCAGTGGCGGCCAGGTGGGGGCGGGTGTGTTCCAAGTGCCCCTCCCTTTGGAATGGGGATTTATAAAGGAGGTCATGAGCCGCCAATGGAAGTTGCTGGCGGGTAGTGTTGAGATGCTTCGCTCCGCTAAGATTGGGTTATTGAATATTTAGGTCACATGAGTGTACATGGCCGGAGGTCCCGGGGACGCATATGGAGAAAGGAGAGGACGGGCAGTCGGCTGTGTACACCTGTGAGGAAGCTGATAGGTGGGAAGTGTGGTAACGATAGGGCGACCAACGCTGTTGTTGTTGAGGTACATCTATGGTCGAGGCTCAGTGACTGTCACTTGCGATAAGCTGTCGGATGGATCCTCGAGGCTGTCTATACCGCTGCCAGTGGTGGAGGGTTGTACAGAAGAGGAGAAGGAGTGGTAGGGGATATAGTTGGTGCGGAGGGTCAAGGTTTGGTCAGGTGCTGGGATGCGGAACTTGGCATCAAGGCCGCTCCTGGTCAGAGGGTGACGGTCTACTGTGATGACGTGGAGGAGGGGGAAGAGGCGACCGCGCCCTCGACGACTAGCTCGAGTACTACAGCGTATACTACGACCACTACGGAGGGACCGGACCTGAGTACGCACAGTGGTCCGGTTGCTGGTGTAGGCAGTGACCAAGAGACACCTGGCATAGCTGGGGATGATGCCTCTACAATGGGGGGAGTAGAGGAAGCATCGTCTACAACCACTTCTACTCCAACATCAACTGCCACTACTGTTGATGATGAGTCCACTGCTAGTAGCAGTACTACTAGTATCTCTACTACTACCACAACTACTACTACAACGAGTACCACTAGTATTAGTTCTGCTTCTACTACTACCATTGCCACCACTACTACGACTTCTACCAGCAGCACCACTACGACGACTACTACGACTACTACCAGCAGCACCACTACGACGACAACCACAACCACGACCACCACAACCACGACAACCGTTACAACGAGTACCACAACCAGTACTACAACGAGTACCACGACAACGACCAGTACTGCAACAACTACCACGGCAACGGCAACTGCTGATAGCGGTAACACTGGAAGTATTCCGGAGCCAACGGATGAGCCTACTGATTCTAAAGAAGGCGATAACGGGACAGAGTAAGCGTCGTGTTCACCTTCATCTTTTGGGTTATTGGCACCTCCTTTCAGACCGCCCACTGAGTCATCATTCATTCAGCTGCGGTTCAATCGGCCACTGATGTTGCGGGCTGCCGAGGCCCCGTCGGAGGTATCGGACGTGAATGCTACAGATGAACAATTCCTACGAGATGGAGTCTGGGATACGAGGAAGGACGAGCCCGTGAAACTGATACCGTATAGTATGATACCGTATTATAGGCAGAAGCAGGAGGCGGAACAGAAGGCCAGGAGGGAAGCTGAGGCTGAGGGTGCTGCGGGTGGGACCCGATCGGATCACGCGGGAGACCAGCATGAACAAGCATCGACCTCCAGTACTGGTCAGGAGGACCATCCTGCTCCAAGTGGTGGGGAAGGGGGCCAGCCTGATACCAGTGGAGATGGAGATCACGCCGCTGCTACCAGTCGTGGGCAAGAAGACCACGGCCCTGCTGCTAGTAGTGGGCAAGAGGGTCACGGCACTGCTACTCAAAGCGGACAAGAGGGCCACGCCGGTGCTACCAGTAGTGGGCAAGAGGCTCACGGCGGTGCTACCAGTAGTGGGCAAGAAGACCACGGCCCTGCTACTAGTAGTGGGCAAGCGGATCATGGCGCTGCTACTAGTAGTGGGCAAGCGGATCATGGCGCTGTTGCTAGTAGTGGGCAAGCGGATCATGGCGCTGTTGCTAGTAGTGGGAAAGAGGTAGACGATTCCGTCTCCATCGGTGGGCAGGAGAAAACTGGTGAAAGGACTAACCACTCTGAGGCCACTGATGGGCACGTTGACCAGGCTGATATCAACAGTGGGCAAGAGCCCATTGCTGATGGACTGGGGAAAACTGGTGAAAAAGATGACTACTTCGGGACCAGCCCAGAGGAGGAGGAGGACCACTTGGCTGCCCATGATAGGCCGGAGGACCACTCCAAACACAAAGCTGGGCAGAGCAGCCCTCTTAGCGAGGGTCGTATTGGAGGTAGTGGGGGAGAGGACGAGGACCTAGGCGGTGGTCCTCTGGATCGGGCTCGTGGTTCTGCGGTAAGCAATGCTGTGAAGAAGGTAGCGGGGAAGGCTCATGCCGTCCTCCATCCTGGCGGGGTTCATCATCATCGCCCATCGCACAGTGGAAGCGTAGTAGACAGGAAGTACTCGATGATTTGTCGTAAGGATGGTACCTGGTTGAAGCCTAAGGGGAAGGTCTGTAGGCCAGTCGTTAGAGTTAAGGAGGAGCCGACGCCCGAGTCCGAGGTAGGCATGAACGATCGATCCTTCATTGTGGTCAGTGGCTTCGGTATTCAGGAAGGGGCCTTCACGTATGCTACACACACGTTCTCGAATGAGATGCAACCTGCCCAGCTAGCCGTCCTGGACGAGTCGAAGGAATATTCTAGTAGGAGTAGGCGGCGGCTAGGGTCGATGTCGACCACGAGGGGCCGGGCCCATCCCTTACCGTTTGTCTGGACGATGCTGATGCTTCTGTACTTCGTCACACATGGCATGTGATTTCTTGAATCCATCAGTAGCATACCAAAGTAGCTCGCCTTGTCCTCGTCGTTGTTGCTAGCAGCTGTAGCAGGGTTGAGTTCAATAAGGCCGCACTAGGATGAACTTCCTCGTAGTACTTCATTCCACTGGAAGTGCATGGCCGACCATCCCTCGACTATGGTGGGGTCCACTACCAATAATCAACAGTTTGGTCCTCAAGCTGTCGCCAACGCTACTGCCGTTCTCTTTGGTGCTAAGACGGATGCCACGGCGAGGTAGGCCGCGCCTCGTTCGGGCGCTTCTTTATTAGAGTGGTCCTGTAGGCGACAAGCTGATGAGTATCTACGATGCTTTGCAGAGGACGATGCCGCTATATGGGACGTATGGAGGACCTTGCTTGAGGACGGCGACTCGAATGTGATGTAAACTGAGGGGCTGCTCCGTAGAGGTCGAGAGGCGTAGCTCGAGAGTGTGTTCGAATAGTGCTGGCTCCACTAAAGGGCTACACAAGTGGTTCGTGCAGGTTCATTGCCGCCCAGACTATGTACCTCCGAGTGCGAACATCATCAAGGCACCCTCCCATTGTGAAGGAGTTGTTCCACATCCTATCACTTCATCTGGGGAGTAGTAGTACCGTACCATCTTTGGTACTCCAAAGGCTGGCTCTCACGCTGGCAGCACTAGCGGCTCGTGCTGTGTACTCTAGGAAAGGGGAGGAGGCGATGGAGTGGGTACAGGGGGCTGGCCCTGGCTACTCTCCAGTGAGAGCCATAGTAGGTCGGCCTGGACAGGGGACGATGTGCTCAGCTCGATGCCTCTCAGGTGGACTTCACCGTGGCCTCACCTAGCCATGTTGGAATTGGTCTCTTCATGCTCACAGCGCTGGCCAGTGAGTGTCGAGATGTGGTCCTTAAAGGGATGCGGAGTCGACAGGCGCTGCCGCCTATCCCAGATCTGGATGCGGTGTGGTCCTTGCTACCACAGCTCAACCCTACAGTCGAGCAAGCACATGACCTGCTGGTGGCATGGGCCCTGTCGACCACGACACTGCAGTTGGGGGCCGCTTGCCCCTTGGGAAGTATAGGTGTAGCTGAGTGGCTAGTATTCCGCGGTATGTTGGAGACCATAGCAGACTGCCTCGACCACAGTCCTAATGCTTATTCACAATGGCATGCCTCTGCCGACGAGTCCAGCCAGTTTCTCAAGTGCTCCGATGGTGAACGAGTCGCTATTGCTGCTCTGCTGTCCTTCCTACATAATGTTGGTAACAGCTTGGATAAGGCGGATCGCGACAGTGTTGGTAGGGCGGCCCGGTACTGCAAGGTTTTAGCATGTGCTTGGACGCCTCTGCTGTTCGATCCTTCTGGTGAGGTAATCCTCCCTTGCATGGCCGGCATTCTGAGGCTCCCTCGGTGGCCGGCATGTGGTGCCTCGACTGTGCTCGACATATGGCCATCTCTGAGGGAGATGCGCAATAGTGAATGCCTCAGTGGAGAGCAGGTGGCGGCTCTGGTCAGAGCACTCGGCCAGCCTAGCATACAAGCGTTATTGACATTCTCTAGGATGGACGCCTTGTCCCTGCATGAGGAGGGCAACGAGGACGAGGAGGGGAGGCAGAACTTACTGGCCTTCCGTGACCTGGCCTGTGACGTTACAGTGGATGTCTATTCATTGGCTGATGGGCTGGGCCACGGCGATGCTTTCTTGGACCAGTGTTGTCCAGATGGAGAGGACCCGTTGGAGCTCGAGGCTAGTATCCATATAGTGATGGGAGTTGCCGAGCTCCGCTGTGGTGACGGCCACATGTCGCCTCCGATACAACGTGTATTGGAGAAGGGCTTGGCGGCAGTCTGCAAGCCGGAGTGCTACGTCCCGTTGTGCCAGGCTGTGGCGGAGATGCTCACTGTTGTTACCAAGCAGGTGGCGGCCCTTCCTGATCTGCTACAGGTTGCTATTGAATGGGCCGCTGGTATTGGCCTAGATAGATGCCCGACTGAAGTGACGGCAGCACTGATGGCCCTCTGCAGTGAGGAGAGGGCCCTACCAGTGTTGTTGCCAGTAATGGAGCAGGGGCTCTTGCCGAGGGCCAGGGCTGCAGCTGGGCACATATCGCCTCAGGCGGACGCCACTATGTTTGGTGCCCTTGTCTGTGTGGTACGGTCCCTGGAGGACAAGCCCGCGAAGGACCTAGGTCTGAGCACTATCTTCGGCGCTGCACTTACTATGACGCCGATCGACCACATGGCGGATTTCTATAGAGAGGTACTGCGAGCACAGACGTGTTGTTGGGCGCTTACGGCAAAGAGGGACTCTCGAACACCAGAGAGGGATGCCTTGCCCAGAACGACCAAGCTGTTGGCACAGCATCTGCGTACACATACTGAGAGCTTGTACCGGTACTTGTCGGCTGCGGGCTCCGCGGTGTACTCAACGAGTGTTCGAGCTGGTCCATCTCCAGCACAGAGGAGGCTGCCGGCAGGGGAGCTGAGCCTGACCTCGATGGCCCCTCTGTGTCATCATTACTTGCGCTACTTGGTCCGTGCTACTGCGGGTAGTATGGGAACGCCTGAAGGGACGGAGCTGGCTACTGCTCTCCTTGACCTTTGTGCTCGACTGCTACGAGACTCCGTCATTTGCCCCTTATCTATTGTTGCTGACTGGGTCATGTACGGCGGCTCTGTTGAGAGGCTCCTACGACCGGTCCTTCCACTGGCCCTCGAGGCCACTGATCGTTCCTCTACGGCCAACGGGGTTCAGGCCGCTGCCCCGCTGTTCCAGCTGTTGTATTGGGCTGCTGTCGAGAATAGGAGGACGGGCCTTTATGGGAATACTGAGGTCCTTACTACTACGATCGCGGTTGCCATTCACAGGTGTTTGAGCTGTACTGATAGAGAGCTCGACTCATGGGTGCTGCGGTACTTGACCAAGTTAGTGACGGCGAGGGATGTGGGGGTCCGGAGGGCAGTACAGGGCGAGTTCCAGGGTCTGGTCATGGGACTATTGAGGAACTTCACTCGCTATAACAGGGCTAATGCAAGCCACACATATGCTCTCTTTGAGGCGCTCCTCGAGACCTATCCAGAACAGTTCCAACAGGTGTGTGTATCGGTATTCAATGATGAGTCGATCGGTGATAGCGTCGATAAGAAGCTGACTGCTGCCCAAAAGCCATTGGCCTTGGAGTGCTTCGTGGGGCTGCGGGGCATGAAGTTGAAGATGTTTTTGAATGTGCTCACTAACATCGATCTAGGCCTGGTACCGTCAGGGGAGGCCCTCGTACCGTATGAGGCAATGCTCGAGGCCAGCAGAGCCCCTAGGAACGAGGGGATCGTAGATCTCACTCTGGATTGACTGTTGCTATTATTACTACTACTGTTGAGTCATTTAATATGTTGTTATAGTTTCTATACCACACCACAGCTTCATCATCCTTGGGTTTGCTCAATACAGGGGAATTCAGTTCGGTATGGGAGGGGGGGGGGTTCCGAATCTTCGATTTCGTGTCGGAGGGTCCTGAGCACTGCTATCAGGGTTGTATGTTGGTTGATGACGACTGCCTCGCTGTCGGCTTTGGTCATGCCCTTATGCGTCTCTGATTGGGACATGGTAGTTGCTGTCCTCACCGGCTACCTCAACAGCAACGCTAAGATCACCACTACTGAGCAACTGGACCTACTCCTTTCGTGTTGCACGTCGATTCACCTCATATCTCAGCCATGGATGCGGCGCCAAGTCCTACTCCTCGTGACCTGCATCCTTGTCCGTAGTGGCCTGGTTGGAGTTCCTGCAGCACTCGAGGAGTACTTGATGCGGTCCTGGGACGACTGTGAGTTTGGCGCTACATTCACATTTGATGATGCTAGGTTTCTAGTATGCCTGGCTCACAGGGGTAGAGGTAGCGAGCCTCTGGTGTGTCGGATATTGAGGTCCTCGAGGGTCGGTGCCACCTTTCTATCGGCCGTACATTTGCATACTACCTTGGAGATGGTCCTGGACATCATGTTGGCTAGTGGCTGGTCCCATGGCAGCTACCGTCGGCCATGTGGGATGTGTGCACTACTGCAGTGCTTCGACTCATCAGCCCCGTCCGAGGCCCTTGTGGTGGACACCGCTCTGCAGCTCATCCAGGCATGCGTTCGTAGCGGCCGAATGAACCAGATGGAGAAATGCCTCAGGGAGAGGTCAATGGATCCCAAGGCAGCCGAGATCCCTATGATGTGCTTTATAGGAGCGTTGAGGAAACGGCAAGATTGCAAGTGGCTTCGAGGGAGGTTGTCGAGTCGTCACTACTCCCCCATAGTAACAGGGGTGATAGTGTCTCTGTATGGCTCGGACCAGCAGCTCGGCCTGGAGTCCGTAGATGAACTTTTATATTGTGCGACGGAGGGCTGCTTCCCTGTGAACACCAGTAAAGTGCATATCTACGTTTCCAGGCACTCTCCTATGGTGGCTGCTACTCTCGGGAAAGTCCTGAAGGCTTCCTCTGACCAAGTGGGAGTGGCCGGGCGAGCGCTACTTGCGATTCAGCGGCATGCTCGGCAGTGGTCTAGTCTGGGGTGGTCACGGGACCAGAGGGTACGGTGGCTGGGAGAGGGGTTCTACATGGTGGTCTGTGTGGTCTTCCGAGACCTTATCGGGTTGGTCTCACCCGAGGCTGTGCTGGAGACGGTGTTGCTGCTCAACAGCTTTAGACTGGAGACAGCTGATAGCGAGGCTTTGGTCTCGACTGCTCTCGCCAAGGTGGAAGAAGGTAAGTTGGCAGCCCTCATCCTGCCGTTGCAGAAGACTGACGAGGTGGTGACGGGCCTCTCTTGGTTGGGCCAGAAGGCCAGTGAGGTCTGTAATAAGATGTGCTTGCCACTGCTTTATCGAGGGCTCAACAGCACCTCTGCAGTGGTTGAGGCCCTGATGGCAGTAGCAGCAGGGGGACTGCCTGTCCGTGATCGTATCGGGTACGTGTCTCGAGCGGTGGAAGTGCATACAGCAGAGCACTGTGGACCTCTGGGCCTGGCCGTCTGTCGGCTCATGGAGGCCGCTGATACAGATGCTTACTTGGCCGAGAGAATCCTTAAGCTGCTGCGTGATGCGACGCTTCGATGTTCAGAGCCTTCTAAGGTGGCCTCTTTGTATGAGGTCTTCCTGAGAGCAGGGCGACGATGGACCTCGTTGGCTGCTGACCTTTTGTACGTTCCGGTGGGGATCGATGCTGAGGGGATCTTCCGGAAGGTGGTCACGTCTGAATACGACTATGTGTCGAAGAGGATGATGTTTCTGCAGTGGATACAGCAGGTGCGTCCAATGAGGCTAACTTCATCGTTATGACAGGACTTCACCGTGGTGTGGTATTGAAATTCAACTGCAAAATTGATGTTTCTAGTGGTATTATCGATAGTGCGTTGAGGCCACGACACTGGAAGATGGTCTGACTCGTTAGCTATTATGATAATGCATATTCGACTTCCTCTGCTCTTCCTGCTACTGATATCAGCGGTCTTGGCGGTCCGTCACAAGGCACCACCATCGTCGACATCACTGCTGCAAAGGTCGATTGCACCGGTGGACTCTCCCGATGCGAGGGTGTTAGAGAGGGAAACTCCAAGGCTGATGAGTAAGTGGTTCCCGTTTCCTTGGTGTTGTAGGAGGACTGCTGCTTGTTGAGGTACTGGTATTGAGGAGGAGCTGCCGCAGAGTGCATACAGACCTGAGGTCAGCAGCTGAGGGATAGCTGTATATGGGCTTCACTAAAATACGACATATGGCGTAGACATATATCGTGGCTGAACATGATAGATCACTTAGGTCTCTGTTGAGCTGATTTTATAACCGGTCGATTGTTGGTATTAGCTGAGACCATTACTTGTCAACGTAAAGCCTGTGATGTTTTTACCCGCGCTACATCGTCACATAGTTTGACATAGTATCACCACATCGCATTGCGGCTGTTTAGATACTCCCGCCAGGGACCAAGGCCCAGTTGGGATTTTTCGCGAGAATGCTGGCGAGGTTGGGTGCCGAGTCTGGTCAGCTCCATGACCCAGCAAGGTCGGAAGACATCAGCAAGTTTATGAACTTCAAGCAGACCAAGTGGGCACACTATTGGTAGATTTTCTCAGCGGAGCGAAGGTTTCAGATGCTGCGCCCCTGAGGTGAAGTCTTATGATGCCTTTGCTGAATCGGATGGACAACCAGTTCGGGCCGAAAATATATCTGTCAATTTGCAGAAGTTGAGGGCCGTGAACTTGGATGGCGAGGCTGACCTCTTGAATGGTGGAGGCCCTCGAGTACGCCCAGCATTAGTGACGTTCATGCTTGCTACGACAGTTGCTTTGCTATTTGCATGCTGATGGTGTTGTTAGCTAACAGTTGATGTTCATAGTGGAAAATGCTTGTGTTTGGGTGTTGCAATATGATCTGTTAAGATATCATTTTCTCCAATGGTTTTGAGCATCAGCAGCATCAGCCAGTTCATAGTGGGAGTGGCTGTTACATTGCAATTTGCTGATGTCATTATGGGCCTCCTCAAGAACACTACTGTTACCTCGGCTACAGTAAGCAGCACTGTAGAGCGATAGCAGTCAAGGTCTGTTTAGGGCTCAGAGGACCCTTGGTTGAACGCATTGCTAGCGGCCATAGTCGGCGGGGGTTTCTTCGTGGTCGCTGAGTGTCTTAGCCGTCTTGACATACTGCCAGCTTGGGTCGGGTCGATGTTCCATGATAGAGCACTCAACGCTCATAGGAATTGGGAGAGGCATTTTCGGAGGTAAAAATGCAAGGTGCAGGGTTCGAACCAGCGACCTGGTGGTATCAGGTCTGTAGTAGAAGCTGGAGTGGCAGTGGCATCCTCGTGGGCAGCAGCGAACCATTTGTCAGCAGGCATCCCTCTCTCGGTTGCTATTGGTATTACAGCAGCTATCGGGTCTGTTGTGATCTGCCATTCCTTGGACATCTTCGCTTGGCATGGGGCTGACAGTGTATCGTCGGACAAGGTGGATCGTGACTGTGTAAGCATGCCCTCATTCACATTGGGTACCTCGGTGTTGGTAGGTGCAGTCGGTTGGGCCTAGCAAGGCAGCTGGTGAGGAAGCTAGTACAGACGGGGTGATGGGTGGGTCTAAGTCGGAAGAGCCATTGCCATCATATACCTGGGAGGAGGTGTCGAAGCATGCCAGTAGAGAGTCATGTTGGATAGTCGTGAATGGCTTCGTGTAAGCATTAGGGACGAGGGTGTACTGGTTAGGGGCACTGGTAGGTATGATCTCACCAACTGGTTGGATCGCCATCCTGGTGGAATTCTTCCAATTTTGAACTGTGCTGGAGACGTGGATGCAACAGACGTGTTTGTGTCTAACCACCCGCCCAAGGTCGTCAAGAGGATACTTCCTGCCTTCAAGATCGGTAATACTACAGCATTTCCAGGTCAAATTAATTTTTTACCGACAAAATCAATTTTTCACCCATTTGGTTGATGTTTTACCTTTTAAGTTAACGTTTTACCCATGGCTTTAATAAAATACCAAGAAAATTAATAAAATACCCGGTTTATTTGAAAGTTTAGGAATTTAATTTAATCAAGGCGCGCCCAATGATAATGTGCGACTCGAGAGCTCTGCATATCGATCAAATGGGCGTGCGCTTCTCGTCGAATTGGCGAAGTCGCGCTGTTCGTTGAGAAATGAAGGCATGCTGCTTTAGGGAGGCTTGAGGGTTATACTGTATCTCCAGCCACGGCTGAGTTCCGCAAGCTGGTGTCTGATATGGAGGCATCAGGATGGTTCGATACTGACCTCACCTACTACATGGGCCTTGGTGTATGGTATGCTCTACTACTGGCAGGAGCTATATATTCACTAGTGGCATTGCAATCAGCTGTAATGAAAGATGCTGTTGTCGTTCGTACTGTAGTGGTTAGTACAGCACGATGTTGATTGCGATAGCAGTGGATAGTTAGACAAGGCATTCGCCTTCTCCATTGTCGCGGTAGATGCTGTGAAGCTCACCGTCGTAGTGATAGGTACTTGGAGGCTTCCTGATGGGTCTAGTCTGGCAGCAAGCAGCATTTACTGGTCATGACCTTGGTCACAACGCTGTGTTTCACGATAAAGCCCGAGACGACCGTTGGGCCGTCTTTGTGGGCAACTTTCTGGGAGGAGTCTCCATAGGATGGTGGAAAGCAACACACAACGTGGGTTTACCAATTTCGTGGCGCGCGACATTATTTCCGCAATCAGGTTCACCACGTTGTCACCAACTCCATACCGTCCGATCCGGACATACAGCACATGCCGGTCCTCGCGGTGACCTCGAAGATCGCCCTACCTCAGGACGCCGAGCATGCGGCTAAGGGCTTCTGGAGCAACTACCACGAGAAGGCAAGTTTGATATATTAAGAGAGGTCTATGAGAGGCTGTATTGTTCAGTACTTCCCACTCGATGCTGTGGCCAGGAAGGTTCTACCTCGTCAGCACTACCTGTAGCGGTACAGGCTTGTGTGAGAGGAAGTACATGGTCTTGCTAGATACTATATTGTTATGCTCGTTGCACGCTTCAATCTCTATCTACAGTCAGTTCTGTTGCTCACAGCCGACAAGAGAACTAGGCTCATGAAGGGCGTTAGAAGCCCGAAGTGGGAGCTTGCTGCCCTTGCTGGCTTTGCTATATGGTGGGGATCTTGTGCTTCGCTCCGCTAGAGAATCTGAACTTTTAGGTACGTCTATTTGGTGTCGTTCTTACCATCATCAGCGGCACGCTTTTTGTTTGTTTTGATCTCGCACTCAGTGGCTGGGGTGCTTCACATCCAAATCACCTTGTCCCATTTTGCCATGCCAACCTATGATGTGGACCAGAGGCCCCTCAAGGTACGGTGGGCCTGTTAGCCGCTATAGCTGCCGAATTTGAATGCTAGGTGGAAGCAGCCACTGCCATCACCGATAAGGTTGACCATCCAGCGTTTTTGGCGCATCAGCTGAGGACATCATTGGACATAACCTGTCCATGGTGGTTGGACTGGTTCCATGGCGGTCTGCAGTTCCAGTCCGCACATCACGTATTCCCGAGAAGTCCGCGGCACAAGGCGCGGCAGTTGAGCATCATTATCAAGGACTTCTGCAAAAAGTAAGACGAGTAATGTTATTCCTCCGGCTCATGCCTATGCCTGCTCGTGAACTAGCGACAGCAACTCCTCTTGAGGGCAGCTGAGGCTAGCAAAGATATTTCCAACACTGAACTTGGGATGATGGATATGGTAGGTCTTCGAATCAGGCACGGTATGGTATACAATGAGGTTGGCTTTGTGGAGGCCAACCGTATGGTGCTCAAGACTTTATCTAATGTCGCGTTAGACACGCATAATTATATAACAGAAATGGCAAATCTCGAAGGCTGAGCTCCTCCTTCTCCTCCTCATCGTAGAAGTACTTGCTGATTTTCGTCGACTTACATGCTACTGTCGCTTCAATTTTCGTTCGATATCACATGGTGCTGAAGTTTTGCGTATGGCTCTGGGTAGCCCCCCAAAAGATTTTCATTGTAAGAATTATTGTGAGTTGAAGCTGCTGCCGTGCTGAGGTCCCCACTGCTGTTGTGTTGGAGTCGTTACTATTCAGTGGAATCCAGTTGGTGTCGTCAGAATGACAACAAAGTTAGTTCGCGATCCTGGGTACGCTGACCCGGTGAAAGCATTCCGTATAGGTGCGACATGCAACATTTTGTCGTTCACAATACCCGATGAGACGGAAGTTGATATTACTAGGTTGGAACTGAGCAGGTTAGGACAAGACTATTGCCTTATGGAGGACTACACTGTGTTCCGAGCTGGCCGACTTGTGGTATGTATCGGTCTGCGGTCAGGGACCAACCATCTCCTCTACGCCTACAACGAGAAGGACGACGTGATAACTATGTTGGGACAAGTGATGACCAAGGAAAAGAAGATCCCAAAGAGCATACGGTTTGGTATCAACACGCGGCTTTATTTTGGCGAGGAGCATCTGAGATTGTGCGCTATGACTATGAGGATCTTCCTAGTGCATGTACAGGGAGAATACTTGTGGTCCGACTCGTGGTCGTATCGATTCTGGAGAGGTATGTTCACTCTGGGTCTGTTTGCTCTACCCCATAAAGAGACCATCCTTATACCCCATCCTAGAGAGCGATACTGTGTGGAACTGCCGACTGATCCGACGGTTTGGGCCCGGGGGAAGAAGTTGAGGAAATACGGCAAGACTTTCCAACTTAGTGTGAATATGGATTTCGATATGGACTTAACGGTATTTTTTCTCTACTCCATCGTTAGCAGTGGTATGGAGAATGCCCTCCTCTCAGTTCTGTGCGCTCTACCATGAGAAAGTGAACAAAGGCACCTGGTTGGATGATCGTTGCCTTGACGTGCTGCTTATGATCAAAGAGGATCCCGGTGGTCCACAGAATCTGCGTTTCGTGGCGTGGGAGCTCCGAGATGTGGAGAGTGGCGATATAGCTGCTTTAAGTATGGGGTTTATACTAGGGTAGTATAACCTTATGCGTGGGGTCCTCTTAGTGTGCTTGCCAGGTCGGCCTTCCACGACTTCACAGCGAGTACTCCTATAAGGGATAGGAGATCAGCAGGCCGGCTACTCCTTCAGGTGGAAGGCCATATGCTCAGCCTGATTGGTAGTGTCAGCGCTGGGAGGTCGTTTCCTCGCCGAACGTGTGGGGTATGGTTTTTCTGAGTAAAGTATCGTTCGACGTTAAGGACAGACATCTCGGTAGGGATATGTTTAGTCATATAAGCTGATGGTGTTACTCTATGGAGATTGATATCTTAAAAATTCTGTCATGGAATATCGTATTTCACTTGTGGTTTATTTACTACTCTGTGCGTCTATGGGCGTGGAACTCTACGGTAGTTTTTTTTCCGTTTTACTACGTCGTGTCTCAATAGGTAGATCTTCTCGCTCGCATATTTTGAGGTTGCGCGTGGAAGATACGGAATAGGCCCGACTTAGACCCTTCAGGTGTGAAGCTGTGGTATCTCGGATTCCCCATGCCCTACATGCGTGAGATCCTCGACCCCCTCGGTGGTCGCTGCATACCCCGAGCGGAGTTCGTCCCCAAATGGCACGACTGCCGTTGGACTCCCCTCCCACAAGCACCCGATAACGTAGCAAGCGTGAAGTTGATAAAAAAGGAGATAGCCGAGGGCAAGGCCCTCATTCCTCCTCGTCCTCAGAGGAGAGGGAGCCTAGTTGAGGACTAGTGTGTGTACAGTACCTGTTATGACGTACTTTATTATCATCATCTCATCGCCCTCTTGTTGCGTCTGAGAGTCCTCTACAGTGGTAGAGTGTGTTGCCTGGTGGCATCCGCGCCTATGAAGGCGTCCCGTCAGTATCGACCGAATGTTCGAGCCCTCAACACTCTCTATTGCGTGAGAAGCTATTCGAAAGGCCACAAACATGCAATGGGGGAGGAGGGCGGAGTAATGACGGCAAGACTTGAGCTTTTCGTATTCCTCTTCGACCAGCCAGGATGAAACTGTTGTTCCTCAGAAGTTCCTTCAGTAGTTCCTGTGACCCCATCTCTGGTCCGATCGCTAGGGATGGAAAAGACCACTGTTTTGTGTGTGAATTCTTCCCCCCTCCTGTTCGTGAATGCTCGAAAGCAGTGCTCAAGCGGGGAGGCTGTGTATATAAATGGTAACCAATGTCGAGTGGACACTGAGGTCTACCATCAACACTGCTTCAAACGCAGTGCAACTCAGTACTACTCCGTCGGGTGCTGGGGCTCTACATGATTTACTTTCTCAATCTCCAGCCTGGGGGTTGAGAAAGTGCTTTATGTAGTGAATTGGTCCCCGGGACCAGAGGTCGGCAAACTGATCTGCAGTAGTTGCTATAATACGGACTTCGATAAGAACAACTCCCACACTAGAGAGGCTATTGTCACCAGCCGGTACTACTCACCATCGTTGACAGTATTGGACTGAGTCCTCGGACAGGCGGCAGAGTGACTAGGAAGGCTCAGCCCTTGAAGAGCATTCTCTTGTTCCTGTGTGACGTAGTGATGGGCAACCTCGAGCGACGATGAAGCCGTGTAGCATGCATGAGTACTGTAGCCTGTCTGCTTATGAGGCCCTGTGGTGTTCGGAGAGGCAGCCAGGGGGACGGTCGGGACATCAGCTTTACTTGGATGGTATTAATTGTTTTCCCCTACTATGGCGATCGCATCCCAAGGACCGGCAACCAGAATGAGAGGCCCCCTCCTCTTCCCCCTCTTGGCCTTACTGGGCTTTCTATTGAGACTACTCCTGTTCGCCGCACTGGGCTCGCCACTTCTGTTGAGGTCTAGTCCCGAGCTGAACTCTCCTATCAACGACTATGAGCGGCTGCAGGAAGCCGTGGCAGCCCTTTCGAAAGGTGAGGCCCTCTGCTGTTCGTCGGTGAGGGCTCTTACTATTGTCCTCAGGTGCCGACCCTTATGCTGCCAGCCTCTTCCACCAGCCCCCTTTGGTCCTCTATCTCTTCTCTACAACGTCCCATATACTACCCCTTCAGTGGGGGGCTATTGTTATCATCGCTGCCTCTGACGTTGTGTGCGCTGCATTCCTCTACAAGGCCTCTAGGGAGTCCCTCTTCATACCATGTGCCTACCTATTCAACCCCATCAGTATCCTCTCGTGCCTCTCCCTCTCTGGGCAGGCCCTTCACATGGCCCTGGTTGCTGGCTGCCTCTGCCCGGGCCTCATCAGCTGCCTCTCTATAGCTACCCTAGCTTACGTCCGCTGCAACCCGTTACTACCATTCGCGTTGGTCCTATCCAAATCGGCGATGGAGTGCCCTACAGGCTCCTGCCTTGGCTCCAGACTCCTACGGAACTGCGTTGCTACTGGTGAGCCCTTTCCTCCTTGTGAGACCTACACTGACGGACTCAGGTACGTATTTCGTATCTCTGCTTCTGGCCTCCTTCATAGCAATGGGCAGCTGGGAGGGGTTTGTGGCAGGCATCCGTGGCACCATGATCGACCCTTTCCTCATCAGCGAGCTCCAGCCCAACATAGGTCTCCATTGGTACATGTTCACTGAAGTCTTCCCTCGGTGAGGGCTACCACAAGTGGCTGCAACAGCAGCAGCAACAGTAGTCTCTGTCTAGGTTCTACTCGCTCTTCCTGTTCGTCTTCCAAATGCTGCCTCTTGTCCACGTATTACCCCTCTACTTCCGGCTGGGTGTCCATGGCGGAGAGTACGCTCGACAGTAAGTCCTCTGGTTGAGAGTGTGTCGTAAACAACAAGTACTTTGTGTATTACTCACTCGCTACTTGGCTACTCTACCACCCAGCCTAGTGCTGAGTCATACCGCGGCCGCTCTATTGATCGTGGGGGGCTGCGAGCGTCTACCATCATGTATCAGGTCCCACACTTGGAACGTTGTTGCACTCACTCTCCTCTTCCAACCCTACCCGACAGTAATGACCATCCCTAAGCAGCACAGCTCACGTCTATCCCATCAGGCACTGGACTTCCTCCTACTCTCTGTACTACTGCTACTGCACTACGAGGACCTCACCAAAGTGAAGGCCTTCACTAAGCTGTATGATGAGGATGATAAGGCCGGCGAGAGGGCAACGGAACTCCAACCCAACAACTATGAGCAGTTCATGATACTCTTCCTCGCGATAGGGACTCTGAGTAAGCTGGGCCGGGAGGGATTGGTGTCACACCTTGGTGGTCTCAGCTTTGGTACTGCATCCAGCAATGACCTTGTTGTGGTTGGGCCGCAACACGGGTAACCCCAACTTCGTCTTCGTCTCGAACCTCCTCCACCAAGGAGCGTGCGGAGTTGCCGCATCGGTGGCCGTGGCGACGAGCATTAAGGTTTATAAGGAGAATAAACGATGGCAGCAGCAACAGCGAGACGATAATGATAACAAGAAGAAGAACACTTGACCGTTTTTTGGACGCTGGTTTTGTCGTGTTGGGGTTCAGCTTTGAGACGGGTGGTCATCAGCTCTTTATCATGTCGCCATCACCATCATCAGTTGCAGCGGCATCGTCCTCTAATACCACCACGAGCATCTCTTCGGTTGCCAAGGACGTGCCCAGTCTCCAGAAGTAAGCCTAGTAGGGCTGGTCTGTACTAGAAGGAGGGCATGCCTCAGGGACTTCACCGAGTTCTGGGTTGCGGCCACTAGAGTGGTCCGACTGAAGAGGGGACAGATTGATATCGATATCGCCAAGAAGGTGTCTCAGCTCATGAAGGCCATCCTCTCCGCGGCCCGAGCATCCCGCCATCCCCTTCCACAAGCGAGGAAGGACAGACGTCAGGTAAGTGGTGATCTGTGAAGTAGCAGAAAGATGGTATGGAGTTTCTATCGTCAGGTGTCTCTACGGGTGTATGGCCTCCTCATTAAGGGTGCATGCGTGCTATTCAGTCGAAAGGCGGACCTCGTCCTGAGGAGATGCGACAGCGTCATGGCCAAGTAGTGAGTCGTCCGTCTGTCATTGCTGATCTGGACCTCCAGGTTCCGTGAGGCCCTGCGGTCTACGAAGGGCTTCGTCGATAGTGAGGGGTCTGATGGAGAGGAGGAAGGAAGAGCGGCTGCTGCTAGGAAGCGGAAGAAAGGGAAGCAAAGGAAGCGTAAGACAGCAGCTCAACAGGTCGATGACGCAGTGGAAGAGGTAGGCCAAGAAGGAGGAGGTGATGATGATGAGCCTTGGAGTGGTCCAGCATTCAGGGAGACGAGAGGAGGGTCAGGCAGCGGACAGGCAGCGATCATCCTACTTCAGTCATGGACTCGGCATCGACCAGGTTGGCCGACAGTCCGCCGCCGCCGCCGCCCTCTATCAATGGTGATGCTGAGGAGGAGGAGGAGGATGGGAGACGGCGTAACGAGGAAGGTGGTGGTCTTCTCAGGGTACATGAGAAGACATGAACCGGTCTCAGGTCTGATTGAAAGTGGTGAAATTGTTGGTAACAGCCAGATGCCGATGCTCACATCAGCTCAGCTGCGAGACCTCTCTATTTCTAATGTCAGTGAAGAGCTGTCACCACCAAGTGTACCCGACGACTCGATGAGTCACCAATCTCCGGTAAGATCACGTCCTTGATGGTCACTCTCATAATGTGTGTTAGGCGCCGTCAGTTCACTCCGACGTGCCTGGAGCAGCAGCGAGCCCTGCTGCTCAGCAGAGTGCCTCATCGGTATCGACCGTCGCCCGTCCCCGGGCCAAGAGGAGGGCTGCAAGCTCGGGGCGGAGGCCCATACGTAGGAAGCTCGATCGACAAGTGTACATTGCTGAGACTGACTACGACCAATGGGCTCACGACGATGGACCCATAACGAGAAGCCGGGAAATGCAGTGGCAGCCAGCTGACTACGTCCGTAACGCCCCACCACTGACGAGGCTGGACTTCCTTGGGCCTGAGTTGGCAAGGAGCATCCAAGAGGGAGGGCTGCCCTTGACCCTATTGGGCGAGGGGGGCCAAGAGCAGCAGCAGCAGCAGCTCATCAGTCCTAACGAGGACATGGAGGTCGATGAACTCCGTGATCAACCCGACGCTGTACAACTCGAGGACGCCTTTCTGGACCCCCCGACCCCATTGGAGAGTAGTCATCACTGAGCCTTCCTCAGCCATCCCGTTGCCTGATCAGCCTCTATCATGAATGGTCGCAAGGAACGCGCATCGATGCTGTCGGATATCTTCGCTCGGACTCCGCAGTCTCCCTCTGAGCCCAACACTCCTCGTAGTCAACAGAGCCCTTCAATCGGGCAGCCCGACTTCCCCGACAAATTTCCTCCGACTCATCTGTCTATGGAGACGTGAGCTTATCACAGTATCACAGTGAGGCGGATGATGACTGTTAGGTTGCGACCATCAGTGGACCCCAACACTCAAGGAGACCAGCGAGGCCGTTTGAGCGGCTTCAACTCTCATACCTACGCCTTTAAAAACCTCATCCGTGATACAGTAGCTCGACAGGAGGCCGAAGGAGCCACTGAGGACGCGAAGGTAACCAGCAGCAGTGGTATCAGGGTTGATCCTGACTTCAGGTGGTCTCCTTCTCCACCCTCGCCCCGACAGGACGCGATGGAGCCTCTCGGGACCTCGCTGTGAAGAGTCTGTACCATACACTACTATTAGCAGCTCATGGGGAGATCCATGCTCATCAGGCGATGTAACCACAACTGACTCGACAGTGTGAACAGCCTCCTTCCTTTCAGACCATTCGGTGGCATATCTCTCACCATCCGCGAGCCGGAAGTCATCACGTCCGTGCATCAATAGGCTGCTCCGCGTTGACGATCCAGTGCAGCGCGAGCAATGCATTGGAATTAACGGCATGCGTATCTTATCAGTCTATTGATGTATTCAACCTGTGGGAAGCCCTAGTAGTCTATTGATGTGTGTCTCGTCATTGTCACTATCTCACAGTCATCACCATGACTGTTATGCCTCTTGGTTTCGTGCGCTAACGTGTGCTGAGTTGAGACAGTCCGAAGGGAGTTGTAATCTCCATCCAATCATGATGATTTGGTGGATGATAATACTGTCCTAAGTCAATACACATCCCGGCTGAACATGGGTATTGTATCAACCCGAGATTCCCAGGTTCGAAACTTAGCAGTACTGAGCCAATGCGGTTTATTCTCGGTGACACATCATTCGGCAACGATCAGAGTAATTTGTATTCTCTCACTAGTGAGATCCTGGGCCATCACATGGTTTGAATGAGGAAGTTGATATCACCCTGCCCACTCAACATCAACACGACAAACGTTTGCTCTGTCAATTAACCTGGTTTATCAACCTTCGGAGGGGCTTTCGTATGCTTCGGGCTGGAGTTAACAAAATTACGGAAGGACTGGAAAACAGAGGAGTGAGATAGAGTTGACAGAAGGAACACTACCGAGCGCACAGTAGAGAACAGCGGCTTGAACCACGATAGACCAGTATACACCGATACTGGGAGTACGCTGGGAGGATAGTAATAAGCATAGGTGTAGGCATTATAGGGATCGCCTTCAATGGTATAGAAACCTGCCATAAAACTGCACCAATCGAGGTGCATGTAACGCTGTAGTGTACCTTTGTGGGAGCCGACACAATGGAAACCAATCTTCTCATACATCCTGATGGCAGCCCGATTGTAGTCGACAACATGGAGGTACATCGCTCCGCAGTCAGGGTGATGAATTTTCACCTAATGTAACCTGATAGTGCTAGAAGAACTACTGCCCTTACATCAGCAAGGGCCCTGATGACCAATTCGGAGGCCAAGCCGCGGCCTCTGGCTTCCTCAACGGTCCCAAGGGTGAGCATGTAGGCCAAGGATTGCTCATGGGAGGTCACCGTAGAAAAGAAATCCGTACTGAAGGCAGGCAGGCTGGTCAAATCCCTAGACAATAAATGGTCTCACTTGTGACGCATGATCTCGAGGAAGGTCTCCGGGTTCTCCGTCTCTGCGGTACGTCCAGTAGATACCGTGATGATGCCTACAATTGCCTGACATCAAATCGATATCACAGCCACGACTACACTGATCATTGGGACCTACATCCTCTTTTCTATCGAGAGGGACTGTGGCCGCCAGAGAGTAGCAGTCGCCATTAGTAGCCGCCTTGAAGAAGGACTCATCGTAGTGCACTGGAAACCACTCATTGTGCAGCCTCTCCACCTGACAAGGCCGCGCTCTCACTACACCCCTGACCACATCCGCGGACCTCGTCGTAATCGTTCGGCTCCAGCCGACGGAACATCAACTCCGCCATCTTCTCCCGTGTCAAGTTCAGCCTGCAATAGGGCAGGGATAAAATTTTCTGCTCAAATCCCTCATTCCCCACCGGCTTTCCTACCGTCCATCTGCTATTAGGTCGTGAATTCGGGCAGTTAATGGGGGCTTATCGAATTGAGGAGGCAATGCAGAGGAAGACGAAGGGGGGCCCATGCGTTCACCAGCAGGACGATTCAGCTGCTGGCCCTCACACTGCTTAGGAGCCTCTCTGTACATCGCCTTACTGTCCACCATAGGGGGTGAAAACATTTACGACTGCTCCACGCGTTCAATGAACCCGGCCACTCTAACACCAGAAGTGAACAAGAAATGGTACTAGCGTTGAAATGTTAATAATCACTCGGCCTGGTTCGTCGAGTTACTGGCTTCCCGTAGCAGCCAATGTATGGCGTCCTCAAGACCCTCACTAAAGACAAGGAGGAGTGAACCTTCCAACCAGTCAGCGACAACTCCCTACTTCTTCAGAGCACTAACAGAGAACACCTTCAAGGGTCGATCCATCTGCTCAGAGAGCCCCAGCATATCCTCCACCTGCTCTCTACAGTGATAGTAGCCGAGTCCAGCCGACTAGTATTACCTCCACTGACGGGAGGGCATCGGGAAGGTCATGCTTGTTGCACAACAAGGCTAGCGGTTTGTGTGCCAAGCGTCGGTCCGACAAGACCTGAGCTGCGGTGTCCTTTTCCCAACTACCCTTCACTGTCCCTCCACCTGCTTTAATGCCGTTACTACGTCATTCCGCATTCTCTTCTCATCAGCCGAGTCCACTACAAATACTATACCGTTACAGTCCTGAAAGTGGGCACCAATAGCTACCCCATGCGGGAGATTCAAGCCACCTCATAGTAGCTGCTCCAGAGCTCTCGAAGGGCTATCTGCCCACCAACATCCCAAAATACAGCGTCCACATGGTCCATCGTTATTCGACCCACTAAGAGCAGCTCCTCCTCCCCTCCTCTAGCGACCAGTCATTACCATTGAGGCCAACAGTTGGCGGTATTCTCTCGAGCTCCATTCCTTTACCCGTATGATTCCGTTTCAACTGTTCTAACGTCGTCGTCTTCCCTACAACTCACAAGAGTCAGCAGCAACCCATCCCTGCCTTAGACTACTACCAGCATTGTCCACTCCTACTATAATCAGCTTCCTCTCTTCCCGTTCGGTCAGCCATCGATAAAAACCCGAGATTAATGAGAACATCCACAAAACGGAATATCTAATGCTAACTCTCCCTCCAACGCCTTCCAGACCACAACTATTCAGAGGTGTTGAAAACTCCACACGGTGCGACCTCTGATACACTCCCAATTTCTAGTACAGGAACACACTTTCGAACCGTGAAGGCAACGAAGTTACTCTCGCAAACTCAACAGCAAACAACATAACATGAAAAAGCATTTGATACTCGAAACAGATCCTCACTGGTGTGATAAAAATTCAACTACGAACAAATCTTTCCCGTCATCGGTTTATTAACAATACCATCTCTCACTGAAGTTCCTCATAATTTGGAGGCCTGTTGTCTAGCCTCCTTCTCCTTCTTCAACCAGTAGTCACCGAGCTTCATATTAGCCTTAACGCACTCCTCGAGGAGGCGGCTTGGGACGAAGTACCTGCGTCCAACTCCTACCACTATTTGAATATATCTTCTCGGCCGAGCTCAGCGATTTCCTCAGTAACTATAGGAGTTTACACACAAATTCGAATAGAAGTATACCAAAACCAACAACCCACGTAACTGACCATGTGCATACTTCATAATAGACCTACTTAGGCTTCCTATAATTCTTGTTCTTCGTGCTTCGCTCCGCCGCTTGATTGTCATAATAACGCAAACGCTCGAGGAGATACCCAAGACCGATATAATTATCAGCCCAGTGCATCGGACCACCCTACAATACCAAAGGATGAACAGGGCGGGCACTACCGACTGATACCTTCACTGGAGGGAAGCCATAGCCGTATATCCACACTATATCGATATCGCTCGGTCGCTGAGCCATACCCTCCTCGAGAATCTGGACGGAAAAATGCAACCCCTGAGGATCGAACCTGGGACCTTCCGCTTACCTTGAAGCCCTCGTTAACCAAAGGGAAGAGCATCCTCTCTAACATCTCCTTCTCGTCAATCACCCTAGGCGTGACTCCTAAAGGCAACAGAATATCCTCTCAACTTCCATCAATCACCCGACCCTTTCTCTTTTGAATTTCTTTAACGCCTTCCAAAATCTCCTGGTCAATCTTCTTGTCCCCTCTTCCCTTGCCATAGACGTAAACACCTAAACAAGCTACTATATAACCACCCTACCAACGGACAAGTGCGTTTACCCTTCCCTGCTTTCTGTCCAAACCGACCCTTCTCACACAGCCAGTCAGTAAGGTCATGGGGGCCAATAGCCACTGCCGTCTCCATCTTCATATCACCAGCCATTTTCCTGACAACAGCCAAGTAGCTGTCTTCAGCACGCCTGGCCATACCTAGCCCTCCAGAACAGATCTTGGCCAACGAGGTCCGACATAGAGAGAGGACCCATGGCCATACCGAAGTCAACGGCAACAGCATCAAACTCCGCCAAGTCGCCACCTGAAGCAAGACACTCAACACTAGATAGAAAAACCTACCCCGGTTACCTTCCTCAACCATTTGCCTGACTTCAGCACCATACGGTCCAAGCATGCGGTTGCCAACAAACCCATCACAGTTACCCACTAGAACGGCCACCTACAGAGAAGTTCCCCATCTAAGATGGCCGAGGATAACTCCACCTTATTGATCAGCTTTCCCATGGCCATCACTGTCGCTATAGTCGTATCCGATGCTCCTTTAGTGCGGACATTCTCGAGCAACTTCATCACATTAGCTGGTGAGAAAAAGTGTCTGTAGCAATGACAACACTGGACGGCGTCCACTTAACATAGGCCTACGTTCCAACGACATTAGCAGCCCTCTTGGGGACCATCGACGCTATAGCGTCAATGTCCAGACTAGACGTGTTAGAGCACAGCAGAGCATCCGGCTTGGTAACCTGAGGGGACCCAAAGTGAGAGGTCCGACTACATAGTGGCGGCCCACCTTATCGAGCTGTTTGAAAATATCCTGCTTCAGCTTTAGATTTTCAAAGACTGCCTCAATGACAATATCGCAGTCACCGAAATCAGCATAGTCCAGGGACGGCTTGATGAGCTTTAGACGCTTGGCTGCCTCCTCCAGCTTGAGGCTCTTCCTCGCCACACTGGTCTCGTAGTTCTTCTTGATCAACCCCATACCTCTCGATAGGAACTCCTCCTTGGCATCCAACAGCACCACTGGCATGCCCTGAAGAGAGATATCTACAGTCTAACGCAACCGGAAAAGGCAACAGTCTTACCTTGGCAACAAAGCACATAGCAATTCCACCTCCCATCAGCCCAGCACCAACCACACCGACCTTTTTAATGGGCAACGGCTTGGCCCTTAGACCAGACACCTTATTGGCGATTCTCTCAGCGAAAAACAGATGCCTTAAAGCCCCGGACTCCTTAGAGTAGAGGAGCTTGTCGAACTCCTCTTGCTCAACTCGGCAACCCTTCTGGAAGTCGGCACCGCTTTCAACAGCCGCCTTGACACAGCGACCAATGGCCTCAGGGGCAATCTGATGCTTGCGGAACCGATCAATCTGATTGATGCCCATCTCGACGGCCCCACCAACAACCATGACCCTGTCCGCAGTAGAGCAGGTCATCTCACTGGTCCTTCTCACGGGCTTGGTCAAGGCAATAGCGGCGGCCGCATCGATGAGCTTGTCAGCGGGAACAATCTCGTCTATCATCTTCTGGCGTTTAGCAAGAGCCGCTGGTATGGGCTGGCCACCGAGCATGGTCTGTAGGGCCACCTGGACACCGGCCAGCCTTGGTAGCCTCTGCGTGCCTTGGCCGCCTGGTAGAAGACCAAGGTTGACCTCAGGCAGACCGACCTTGACTGTAGGGACGGCCACACGATAATGACTGGCCAGAGCCACTTCGAAACCACCACCAAGAGCCATGCCGTTGATAGCGGCCACCACGGGCTTGTCGGTCTGGTCAATGGTGTTCATGACCAAGTGGATGCCCTCGGCCATGTTCATCTTGACGCCCTTCCGGATGTGGTACTCAAACTCCATTATTTCAGCACCACCAGAGAAGAACTTTCCCTCGCCAGTGATGACAATGCCCTTGACAGTGCGGTTGGCCTGTAGGAGCTTCATGTTCTGAACTAGGCTCTTGCAGTGAGCCTGGCTGAGAGCGTTCACAGGAGGGTTACGAAGAGTGAGGACAGCAACTCCATCTTGACGGATATAGATGGACGTGGACATGGTTATGGGAAGCCTAATGACGATGACTGTACGATGGTGTTAGGGAGGATTGAAGCACAGTATGACAGTCGATTGAAGCACCCACAGTAGTCACTGTGGAGATTCCATTGCCATTGAACACGGTTGTTAACACATCATTAAGGACGTGCAGCGTAAACCTCTTCTCAATGGCACTAGCCATACTTTAGACATTCGGGATCGCCATTCCCATCCGAGATGAATCTTAAAGCATCTTGCTAATCTTGCATTTCCTCAATGCGCCCTCACCGGCCTGCCTTACTAGCGCTACTTCGCCGCCCCTTGCGCATGTCATCATACTGCACACCAGCAGTCAAGGTCGCCCAATCCGTAGTGAAGCAGCCATCGATGCTGTTGGCAAGAAGGCCTCTACAAGACCTCCTCATCAGCAGCAGAGGGCGTGATGCCGGAGGGGGGTGCCTTCGAGTAGATGGAGGTGGCTATGTACCATGTATTACTCGCTATATAGGAACGTTTCAATTGAGCATAGCATCATACCTTCCATGGTCGTGTTAAGTACTATTACCATCATCTTTTCAGCGTTGTTGCTCGCTCCCCGTTGTTATATATTTTCCACGTACTGAAACCAATGGACCAAGGTCAGCTAAACCAGTTCTGTGAGCTTCTTAAGGGGCTCATGTCGCCTAGTAATGAAGTCCGGAAGCCTGCCGAACAGCAGTATCAGAATACCAAGGCTCAGAACCCCGACCAGGTCACCCAGGCCTTGCTAGCTGTTATCACCTCACCCGAGCGAGATGCCACTTTGAGGCAACAGGCTAGTATCCTACTGCGACAGAATATGAGGGTTCTTCGAGAGAAGGACTTCGTATGGCCGAAGTTGTCTGAGCCGACCAAGCAAGCTGTGAAGTCCTCGTTGTTATCCATGGTGGCTAGTGAGGCCAACAAGACCATGCGGCATAAGATATGTGATTGCATAGGAGAGCTTGGGGGTTACCTTTGCGCTGACAACAGTAACAACCAGTGGCCCGAGGTAAAGTGGGCGAGGAGTGGTAGTGGTTAGTTGTAGCGTGGGTCTTCTATTCAGCTCCTGCCGACTCTCCTGCAGATGATAGCTTCTAATGAAGCCGCGCCGAAGGAGTCCGGCCTCAGGGTAGCCTATTGTGTATCTTTGGCGCTTCAACCTTGGATACGTTTAGATTCTAGTCGATCTCATCCCTGCCGTTGGCAGTATGCTGATGCAGAACTCAGCCAATGATGTTGTTGCCGTATTAAAGGGCTCAATGGAGCACAGTGATATCCAAGTCAAGGTCCAGGCTGTGAAGGTATATCTACTACTAGTCTCACACTTCAAGGAAGAGCCCACTATCATGCCTTAGGTCATCTGCTCGATCGTCGAGAGCCTTCCTACTCGCCATTGGAAGCCTGTGCAGGCCCTATGTCCCATGGTCCTCAGTACTATACAGTCCCTCTGTACTGGTACTATGGATGATGAAGTAGTATCAGCAAATCTCTTTTCACATCTTGGATTCTCCTATAACTAGGTTAACGATTGCCTTGAGAGTCTCATTGGTGTGGCTGATGAGGAGCCTGCCTACTTTCGTCCTTATCTAGCCGAGCTATGCAGTAGGCCTCTCTGTTCAACTTCCCTCCGCTACTCTCATCACTGTCAGGGACTGGCTTTGGTATAGCTCAGGCTAAGGATGCTATTGAGGACGGCCCGAGGCAGTTGGCCTTCGAGATGATCACATCACTGGCTGAGAAGAAGGCCAAGATGTGCATGAAAGTATACTCTCTACCTCTCAAGCTCTCCCAGGTTCTCTTCTCTTGGTAGGTTCCCAACTTCATCACTGATGCCGTTAAGACCTGCCTTATATTCATGTTGGAGATAGATGGTGATGGTGATGACACCGAAGCCTGGTGCAAAAGGTATTACTGCTACTCGCATCCCCTGCAGGGCTTCGAGCTGTCGTTGGCAGATTCGCTGATCAGGATGATGATGAGGATGTGACCAACTATGAGGTCGGCGAGGAGAACATTGACCGTTTTGCACAAGTATGTGGTAGTGGTGGTGGCCATGTTGGTAGACTCATCGTCGTTGGTAGGCTCTTGGTGCTGAGAAGACCCTGCCGGTGGTCTTCCAAGCTGTGGCTGAGTTCATCAGAATTGGTACGTGGAAGCACAAGGTGGCCGCTATCATGACGCTGAGCCAAGTGGCTGAGGTTGTCGAGGAGGAGACGCAAATGGATGAGATCGTCAAGCTGTTACTACGTGAGGTTAGTGCCGTTTTCGAGCGTCTTATTGCTACTTGCAGAGCACATGGGTGACCAACACCCCCGTGTACGTTATGCGGCTCTGCATGCGATGGGCCAGACGGCTACTGACTGCACACCTTACGTGCAGGAGGCCTGGTCCCAAGAGGTAATAGATGTGGTTAGCAGTCCAGGTTCGTATAGTAATAGTAGGTCTTGACTGCTCTAGAGAAGGCTATGGACGACCCGATCCCTCGTGTGGCATCTCACGCCTGTGCAGCCTTCGTCAACTATGCTGAGGATGTACTATTGCTCCTACTGCTGTTAACCACTATGTCGTGCTTAGGTCGAGCAGGAGGCTCTCATACCCCACGTTAAGGTCCTTATGGAGAAACTCTATCGTAAGCTGCAGATGGACCAGCCGAGACAGGTAGTAGACAGCTACCCTTCACGACGCCTATGTACCCTGCTGGCCATCAGATTCGTGAACAAGCCATTACTGCTATCGCTGTTATTGCTGGTGTATCCGAGTCGCACTTTGTCAACTACTACTCCCACATTATGCCGCTTCTCAAGGTAACTCCCTTACTCGTTATCACTTACTGTTTTGACCTTGTCACATTTTCAGCAAACAGTGCAACAGGCCTCATCCAAGGATGAGAGGACCCTACGAGGGAAGGCGTTTGAATGCCTCTCCCTGTTGGGGTTGGCAGTCGGCAAGGAGGTCTTCGCCAACGATGCCGTTGAGGCCATGCAGGCTATAGTCTCGATGCTACGTGAGCCCGAGAAGCACTTTGAAGATGACGATCCTCTGAAGGGCTTTGTGTTGGAAAGTCTACAAAGGATATCTAAGGTGGGAGAAGGAGGGATCTTCGCTTGGCTTCATCGTGGCTGCTCAGACGCTGGGTTCCGACTTTGGCCAGTTCTTGCCGGCTCTACTACCGCTTATTCTCAGTCAGCTCAGTCTGACGGCTGCTGAGGTAGAGGGTATAGTGAAGTTGGTGTTGGTACCTGATGATGATGCTTTCTAGGTTGATGATGCTTCTGAGCAGCAAGATATGACTATGATAATGTTGGCTGAGGTAGTGCCATCTTTTGTTATTGATACCACACCATGGCTAATTCGTGTAGGGCAAGTGTGTGGGCCTCAAGACTAGCGCCATCGAGGACCTGGCATCTGCCTTGCAGACTATCAGCTGCTTCATCGAGAACTGCGGACCAGCTGTTTATAACCCGTATATACAGCTCCTGATAATCTTGGGCACATCCCTGTTTCATTGAAGGTACGTCAAGGATACGGCGTTGAAGCTGCGTCCTCTCCTGGACTTCCAATTCAATGATGAGGTCAAGTCATTGGCTGTTAACGTTTGGTCGGAGCTCATCTCATGCGCCAGGCGTGCTAACGATACTGCTACTGTCCAGGTAGAGTAGTGCCACCCTCTTTGGTGTCTTTCTACGGCGTGCATGCTTAGGATCTTTTGAACTCCTTCGTCGAGTCTATGCTGAAGGCCATGGCGCAGGAGGATGAGCTCGAGGTGTGGTATTGTCGTTAATACTTGGATTTTCCTATGGTTTTTCTATTGCAGCTCCTTGAAGCTGAGGCACGTGGTGTTGCGAACTGCGTTAAGAACGCCGGTCCTGGAACTCTTTCAGAGCAAGCTGTAGGCACTTCACTGTGATATGCATGGTGGAGTTGACTTACAGGTATCGCATATAGTAGAGGTTTGTTTTACCCTCCTCAAGGAGTCCTTCAACCGTCGTGCTGATGCTACAGCTGAGGAGGAGAGTGGCGAATGTGATGAGGACGAGGTGCGGTATTGTGGAGATCTGTCATTTTTGAGGAATCCATCTGTTCAGGTTGACGAGATTCGTAACATCAAAGAGATGGACGAGTGTGTGCGTATTGCCATTACTGAAATCGGTGGCGCCCTTATGAGGGAGCACAAGCAACTCTTCGTCTCGACTGGTGGTCTACAGAAGTCCATAGAATTGGTACAGAAGCTCATCGATACTCGATGCATGGCGCAGGATAGGTAGTTACCATCCCAGATTGCTTTTGATACCACATTTCTTTCACTTTTCAAGGTGCTTAGCTCTCTACATTGTTTGCGACTTCCTCGAGTGCCTTGGCCCCGATTCGGTCCAGGCTTGGAGCATTTTCATGGAGCCAATGGTTGCCGCTATTACTGACAACAACTCATCAATCCGACAAGCGGCTGCCTATGGCGCTAACGTGGCCTGCAATATCCCACAATTTGGTGATATCGCTGCTACGGCCGCTGCCCAATTATACAGGGCCATGCAGAGACCGGATGCTCGTAGTAAGGATAACATTGCAGCTCATGAGAATGCAGTGGCGGCACTGGGAAACGTGTGTGAGAAGTTCGAGCAGAGGTTGGGCAATGACGCCGGCAACTACTGGGCAGCTTGGATAAAGAACTTGCCTATCAAGCAGGATGAGGATGAGGGGAAGAAGACACATGCTCAGTTGGTCCGTCTTGTTAAGGAGCAACGACCAGGAGTAAGCCGTTGGGGCCTTGTAGGTTGTCGATGCGATCCTTGGTAGGTCCTTGGTGCGAACAACAGCAATTTGGGTGTAATAGTCCACGTATTGGCACTCGTATATAAGAAGGATTATAGCAATGCCCTTATCGATCGGGCAATATGTGAGGTCCTCGCCGGGCTGGGTGAGGCCACCATTGGAGGCCTTCAAGGGTCGCTTAATGACAAGTCTAAGAAGGGTGTAATGAGAATACTGAATGACGCTAAGAGCATGTAACAGAACCCCTAACAAGTTTACTGTATTATCGATTATCGCAATCAGAAATGAGTAGTTTATACCCGGTGGACGATGATGTTGTCAATAGTTACTACTGTCTCCTTAATCGTTTCCTTCTTCTCTCCTTCCCGTTCCCAGTAGCTTCATCGAGAGGCGAATTGTCGTTATTAATAAGAGTTATTTACTATTGGCTACTACAAACTAACGTACTCGCGACATATGAATGTTGTGTTGATAGTAACGAACCAGGGTGGAATAAAGTTGTGATTATTATGTGTATTGCTGACACACCCGAATGCTATACCTATGTTGAGTAACCCTGTAGCTAAAGGCATTGAATATTATCCATCTGGTCGAGTCGCGAGTACTTTCAATTCGGCCGCTGTTGCTATACTAATGCCCCTCTCTGGGAATGTAATTTCTTTACTCGCTAAATTGGTGGCCTTAACCGCGAAATAGATTTCTAAGGTGTATCGAAGACGATTCTAATTTTCCATAAACGCAATAACATAGGAATGTAGAGGAACACTATATTTAAAAGGATAATCGTACAGTATCAGTTAAGGCAGTCTATGCAATAATATCTGTTCATCGGAAGTCCCAGCTGTGATAGCGACAGTCCCACAGGCATCAGCAGCCGCTACCAGCTTTGGGCCGATCTTACTGAAGGCAGCTTGGACGGAGGACTTCATACCACCCTTGTGCATGGTGTACTGCGAGTCGAACGACCCTTCGCTTCTACCAGCTTGGATAACTCCCACGGCACTCCCATGTGTTACCGCTACCACACCCTCATGGGTGGGGCCGTAGCGGAGTAGACTGTAGATAGCAGGGCTTCGTTCATGACCATTGGTGTACAGCATCGCCGTTTTGCATCGGCCCTCTGCCCGAGTGTCCAGATTGACAACTCGTCCATCGCAGGTACCAAGTTGCAGATGATGAGGAGTAGACAACCCAGATACGCATGTATACTCCCGACCAGGCCCTGCCTCCCACTTGCGGACCACCAACTCGGGGCTTCTGCAGTCAATCATAGCGGCACCACCAGAGCCGTCTGAGGTCTCACGCCCACAGAGGAGCATTAAAGAACCCGAGGGCGTCAGCGCCTTCACATCGTTTGCTCTGATATAAGGCGACTTGAAGGAAATAATGGGTTTGTCTGCCCGGCAAGTGGACCATAAAGACATGCGGCCCTTCTTGCTGACTCCTGCTAGCATACCTCCATCATCAGACCACGATGCGATGCGGACGCTATCACGCGAGAACAGGTGATGTGGTGACTCAAACATACATAATGGACGAGCGGGCTCGTCAATAGATGGGCATCCGAAGGACCATACTCGGAGCCCAGTGCCAGTCGCTGAGGCAAAAACACTAGCCGTCGGGTGGGCGGCGAGAGAATTAGAAACCGATAATTCATCAGCACTAGCATCAGAAGCATCCATATTATCAAACATACGAGCCACAGCGTTATCATTCAAGGACCAGTTAATCCCCAAGGAGAGGAGCATCACATCTCTAGCATAAAGGCGGCAGTCAGGACGAAGAGGCAAACCAGATCCTAGCTGGGAATCAGATCTCATGGTCCTCTCACTCGGGACTATCTTAGTGCCAACAGGGAGGTTGGTGTTGGAGTTTATAACAGACCTTTCGATATCCATACGCCACTGAGAGTCATCGCGGTAATACTCCTCCGGGGAGATCTCGTCGTAGCTCCTCCTCCTCCTTCTAGTCCTACACACCGGTGACGATGACCGGAGAAGCTGCGGCAAATCAATGACCTTCACAAGACCCTCCTCATGCCGTGCTGATACTGCCAACCTCAGAGAGGCACCGGTTGACCTGTCCAGACACAGGCCAGTGACTGAGTGCCACTCTAGCTGTCTCCTTATACCCGTCAGAGGGAGCGATTTAGGCAGAGACTCCTTGTCTTGGTCAAGAGGTTGACGATACACCGGGCAGGAACTTTGAAGGAGCTTGATGCGCCTCCAGGCTTCTAAGGCTCTCTCTAATGGATGCTCTCGGACCAGTTCGTCCGCCTTATCGGCCTGCACGACATCTGGCTCCATGATGGCTTCGTAGATGTGCGTTTTCAAGTGCCATCTGACCAGCAGTTGATACTGCCGTTCATAGACAGTCAACTCAGGAGACCCTTTCGGTGGGCTCAGAACCCTCTCCAAAACGAGAGAGCAAACCACGAGTGACCGCAACCGCATGGCGTGGGGAGCTGCCGATTCACTCAAGCAAGGAAGAGGCGCAGCATGTGCACCAACGGCCACCTGGGGTGAACACCCTGGCTGTAGGAGCTCTAACAAGACGCCAGTGTAGTGTTCAGCGAGGGTAAGCCTCGCATCGTCAGCTTCCTTCTTCTCAACAGTGCCATTGGCAGCTGCCTCATGCTCCAGTAGGAGCCTTTCAAGTTCACTTAAGACCACCGCCGCGGCTGCCTCCTGTATCTCGGGCACGCTGGTTGACCAGTCCCCAATACCAGCGAGGACCATGGATGTGAGCTCAGCTGCCCAGCTTGGCAACAGTGAACCACCCTTCGACGTCCTGGTCACTCTCGATAGTATAGACCACAGCTCAGGGGCTGGGGGCATGGGATGTAGCCTTGGGTCCAGTAAGGCCCCTCGGACACGACGTATCCAATAGCTCTGAAGGTCGCTACCAATAGGAGGATTAAGAGGCTTGCCGGGGATGAAATGTGGCATCTTCGAGGCTTTGCGTGGAGTCAGGAACTCATCAAAGATGATGGAGGCTCTCCGCGCCCAATGAACAGGGCTGGTGAAATCCGAGTCCTCGGCAGCTGCTGGCAACAGAGCAGCCAAGCCTCGGCCGAGCAGACGAGTGGTCACCACACTGCTAGGGGTATCCTGTACTTCAAGGTCCGAAGCTTCAACTCCAAAGGCAGGTACCATACTGGAGAGATATTCAAAAATATCCCTTCTAGGGCATGTGTTAAGATGCGGTGGAGTAGGGAGGACACCAAGTGTAGAATCGAAGTCAGCGGATCCAGTAGCTGCGAGGTCCTGGGAGCCAGGATGTGCCAATTTACGAGCTAGCTCGGCATAGTCGTGAGATGACCAGAGGCGCCAGTAGTCAACCCATGCATCAAACATCGACAGCTTGTCAGCCATCAAGTCACAGACCTGGTCCTTGGTCATAGCACCATCAGCTATGGAGCACCGACAGAACAGGATGGCCAGTTGGACATCCTCAATGTACCGTGTGGCCACGTTCACAGCTGATTGAACATCTCCAATGAGCAAGAACACCGCGGCTGCCATTGAATGCCGCTTCTGCCGAATCAACTCGAAGGCGTTCTTGGAGCCTATACGCTTATTCTCAGGTATAGTGAAGTCCATAGCCAGGAACCTGGACACCCGCATGGCCTTAGGATCCTGGAAGAGCTGCGCATGCTGTCTGTAAAGTGACGCCAGAACCTTCTGCCGTCCGAGTAAGGCCAACCACAGTGCGCTCTCATCCTCAATGACCGACAGCTCCTTCGTCCTGCGGTACTTCACGAGGGAGCGTTTCAATAGCAAATTGAGTACAGTAGACCGTAGCAAGGTTAATGAGTGGGCCCAGAAGCCAACGCCCAGTCGGCGAAAGAATGTGCTCCAGAGCTCAGCGTCGATGTCATCAGTGGGGGCAGCCCGAGTGACCAGTTGGGTCAAATAGTCCTGGGATGCCCCAATGGATGCGAGGAAGCAGTCTTCAGTGTTCACTGCTATGCCCAAGTCCTCGCACTCCTTCCTGTGCCTTGATGAGAGGACAAACGCAAGCTTGATATAGAAGCGACGTGACGGGCCATCAGTGACCAGCCGCTCGACCTCATTCTCGTCAGCGAACTCTAGGCACCAAGACGGCAAATACTCCGTGTGTGCAAAGGCCGCATCGAGAGATCTGTGTAGAGCTATGACTGGGTTAGAATCCTCCAAGGGTAGACTAGATCGGGACAACTTCCTAGTTGTCTCATTTCGAAGATCTTCAGTGGGCGTACCGGCGACAAGGCAACGGTCCCAGCCCATACCATCTAGTTGAGGTATTAGAGCACAGCACTTAGGAGGGTTGGAGATCCCAAGGGTAACCCATCGCTCACCCTCCGCATACGTTCGTGATCGGACAACGATTCTCGAGGAGCTAATGACCATCACAACTGCATTGGTGTCTCTAATACTGTTGATGTGCAGTGGCCCTTTGATCTCGGTCATATCGAACACATCAGAGTGGACTAGACTAGGCGGCACCTCATACGTTGAATAAGTACATAGCTGGCACTTCCCCATACCAAGGTCAAAGACCAAGGCCAGTACGTCAGTAGTAGCTGCCAGACTAACTACCCCTACAGCTCCATCGGGGTAGTCAATCTCACAATGTTTCCGTGCCCTCTGCGAGCCGAAGCCCTCCAAGACCACGGAGTCCTGTTGGGCATGACAGTAGGCATAGCACGTCGGACTGCATATAGCCATCGGACTGCCAGGACGGCTGCCAATGATCTTGATAATGTCCAACCATAGTGTGTGGTCATGGCCACTCACTTCTCTGAATCTAGGCTTAAACAGCCTAACAACGCCATCAGCGAAAGTAAAGCCTATAACATTACATGTAGTAGCACACAGGGCAGTTATGGATCCCATGAATGCAAGTTCCGGTACAGAACGGATCTGTAAGGGCTCGGGCTGGGGCTTGGGTGGGGGCGCGAGCAAACACAATAGAGCCGAGTAGGCTTTCACCAGGCCCGTCGCAGTGACAGTGATGAACACAGCTTCACCGCACTTAGCCGGGAGCCAACAGGCATCCTTAATACCACCACTACTGATCGCACCAGCTGCGACATCAGCCTTCGGAGTAGCCAATAGATCGAAGATTCTCACGTCGCCATCATCAGTAAGCTCCAGAACGAGATTTGGATCTTCTGGATGTACGAGTATACGGCCAATCGAAGATACCATGCGAGCTCAAGCTCGTGAAAAACGGAAACACACAAGTCCTGAAGTAAAGACTATTGAGTTTCCTACTACAACACAACGGCCTAGGAAGGAGCAATTGAGCAGCATACACGAGTCTGCATAGCATTCCTGGCAACACCGTGATCGTTCCTTACAAGTCGAAGGGATATCTCCCATCTCGCATAGACAAAATCCACCTCAGCCGGCGATGCTGACGATGATGAGCAGGGAACAGTACCAGCGTCTGCAGAACATATAGGCTTCTTTTCAACATCGCTGATCATCATCCCCCCCGGGCAGTGTATTACCATCTCGAGACTCCTGCCCAGTATTGCCGGCTCCACTGCATTGGAGAAAAGTGCCCATCCTAGTGCACAATGATGTACCTTCCATCCCTCTATTCTTGTAGACCTGCCTATGTTCGATACGGATTGCTCGGCGCTGAGGGCACCCCAAAGCAACTCCTACAGAGAGCACTGAAAATGGCCGGTTCACATGGGCATATATCGATGACTACGGAACTCCTCATCACAGACTTACAGCTGAACCATCACAATAGCAGAGAAGCCTATTGCCTATGTGAACCACGTTTAAGTCTATTTATGTATATTTCTGGCAGCATCGTCAAGTCTATGAGAATATCACTATTAGGAATCTAGTACTGAACGATGTGATCTACTGCAATCCAACACGAGGACACGGGGCTAAAGAATCACAACATGGGTCGTGTAGTGCGGGGCTGGTGACTCAGAAGGATCGGAAACAAACTCGAGTGGTTCGTCCATGGACTAAGGCAATCTTCACATGAACTCCAATCCTGGAGTCATAACCTGCATGCAACTATAAGTAACAACTAGGCCACTACTACCGCGCCAGCAGACGACGAGTGCTCCTACTATATAGCAGTACGATCCCTAGCTCAAAATTGAACCATATATTCCTATCCTATTGATGGACCAGTGGGTTCACATGTTGTGGCTATCTCGATGAGCAATCACTTTGGGGGGCCATCCCCCGGCCAAACACCTACCCCAATACCGCAGCAAGGACTGAAGAGTCTCTAACTAATGTCACCACATCATATCTCAACTGCAAGGCTTCAACTTCAAGGTGCTATTAGCAGTGCAATTGGCCATCGCTACACCCCCAGTTGCGTTGTGCTTGTGAACGATGCTTGTTGGCGTCTCACCAACGTCGCTCGCCCATGGTGGTACATGGGCGTCATCCGAGGAGAAGCTCTTCCGACTGCTCGTGCTCAAGGATCCTGGGCCAGAGCGTCCGGCTAGCATCAACCTTAGCCCTTGGAAGAAACACCGACACGAGGAAGTACCGTCCCCTCGGATCGAACCTGCGACCACCGGGGTGCCATGCTGAACTTAGTGAATATCGTCGTAGTTGTATAATACACCGATTCTAATTTTCCATGCCCCCAGCAACAGCAATACCTCAAGGAGTCTTCTACCAGAAGACCCTGCCAGATGATGAGCCCACAGTATGCAGTGAGGAGGGCCGGCGACGACTCAGTGAAGCTATGGCCGATGGTCACGCATACCCGTTCCTACCTCTCATGTGCCAGTTCAAAACACAGGTTAGTGTACTCTCATCATCCAATTCAACATGATCAGCTCATCAGGATCAACCAGCATACTGCGGGCTTACTACTCTTATTATGGCTCTGAACACTCTGGGCATCGACCCGTGGAGGACATGGAAGGGCGTATGGAGATGGTAGTCTCCATGAACGGTCCATTACAGTCTTCCACGAAGGTCGCTATAGGTACGATGAGCACCATCTGGGTGCATGCTGCATCAACTTAGAAGAGGTGGCTTCTGAGGGCATCTCCATCGACACCTTCGCGTGTTTGGCGCGATGTAATGGTCTCGGAGCTCAAGTCTACAGACCACCAGTTGTAAGAAGTGTGTTGGTATACTGTCACTACTACTGTACAGCAACAGGTGGAGAATTCGTCAGAGTGTTCAACGACGGCTGCAGAGGTCAATGCAGATGACGCTGATGAGCAATTTTTACAAGGTTTTCGAGACACTGTCGAATCATGGACGTCGGATGGGAGGCTGTTACCAAGCTGTGGTGGCCTCGAGAAGGTCATCATAACTCCTAGGAGACCGCTCCTTGACTATCCCTCCGATTTAGGTACTGGTAGTATCCTATGACAGGGCGGCCGTGGGCCAAGCTGGCAATGGTCATTTTTCCCCCATCGGAGCCTACCACGCCGCGACTGACTCCGTCTTAGTGCTGGATGTGGCCAGGTATGTGTAGATGGAGGGCCTAGTCGAGAGTATCTCAGGTTCAAGTATCCACCTCATTGGATGAGTCTACAAAGGCTAGTCAAAGCTATGTATCCTCTTGATAAAGCAACAGGCTATCCAAGAGGGTATATTATGCTAGTTAGGATGAGAGTAAGACTACCATGGGCTCGTCGTCGACCGGAATTATTTTCCTTACTCAGCCGGGATCTCTACCACCAGAAGCTGGTCCGAAGCTGTTGGCTCTGGCTTCAATACCGTCTTCGGCCACGATTTCACTAACGGATGAATTCCGGAACGAAATGCAGCGGCAGTCAACCATGGTCGATTTGCCTTCCAGGCAACCGACCATGTCTTCAGGGGAGTTTCTTATACAGCTGTTTCGATGCTTCCTGCGGGCCGTGGCGAAGTTGGACTCGCCGATAATGCGTGGAGTCTTTCATGCTGTCGCCGAACAGAGACGTTTGGTCGATACGATTAGTAAATACTGGAATACTCAGGGAGGTTTTGAAGGGGAGAGCAATTCTAATGAAAAGGCCTCTATTGTAACAGCAACGCTGAATGCTTTCGTCGAAGAGAATTCACATGCACCAGTAGCCGGACGACTCCCTCCCATGTTTGGTCCCTCTAGAGATAGAGCAGACTGGATGGACGAGAAGGCCATAGCTGCTGTTTGGACAGGAGTATTCTTCTGTTTGCCTGCTGAGCTACTGACCATCTCTGGTGATGAGGGGAGTAAGGAACCATCAGCGTGTCAAGCCACGGGAACGGAGGTAGCTTTGCAGAAATTATCATCACTATTCCCACAAGATGGTCTTACTGATCAGTTACTGGTCCCGTCGAAGCTATTCCTGGACCTTACGGAAGGTTGCGAGGACTTTGGACTCATACGAGCCTTCATTTCAACACTACGGTCGAAGTGCTGCCCAGCTGATGGAGAGATGACTGCTCATTTAAGGGGTGTATGCCAATGCAGGAAGTCCAAGCTTGGACTTGGCTGTTTTACGGCTCATTGATCCCACGCGAGTCAACATAGCCATAACAACACAGACTTTTATTACGTATCAGGATGGGTAGAGTAGGGCTGAGTACAGCCATTATAAGCTGCTTTAGTTGCTATGGGAGTCCTGTTGTGTTCTAGTGGTATCTGGGAGTCGTGATAGAGGATAGTGTTGGTCATAGCCAGAGAGAAGCTACGCTTGTTCAAGCTGATGCCATTCGGCCATACTGTCCAGGATACAGTCAGCATGCTAAGCACTAGCGGGAGGAGAGTAAGGACCTTCTTCAACTAAGTGACGATAAGTAGTAGTACACGGGTCGTTCTCATGAGAGCTTTGGTGACACGATATGTTGCTACTACTGTGACACATCCGATACCAGCGCTTATCATTAGGCAAAAATGGGAGTATTGGCTACGGTTGGGCTTAGCCAGCATGCTAAGTGCGTGTTGAACTGATGCTAGGATGGTCCCATGAGTGTAACCCTCGTCGGCTCTGTGCTGTCCTCGTCGATGCACGAGAAAAGCAATCTCAGACTAACGCGGATTTTACAATTACTATTGGCAAGCTTGGAGTTTTCATGGTAGTGGGGAGGGAGGAATCAGCTCGGTTGGGCAGCCGATTGGCCATCGGACTCCCTATCCAGCTACCGATACGGGAAGTTGCGTCTCCGAAAGGCAGCCATTTAGCCAGTCATGGAGGTATGGGATCAATGTTGAGGACAAAGGCGGTGATGAGGCATTTGTGATTTACTCACCAGAGAAAGAGTTGCTGGCTGGTGTGGACAGACACAATAGACCTACGTTATAAGAGGAATGACTTCTCCTCTCGAATGGGACGGAAGAAGATGTTACGCTAGGCGTCCTTTTGTGTTGCTTTGGAGGGCCTTCTGAATGGTCGTTGCGGTGAGGGTGGCCCTGCATTAGCAGTGGCGTACTAGTAGTAGACTCAGTATGCTGGACCTCTCGGTCTTGCTAGGTTGTGCTTTCTAGTAATGCACTCCCCTGGGCCTACCTGCCGCCGACTGCTGTCTGTGCCGAGTGCCATACGTGGGTTCTCCACAGGGCCTACCTTCACGACAGGAGTTATGCGGTGGGAGCATAAGACACAGACTTTCAACAAGTCCTCATCGCTCCTCCAGGCCTTCCTTCATGAGATTCCCTCAGGTATGAGTATGCTCTTGTTACGCCGACTGATGATCACGTCGGGTTTAAATCTCGGAGGTAGTAGTAGTTGGTGAGTACTCCCAGGCGTAGCCGCTGTTGCCAGATCGGCCCCACAGCCCCGATACGTCTTCTTCCCATCATTCTCCTTACTGAGTAGTCGTGAAGAGTGGCGTACAGTAGCAAAGCATTTGGCCGAACTTGGTATGGTATCCTTCCCTTCTTGTAGTAGTAGTGTTTCCTCTCGGTCCTCAGGCCACACCTCGGCGGTCGTGGACTGGCCTGGCTTTGCACTAAAAGACGGTTTTGCGAACTGGGCTATGCTGGAGGACGTCTTCCAAGGCACGCTCGTCAGTACATACACACACTTTGCTTATCAGGTCTAATGACACAACTGCTTCCTTCTGGTGCTAACATGTTGACAAATGACAGGTCCTCGATCACTTTAGCGCGCGCCCACGGCCATTCTATCTGGTTGTAGCTGGTGGGCAGGCTACTGTCTATGTACTGCGGGCATTGCGGGAATTGGAGAATGATAGGAAGGAGAAGATAGCACACGTTGTGGCGACTTCACCGACCTGGCTGGCTTATCTGCGCAGGTAGTGCATTAGCGTCCTTACGGTCCAGGGAGATACAATAGGCGGTGTTGGAATATATATGTTTGGTTTTTTCAGCTGAGCTTGAGAGTTTCCCCAGTAGTTATAGGAGTTCATACACGAGTAGAAAGTACAGGAATAAATATGAATTTCCCGAAATTTCATCAGAATTTTCATATTGTCACCAACATATGTGGTTGAACATGTGCATAGTTTACCACACTGGCGACAGGTGGGTGGGAGAGGGAAAGCCGAAGGCGCTAGCTCGACGGCAGCAGTATATAGAAAATAGGCTGCCAGAGATGCTCGCCACGTGGTTCCGGTTATCGAGGATATACAGTGGTAAAGGGATGGTGAAGAGAATAATGAGAAGACAGATGGATCCCAACTCCCTCACCCCAGAGCTCATATTCCAGAAGAGGGTACATAGGGAGTATTATGGCGGCGGCGGCTCTGGTTGGATGAGTGTGGTTCTCATAGGTCATTTTACGGAGGCATAGACCCTATCAGTTGGATACGGCTATGATAGTAGGCAGGACTGACCCAGTGCAGGATACTGTTACATTTATGAGGGAGATCGTGCAGGGGACACGGCCTCAGTGGGAAGGCTCGGCTGGCCAGGCTCACATTGAGAGTCCGGAGATGCGTGGGTCATAGGTGTACATGCTGAGCTCATACCACTCCTTGAGTAATTCGTAGGGGCTGCAGATGCTGCCTTGGCTGATACTGATGATGAAGATGATATGCTGTTGAGTTTAAAGGTGCCTAAGTGGAGCCAGAAGCTGGAAGAAGAGGACAGTGGGTAACGTAGCCTCTACTGTACGTCGAGTCTTGGGCTGCTCAGAAGCTGCCCATGAACGGTGGACTACTGCTGCTGCCTCTGCAATGCATTGCCCTCCCCTCACCTATCTGCTCCCTACCATCTCTTTGTCAACTCCTGATAAGAGCACTATTGAAGACGTTAAGGAGGCTATCATGAGTGCTAAGAGGGATGACTTATCCTATAAGGAGATACCAGGGGGCCTTTTTATGCACGAGGAGGTGCCACACAGCACGCGGTGTTAGGTGTAGTGCTGTCCGGCTCAGGTTCCTGCGGTCATAGCGGACCAGTTGGATACACTGCATGCCAGAGGAAGTCTTCCACCTCAAGATGAGGAGGAGGAGGAGGAGTCCTGTGATATAGCTAGTGATAAGGCTAGCACTGGGGTGAGTGCTGGTTGGCTTGACGAGCGGTCAACTGTGTGTCAGCAGGGGGCCTACTCCGACAACGAGGGGACGTCCACCACGGCAGGTTGCTCGACAGAGCAGAAGTCGCCGATACTGTGATGATGCTGATGAATTATGTTTCTGCCCGATGTGTTTCAACACACCATTCGCAGGATTGGGTTGGGTAGTAGAGAGGGTGTCCATCAAAGTAGCGAGGGTATTGCATTGGAATAGGCTTATATGAAGGCCTCTCGGGTGCGCCGACTGTATTACATACAAGGCTAGCACACCTTTATCCGACACCAGTCTAGCTCTAACTCCAGTCAGTCCGACGCCATCCAATTCGACGTCCTCACTTGGTGCTCCTCCTGCTCTGGGAGCAGATCTACCGACCGTAGGAGGCAGATTCATGACAGGCTGTCGTTTATGGTGGTGCCTGTGTCCAGAGTGGTCTATTGAAGATGCGGTACTCTAGTGAGGTTGGCGATACTGGGAGGGCAATACCCCGTGGAGTGTAGCCTTCCTGTTGCTCCTATTGGCTGGGCTAGAGTGACTCGTTGAAATCAGCATAGGAATCTCCAACCTACAGGCCCTGGAGCGTCCCTCTGCCACTACCCTAGGAGGCGCGTCGAATTGACATGTCCGACTCACCCGTAGTGTTGCTGTTGTTGTTCTTTCTTCTCTTCCTCCGACTTGTTGTTCAAATGCCCCATCAGAAAAATACTAAGGAGATTGCCTTGAAGAAGCAGCTGAAGGCTATCCAAACGAAAATGTATGCTTATCAAGTGATGATGCCTGTGGAGACTTCATCGGTTGAATGCAGGTACACATCAGCTCGTGAGCATGATATATTAGGAGCATTCAAGACCTATGAGGAGATTATGTCCAATGACGAATTCGTGGACGCTGGCTTAACGAAAGGGGTATACACCTGTAGCTCTTGCGTACCGGTTTTAAATGTCTGCTTGTCAGCGAGGTCATATTACTGTTGATCATTCTACCATGTTCCCCTACCGTTCAGAGGATTGATATGTTGTCGACGTCCCCTCAGATGCATGCACGTATCCTTACTGTGGCTGCTAGCGATGTTAATCTCGAAGCTGGCTGTCCATCGAAGGACATCGAGACTGCCCGGAAGATCCTCAAGCTTGCTCAGCAAGTCCTCGATAAATGTAAATGTGAGGGTCCAGTATCATCTGCTAGCTATTCGTCTTGATAGGCCCACAGCGTCAGGAGAATATTCTCACTGGTATGGTGAAGTTGGCAGTAGCAGCAGGAGAGATCGATCTAGCCTTGCAGTACCACGAAGAGTGTAAGAATGCAATCGTTTGTTTCCCTTATCTGTTCTATCAGGCTTGAGCAACTTCCAACCTCGACTCAGGAGTTACGCTCCGCTCCTGCAGTTGTATTCATCACCTCAGTACCGAGACTTCGACGTGAGACTAGTGTCGAGTAGGTCTGTTGTTCACGACGCCTGTTCAGGCGGCCATGAAGCTAGTCGCGGACCTCGAGGGCCGGGGGTTTACTCTCGGTGAGGCGGAGCTGTCTTATCTTCTCCGATGCTGCCCTCCTGGAAAAAGTAACGTCATAGCATTCATCAAGTGACGGTGTTACAAGCGTTTGCAGCTTTCGATTTCCTCGCCGACAAGGTGGCTAACACAATTGATGTCGTCACCGATTCGAGATTGACGGAGGCTATCAAAACAATGGGCCAGCGGGATCCGGATGTGGAGGTCCTCCCTACAGATATTTCTGTGGAGGGCAGGTGCTCTGCTACGGATATCAAGTTGCGGTCTATTGACATCACGGATGAGGAGCTACACGAGCTCTCAGATCTAACCCAGCGATTGGCGACACAAAACTTGTCCGAGGATCAGCAGCAAAAGTTCCTCGACTTGAAGCAATACTTAGGTCAGTTGTAGTGGCTTGCTTAGTGCTTCCATCTCCTATCAGATTCACAATCGACTCCGGCGACTATCATAGTTGATGCAGCTAATATTGGCCATATGAACCAGAACTATGCTGATGGCTTCTTCCAGCACTCGCAGATAGATGACGTTGTCGAGCATTTCTTAAAGGAAGGAAAGAAGGTGAGGTTATTGAAATCTTGAACCGTTTTTCTCGAGTATTTCCCTTCGCATAAGGTACTTGTGATTTTGCATAGCAAGTGGCTCGAACAGGGGCTCGACTTGACTGTCGGTACCGGTCCTCTTGCCAAGAAGAGACGGAAAATTGCAAGCAAACACAAGCAGAAGCTGGCTAGGTTGGATGGTGAGTTTTCCTCTCCGGATGGAAATCTGCCAACGAGATTGTTGACTAGACAATGCTAAGCCCTTATTTACCTCATTCATTCAATCTCGTTCTACTTATTCATCTAGTTGTGCATTCAAAATTGTCATCAGACGATGACAATTTTAGAAAGTGACAGCCGTGGGGTTCGAACCCACGCCCTTTCGGAATGGCGCCTAAAGCCACCGCCTTAGACCACTCGGCCAGACTGTCGATGAGATTGTTGCGATCCACAAACCATCGACGAGGTTGATCGCGAACTATCTATCTCCAAACTATTGCGAGCAAAGTGCTACTGCATTGCACCGACGTGTTGATGCAGGTACCTTCGCGCCCGAACTAGACCCCGAGTTAACCCCGTCTCCCGTCTCAGCCAATGAGAATACACCTGAGAATATTGAGGAATCGATGTCTTGCAAACCCCAGAGCTCACATACGAGTGATGAGGATGACGTTGAGGAACTGAGTGAAGAGAAGCGGGCCAAGTATGACGAGTTGATAAAGAAGTAATCTTACGAATCTCCTCTATGCCTATCATCCTCATGAGTGTGGTTTGCCTAGGTACGATGATAAGTGGACGAAGCAAAATGACGACAACGGAAGTCTTTTCGATCTTTATAGGGTAGACCTCTGTTTTTAACGGGTCTCTCCACATCATTCTGGCTCTTTTCTAAGGTCCCTCCTCGTGCAAACGATGATTGGTTCTGGATGTACGCAGCTATTCGCTGTGAAGAACAGGCTCGAGCACTGGCGAAGAATGAAAACCGAACGGCTGATAAAGTATTTGTGATCTCAAACGATCTGATGCGGGATCATTTCTGGCGAATGATGGTAGGAACGGAGCTCTGTGTATGTCTATCTCGTGCATTCACTTCCTCGGCAGGTTCCACAGTCTTTCCTCCGATGGCGGGAGAGGCATGTTTGCCGCGTCAGAATCACCTTCCCAGAAGAGAATGTTGATAAAAAAGAGTACGTATTTTGCAGCGTGACTGAATCAGCTAGCGGAGATAGGGTACTGAGGATTCATTCAAATGTGTGTAGATACTCCTTCGAGATGCCATCTGTTTATTCGACGAGGATTCAAACTCAAGAACGCCTCTGTCACGTGATGCTTTTTGGGCTGCGTTGCTCTAGAAGTGCTTCCGTCAGGTACCTATCACACGTCCCGTTGAAGATCAGCAGCCTGAAACTGAAACGAAGTGGCTTGCCGTGGTGAACAAGGCAGCCGGCTCGGAGTAAAGAGCGGAAAAACGTTTCTCATCCCAAAACGAAGGCTCTGAGTCGTGTTCTAGAGTCAATCGGTTCTTTATGAGTCCGAGTCGGTAATCACTTCGCCCAAACTCACTGTACCTTCTCTCCATCGCAGCTAGGAGTGACAATTATAATAGCTAGGGGATCATGCTTCGCGGCATGGAGTAAGCGCGAGATCTGGACGTGCATTCGCAGACTTGAGCGGATTGCCTCGGCGAATTGCACATCGATTAGATCGCTCTACAAGGGGAACTAAATCACATCTGCTCGGAGTTCCGAAACGATTTAATAAAAACACGATAGCCATCCGTTTTGAGAGCCTTACATTTATAACATAGACACTTTGGCCGAGTGGTTAAGGCGGCGGCCTGCTGAGCCGTTGGGCTATGCCCGCGAGGGTTCGAATCCCTCAGGTGTCGTTGTCGCAACTCAAGATGCTGTGCATCCTTGTCGATGGTCAATATGTTCGATTTTGGATTAATCTCTCCTCCGCCTGGCCCTACTGATCGCGATACGAGGACGAATGATTCAGCTCCGCTGACTCGAAAACTAAAGAGCACGTGAGGACACTGAAGATGTGGAGAACATAGTACTCGTGTGCAGTGTACAGTCCAGGCTCCAGCGATCCCGCTTGGAACAAGACATTGCTCTGCGGCACAAAGTTTGTTCAGAAATGTTCGTTAGAAATCTGAAATGTTGGATAGTCATGGTATCATTTTTCAATAGAGAAGTGTATTTCTGCATGTAGTTGACGTATGGTACTTTCCTCCGCTTCTTGGGGACTCAGTTCCATCATAGTTCCGTTGCTGAAGATCTGGGACCCCCATCGTCATGATAGTCGATTCGTAAACTCGCACTGCAGAACGTGAATGCGGTCAACCAACTATTGACTAACACGGGTCATTCATTTTCAGGTGATTCGTATTCGTTTGCCTGCCAATTGATCGCCACCGCGAGCTCGGCCATACGAATCATACAGCGCTGGGTCAGTGAGCAAGTTTGGCTTGACCAAGGGACGCGCATCGATGGCAATGTCTAGTTGCTGAAACAAGTCTCGGAAGACTCGATCAGACCGGGTGAAGAAACGCAAATCTGAATAAAGATAACATGTCAGGCTCTCAGCATGTTGGACACCTGAACGCTAACGTACCACAGCGATGGTCATATTCGGTCTTCTGGAGGTTTATGATGACCACTCGACCTCGCTCGAATTTCTTCATACGTTTGTTGATCCACTGAGCATAGAAAGGGAATGAACTGGCAGGCTCAATGCGAAGGGAGGAACCTAACAGGGTGAGAATCAGCAAGACAACAACTTACGTGGAACCTACCGACAACAATGCAGAGATCAGCGAGCTTGCAGTGACGGATAGCTCGGCTTCTATCAGGTTCGGGGAGCTCCTCGTTCCAATCCAATACACAGTCACGCAGTACGCAATCCCGGCGATGGCCTTCACGTCTCACCGTGCGCACCGGTCGACGTAACGACGTCCCTGCATCAGTGAAAGAAACATCCAATATACTAGGCTTTGGAGGGCTAGGAGCTCGTGTACTTGTGTTGCTGCGTTCACACTTGGGACAGAGCAGTCCTCCTGGCAAGGGACGGTGACCGCAGCCTCCGACGTCATCTAGATGGCGGAACCTACCGTCAGGGAAACTGTCTGGTCAAGGACAGGGCTGGAAAACGACGGCCATTCCACAGGACTCGTCAATCGCCACTCTCAATCTCGGCGGGATATGGTTAGATGGATCTCACTCAGTTAGGCAACTGTCACAATACGAGGCGAGGAGGCATCCATGTATCTCAGACAAGAGTGAGCGTGGCACACCCGACTTCCAGTGTAGCCCATCGACGTTCTGAAAGCATCGTTATGTGTGACGATGCACTCGAACGAGCCCACTTGTGTCACCACTGCCTTCGCCTTCTCTCGACCGACGAGCTCCGCAATGGCCGAATGAGAGAAACTCGGCAAAGCCTCCGAGAAAGCTGACACCACACTGGTATATATACAACAGCTCAGCGGTGCTCCTACAGACAGTGATGTCCGCTCCCTCTGTGGCAGATGGTGTCACCGCCGTGTCCCTCGTCCTGAGTCCTCTACTCGCCGTCTCACGCGTCCAAACGCCATTCGGACCGCGGAAGTCTGGTATACCGCATGCCGTTGAGATACCGGCACCGGTGAAGAAAACAAGGTGCTGAAAAGGAGCAAATAGGAGCGATCCTATCCGGAAATACGGTGCGACAGGAGACAACGACCTTACTGTGATAAGAAGCCTAGTAAACTCCTACGTCTACGTAGGAGTATATTGCGGCAACTCAGAATGTCATTATGGTGAAGCCTAGGCTCACCTTTGCTTCCTTCACCCATTGGGTCAACTGCTCCAGTTTCCTCAGATAATCTTCGGACTCAAAATCCTCCTCGTATTCTGGATCTCCGCATAGCCCTTTGTTCGGGTACGGACTGAGCCTGTCGCTGTACGCGCTAGAACTCGAACGTCCCGGGCTCGATGCACTTTCGAGAGACATTCAAAGTGAGGACACTGGGGACTTCCAATGGAAAGCATGCAGGAACCTGTTATAGGAGGAGGCCCAGATTATGAATATCTCTGAGACTAGTGGTATTCTAGACATGAAAGTGCTAGTTGGTGTTATCAGGCAGCTGAGACTAACGCTAGAGTTTCTGTTTAGTGAGTGATATATCGTGGATATTCGACTGCGGCGGTGGTCATGATTGAGTCCATATCATGAGAGGTATATGGACATGGTGGTGAAGCCGTAGATGTGCCATTTTCTCCTAGGCGAGTCCTCTATTCTGCACGCACGCGCACGTCACATATAACTAGCTGAACGATTAGTAGTCTGAGACTGCCACCATAGATCACATAAAATGCCGCTGACGAGGTTCATTATTCAATGATCTGCTGGTTTTGAAGTGAAACTTCTTGAGAAGACTCACAGATCACGGAATAGCAAGCCTCGACACGTGGGACAACCCATGTCGCGCGCCACAGTTGGGCTAGTGAGCGAATGGTAAATTCTACTATCGTCCTCGTTTACCGGGCGAAGAGTGAGAACAATGACGAGGTATGAGGAATTTGCTACTCGAATAGAGACAGAGGAACAACTCTCTGGCCCTATGTAGAGTGCGCAAGAGCCCTTCTGCGCTGCACCTCCCATCATCCACCGGTGCGTGCTCTGAGCCGAAGTCGCTTTACAGCGCCACATTGGAGGTTTGTTCTCACAAATGTTTCACTGTGTCACTTCAGTGTTGGGCACTAGCATTAGATTTCCTAGTATCCTGTGCTCCGCAACACTATCAAGTTCAACGCAACATGAAAACCCTTCGCAACCGAAACTCTTCGTGAAACATCTCAGCCACCTGAACTCATATTCGAGTCGTCTCCAGTGTACATGGGGAACTCAGTCACGACATGTTCATGAGCTTCGCTATCATCGTCTCCCGCTGACAGCGTTGCTGAGTCACGATCTTGCCATCCCATGGCTCGCAGGGATTCCATAATCTTCTGGGCATCTTGCTCGTTTGCAGATGCTACGAATGACTCTCTAGAAAGTAGATGCCGTAGCTGAGGAGAAAAAGCCACCACTAGGCATCACTTATGAATACGCAGTACGAAAGATACCTTCCCGAGCAGTCCATTATGGCGGTAGTGCAGATTTGACAAGGCCTCCAGCGCGGAAGCCACCTCGACGGGCGTGAACTCTTCATCGCTTCTCGAGCTCACATGTTCGCAAATGGAATCGACCGCTGCCTCTGAGACGGAGGTTCACTCGTAAACATCAGTGCACCTTACTGTAGATATCATTCCCTTTGGGACTGACATGCAACATGCTCATTGCATGAATTATACCCAACATTGGCAGCATCTCACACCGGTCTCTGGTCGGATCCACTTCATCAGCCACAGACACCGAGTAGTCATCTAGGGCTGACGGAGTTTCATCCACCTCAAGGACAGAGATAGATCCCAACTCTCAGAGGAAAACTCATTACCGTATTCTCATGGGCTACTGAGTCTTGAATGGCGATAAGATGAGGTACTCGAGCGAGTGTCGTGTCGATGAGCTCAAGATTGTTGATATTGAGTTTAGCGTAACCACGAAGGAGCATGAAGATCTCAGCGAGTGTGATAGTGTTGATACTAAGAGGAGTGTTATATGCGAGGAAGTAGAGTGTGAGACACATCACTTCTGTTTAACGAGTTCAGGTGTGTGGTAAAGCAGCGGACCATTGCGGACGTCTGCCACACTGAAAGAATGCACCAGCGAAGCCGCTATTCTCGGTGTCATGTTCTCCGCTTCTCGAGAAACCTGAAGGTCTCCTCTATCCTCTACAGTAGGCTTCATGGTCTCACTTGATCACCGAGAGCGGCGAACAAGGCGGGCGACTTATGACCAGCTCGGGCGTATGATGACGCGACCAACATCACAGACTGCAACGTGTATTTCTTGATGTGTTTTGGGATCTCCTAGGAGCAAAGTAGAATCCTCTATAACCGGTTGAGAGTAGCTGCATCACTTTGGCAAAGTAATCAAAAAGCAGAGGATTTGGATGATTAAGTTTAGCATATGAGTTCAACATCAGAGCAACGCCCTGGGGTGAGAACCTGCACGCGTCAGATAATGAAAAATCAGTCAAGACTCCTACTTTCCTCGGTGTCTGAACGATTCATCCATGAGCACCTCCAGGAGGAACCGATTGTGAACATTTAGTCGCGCTGAACAGTATCAGTGATATACGCAAAAGCACGGGTCTCTCACCATAGCTGTTGGCGACAAGCGCTAAGGACTTCGGAGGAAGGTCGCTAATTCGCTTACAGATTTCACCCGCCAGCACCGCGAATAGCTTGGTATCCGCAAGCTGTAGCTTGGCAAAAGCCGAGCATGTCTGTCACAATGACCGAGTCCACATCGGGACAGAGAAATGGATGTAACGGGCCGTCGATTCCCCACTCACAAGAGCGAGATGCCAACCTTCCATGTTGGGAGCCACTTCTACTACTCGTCTGCGGATGACGTTGAATAGTCGAGGGTGGACGTACTGCAAACTAGCGAACGCGAACATGATGTCGCTAACCTGTACAAGGCCTCAGTGCGGCGAACTCGGTATGGCTGCGTACTTGTCTAGAGTTACACCGATGCATTAACCGCGCCGCCTCTCGAGCTGCAATGTTGAAGAGTAAATCGTGTCGCATTTCCAGACGAGCATATGACGATAGAAGATACCTTCAACTCCCCTATTGTGCCCACCGCTGACCATAGGAGGCTTACGCTAAGTCCGCAGGGGAAAACCTCCCCATCTGAGTGGGATACTCCTGAGCTACTCTCGACAGGAGCTCTCGATCTCTCAAACGTAACCGTGCCAACGAGAAACATATGACGCTCATATCAGATGGTTGCATCATAGGGACCTATAGGAGGTCTATAATGCATCGTTCGAAGGGCGCTGATTTCCCTACGATCTGCTTAGCTCGTTCAACTATTGCCTTCCACACTTTGGCGTCTTTCCGACTCTCTCGTAGATTCCGTAGAGCATACCTTGAATGGTGCATCACAACTTGTCTTCAAATCGATAACTCAGTGCTACCTTGTGAGAGTCCAAGGAGCCATTTTGCTGATTGAATCACCGGGTGAGGAAGCAGCGAACCCGTCGAGAAGGGTGGCCACTCGAGCCCGCTGCATCATTTTAGTTGGAGGACCCACTTTGGGGGAACTCGGAAGCTCATGCAACGCAGCTGAGAGGCGGACAATCTGCAATGTATTTCGGGCGCGCGCGAGTTGCTGCGTGAAAATTTCCGCTCAAAACGTCTGGTTGAAATTACCCACCGAATATCTCAGCAACATCAGCGCAAGATGACAGTAGTCATTCAAGGTAACTCATTGCTGTCCTCTCACGGAGACCATCTCGGTTCTTCTTTCTCAGTTCCCCAGCTCGTTGAGTTCGTACTGTCCAACCCCAAGTTTTTCCCTGGTCTCCACACGACATCACAGCCCAGGACCTCCACAGGTATGGACCTTCTTCACTGGACATTCTCCTCGGGCTTTCGACGAGATGTTCCCAACGAGACTTGCCATTGTTCTTCGCTCATCCTTAGGGCTACAGAATCTAGATCCTCAGAGGCAGCTTCAAGCTATATGGAATGCCATGTCCGACTATCTTCGGGAGGTGCGCCCTCAGTGTCTGTTTGTCGAGACTGTGATCAGCTTGTTATGATTCAGGTTCTGGAGTCAGGGAAAGGTGTGAGGATCGATCATATCGGCGCCTTTGCGTTCGAGCCTGTGGTGGCGCCGTAGCATAACGTCCTCCTGAGGGCTTCGAAATCGCTGTCCCTCACAGGTACGGCAACCCGAAGAACTTCCGGTCCTCAGCACTTCAATTAAGACCATGCTTCCTACCCGACGGCGGCTTCAAGGCCACCTTGCCAAGGTGCCTACGGACTCGCCAGTGGTGGGCAGAGCGTTGATGTAGGTACGCTGGCAAGGAGGAAACTCCACTCCGCGGTGGATCTATCTACCAACAGGGTATCAATATGATATACCTCAATAAAGTCCCTATTGCTGCTGGTGAGATTCTGGTGAAGTTTCACCGTCTCCGACGTCGCGCCCTTGTTAGGTCTGTTCTTGAAGACTCAAGTGGTAGCTGATGGCATCAGTGCGTTGTTCAAAGCAGTTAAGGATCTCAGCTCACGAGGGTACAACCTCGATCTGGACTTCAAGTTCTGCCGCTGGCAAATCATCGATGGCGATCTCAAGGTCTCATTGATTTGGGTCTTCTCGAGGAGTTCTAACAAGTTCATTGATCAGACCAAATTCAGTCCAAGTCTAGTCAGGGAGGCACAGAAAGATGCTCGCCAGTGGCCGACAAGGGACGCATCCGCCAACCCATTGCCGACGCTTGCACAGGCATTGGCCGACAAAACGGGTGAGAGTTCGGAGCTTATGAAAGAGCGAATTCGTCGAATTCATCAGACCCTTCGAAGCCTCCACAGCCTATATCTGCGACATGGAAGAATCCTAACGTTTCCAAGGCTATGACGGGGCTGATCAAGGTAAGGAGCGGACTATGACGATATTCAGGGTGCAATCCAACGCTGCTTAGAGACCCGACTCGCCTAAGATTGACTCAGTACGCCAACGCACCCTCCAGCTTGGTATCATGAGTCTGGACCTCAACAGTTGCCAACCCAAGAAAGTGTCGAAATGCAGTAAGAAGGAGAATGAAAAACAACAGGAGGTAAGTCAAGAGGTTCGTCGTCGGGATGGGGATATGAGAATTATCTTCTGGCAGACCCATGTGGAAGCTACTGCCGAGGAGACCTCCACCACTGATGATGTCAAAACCGGCGCGTGAAGATTGTGTGATAATTTATGTTGTATACTGTACTTGCGCAAAACGGAACATCATATCCCCATGGTCCATCCCACTGTTAAAAAATGTTGTCAAATTGAACGTTGTTGGGTTTTCATTTTCCTAACCTGGGGAAATAATATATATGAAATATAAGTAGAGAATGAATATTCCCGATGGGTACCCAAAATTAGTCATCTTCAGCTCCACACTGACCACAGTTGTTATATCGAGATGTGCCCTCCCACTGCAACAACTCGTCAATCACTTTCGCCAAGAAACATAATCAGCAAAACACGCTTGTCAAATCAAATTGTGATACATCAATCCTGATGCTGTTCCAATCAGTCTTCCTGAAAAGGAATCGTTCGTGTCATCAGCTACCTTGTCATTGACGAATTGAACGTAAGACACACGACGCGTTTGAAAGAAAGCTGCATTTTCAACACCCGCAGGCCATAATGCGATTCGCCTATATCACGCCAACCACGGTCATCGTGTCGAAAAATATACGGGCGCACGCGGAGCTACTTTTCTAACAGGATAGCACGTCCCCATCTCGAGCAAGGTGACCCGAGTTTTTAGATGTGCATAAACGTGCGCAGCCGTCCAGGCCAGTCCTGAAAGACGTAAACCTCGGGATAATAAGGCATACCGCGTTGTAACCTACCTTCACGGCTGTCCAGAGGCAAATCCCTTCCGGGACCAACCATGCATGACTCACAAACACAGTTTTTGGTGATGAATCTAACAGTTATCATCATTATGATCACTAACAATCACGTGTCGGCTCACTTGGGGGGAAAGTATCCATAGATCTTCACACACTGCTGGGTAACAAACTCGAACTGCCGGGCTGCATGGCCTCTCGAGAGACCATGCTCAGGTCCACCATTGGACTTCTGAACAAGAGAGGTTATGACGATTGACCGAAACACACCCACCCAGGGATCAATCGATATATAGGCTTCTGGAGAGGAGTACTCTCTGTGCCTTTCCCTGTTTTCTGGCCTCAGCCCACTCCGCTCATAACAACTGCCATAAGTAGCGTTATTATCCTCTCGATGATTATGAGGCTCCTCGTGATAAGCCCTAGTGGGGGAAGGTATCTCATTGTAGAGCTCAGGCGAAGCATGGTGAGCGCGATAGTGATGGTTAGGACTAGCCGAATAGCTTGTGGCCATTCTATAGGCTGCATCCTGTCGGGGGTCTACACGAGGTAATGGTAGAGAGGTATGAGCCTGAATCGAGAAGACATACCATCAGCAACACCAGAAGGAGACTCGGATCACATGGGTGTCAAATTCGTACGGAATAGTAGGATGAACTCCCGCTGGTGGATTTTCACGCTGGTGGGGCATAAAACAAAACCAGGCGATTCAGAATCTAAGAATTTTTACCGTAGATCGTTCCCTACAGTGAGGAACAGTGGAACAGTTTTCCTCGCATAACTGTGCTCATATTAGTACTATACTATACATTTCAATAACTATACTAGAATCGACATCGAGTTACCGCAATATCATGAACTGCTGGTTCTTGCCAATTCATGGAGTTCCTTGATCTTCCAGATGACCGAGCCGAGGGCGTAACCTCTACTGGGAGAGGTGGAGGTGGTGGTGGAGGATTCGACGAAAGCTGAGCATAGCCATCTCTTCCAATTCGACGCTTCCATGGCGAGCGAATCTCACCGAGCTCCCTTCAAAGGCCATAACTCTCTCCTCAAAGGTCTGTCTTGGTGGCGAGCGCGATGGGCGGCGAGGAGGCAGACCGGCAGGTTTCAGGGGCCTCAACGGCTTTTTAACTGAACAAATTTCGGTCGAACATCCGACCACGGAAATTGGCAGTTACCAGGTAGTTGAGAAATGGGTTCTTCGGAACGAGCAACGTAGACAGGGTCACGACTAGGTGGGGACGGGATCGATTCTACCTCATAGGCGCGATACGCCTCGGCCTTCTTGTGCTTCTTGCCTACAATAACAGCAATCACCGTCAGACACCACTAAAATGGACAGACCTTGAAGATGATTCACCACATGCCATGAACTGGCGAGTTGGGCATCACACCATGAACACTCCCACCCAAACTCGCTATCCTCGATGCAATTCGGCCACTTAGGATCTGACCGGAGAAACAAGAGTCATTCAGCATGGAACCCAGTCGACGCTGACCCCTTTCGTAGTCCGTGCCATTCCTATAGTTCGCCGTCGTCTTCCCTCTGGTTGCAGATGATCTCCTCCTACCTATCACCGTACCATCCTCATCAATGATAGCTGTTGCCCCCCAGGACCATCCCTTACGACGATCGATTGTATTAGCCGCCTCCAGGCCACTCCTACCGGAAACCCAACGGTCGACCGAACGTACACAGCTCACTGCAGTACTTGTGACCAGCGCTATCAACATGACGATGGAGCGGTATGAGACCTTCCATGCGTGCATCACAGATCGCACAGTACACCCACACAGGATTCTCTTCATACCTTATCGTCACCATACAGTTCTCGCTCATGATCTGCGCACCACATCGTCCACAACAACCCTGGGATATTCCAAGTGTACCTCCGCATTCCTCTGTCCGACTAACGTAGCAGCATCCTCATCAACTTCCCAGAAAGGCTCAATACCCAGCGCGACACACTCCGCATTGTGTTGGTCGCCTGAGGCAAAGGAAGCCCTTCTTGGCAAACTACCATACCGCTAAAGCGATTACTCATAAGATGCATCTCCATCAGAGCCGAGCTGGGAAGGACAGCCCCTGCGTGATGACCACAACACACCGTACACACCCAACCATGAGGGTCGACCTGAACAACAACGATCGAGCAATCCTTAGAATGAACTGTTTCCGAATCACTCTATCCTTGCCGCTGGTAATAGACCCGTAGCAGTTTCGAGAGACTGTTCCACGAGAATTTTCCATTCGTTGCAAAACCTCGATCCCATCGTCTCACATTAACGTAGTCAGGCAGCTGGCATGAGGCCGCTCCAGTGACCTCCTCTGCGACGGTTGAGCGTCCCCGAGGTGTTCTAGGAGAATGCTTAGCTCCAGGCCACGACGACTCCTGCTCGGACTCTCCATCGCTACCAAACTGCATAAAGAACTCACCCCTCTGAAAGCGCTGATCCTCTTCTCATGAAGGGAAGATCTCAAGTGAATCTTCAAGGCGTCGAAGCTGCAGAACTTCTTATCACAGAGGAGGCAATATATCCAGTTCTGACCATTCACCCGTTACCCAGCGAGATTAACTACTACGAGCCTACTACCTCTCCCACTCCTGGCACATTCTGACCGTCGGAGAGAACCTAAACACCGTCATTGCCAGTCGTTGACCACGACTGGCCAATTCTTACGATTTCGTTGCTTTTCATTGTCTCATACCAGTGATCCCCGTATTTGATCCCCCACTCCTTCAACAAGGCTGGCGACATCTCACAGGTAGCGAACGTTAGATACTCCTTATCGTCGTCGTCCGCCACACATTTGCTGCTAACTCTAGCTGGAGAAGTCTCAGGCTGCTGAGAAGACGGCGGCTCATCGGACTTCGACGGTGGTGAAGGGGGCGGTGGTAGAGTTGGAGCTGATCGAGGAAAAGGCCTAGGGCCTGTTGAGGGTAACGGAGCTTACCGTCTCCCTTGGGGCTTGGAATATCGACGTAGAGCTCATCGTCTACACTCGCCTTCTCCGAATTAAGGGTAGTCTCCGCCTCCTCCTCCTCCTCCTCCCGAGTCGGTTTGTCTTCAGCATCGGTATTTTCGCTCTGACTATAGTCAGCCCAATTAGTCTTGCTGCCGTCCTCCTCATCTTTCGAGACCTTGTCGATGACGGGTCGGCCTGGGGGCAGAGGAGGTCTCGTGCTGGGAAGCATTACAACCAGATGATAACAGAGCTGACAACGAGGACACCAGAAACCACGTCCCAGCTCAACACCAACAGCTGTTGATGGAATACGACCAGCATGATTCACTCCATCATCTCCACCAGCTCTCCCAATTCCTCGATGACTTCAACCAACTCCGACCCTCGATGCCGGGCCCATACCCACCACTCCTCACAGTATCTACTCCAGCTAGCGAGCAAGCCAGCCTCATGCTGAGCTCCTTCCTGAACGCTTCGTTGGCCGTCAGATGCATCACAGCTATTGCTTTCACCAGGTGACCACCAAAGCCAAGAGCACGACCGTTTAGTAGTCGAAGATTCACTCTGGCTAAAGCATCCAAGCAGGCCCTGAAAAACCAATATTATGGTTGCTGATGGTATGTTAGCTCACACTGAGTGAGGCAGGCGTCGTCCCAGAGGCACCCCCGCCTGTCGCAATCTGCTCTGTACTAGCGGCTTGGAACATCGATGCATGCTTGACCGAAATCGTGGGGCCTAGTACGTCATTGCTTAGATGCTGTGGTGGCATGACAGATACCCCTATCTGAAGCGGCTAGCCTGTGAGGACTAGGGACGGTCAAAGAGACGAATCCCTCTCCATCGGACCTGATTCTCACCCAGTCGCCGTGCTATCTGTGCTGCTGGTGTATCATAAACACCGTAGAAACTACCACCTCCAGGGATGATGAAAATACTACTGTCACTACCATGATGATGATGGCGATGACTCTTGTGATGTTTATGATGTCGTCTGTGCCTACCCTACGTGCACATATCACTAACAGCATTTCCAAAGTTACCGGAATCTCCCACGGAACGAGGCTGCAACTACGTCATCGTGGCCAGCGTGACTAGCGAAGGATCCTGTGGAACGATGGTAGAAGGACCTCCGCGATGAACCCATTATTCCCACCAGCGGTCGTGTCATCGCTGTGTATACTATCCCCCTCTGGAAAGGGCCTTTCGTGAGCACTCATCAAAATGGCAGATACTGCAATTCCGAAAGACCTCCCCAAACCATACCCCATGTAGGATTGCCGAATGACTGCTGACGCAAAGCCCGAGAGACAAAAAACGAAACGTAAAAGTAGAGTCACTCAGTACACAGTCTACGCTAACGCCACTCGACTGCCAGGCCTCCGGTCCATACCATTCGAGAGCCCATCATCGAAAGAGGGGCCTAGATGACGGTGATGGTAGGGGTCTGCCTCATGGGACTGATCCCGCCGATAGGCCGCAAACTGATCGATGTACCTCCTCAGCACGTCATGAGGGGCCGATGCACTCTGCTTAGCGACTGAGGAAGAAAGCAAATGCTGTCGAGAACAGAACACATCCCCCTCGTACATGCATCCTCGAGGGCCCCCCAACCATCCTGATCCTCTTCATCGATACTCAATTGAGCCGTAGCCAAGGCCGCTCTGATGTCAGCCCCTGTGAAGCCAACTTCACCCGAGAGCAGACCTATCAGGCGCATGGCCCAGTCAGATGGGGCCTTAGCGATGACTTCCTCGAGACCTTCGAAGGCGGTGACAGCATGCTCCAGGACATCAATCAGATCATCCCTTCCGGAAGGTATGTCGCATAGTAAACTAATGTCAAGCCTACCCGGCCTCGACAGTGCTGGATCCACCATATCAGGCCGGCTCGTCGCTGCTACCACAAACACAGGGCTATCCGAGACCTCCACACCGTCAAGGTAGGTCAGCATTTGATTCACAACTCTGTCAGTCACGCCAGTAGAATCGGCCCCTCGTACAGGGCACAGGGCATCCACCTCATCAAAGAACAAAACACAAGGCGCCCTGGCTCGAGCCTTAGCAAAGGTCTCCCTCACCCGAGCCTCGCTACCACCAATGTACTTAGATAGCAGTTCTGGACCCCGCACAGCCACCACTGGTAGGCCACATTCCTCAGCAACGCTCATCGCTAACGCCGTCTTCCCACAGCCGGGTGGTCCCACCAGCATCGCCCCCTTCGGTATGAGCACAGCCCCACAAAGAGCAGGGTACTTCAGGGGCAGTTGTATAGCATCAGTAAGTCTCTCTGTCGCATGCTTGATGCTGGCCCCTCCCAGATAGCCCAGTCTATGAAATGAGGCTCGGCCAATGCCCTTATCCTCGGCCCGTCGTCTATCACGAAGATCCACACCAGAGCTGGCCAATACCGACACCTCCTTCAACGTATACCCCTCCCCTCGGTCGTTGCCCAGTATGGCGAGACGGTCCTTCACATCGAGCGTCGAGGGCAGAGCCACGATGTAGGAACACAGTCCTTCCAGGCCATCAACAGTTTCAGCTGTCCCCAAAATTATCAGAGACCGCGTAGGCCGAAGATGGAAGTTCAACACATCCCACAAGATACTGGCAAGCACCCTACTTCTTCCCTGGCATATTGAGCTCGGTCCGCCCTGTCGTTTACCATCCTGCCTCAGCCCCAGCAACACGTCCACATCATCCAGTAGCAGTACGCTCGGCGGGTCGTAGGTGCAGGCAAACTTGAATGCACCCAAAAGGGCCTTCTTGACCACTGCAAACTTGAACCTCTCTGCCGAGGCCAGCTGGGCGCAGTCCACCTCTACCACCGTATAGCACAAGGCGCCAACAGCATAGCGAGCCGCCGTGCTCTTGCCACTACCAGAACAACCCGTCACGACCACCCCAGGCACCGGTAGGGATGCAGGCATCCTACCAGACAGACCAGCAACTATACAAGATGATACCTCCGCAGCTAGTTTACGTAGGGAAGGCGGAGGCTCCTCAAAGCACTGTCGATAACGATAAGTTCTCATTATCCCGGCTGTTTCCAACGGGATATAGGACAGTAGTGGACTCCGAGGCTTCGGAGACTTAACTATCGACCCATCAACCCTCGCACTGAGCCCAACGTGGACCCCATCCCTCAGGCTCGTCCCGTTGAGACCGATCGGTGCAGTTTTGGAAAGCATTTGTGGGAGGACCAGGCAGACGTCAGAAACAGACTGCTCGGGGAAGGTGACCTTGACGTCGATATACTCAGAGGTGCTGCGAGCCACAGGGTTAGCTGGGATGCCCTCTTCATCACAATATTGAATTTCTGGTATTCCATTATCAACCACTACTGTACGGCAACTAGACCTAGACCGAGGTGGCTCATCCCGGCGAGTGACCTTACCGTTCACCGCCACAGAAGGCCTCCGAAACCTCATCCAACCACCATTTTGGATCACCAAGCATCTGAGCCGATCTACAGTATCACAGAAGTCCCGACAAACATCACCGCAATACGTTGCAGTTGTTAGAACTATTTCAGATGGTATTATGGGCTCCTCTCGACAGGCCTTCACCAACACTGCACTAGCCTCAGCTATTACTTCGGGATGATGAGCCGCCACCAAGGGATGCAACAGGACGTACCCAGGGTCCACCAAATCGTTGTCGACCATTGACGGTACTACAATATCATCACCGAGCCGAGCAATACCAGTAGTAACTCCAGCAGTTGAATGCAGCACACAAGTGACCCCATATTTGTCGTAAATAGCAGTAGGAAACATTTCTTCGCTACAAACAACTCGGCACATTCGTTTGACCTCATTCCGAATGTCCGGTAATAGCAGCTTCCTTGGCTTGGCCTCGATCGCGAGCTCATCAGACTCAGAGAGCAATCTGAATGGCACCTTGGGAGTGCCTCCAGCCTGCTCATCTTCATCCCATACGGCTTCCATAAAGATGGGCTTTCCTCCACCCTCGGGCCATAAGGGGAACTTGAGGCCAGGGAAGAGCACCGCTATTTGGGAGAGCAGGGCCGATTCGAGGTACTCAGCCTGTAGCTCTACCACTTCCCAGTCGTCGCTACTGCATGGTTGTATCACAATAGGGCCCGTGTTTTCGGGTATGCTCTCGATAGAGACAGGGCTAAGCTCGATAGACTGACCTTCTGTCCATCCCAAAGCTGATGCGAAGGGCCTCGATACCTCCACAGCACCTTTGACCGACGCCGCGTGCCCTGCCCAGCCCACATACTGCCCAGGCGTGCTGGACTGCAAGACTTGGCAGAAGTGGCCATTGACCGGAGGAACCCCATTGAAGAGTGATGAACTATCACTCGGATGAAGAGAGATGTAGTCTCCTGTTGCTATACTCCTCACTGACACTTTCAGCTTAACCGTAGGCATTTAGTAAATTAACTGCGGTCCTGTAACACACTGTTGTTGCTTTCAGCAGTAATACCGAGTAGTACCCGAGAGCCCTGAAAAGTAACACTGGTGATTTCGCTAGTGCTGATTGCGGGCGACGATGAATCGATTTCATACCAGAGACGAATGAAGCAATTCACATAGGAATAGTCACCAACAGCAGCCACGCTGCACTAACCCCTCGAGATTAGAGAATTTTGAGGTTAGAACCCTAACTTCACAAACTTGAGAAACTCCAAGAACGCTTCACAAGCTCCACAGCTTCAGGTGTGAGGGAACTCACCTTAAAAACGAGATGCGGTGAGATCTTGAGATAGAAATGAGCAACCTCTTTGAAACGTACGGGGGACTTCAGAGGTAAATTCGGACCGAAGTCTATTTAAACGTAAGTCGAGGAAATGCCGAAATTGATGTGGATTTTGGTATTTTCAGCACAACAATGACTGGAGAGATCTTGCCGCACTCGCGCATCTTACGTTTTCTCAGTTTATCCCTTTCGAACAAGACCACTCAAAACGACCCGGGAGAAGTTTGCTATTGTGAACTTGCATCGGGGTTCTGGATCTCGGCTCGGGGTTCCTCCTTCAAGCGAGCTATCTCAATGTTGAATTTTTGTAAAAGCGAGTTCCGATAGTTCTGGAAGCGTTAGTTATTCTTTGCCGCTCCGTGTCAGTATGCGGCCGGAATGGACACCACACAGGTTACACATTGTGTTCAAGGAAAATGGGCTAGAAGCTTGAAGATATTACAATAGTATAATGACCGTTTGGCGATCCGAAAGTAACTCTCCAATGAGGAACGATGGAGATGTGTTGAGACAGACGAAATGAAGGAAGGGCCACAGAACTGTCCCATCCTGTGTTCAGGCTAGTATTACTATAGCCGTGATAACTGTGAGCATTGCATACGAGCTGCATCGAGTTAACTTTACCGTTGTTAGAGTTTATTTTATTTCCAACTCGAAAGTAAAAGTAACCAACTATGGGAGGATTGCAGAGTGCGCTTGGCTTTGGTGCTACGAAGCCTCGCGTCACCGTCGACAACTTCTATAAGCTCTCGGCCCCGCTGATTAACGGCGAGGTCTTGAACTTCGAGAAGTTCCGTGGTACGTACTTCTACTCTTGATGTTGTTGGTGAAGTCAGTGTGCCTCTCCTCAGGTGACGTCGTGCTGGTGGCCAACGTCGCATCCAAATGAGGCTTGACTCAGGCCCAATACAAGCTCTTCGGGGAGCTGGGCCAAAAATTCGGGGACAGGGGTTTCAAAATCGTCGGTTTCCCCAGCCGGTAAGTTTCTCATTGTAGTCATCTATGGATGCTGTTGGTGTTCAGACAATTCCTCAATCAGGAGATGAAGACTAATAAGGATATCGATGACTTCGTGACGGACATCCTCAAGCCTTATCCTGGTGTCAAGGACAAGGTCTTTTTACTAGCAGAGCCTTGTGATGTCAACGGCGACAAAGCATCTCCGGTCTTTGAGTAACTCCTGTCCCATAGAGTAGTGAGTCAGTATCGTGTCTGTCACAGGTTCCTCAAGTACCACTCAGGCTTGTATGATCCGAAGTTGGGAAAATCCAAGCCGATCCCTTGGAACTTTGGCAAGTTCCTCGTCAATAAGAAGTATGTTAGTTCTCTACAGTTCCCTTTGTGTGGAGAATGCGCCGTTTTTTGTCAGTGGCGAGGTCGTGTGCTTTTGGGATCCCAAGGAGGCTAATATCGCCGACGATATAGAGGCCTGCATAGAGGGTAGGTTGGAAGGTAAGAAGATTGCCTCGGCTGAAGATGCGGAGGAGAAAAAGTCCAGCATGTCCCCAGAAGAGGTACTCACTCATGTTTTCTGATCGTAGCAATGCATTTGCGGTAGCAGGCTAAGAAGTTCGTCGAGGATAAGATCAATGGCCCAGCTACTGCCGTAGGCTTCACCCTTTCCTATTGTCCCCATTGCAAGGCATCTCTTGCAAGTCTTAAGGAGGTAAGACGTCTTTGAAGACCAACAGGGCCTAGTTGTATGATCGATCGCAGTATTTTGTTGGTTGTTGTCAGTTGACAAGCTCTTTGGAGGTCGTTGAGGTTGATACCATGGAGAATGGTGCGGCTGTGAAGGAAGCTGTGAAGGCCGTCACGGGTCAAAAGACCTTCCCTCAAGTGTTCATAAAGGGCAAGTTCATTGGTGGCAACAGCGAACTTCAGGAGCTCATCTCTGATGGGAAGATCAATGATATGATTAAACAAGAACTCTAAGTGGAAGCTTGACTCTGTATGGTCTCTGGTGGTGATGGTCGGCAATTGACGAATGACGGTTTGACGGCAAACTTTACAGTCCGTCGAGCTTGATGAGTCCGTCGATGTCCCCGAAGATGGCAGTTGAGTGTCGACTTGTCCACAGTGATCATACGAGTCAATTCCTTTACGAATCTTCATTATTGTTATCACTAGTACCGACTCAGTACTCCCTTCTGTTGAGTTTGGTATCAATTCGTAGGGGTCGCTGTGAAGTATCGAATTATTGTTAGGGTTTATCGAGGATGCCATGCTGGGGTGAACTCTGTTCCAAGAGAGGACACCAGAGGCGGCAGTCGGGACAGGCTGGTGGCCCATCGCGAATGGTCTCTCCCTCTCGAAATGGTGCTTCGGAGCGTTGGGCAGCTGACAACTACGATGCCGTATCAAATCGAAGTTCTGGTGCGGTGAGCCAGGATGGTGAAGTTCCCATTAGCGAGTCTAGCATTTATGACGACTATCAAAAATGCAGCGAGCAAGTGCCCCTGGGCAGGGGTGGAGGTTGTGCTACTGTGGAGTTGTGGAAGTCCCTTGAAGACGATTCGTTGGTAGGTTGGTGCGGTGTTGTTGTGCAGATTCCAGTGTCAGGTGGCTGTGAAATCGATGGATAGGAGCCGTTCAGAATGGCGTAATGAAGTCAGGATGCTCGCAAGGGTCTGCCCTCATCCCAACATATGCTCTATAAAGGCCGTATATCTCGATAACATGTACGCCCGATTAGTCCTGGAATACTGCGCTGCAGGCACTCTACTATCGAGAGTCCTACATGTGAGTCTGCGCCTGGTTGTTGCTGGATTGGTGATGTGCTCGTTGGTCAAGGTGAACTCTTTGGAGCCGTGTCACGTGTCACCAGTATTACGTGCAGCGAGGAGGTCGTCGAGCTTCGGGAATACACTGCTGCCTCCCCCTGCCAGTATAGATGGTCCGATGCTTCCACCAAGTGAGACGGGACTCGACCCCCTTGTGAGTAGAGTACTGCATCGTCGTTTTAGTCAGAGATTCCCGTCCAGCATCTCCTGCTGCAAGTCCGAGTAGTAGCAGGAGTAGCTCCAAGTCACCGTTGAGTTTAGCACTGCGACTTCTATCGATGTCAACTTCTAGTGCAACTCCAACAACGGCTTCAGAGAGGGTGACTGCGACCCCTATGCAGGAAGCGGAGGCTAAGAAATTCGTTCGAGATCTACTACATGCCTTAGAACAGTAGGAAACGACGCGAGGTTCATCGCGATCTCCGACGGGGTAGCCTTCGTATTAGATGTCATGAATGCGGCGTTGTACACCGCGACGTAAAATTGGAGAACATTGTGATTGCCGAAGATGAAGACGGAGCTGAGGTGGCCCGACTGATAGACTTTGGCCTTGCCCTGAGGTGTAGAGGAAAGTCTGGGGTCGTTGACAAGCAGATCGTCGGCTCAATACACTATCTAGCGCCGGAGTGCATCAGGAAGGGCAGGTGGTGCGGCGGCCATTGGCGTTATGCTGCATCTGCCGAGCTGCGCAACTATTCAGGTATTCCAGCGCTTCCGATATGTGGGCCGCTGGTGTAGTTCTGCATCTTCTTCTCCGGCCTTCCGTACCACCTGCAGCAGCGCCCGACAACAGGGCGATCATGAGACGGATCAGTACTATGGATTTGGAGGGACTCGGCAGTGGTATCTCGAAGGAAGCCAGGGATCTCCGGAGTCGACTACTCTCACTCTATCCTGATAGCAGGTAGTAGTCATGTGCCATCTTCACTGTGGCCATTGGTGTCTCTATGGCAGACTTACAGCTCGAGAAGCTCTAGAGCATCCTTGGTTCACGAGTACTGATGACGATGATGCTACCTCGGGGACTTACTCGGCCCAACTACACCGGAGCGATGATGAGGCTAGTCATCGTCAGTTGAGGACCTCATCCGAAGCTGGAGTGCCGCCCACTTCCCCTCCGCGACGCCATCGCACAGACCCAGCCTTGGGAATCAAGGTTTGGCCTGTCTCCAGTCCGATGCATCGGCCTAGCATAGAGTTTGGAGAGCCCACTGCATTACAACGGCCACTCAGTTCGGCGGATCCGATCATTATTGTGACTCCCGTCTCCGCAGCTGCTGCGGACTCACGTCAAGAAATGGAATCAAAAGATGCTCTCTAATCGGAGGGAACATGTAGTATATCTATGTATGTGCTGATCAGGTCAGCGTTAAAGTAGGGGGATTCCCGGTTTTTGTACTGCGATTGAGCATGACAACATCCTGTACCAACTGAGCTTGCCTCATTCGCCTAACACACGTATTCTGTGCCAAGATTTTCCACCACTGATATGAGTTCGACCACTGAGCAAGTTGTTGTTTAATAGTTTCATTCGTACAAGTGCTGCTTTATCTTCGCTGAAGTGCCTTAGTTCTGCAAGGCTCTCACTGAGTGGAGGAAGGATCGTGCATCCACTCTGGCTTGTAATGGTCACCAAACCCGCCATGATCCCGTGATCCTCGACCAGAGGGCCATGCCGCTGGCGAGCATTAACGGCGGCAGCAAAGGAGCGGAAGGAAATGGGACTTAGCCTTTGGGGACTCAGGGCGATCTGCTTCATGGGGGTATGGCAGGAAACAACAATTTCGTCACGAATGGTCGTACCGCTTGGGAATGATCGAAATCATCGGAGGATGATTAGATACCGCGTAATTACGTGAATTCGAGACTAGGGAACGTGAGAACTTGACGGTCTTGACGCAGACGAGGGAGAAATTTTCCGTAGGTGTATTCAATGTGGCCGAAACCGAAACCGAATGAATACAGCCCAGACCAAATGAATGGAAACTCAGAAGAATCCCATGTAGTTAAAACCGATAAGGGAAAGCCCAAACAAAGTAGTGAAAGTCAGCAGCAAGTTGATATTTTCCCATGAAATGGTGAATTTAGTGAGCAACTCCCATTAGATCGAAGAATCTGCCTGAAGCAGGCTGCCTCTAGCTTGTCGCCAGTTGCTAGTATTATGAGTCCTTCGAGGTGGTTAATCTAGAGAAGCCCGAGGAAGATAACGTACAGAGTAGGTGTCGATAAAGGCAGGAAAGAACTGTTTCACCGCTCTGGGGAGTTTGAGCTATGATAAATGCGGCAACCAAAGGCTTAGTAGACTACCGTCTTAACCACTCGGCCAAAGCGTCTGTGTATGTTGTATGTTGGGTCTTGTCTAAAGACTGATGGGTGTTGAGTGATACTCCATATGCACACTAGTTCCGTCAAACTTCCTACACAGCGACGAAGCTATACGGCGCTCGCGAGACACGAACAATGACGACACCTGAGGGATTCGTCGCGAGACACGAACAATGACGACACCTGAGGGATTCGTCGCGAGACACGAACAATGACGACACCTGAGGGATTCGAACCCTCGCGGACATAGCCCAACGGCTTAGCAGGCCGCCGCCTTAACCACTCGGCCAAAGTGTCTACATGTGTTCGGTGCTAGATCGACCCCTCACACTGATGGGTGCTGATATTTCATGGGCATCTTCCAGCAAAGTTTCTATCAGACAAATGACCATGTATCACTTGTGTCATAGCGGTGTTATTGGTACACTCAGATAGTACCAGCCGATCCCAGAAGTCCCCCGCAAGTCATACGAGTGTAGAGCAGTACTGTTGCATGGGAGAGACTCTCCAAATTGCAAGCGAGGCCCACGCATCATACGCTCATTCGGAGAATGAAGCCCTTCTCTATGTTGACGCAATGCAATGATGACCGGAACAGATGCCGGCACTTCGCCCTAATCACATACTTTACCCCTACAATGATTGTGGTACAATCAGACTTCATCAACTCGATTCGCGAAACGGAGGAACGAAACGTGTTACGGTGGTAGCCCTGTACAGCTACTCATTCTTATTTACGTAAAACCGAGCCAGCGCGCCATGCTCTGCCCGAGCCGTCTCCAGACTCTTCTCTTCCACATCCACCTTGCTCTCACCAGCTCTTCTAGCCCGCCTCTTCCTCTCCGCTTCTCCTCGCATTTTGTTCATTCGTTGCTGACGCTTGCCAGCCTTGGATTTCCCACGCATTTTATGCTTGGCTGCGAATGACTCCTCATCAGCTTCACTTTCGTCGCTATCAGATAGTGGTTTAGTAGGAACCTTCTTCGGAGCTTGTACTCGTCCAATAAAGTTGGCATCAAGAGCGATCATATCGGGCTGTAGCTTCTCCAGTAAGCTACGCACTTGAGTCTCGCGTCGCTGCTTGGTAGTTTCGAAAGGATTGGCGACGTAGGAGTCGAACTGTGTGTAACCTGCGCCAGGCACCAACATAGTATTGAAACCACCACTGGTGCCCACAAGCAGTAGATCTTCATAGGGGACAAAGCGTACGCTAGAGACCTGTATCGATAAGTGATCATGGTTGCGATCACAAATAATGTGCCTCACTTGCTGACCATTATAACTGTTCTTCAAGTAAGTACTGGGTGCCTTCCCGCTCCTAAAGACATCTGCCCCTCGGAAGACCGAAACACTAGAGCCAAAGCCGAAGGCCAAGTCGGCGTCGCCAAAGGAGATGTCCACAGACGTAGGAGCTCGGCCCGAGAAGCTACATCGCTGCAACTCTTCAGACGGCTTTCGCAGGTCGTACCTAGCCTTCGCGCTCGAGACACCAACAGACTAATGCCGCTACTTCTTACACTTTCCATTTACTGTCAGTACCGCAAGTAACAAGATACTTTCCATCACTAGTGACATCCAAAGCGGTGACCTGCGCATGGGCATAGAATGGCCATCCTATAGCAGAGAGCTCACCTGTCCAAAGTGAGCCAACATCTTCAAAGCCGGCTCCTTGAGATTGGGCGTCCACATACATACGTGGCCTCGGGTGTGACCAGTGACCACTACAGCATTAGAAGGGTTCTGCCTCAGAGACTGTATCGGTCCCTGCCTCGTAACAATCTTGGCTACGTGTTGACCAGTAGACTGAAATGGGGTATCTCTAAATCCAACATCCGATAGAATCCACGTATGATCTCGAGTAGGATGCCGCGTCAATTGAGAATGCCCCACAGGCATACCATCAGTCAACACGGTATTCGACCAGAACTAAATCCCAGAGTATGTTGATGCATAACGAAGGGACTCGTCGAGCAAATGGACAGAGGAAGCAAGAACGGTTCTTAGAGAACCCTCATAGTGGAATGCAAGATCCAAGTCCTTCAAAATTCGAACCATCACCCGGTCGCTGGAGGAGACTCCAAGGAGCAATTCTCCACCAACCTAGCTGACCCTTCACTACCACATCCCTATATCGTATCTCTCCCGTCTCGGAGCCACTGACCAGCAGATAATGCTTCGGCAAGAACTCCAAATGAGTGCTGTTCAGATGGTCCTTCAAGCAATGAACCTCGGCACCGGTGGCTGAATCGTATATATACCTGATACCATCACTGCCTCCATTCCTACTAACATTACGGACTTACGTATATTTACGTTGAGCCGCCGCGAAAAGAGTATGGTCATGCAAAAAGGTGACATCCAATATAGGCTCGTCCAGCTGTTCCGAGCAAAGTGGGTTCATAGTGTGGCGATCCAAGACCTGTGCAGAAGCACAGCAAACTAGATACTCATGGGATCAACTTGGTACTACCGTGAACTGACCGCCGCGAGAGCCTGTAACCATGTATCGGCCGTTGGTGCTAGTATTGACAGTGAAGGGGCCTCCAGGAAGGCTAAAGTCGAACAGCTTGCGCTGAGTGCCGATGTCGACCTAGACAACATATAAAACACCCGAGGTATAGATTTCTGCACTTGAAAGAGTACCTGCGAGGCTAATTCCTTCTGACTGAGATTATACGACTTGCGAACACCATCGTCCATATCGATGCCACCGGCGTCGTCGTTGGTCGCGAATATCTACACGCAGCTCATGTCAACGGAATGGTAGGCGAGGGAGACACCTCAGTGGCGACAAGCTGAGCCTCATCGGCCTCTTGTATCATGGACTTGTGGCGAAGCTCCCTTCTCTGTTTCAGCGACTTTGCCATTTTTTTCACACCTGGAGGGAAGGAGAGTTACTGCTCATCTCGATTTTGCTATTGCTGGTCTCCTGATACGCCGATGATACAAAGCACCGGTTTAGAACTAAGGGTAGCTACTTCCTTCTGAGCCACAAGTTTTATTAGACTGAACTTTATCTACCATACCATCTTAATAAAGCGTTTCTATTTGACCAATTCAAGCGCTGCAGTCAAATGACTAGACATCTCAGCATGTAGTAGCCAGGTACTCACACCCAGTGATGCTACTACCTTTCTTCCCAAGACCTTCAACCTTCCTATATTTCTTAGCAATGTCTCGGAAGGTCTTCTTATCAAACTTGACTTCTCCAGAATCATCTACAGCAACATAGACCTCCTCGGCCTCCAACCGCTGTCGTTTCGGCGACTCTCCAGAAGTGTCGCCGCTTGTAGACATGTACAGGGTGAACTACGTTCAAGAATAAGAGATGCAGTGTGACATACCTTCCAAGGGAACACGGCTTATCGAGAACTACCAAGAGCCTTTAACAGACCATCAATAGCGCAGAGCCAGTCACAGTCCTCCCATGAACATTAAGCTATGAATCCACGAGTAGTCACTACGCGTGGATTCAGTCACCACTACTCAGTAGTAGTGTCAGTTCCAGCTTCACTGAACCAAGGTGTCTGTTCGAATATCATCCTACTGTGTGCTAAGTCCATAGCTGTAAACGTCGAGGTCTTAATTTCTATGGTTGAAAAATGGTGGTTTATGATTAGCCGATCGACCTAATACCACACCCAGACTAATTGAGACTCTATCGATCATCTCGCTTTGAAAAGTCTATCCTACTTAAAATCATAAGCAGGATCGTCTTACACTTTTGAAACGGCTGAGATGTTTCGCGCTCGCCCGGTGAGAATCATGAGTTACACCTTTGAATCATGAGGCACTCGGGATGATGAACTCGTAGATTAAACCTACGTTCGAAGTGCCTTGAGTTCATAGGTGGGACTGTCAGACCGTGTATGCGCTTAGGAATCAAACTTCAACGCGCCTCATGCGGTACTTGAAAGCCTCCGGGAGCGTTCGGCTATGTTGAGCGGGAGATCGGACATGATGAGCGATGGGTTGGGGAATGTGGATACATCTAAAATCACTAATAGAAGCACCCTACACCTACGACCCCCAATGAGCTACCATGTAGTTGTCACTACGGCTGATTCAGCCGATTATCATTCTAGCCCTTCATTGCAATGACCGCTGAACCATCATTCACTCTACCATACTGTGATGATTTCCACGTCCACCTCAGGCAGGACGGCATGCTCAAAGCCACAGTGCCAGCTGTGCGCCTTGGAGGTGTTGATCGCTGTATCGTCATGCCCAACACCTATCCTCCTATCACCAACTCTGAGATGGCCCGAAAGTACTCAGTGCTGATAGCGGGGCTCCTATCAATGGTGTCCTTGCCTTGAGGTATAAGGAGGAGTTAGAAGCCATCGATCCCAACGTCACCTTTTTGATGATGCTCTACCTATCTCCCGACATCGACATAGACGACCTCGAGGCCGCCAAACGCCAAGGAGTCATTGGCATCAAGAGCTATCCTAGAGGGGTAGGCTAACAGCCCCCACCGGCGCTGAGGGTTTCTGTAGGTCACGACTGGTTCAGAGTCGGGCGTGGAGTCTTACGACGTGTACGCCTCCGTGTTCGAGAAGATGCAAGAGCTGGATATTTCCTTACATCTGCATGCCGAGGTCGAGGCTGCTTGGTAGGCTACTGTATACGATTGTCATCAACTAGGTTCCTGGCGCGAGTGTAATGGAAGCTGAGGAGCTCTTCCTTGAGCAGCTGCATAAATTGCACAGATCCTATCCCAAGCTGAAGATAGTGTTGGAACACTGCACGACTAAGGCCGCGGTTGAGGCTGTGAAGGCTTGTGGAAAGAACGTTGCTGCGACTATCACTGCTCATCATTTGGATTTGACGATTTCGGAGGTGACATCGAGACCTATTACTTCTCGAGTACAGGACAACTGTCATTCAGGTTGTTGGTTGCAATCACAACTTTTGCAAGCCCGTGCCGAAGCTTCCCTCGGATCGAGTGGCACTCCGCGAAGTGGTGGCATCTGGTAACCCCAAGTTCTTCCTTGGCAGCGACTCCGCCCCTCATCCTCGAGCCAAAAAGGAGGTCAGTTCATCATTATCGTGAGATGATGCCAGACTCTGACAGAGTCACTCTGTTCAAGGTTGGTATTGGTGCTGCGGCCGGAGTCTATACTCAAGCCCACCTTATACCATATCTCGCTGAAACCTTTGACAGTATGGGTTGTATTGAGAAGCTGAGAGACTTTACATGTACGTATCTCCATCTGTATACATCCTCTCGTTTCATCATGCGTCCCATAAACGAGCACTGGATTTAGGCGTCTTTGGAGCCAAGTTTTTCGGAATCGAGCTGAAAGCGGACGATGCAATCAGACTCGTAAAGAGACCATCAATGATTCCTCAATTTGTAAGTCGTCGAGGCTCTGCCCAACCAGAACCTGTATCATTCATCAGGTCGGTAGTAAGGAATCCTTGGGCTGTGATACTCAGCAATGGATAGTCCCCTATCGTGCCGGTCAATCCTGTGCATGGTCTCTCGAGTTTCTATGAGTTTACTTCTAACGTCTTCTGTTCGAGTACTCCCGCTGATATCGGTCTGAGATGATTTGATTTGTAATTTGGTGTCAGTCGCTTTAGAAAAATGACTCGTTATGTAGATGATCCAATACGGATGGGAAGTATCCAACAACTTACTGATGCAACAGTGTAGAGTCACAAGAATAACACGTTGTCTACACTGTAGACAGCGAGTTATTCTTGTGTAATTCAACTTTGTATAGGCAAGCTCAACGGTTCGGCAACCTTGTTATCAGATGTCACTTTTTTCCTACTCCTGATCCAATGAAGGAGGATGGCAATGTTTGTCCTACCTTGCGTCTGGTCAACAATACATCTGTGAGGACAAGAGATGGGGAAAGACGATACCGGGCAGCGAGTCTGCCTGATTGAATAGAACAGTTCGACGTGTTTGACTAAATGGCGTCACGCCATTGGCGTGTCCGAGCAGCGTTCCGACACGCAGGAGGACTCCTTCTGCAGGTTAGAGAGTATTGCTATTAGCAATCTGCTAATGTCCCACATTCCCAAAATCCGCCAGCGTTAGCGAGCGCAAGCTGTTAACATGTATACTGTGTTGCTTATCTGCGTTATTCCGGTTCTTTCCTGACCAACTACTTTACTCTCCGACGTCAGGAACACGCTGTTCATCGTAGCGGGCCGCTACGCTACTAGCGGCACAGACAAGGATGACGGGAGTGTGAATGCTCTCTGCGCAATTTTGCATTCTGCTGTAGATTTGTACGGACATTGAGGGTAAGCCCAGGACCTCCGATAACCCCATAGTAGAATCGATGCGCAGCTGTCTGGATGGAGTCATGAATTCGGTAAGTTCAAGATTTGAACTTACCAAGTACGATTTCCAGTGGAAATCGTACTTGGTAAGTCAAACAGTTTGACTCAAACTCAACAACCTGTGTTTTCCCTGCAGCGCTCACATATTCATGCTGCATCTCAGCCCTCAGTATCTACGGCGTCAACCCAACCTGCCGGACGTTCATGGGAGGAACACACTCGCGGTATTGGCCAATCTAATTCGCCTGACTACGATCCTGGAGGGCTACGCCTTGCTCGAGTAGAAGCTAATCAATGCCGTCAGGTGGCCGATGTTATGTTCGCGAAGTTTCCTACGGTCACGTGGGCGGGCAGGCCGGTCAAGAATTCCAACCCGCTGCAGAGGCATAACACGGATATCAGAGCCCTGCCTCATAACTCCTGAGTCAGAAGGCTTCTCTACTTGGAAGTTCCAAGTTGGAACAAGCTTAGATCAAGCCATGACTCGTCATGACATGGTAATCAGCAGGCTTGCTATAAGTGGTCTCAAGCCTAGCAATGTAAACCTCGACAAGCTCGTAGCTGATTGTTATAAGAACGTGTGGCAGACGAGCATGCCGCAATCGGAAAATGCGAGGCAAAGCAATTGGATCGACAGGTATCATAATAGTGAGTGGCAACCTGCCACTGGCAGGAGGTAAACAGCCTGAAGATTGAAGGGTAAGTGGCTGTGATCATGCTTGACAAGAAGTGGATGCGCAGAGAAGAATACCGCAACGTTGTACGGGATGGCGGCGTGACGAAATGCAGGTGCAATCCGCAGACAGACCAAAATTTGGTCACCAAATACGAGGTATCACAAGTCGAAGACGATGTCCAAGCCAATACGCCTCATCGTGAGATATCTGTCTTTAGTTCACTAAATGTACATAAATTGCCTTCGGATGACAATGCAATTACCGATGATGTGTCAGTCCTTGAGTTCACTTGGGATTTCTTTGATTCCTTACTTAGAGGGATCCGTACGCTTGCTAGCCCTCTAAGTTGTACGGAGACCTTCCTTTCGTGAGGATCTTGTGCTCCTCCCTTGAGAAAATCTCTTCAGTCGTAGTGCTTTTGACGGCCAGAGGCCATTCATAAACGGTTATACGCGTGTAAATTATCTCAGAACTGGACAAAAACACACACAATCGTCTGCATAATCGTCGCGATGGAGCATGGAATCCGCTTGTCCGCCAGGAGAGGCCAGAGGCAGTAGTACTCGTGCTACTGGGTGATAACCCGATAGCTTGAGGGACTTCACCTTCGTCTAAGTTAGTTGGAGTCCACCGAAGCGAAATTGTGGAGCTTCCTGTGTTGGGCAGGTGCTGCGTTATATGAGAGGAACGGAAAACCTTCATCTCTCCAAAAGAGACTCTTTCACTATTCTTACTGTTCTATATTCAACCGTATATCAAGGGTCCTAGGCTTTTCAGTTGATGTGGACGCACGGCCTAGCCGGAGACACTTCGCAGCTTTGATACAAGTTGTCGTTTCATGCAGTCATGATGGTGCTTATCTGAACAAATGGGTGTTGACTTCGGGATTGAACAAAATGGGAGGTGGAAGGGCTTCATCAGGCGTAAGGAAGACTATTCTGAGACGAGCGAAGGAGACGCATACATCTTATCGTACCTCCCGGTGTAGCATTCAGAATTTTTACTATTGTCCATGAGTATCGAGATGAACGGCTTAGGGGCCATACCAGAGGCCTTTGGTGGTCCTATGGTCAATTACCCTACTTCGAGGAAGGGTAAGCAGTACACTTCCGAAATAGAAAGGCTGGTCTTCGTGTACAACCAGATGGATCCGAGAGCTAAGAAGACTATCACATACGGTAGCATTGGGAGGGAAGGGAAGCCTAGTAGACGCCGCCACCCCTCAGGTCTTCTGTTGGGATATTTCGCCCTACTGCTCATTTTTCGCCTGTTCACGAGCGACTTTGCCACACTGGCTACAGTGAGTGCCCTTCTCACAAGCATTTATGCACTATTTTTCGCCTTCTGGTTGGCAGCCTTCGTATTCAGACATGATGAGGTAGTAACTTGTATACACAACAGCGGCTATGCTCATGCCTTGATTTCGTCAGGGAGATGCCGCCATGCAAAACATCGCAGAGCCCATCAGAGAGGGCAGTGAGGGCTTCTTCGCTGTCCAATATGGTACCATTGCCAAGATATCTCTGCTGGCCGCTTTCCTTCTTTTCGTCCTCTATATAAGCCGAGACGATACCGTACTAAGTGCAGCTGGAGGCGGGAAGCCCACTAGGTAGTCTGATCGTCGCTGCCACTGCTTCGACCATCTAACCTTAGAGTATCCTCTTTGTCCATGGCCCTCATCACAGCTTGTACATTCCTGATAGGAGCCTTTTGTAGTGCTCTTGCTGGTTATGCTGGCATGTGGGTGTCGGTAATACCAATCCCTCAGTATCGAATCTCATTATACCTCTCAACAGGTGCGCGCTAATGTGAGAGTGTCGTCAGCGGCTAGACGGTGCTATAACACAGCCATCCAGCTATGTTTCCGCGCAGGCGGCTTCGCGTCCTTAGTCAATGTGGCCATGGTCATAGGAGGCCTATCCTTCATCATGATCGTTCTCAGGGTTATCTATCCGACCCTAGAGTGAGCCATACTCGACCTTCTTCCTCTCTCTAGTTGTTTGGCCTCAGGTTCCAACAGGCGCCTCTCCTTTTGGTGGGTTACGGCTTCGGCGCATCTTTGGTTGCCATGTTTGCTCAGCTCGGCGGAGGTCCAACCTCATTATGAATCATTCTCTCGTTATTGTGCTTCCAGGTATATATACTAAGGGTGCCGATGTTGGAGCAGATCTAGTGGGTAAGGTGGAAGCAGGCATCCCAGAAGATGATCCTAGGAACCCCGCTACCATCGCCGACCTGGTCAGCGCTATACGGCTCAATGGTAGTGGACTTCACCGTTGTTCGGCTTAGGTCGGTGATAATGTGGGTGACTGTGCTGGTCAATGTGCTGATACCTTTGAGTCGATCGCAGCTGAGATATTGTCTGCTATGATACTGGGCGGAAGCCTTGCCGATGAAGGGTCAATGAACAAAGGCGTCACTGCGGGCTTCGTAGCCTTTCCGCTAGCGGTAGGTTCCCCTCCTTACAGAGTGCCATATCTCTCTATCAGGTCCACTGTATGGACATGCTGGTGTCGTCCATGGGCATGATGCTGATACGGGCTAAGAAGGGTATGCCTACCCACAGCGCTAAGGATACTGCTGATGAGGACCCTATGAAGATAATGAAGCGAGCGTAAGCACTCTGGAATTTCGCGGCGCTGCGGTAATTTGCTGAATATTTCAGATACTCTGTGACTCTATTTTTGGCCACTATCGGTTTCATGATTCTCTGCCGATGGTTTCTCTGGGTTCCTAATACTAATTCCTGGGCATGGTTCTTCGGGTGTGGTACTGTTGGTATGGCCTGTTCTTATCTCTTTGTTATCATCACACAGTACTACACTGACTATGAGTGAGTCAGTTACACAGGCTCGGCTGATGATGCCTGACCCTTCCATAGGCACAACAAGGTCCGTTCAATAGCCTATGCCTCGACCACGGGCCCAGCGACCAATATCATAGCTGGTAAGGCTCTTACATGCATGCTCTTGTAAGGGGTCTGGTCAGGCATGGCAGTTGGCTTGGAGTCTACGGCAGCCCCAGTACTGTGCATCTCGATAGCCTTGGTATCGAGCTACTACATGGGTACTGTTTCTAGTGATGTTCTCACATGCAGCCTCCTCGTAGGTATGGCAGCGACGGCTGGTGTGGTACCTGCCTCGGATGCTAGCATATCGGGACTCTTTGGCACTGCTGTGGCCACGATGGGCATGCTATCTACTGCTGTCTTCGTCTTGGCTATGAGTAATTTCGGACCTATTGCCGACAACGCTGGAGGCATCGTTGAAATGAGCCAACAGGTAGTACGAAATAGATCTCGAGGGTTGTGTTGGTGATAGCAATGCTATGTATCCAGTCGGATGAAGTGCGCCTTATAACCGACAAGCTGGATGCTGTTGGTAACGTCACCAAGGCCAACACGAAGGGCTTCTCGGTCGGCACTGCAGCACTCGCGTGCTTTTTGTTATTCGCTGCCTTTATGGATGAAGTCAGTGTATACACTGGCAAGAGGTCAGCAGCTCTACAGCCCGTGGTCCCTTTCCCCCCGCACCAGCCCTATCAGGTTCGAGTCTGTCGACCTTGCCCGATGTGAAGTATTTGTTGGGGGCATTCTAGGAGCCTGTTTGGTCTTCTTGTTCGCGGCCTGGGCCATGAACGCTGTGGGGAGGGCCGCAGCCCAAGTCGTCACCGAGGTGAGAACATGTCTTTATCAGTCCTGGTGTTGACTGACCCCCTCAGGTCCGACGACAGTTCAAAGAACGGCCCGGGATCATGGACTGGAGCGACAAGCCGGACTACTACACATGTATAGCCATTGTCAGTCGATCAGCATTGAAGGAGATGATCCGGCCTGGGGCCTTGGCCGCCTTGTCGCCGGTCGTGGTCGGCTTTGTCTTCCGGTAGGAGACTCCTGTGGTCTGCCTATGGTGATGGTCCTCGATGCTTCAGTGTCATCGGCTCGTACCGTGGTGACACCACTCTGGGAGCACAAGTCATTGCGGCATTCCTAATGTTCTCGACGGCAGCAGGCATTCTAATGGCCCTCTTCCTGAACAACGCCGGAGGTGCCTGGGATAACGCTAAGAAGTATAGTTCATCTGTGGCAGCTCCAGTCGTCAGCTTCCCCTAAGGTACATAGAGATCACTGGCAGTCATGGAGGTAAGAACTCAGAAGCACACAAGGCATCAGTTGTTGGTGACACTGTTGGCGATCCCTGCAAGGACACCGCGGGTCCCAGTGTTCACGTTCTGATCAAGGTAAGAGTCGGTTCGGCTAGTGGTGCACTCCTCCTTCCCTTTAGCTCGTATCGACGGTAACTATGGTCTTAACACCGGTCTTTTGTGGCCAAATTGCGACAGGGAGTGGGCCCAATGTCGTCAGTCAGGGCGGTATCATCCCGTAGTCCATCAGCTGAAGCAAGTCGCTGCGACTACTTTTTTCTTTGGTTGGACCATATATTTTATTTTCACTTAGTCGGGCTGTCCGATCAGATCAGTGGTTGTCGTGTTCTTAGTGGGAGCTGCCTCTTTGATAGCTGCTGAGGCGTTACTGTAGTAGCCATGCGTTACCGTCACAAACCGCGGCGGCCCTTGGTCCTACCAGGCATCCTCATACTTGCGACCTGCGTGGTATTATGCTGCAGTGTGGGTCAGATGGCACTGATGTTTGTGACCTCACTGAAGACCGGAGAGACTCCATCAGCTTCTGTTTTGGGTGGATCGTCTCTGTCGGGGATCAGTACGGTCTTGGGCGGCTCATGGTCGTCTGCTATGGTCCCGGCGGCAGCCACTGTGGGTATAACAGTACTAGTGGGAGCTGTGGTTAGGAGGGCAGGGATGAAATTATTCTCTCCGGCTAAGGTCAATACGTTCCTAAAGATCACGGGTAATCGGACTGCTAAGTAGCTGTCGAGAAGATTTCCCATAGGTCGTACTAATCCTCCCAATCCTATGCATACTATGGTCTCACAGTTCCACACCATAAGCCTTGGGGACTGGGTACACATATCCACTACTGATGATAGCAAGGACACGCTACGTTGTGACGATCCCAGCGTGCCGACCGACGAGCGCAACCTCGTCCTGAGGGCTTTGGATCTGTTCCGACGGAAATCTGGTATTGACCAACACTTTCATGGTGAGTCTATGGAGGCTTCTTTTCATTGGATTATGCTGTTTCAGTGACACTCACCAAACGGTGCCCGAATCAAGCCGGTCTGGGAGGCGGTAGCTCCAATGGTGCCACGGTCTTATGGGCGGCCAATCGGCTCACACATTTCGGGGCGACTGACGATACCTTGGCGGAGTGGTCCCGGGAAGTAATACAGTCGTTGGTCGCCTATTGCGATGGACTTTGGACCCCTTGATCAGTTAGGGAGCGATCTTCCCTTTTTCCTGGCCAGCAGAGGAGCGGCTCTCTGTTGTGGTGTTGGAGATGAGGTCCTCCCCATGAGCCCCGAGGCGGTTGGTGGCAGCAAGGGCATGGTGTTTGTGAAGCCCTCTTTCGGTAGTAGTAGGGCCCTCAGGAGTTCAGCTAGTGAGTGCTTATCGCTCTCAGGCCTTCCAACTCCGGCTGTGTATAAGGAGTATATGAGTGGTGCCGGCCCAGCTCCGTTGCCACTCAATGATCTCACTCGTGGGGCTCTGAAGATCAGACCAGAACTGGCACAGCTGGCCAGGGACATGGAGGGCGTGATGGGTCTATCAGGCGTATCCATGTCCGGTAGCGGTAGCTGCTTGTTCGGCTACGGCGACCCGAGGAATGTGGATGAGTTCAAGGCGAAGTATCCTGGTACGACGGTGTGGTCTGATATAGTTCCTGTTTTCCGAAAGAGTGATGGATGGTATGGTGGTGGTGATGCTTCCAGTTCTGTATGACTCCGTTTGTTTTGCATCTGCCATGTAGTTGCGCTCACCAGTGGGAGGGCGGGCCTATTGGCATTCCCTATCACAATTCTACTATGAGTGATCATCTTGGGATAATATGCACATGGCCAACTTCACGTGTTAGTGATAGCTAGGAGGTCCTAGGGAAGTCTCCGTTGGTTTAACAGTCGTACTACTACTACCACTATATAGTACAAACAACAACAGCGTGTCGAGCTGTTGTTGTTGTCGTCGAGACACCTGTGTTCCCATTGTCTCAATAATCCCATAGTGGCCTACCCAGCAATCTGGATACTCTCGGGGCCTCCGTGTACTACTACTACCTTAAGATATTCGGGGTCTCAGAAGCCCCCAGTCTGGGTTCAATCATACGTTCCCTACTAGTATAGTAAGGTCCATCCATAGTTGATACAGTCCACCCTGATGTCTTCCCCGGCCCCGCTAGCGGCTAATGATTTCGTCCTCTTGTACCGGTCCTTTGACTCTATAATACAAATACCTGCCCTCACACCAGGAGCTATCACCAACTGCAGGTACTCTGTGTCTACTCTCACTAGCGTTAACTCGTTCTGCTCAGGCACGGTGCTTTCCATCACGATGACATCATTGGCAAGCTCACTTGGGGGGAGACGTGTGAACCTCGGACCTCACAAGAGAAGTTCAAGTAGGAGTGGTACTACTCCTCCATTCAAATCGTGATTTCTCTCAGGCGCGGTATGGTATTGGTTCGGCCGACCCCAGCCCTCATCACTGACACTGTCCGACATAGAACACAGATCATAGTAGGGGGAGCCGCTGAGGCCTCACTGGCCATACGTTCCCTTTTAGTACCACGGCGACATCTCGATGATCCTCACCGGTCTCGATATCCGACCTGGCAAGAAAGTAGTGGAGGCAGGTGGGTCCAATAATGTGGTTGTGCCGGACGGGGAACCATCTTCCTCGTAGGGACCGGGAGTGGGTCCTTATCGACTTCACTCATCCAAGCGTTGAGGCATCATGGCAGCGACAGGGACCTGGACGGCCACCTGTACACATTCGAGTACCACGAGCCCAGGTTTGCCGAGGCCAAGTTCGTACTACCCTCTATAGAATCGACCTTGGATGCCCCCTCCTGCCAGGTCTGACTTCGAACGATATGGCTTTTCCGACATCGTAACCATCCAGCATAGAGATGTCATTCACGACGGCCTTCCCGAAGAAGTATCGTCCCCCCTGTAGTGCATTTGTCGATTCTACCGTGTCTCAGCTTGTCGGCATGGATGCTGTCTTCTGGGACTTGCCAGCACCATGGAAATGCATATCAACAGCTAGGAAGCACTTGAAGGAAGGGGGACTCCTGTGTACCTTCTCTCCGTGCATCGAGCAAGTGAGTCCCCATTCATTCGTGACGACCATTAATGCTCTTTGGTGGTGATAGGTGATGAAGAACTGCGCGGCCATGGAGGCTGAGGGCTTCACTGCCATCCACACGTACGAGTGTATGCTGAAGGAGTGGGGGTAAGAGGAATGCTACTATGACTTCTCATTCTGGACTCAGGGTTATGAGTACTGCCAAGTTGAACCGGAATAGAAAGCGTGGTCGGGATGATCATGGCAAGACCAATGCTGTCACTAAGGGTGTCACCGATGAGCAGCTCTCGTAAGCTGCCGTGCCCTCGATTTCGTTGGCTGCTTCCTCATCGGAATACTCCGCTTCAGTTACCAGCTCCCAATGCGAGGCCACACAAGCTATCTCACTTTTGCGACTAAGAGTCTGGATGATGAGAAAGATCAGCCCAACTTCAGCGTCTCTGTCGAGCAGATCCTGTCTGCTAAGGCACAATCAGACCCCTCGGCTTCCGACTGAGTTGAATCCATCACGTTTCGAGTCATCACTAGTGTCGTGTCTGTGTGGGGTAGGCCTCAGGGTTCGAGAGACACCCACATGCCGATCACAATAATTCTGTACAAACTTAGGATGGTATCTGAGTTCACAGTCCAACGCTGCTTCGACTGAGTTGTTCGACTCTGTTGCCCATCTATGGACTGATATGGGAAGCTCGTGAGATTGTTCTCAGAGAGGCTCTCTCTGTGGGGGGCTTTTCAAACTGAGAAGCCGATTTGCGTTGGGGATTTTCGTCAGCCCATGCCGGGATCGTCGGATGCATCACCCTCGTCCCAAGCTTCCCGAACTTCATCAGATCAGCTCCTACAGGACATCCTTCAGGAAGAGCTGCCCATTCAATCCTCGGACAACGAGAAACGGTAACTTATATATATAGTCTGGCAACTGATCTACGACTGACTCACCCTAACAACACTTCAGACGCGGTCCTATCTCACAGAGGCCCGAAGAAAGTGAAGGGCGAGACAAACAGTCGGGTATCATGGGGAACGTCTCATCTGAAGGAAGAAGTTCTGCGCAGATTCTCCACCAGTATCCCTGCCGACCTCAAGTCCAGCCTCGACTCCAGGAGGCAGGCGGGCCCCTCGACGGAGCCGCGGTACGAGTCGGGGAAGATGCCTCCTCGGTTGCATTGGTACCTCCTGTAGGGAGTTTGGACATACGAGCTTCGTTGCTCGTTCCACCACCCCCTGCTGATGAACTTCCGCAACGCTCGTCATCCCTGAGTTTTCCAGTACCTCGAAGTGACGACGCAACGCTGAGTGGGGTTGTGATTATACGATAGAGAACAAGACCTCCCTTTCAGTGTCCGATGCACCAACGATCGAAGACTTACAGAGGCAGCTGGCACGCAGCCAGAGTCGCTGCCACGAGCTTGAACACGCTGAGAAAGTGATGAGCATATAAATAATTCACTAAGGCATGCATCACACAGAGAGCCTTCTAGATACAAGGCGCAGACATCAGTTCCCTCCGCGCATCGAATATGGCGTTGAGAGCGGAAGTGAGCAGTGGTAAACGGCAGGTTGCGATGTCCGACGTGGGTTCATTCCGATGATGTGTCGTTGGTTGGATTGTGAACTCCACTTAGGAGGAAGTCCGGTCCCTTCGCAAACGCTTGGATGCGACCACACGAGTGCTTGAAGATCTAGTGAGTGATTAGAACGTCCCTCCGTACACTCCCCTCGCGGGCTTTATGGAGAACGTATTGGATACTTCAGAAAGCAGCGAATATGGCATTAACGGCTCAAAACAGCATCCTGATGCACGGCAAATCGGAACACGCTGACGACGCATCACGAGAGGACACCAGGCAACGAGAGGTTGCTACCAGGTGGGGACCGACAAGGATCGTTGAAGCAGAAGCAATGGCTGTGACAGGCAAACGGGAATGCAGACCGAGTCCCTTGTCAATGAGCATTCGACACAAAACAAGGTTATTGAAGATCTTAAGAAGAAGTTAGTCAAACATGAAGAACAGGAACTCAAATTCGAGAGGTTGGTTCAGCGAACCCCCAGGGAGCCGACCGCCGGTCTAGGTTCTGGCCGGGAATAGAATTCCTAGACCGGTACGCTGTCGGACTTCCTGACAGCGAGGAGAATGGTGACGGCGGTGAGCTGTGGATGAAAGTCCTCGTTTACCTCGACGGACGAGTTCAAGAACTGGAGGAGGAGAACCAGATCTTGAAGAAGCGAGAGGAACGCGTTAGACATCTGCAGGTCGGACCTCACTGGAGTCGCGATACGCTTGATGGCTCCTCTGTGCTAGAGGACGATTGTGTGCAAGATTGACACTGCGACGATGAGGACTCTCAATGAGCTACAACAGCAACTCCGTATTAAGAGTGACCTTATAGAAAGCCTAGTACGTGGAAGGCGGCCATAGACGTACATAACGTCCTGGAAACAGGTGAAGAGGCAAGCCGTCGGCTCTCTTGCCGATGCGGACTTCAGCCGAGATAAGTCGTTTTCATCTCTTCTTATTCCGACAACTAATTACAATGAGAACTCAGGTGACTATGGCCCTGCCTTACCTTCATTTTATGACATGTCCTTCGCAGACACTACGTCCCCGCGCCAAGTTGAATTGGCTTGCATGTTGGCATATGAGAGGGACAGGAGGCGACAATTGGAAGCTTTGCTTGAGGAGCAAGTGAGGATCCCCCCGACTGGAGCCACGGCTTCTGAACTGTTGCTTCAGATTTCGGCGGCCGCTTCGGCGGTTGCAGAATGTGATTCACTCAGGGCATCAGAAACATGCTATCTGGCCGACTTCCGCTCTCTAGCGAGTCAGGTAATCATAGTGTTTCTGCTTGCTAAGATGGTCCGTCGGTATTAGGTTTCTCTATTGCTTCGACAATTACATACTTCCAGCGTGAATCAACGTGGCGAAGAGAAGGGCCGACGGACACGCACTGAGGCACAAGGCGCTAAGTCGGCTGATTCGTTCACCGTGCTGTGTAGAGCATGTCTCAGAGCTCTTCAGTCGCTGCAGAAGCAGCTCAGCCGGCTCGTCCAGCGCGTCAATGGTCGGGGCTTTACTCCTATTGGGTCAAGCCTTAGTTTCCCATCAGCGGGGAGTAGATCGAGGTGTGCAATATCTTCCATCCCTTGTCACAGCGCTCTTCCGTCCTCAGCCTTTTTGGGAGTCAGTCGTCTTCAACCCGACCAAGCTATGCAGTTTCACGCAGTGTAGTTTTCTTGCGCGAATCACGCTGTTATCACCCAGAAGTCCTATTAGGTCGCAAGGCCCAGTCTAACCGGTAGCCGAGGTAGTCACGACCTGAGCGTTTTACAGGGGGAGTCGAAGGTGAGTAAGCAGAAGGCTCGGCCGTAGTACTGCGCCTTCTGGTAGCCCATTTTTCTTTACAGAAGCCAACGTCTCCGTCCCCAGTCCGTCTACAGCGTTCTACGATTGGGGGCATTCCATACCGGCAGTCCTGGTCCTCAGCTAGCGAGCTGTTCCGCACTTCATGACTCCCATGTCACTTGGTTTCGTATGCTTCATGTGTGATTGCGGCTGTGTCGTTTTGTGTTATTGCGTTAGTGAAGGTTGAAAATCTTCTCGTCAACGTCCGAGACATCGCTGAAACACGATTCGGATAAGTTGAATGCTTGCCCTTGAAGGCCTCATGGTTGAATACACCCTAGACGGGCTCATGTCCCGCTACAACACTAGGGGTATCTACTCCGTCATGATCAAACGGTGCAGTCTATACCATTAGGGTGAAATTGGGCTTTATTTGACACGACGCTGTTGGAATTCCAGTTCGGCATTGTCGATGCAGAAGCTGCTTCTGCATTGCAGGTCAGTCGAGTTACGAACATGTCAGAACGATGTGATGTCTGTGTGGCGTATGTCACATGCACCGATTGATGGCCGCATCGTAGACAACTACCTGTCAACACAACACACCATGGACGCTTAGAACCTCCCCTCCGTTGATAACGAATAGAATTGAGTATGTCAGAGTTTCCGAACGATTCAACTAGCTACGGCGATGTCAATATAGGACGGTTATACATGATAGTGGGATGGAAGGTAATGGCTGCTCAATCGATTAGCGACTTTGAGCCTCACCACCACAGGCATGATGGTAGCCGTTCACACGCATACAGGGAAACTTACAAAATCTTCAAAATGGATTACTTTAAAATATTCACACACACGAGGGGAACGGACTGGAACTTGCATATAAGGCAGCTGCTGTCTTATACACTCAGATGGGGCTCGTCCCCCCCATACGATTGAGTCTCCGGCGTAGAGGCACTCTGCCGTCGCCAGTCGCTGCAAAGTGCCGTACTCCCAGTAAAGATGTCATCACCTGACCAATGAGAACCGTACAGGACGTCACAGGACGTGCGCGAAACCACGACACCTTACCGTATTTTAGCGTCATTTTACGAGGGGTGACGAGCTCCGTAATATTAGGCTGATATGCGCACTTCTCTGGTGGTAGTAGTAAGGGCAATCGACGCAACCTGAGTCCATCACTATCCCCCTCCTCATGCTTCATCAAAGAGGGCTACGCAGTCTCTATCTTGTCCCGATTCTGGAGCATTATCTCGCTCCGTCTGTATCGACGGCCTACCGAGGCCGTAATGGTCCCACAGGCCACCGAGAAGGGCTCCTTGATGAGCTCCACCTCATGGACCCGATACTTGCGCCCTTTTGGTAGGACGTCCAGCGGTAGTGTCCCCATCTCCTCTAAAAGGCTAAGACTGCTGCCAACGTCGGTCTCCTCTACACCCACTGATTATTCTATCTCTCAGCCAGTCAGACTCCAGGAGCTCGTCAACATGGAAGAGTATCTCCGCTTCAGTGGCCCACATCTTAGCAGCTTCCACGCATGGTACCTGTATAGAAGGCTCCAGAGGACTCTACTGCCAACAATCCTTGCTCACCACTAGGGCTATCATAGTCTCGGCTTGAGAGGAGCCAAACACCACACACTGTTCAATACCCTTGCCTATAGAGGAGCCACTATAGCGGCAGGGAGAGGAGGGGCTCACTCACAATGCCTCTCATAGGCCAGCTCTACCCGGCTAGCGGAGATCATCCGTCCATCGCCGAGGTCCAGCTGGTCACTGATCCTCTCGTCGAACAGCTAACATAGCATGTGGTGACCTGTGGGTAGAGGGTCTTACCTTCACAGCTCCGGCAGGGAGGACCTCGACCACGTCCCCTGTGTGGAACCATCCAGCCGAATCTGAATGAGCAGCAGGTCTCCAAACGAGCCGTCTAAGATGAGTACCGAAGCGGATTTGTGTAGCTTGCGGCCTTCTGAAGTACCCTGGAGAGACGCTGTTGCCTCTAACACCTAGAGAGAACACCTGATAGCGACCCTGCCCCCCCCCCTCCTCCCCTCACAGAGCTCTCCTCGAGGCCTCAGCTCACAACTCTGGACATCAACATGGGCCACACAGCAGTCTCGGAGGCCGCATTCCATTGAGGCGTCAACCTAAGGAGAGGAGAGGCGATCCTCAGATCATTAGCGATGGATGCTACCAGTCGCATGTCGAGGCTTGCGATAGGCCCTCCGACCAGCCCACAGCGGTAGTCTGCCTCATTGGTGAGGAGGGCGATACCGCCACACTCAGGGATGGTAAGGCAGTTGATGAGAGGACACCGTAAGAAGGCCTGCCAGGAGGAGGTGATGTGGCAACGTCCACTGCAGAAGCACCTTGACGGTCTGATGAAGGTGTCCAGGCAATAGGCGCCCACCGCTGAGCACCAATCGCAATCGGCCTCCTAATGCACCTCGGTTGTACTTCACCGTCGGGGGGCCTAGCCAGTTCCCTCAGCAACGAGAGGAGAGGCTAGACACGTACTTGACCGTTTCACAGGGATGGGGAGCCGAGCAGAGCGTCGTATCCAGGCGGGCCAGCGACCCTTAGAGCCTCTACTCGGCAATACAGTGTTGACGAGGCACTCTATTGAGGAGGGGTTAAGTACACAAGTAGAACAGTACCCTACCCAGACCGACAGGCTCGGTGATCATGATTGTCGGCTGTAGAGCGGTGATGTCCGAGACTAGTTGAGATCCTGTGAGAGCAAAGTCAAGGGAGCCTACCCCTAGCCCTCTACCAGCACCTGTATGCTCCTTCTGGCAACTGCTGATGAAGCCCATACAGCTACCAGAGTACATGGCGAGGTAAGTGATGGTCCTATCGAGACCCTCGGATGGGGGGAGCATAGAGGCAATACCTGGCACGAGTATGGGCGTTAACCGAGCAGCTGACTTGGCCTCACAGTCCTGCGGTGAGGGCTGAAGTGCTGGGGTGCTGCTGCTATTGCCACTCTCACGGGACTCTGTAAGGGCCCCTATAGAAGCGATGCAGTTCCCATGTGTGATCATGACCCCAAGGGGGTCTCCTGTCGAGCCTGCAAGTGCCCATCTCGCACACGATGTGAGGGGATACCCACCTCCCGTGTAGTTTATCAAGGCCACATCAGAGGGAGTCGATGGATAAGGGGAGAACGGTCTGCCTTGTCCCAAAGCAAGGACCTGTCGATAAGGGGTAGTGATGGTAGATGAGGGGCAGGCCTCACATAGGGTAGAGTGAGTACCATGATACCAAGTGCTTCTGCCTGGGCCAGCAGAGATGGGTCTATCTCCCTTCGGTTGTCAACATCGATCACCTATTGTAGTCGCTTTAGTAGTAGAGGTGGGCGGTGGGGATGGTCTTACTACGATGCACTTGATGTGTGCTGCTGACCCACTGCATTTCAAGGCTGACTCCAGTCGAGGCTTAGTGACGAACAGTAGAGCCATACGTGTGTCAGAGATTATATAGGAGACCTATCAAGGCTATGAGAGGAGGTAATAGCGGCTTATGGCAGCCTACCAGGGCTGGGGACATCTCCTCATGCAAGGGTACTACTGTCACTCCTGCAGTGTGACATGCAAACTCAGTGATAACCCAGTTGATGCAGCTGCTACCGTAAATGCCTGAACTCTATTGCTCAAGTAGCAGGTGGCGCTCTGGTACACCTACCTGCCATTCTAAAGAGCATCTTGTAGGGCTCATCATCGAAGGCTATCTTCTGGCATACACCCAAATGCTGGATACCACTGGCCAGGCGTAACACCTGGATATCTGAGGGGAGGCCCTAGGGGGGGATGGAGGAGGAGGAGGGTGTACAGAAATCACGGTAGGTCATAAAGCAGTAAGATGGGCCATGGCGTGCCCCAAGGAAAGGTCGCTGGCCATTCATGGCCCCAGCAAACCTGAGAGGGGTTATGGGGCACCAGCAGCAGCAGAGGAGGTATGAGTACTCGAGTAAGGCAGGTAGAGTGGTGACCTCTGGGGCTAGCATGGGCACCGAGACGAGGGAATCTGATAGACTCTTAATGCCTCTACGATGATGATGAAGAAGTGTGGTACTCTTGCAGACAATATTCCGATAGATACTGGTGGAGGCATCATCAGATGGTGGCAGTAGTGGTAGGGAGTAAACTGGGTCTGTGAACTGATGAGAGGTGGAGGCATCAGCATTGCTCGGGTACGCATCACTGACGCATAGCCCCATGGTAGAAGAGGAGGAGGAGAAAGAGGAAGAGATGGACAAAACCTTGACACTCATTGAGGCAGTGAATGCGATCAGAAGGATGCCCAGTTTACTGCTGTAACTCTTTGGGCTAGTTATGGGTAAGAGCCCCTTCTCCTCCACGCCTCACCATCAGTCAATGTGAGTACTTAAACTCAACTCAGCCGAGTATCAATCGGAACATGCTACTCCATGGATGGGAGGATCCACTCCAGCCTTCACACACGTATCATGCATCCTATCCCTCTCCTCAGCGGTGAGGAACCTATTCATGGTCCTAATCACCGTTACATCCCCAAGGAGCCCTTCAATGATGCCCTTTAGGACTTTCCCTCCACCATCACCATCACCATCAGCCTCTACAGCGCTCCGTATAGTGTCCATAACGTACAATAGGACCTCCGCATCGACATACTCTCCTCCTCTCTCAGAGCCCCTCAACGCTTCCACTACCTGACCAGGCCCCATCTCGCTGAACAACTGCACGCGTTCTGAGTCGGTCTTGGCTCTCCTGAGGTTCCTCTCGAAGTCCACTGCCTTGATCTTAGGGGCCTTCCCTACGTCCCCCCGAACTGATAGGGCCTCTCCCGGTCTACTCTCCTTCCCAGTGAGAGCCCTATTATGCGTCTGTTGCCGAGCGGGGCGACTGAACTCATTCCTCCCTATGGGGTTGAGGCCACAAGTAGCCACAATGTCCTGAAACTCCTTGTAGGAGCCACTGGAATATATAGCCCTCTTCTTAGCAGCATCGACAGTTGCATGCTTCCAGTCAGCATACTTACTCGCTTCTACCTAAATACGACATCCCCTCTTCCTTGTCACCGACACCACTACCTCTTTTTTCACACTTTCAAACGACTTGAGATTTTTGTGGAGTTTCTCCTCCTTTATAATTGGCATCACGACTAAGCACCCCTACTACGAGATGAATACGGTGACAAACACAACCACATGGAGGATGAAGAAAAAGAGCATCAACCACTGCTAGACCGACAACGATAATGCTGCCATTGACCAGTCTCATTGCCCGCCTGCTGCTACCCCCACCACCTCCTTCTGTGCAGTTACCTCATCCCAGAACACTATCATAGGGTCCCTCTTACAGAAGGACCGCACCTAAGACAACGACCATACAAAGCCATCGAGTGATGATGGCCCCGACCCTACCGCGAGGGCTAGGTTATCACTATCCTCGAACATGCGTCCATGGCAACCAGCCCTGACCGACTCCGGGACCTTATCCTTACCACCGTAGACAGCAGCCTTCAGGTCCTATCGAGAGCCAACACTAACAACAGAGGTACTTCAGAAGAGGCTACTACCTGAACCGTTGCTGTAGCCTGTTGATATACGGGCTTGCCATTACTCCACTGACCGTACTCCTTACCCCATAGGGGCACCTTCTTGGTAGTATCAGGGGTCACCTTACTATCAGCTACGTATATTCGATACTTGTACTGATGGTCTGCACGCCAACGCACCCAGAAGAGAAGAGCTGATGGGATGAATAATGAAGAGACGATGAGGGAAGGAGAGCTCACCAGGGTAGCCGAATACTAGTACCCACTTAAGGTTACTCTGCGAATACCAGAATGTGTCGTAGAGTCTGCCCATGCGGAACTTGAATCCATCCCGCAAAAAGGAGAAGGCAAAACGTTGGGAGGTAGACATTGGTAGTACTAGGAAGGAGCTGTGGAGGAGTAGCAGGCCACCAGGCTATCAACGCAATACCAAGATGTGAAGGAAACAAGTACGTTAAGGGGGAAGAGTGGTAGACAGGGCTAAGCTTGCTGCTTACGTTTCTTCTTGTTAGCTTTGGGTTTCTGGAAAGCAAATTCCTCCCGCATGTTGGCGAGGTCCGCAAAGGCCGCCAGGATCTCAGCCTCCTCGTTAGAGTTCTTACCGCATATTTTGGCTACCTCCTCAGCGCTCTCACCAAGGTCGGCAACTACGGGAAGTACTACTTGACGATACTATCCAGATGCCTACCTCCGGCCCTTTCCTCTATAATACTCCCCTCCGACCCCACCTCCTCCTCCTCCTCGTCATCATCTGCCTTCTCCTCCTCCTCTTCCTTCACTACTTCATCATCATCATCCACGGACAACCGCCGTTTCTTAGGTTTCACCTCCCTCGATGGTACCACTTTAGCCACCTCTTCCTTATTGAGTGCCTCCTTAGGCTTATGGACACGTATCCGATAAGTCTTCCTAACCTGATAACGTCAGTACTATACCTACTGCGACCACTACTACTACCTCTTCTTCCCACTCATCCTTCTTCAACTTATACAACATTAACGTACATCGAGCATCCTCGACGGAGCTGTGAGTCCCAGTTTGTATCTTCCGGTCAAGATGAAGCTCCGTCAACCTATATTGTACCAAATACGCCCAGTGAAAATACCGCAGCAGAGATACCCCTACTTCTTAAGACTAGGCACTTTAGTGGTGAGGTTTTCGGGTCGGAGGCCAGGGTAGGTACTCGTGTCACGAATCAATATTGGGTCGATCTTGCCGGTGAGGTCAAGGATCTAGAGCATGCCCGGATGGGTGCCAGGAGGCGAGCCATGAGCTTACATCGAGGTCGTGATGGATAGCGTGGCCTACCACCACCTTCTGGTTAAGTAATATACTAGCAGCCTTCTCTTTGACCTCCTCAGCAGACTGCCCTAGCCTGTTTAGAGTAGCCTCATCTAGCCCTGTGACTTGGGTACGGTAGTCAGTGACCTTCTTAGTAGGCCTCACTAAGGCATCTAGTAGCACCTAGTAGTAGGAGATAAGTGTAGAGGGACGATGCAGTAGGTAGTACTTTGCCAAAGTAGTTGACTATACTGGCTCGAGCTAAGATACTGTCCTTGCCCTCTGGCCCAGTACCAACCATCTCACAATCAATAGCTACTACATCCTTAGTAGAAGGGAAGGTGCCAGAAGCCATCAGCTGACGTGGTCTTAGAGGGGCCTTGGCTACTTTAACCTACGCCCAGGCAGTGCCCTTTGACATCGACGTACCTCCTTTACCTCATGTTGTTGTCGCTTGCCAGGCCGTGTCTTGATGGTTTGCTTTATCTTATCCCAAGAGGATGAGCTGCCACTACCCTGCCCACCCTTCTGACCGCGGTCACTACGGGGCTTGTACGGCATGGGAAAAAGAAGTGAGAGATGATTATGATGACGTTGAGATTTGCGTTGAGGAAATGCAAGATTGGCAAGTTGGCATAAGATTGTTGAGCACCTTATAGTACTTAGTCGTGGTAGTTAATCATGCGGGTATTGGACGCCTGCGAGCATGAGCTGTTGAATTGGGAGGTGATGCAGATACTGAGTGAGGAGAGGAATAGGCTGGAAGAGGTAGTAGTGGTAGAGGTGTAGGGATGGCCATGGTGGTAGTAGTCAGGATAGAGTAGTACTAGCGTCACCACCCAGTCCAGGGAGTTCAGATGGAGGCTCACCAAGGGTAGCTGCTGTGGAACCTATAGAGGAGGAAGAGCCATCTCATGATAAACTTAGAATGTGGGTTGTTGGAGATTGTGTGGGGTGGTTATTAAGTGCTCTTAGGGATAATCTTTTCACGAAGCTCACTTCGTATCTTGTGGATGAGCTGCATACTAATAGGCTTCGTGAAGAGCGAATACCTAAGGTAATGATAGGGTGTACATCCTCCTACCTGCCATCCTCATCAATAGGCCTTGTCCCTTCTGAATAGCCACGGCTTACCTCAACAGTGCTCCTGTGAGCTCCTCAACAACACTAGGCTTTGTGCTAATAGCGATGTATACGTCTACACTGCTATTGAGTCGGTACCCAACGTCAATGAGGAGGTAGTAGTAGTAACGGTGGTAGACGGTCCTGTAGTACGGTACTATTTTAGACACTCGAGGCGGCCCATAACGTGGTGAAGTATGTGTTGGGGTCTGATGAGGTTAATGAGGAGGATATGGTTGGGCCCCTAGGCTTGTCGGAGGATAAGGACGTAGAGGAAGAGGAGCACCCAGTCAAGCGTCCACGGCGGACCTCCAACCGTGGTGGTGGCTGACGACGATACAGCCTTCTAGACGTTTCTATCGACTCATGCGTGGTGGTGTTGGTAGTCGATTTGGTAGTGTTCCACTGTGAGGTACATTATCAGAGTAATGTCAGAGAGTATTCCGCAACTAGAGGAGGCTACCGCTCCTTCGGCTCATCCTCATATACTACTAGGGTTCGTATTACTGTGGATGGTGGCCGAAGCGATCGCCTATGCATGGTAGTAATAATATTACTTTTTCTCATGGGGTATGCTGCTAGAGTCGTCCCAATGTTTGCAGTGGCTGAAGGCAGCTACTTCCTATGGTACCTCTTCTCTTAGAAGTCTCTACCCCTCCTCGCAGGCCTCACTATCATCTTCGTAAGGTACCGTCGCCGCCTCGCACTACGTAATGCTACACCCGCTGTGGTCCCTGTGGTATCTAGTGAACAGCGAGACTTCGTATTTGATAATGTGCTCGATCTTGGGAAGTACTATCCAGATGGAGTGTGGAGACTACTAAAGGGATGGTAGTAATAGTAATGGATTTAGTGCGTTGGTATCCTCTTGTGATGAGTATTTGGGGCCTACTGGACTCGCGGTTCCGTATACGTTGTTGTAGGTTTCACCCAAGCTTGGCACAGCAAGACCTTCGACAAGATAACCTCAACGAGATGTTGGCATGGGCTTTCTGTTACAAGGATACTGCTGTAATGATGAGTGTGGTGGCAAGCACGGCTTCATATGTCTACTTCAGGACTTGACCTCTTCGGAATGGCAGTGGGTAGAGAAGGCTAAGGCGATGATTAACGATAGGTATGGGTATAGTCCGAAGCCTGGCAGAGCTGACGTACTACCGCTCCCACTTGCATTCTTGTGTATGTTGGTCTCAGGTGACAACTGTACGTAACACTCTAGACCCCATAGTGTCCAACTACCATCCATTGTCCTTCTATTGTGGGGTGGTCCTAGCCAAGGCGTTTGGTGCTGTCGTACTGCGTCTTAGAGGATATCATCATTATAGTAGTGGTAGAGTGTGGTATTGGTATCGTTCTCGCCCGGCCTTGGAAGAGACCCTTGTGGACCAGGGTGAGAGCTCGGAAGAGGTTTTCGTCTTCTTCCATGGTATTGGTATCGGCCTAGTGACGTATCTTACGATGATATTCAAGTTAAAGCAGAAGACACAGTTCCTATTCGAAATGCCGTGGATATCTATGAACCCTTTAGCAGAGGTAGTTCCTGATGACGAGTATGCTATTGATGTGAGAAGGGCCCTGAAGGACCAAGGTGTCACCAATACTCAGAGGCTATGCTTGGCAGGGCATTCCTTTGGTAGCTTGCCTGTGGTATGGCTCAAACGGCATTGCCCTGACGTCTTTAACCGTAGTAGAGTAGTACTGATGGACCCTGTTTGTATCTATCTCAACTTGCCCGATGTTTGTCTCAACTTCCTCTATCGTAAGCCTCGTCGCCTCTTTATGAGGTTCCTACGCTATATTGCATCGGAGGAGCTGGGGATAGCATGCTGTCTTCACAGAGACTTCTTCTGGATGCAATCTGTCATTTTCCCGCAAGAGCTACCTCAAGGCTCGACTGTTTTCCTCTCTGAATACGACCATGTAGTGCCAGTACACGATGTGTATACTGGATGCCAAAGGGCAGGTGTTGATACCCGGTTATTGAAGGGCATTGACCATGGATGGTTTCTAGGGGTTCCCGAGTATCTAACAGAAGTCGCTAAGTCCCTGAATGCATAGGGCTAGCTTCCTCTCTACTGTAACCATATCGTCAGCTATCATTTTGTATTTGCTGAGTTCGTCTAAGGAGTATCTAGTAGTGTCAGTTATTAAACTAGGATAAGCCTCCACTATAGATACTCTGTTAAGTCTTGTTGTCGTGTTAAGCAGTAGTCAGAATTGAAAGTGGCACGGTGGCCATCTCTGTGGTGATGACGGTAGTCCTCTCTATGCTGCTGACTTCTGGATCGTCTACTATGTCTGGTAGTAGTAGTAGTAGTAGTAGTAGTAGTAGTAGCTGTGATGGCTCTGAGTAAGAGAGCACATGTCGAGCCCGACGAGGACCACAGAGGTAGTCCTGCTGATACTGGATGGTCGTTGGGACTTATAGTTGCGACGTCTTCTAAGGTTGTGACTATTACTCAAAGGCTAGTTGTGGTAGTGGGTACCTTCCATTGTGGGGGGGAGGAGGCCTAGGCGTCGGCTGAGGCAGAATAGTGGGGATTGGCTTTGAGTCTTAGAGGTTAGACACAGGTGTATCTATCTCTAACGGTTGGATGTCTGCGCTAGCTTTCTTCGTGAGAAGTCTAAACTGCCCTCTGCTAAGAGCTCTTACTATATAGCCATCCTGGAGATGGGTATAGCAGAGTTGTATCCCTCTTTGGCCTAGACTATGTAGTGTCTGTGAAAGACGTCTACGTGGAATGCCAGGCCAATGATGCTACTACTATCATAATAGGAGGTATTGACCGTGGTGTGGTATTCCTAAAGAGGGACTGTTTGAGAGCCCCAGATATTGATTCGACTAGCCATCATGCACTGCAGTGTGCATACTAGCATTGGAGCACTGTAGAAAATCTGGGAACATGTATCTTGAGTTTTCGACGAACTTGTTGACTTGTGAGTAGAATATTGTTTTTGTGATATTCAGTTTTTGTGGAGGATGCCCTTTGCTATGAGCCCACCTCGAAGACGTGTGACCATCGACAGTAACAGTAGCGAGTCCTCTACAGCGGCATCCTCCAAGACTGAGGTACTCCCCTATGAAATCCTTCTCTTACGGGGTGTTAACAGAAGTCCCCGTGAGGTGTGTGGTCAAGGAGCACAGAAGAAGCGTCGGCAAATACAAGTTAGCCTAGAGTGAATGTCGTGGCTGTGGAACGATTGCCAATCCTAGATACACCGTATATTCCGAGCCCTAGCTACAGAGCCTACCATAGACCTTTATGAGCTACAAGTGTTGGCCCACTCCCCTATGGGGTTTGTCAATTCGGGAATACGCCGCAGTGTATGGTCGGCTCTGCTAGGGATATCGAATGGTGGCGAGTCGAGGGGCCAGGAGGAGGAGGAGGCCGAGATACTCTCCTTACAAGAGGTGGAGAAGTCCTATCCGATAATCAGTAGGGACGTGGCTAGGAGCGGCAACTCGTGGAGAGGGAAGGGGTCGGTACGGTTGAGTACCCGTAGAAGGAAGCAACAGGCCTTGGCTGTGGTGTTGGTGAATGTGATCAAGAAATATGGAGGGCATCTTCACTACTATCAAGGGCTACATGATATAGCCCTAACCCTGTTAGAAGTGGAAACTAGTACGATAGTGGTATTCACTAGGTATAAGACTCCCATCAGATACCAGACGTTGCAGCGCTATGTTGGAGAACCTCTGTCTGTTCTACTTATCCGATTTGTGCTTCTATCCTTTCCAACATGCTCTTCTTCCTGGTCTAGACCTGTCCTTTGCCCTCTTGGAGGCCCTTGACCCTGAGCTGTATCATGCCCTCGTCGCAGCTGATATCGAATCCCCTCACTTTGCTGTCCCATGGGTCCTCACCTTGATGACGCATAATCTGCCGACATTGGAGATGTCCCAGAGGTTGATGGACTCGTTGTTGGTCAGCCACCCTGCGATTATCTACTACTACGTCCCTTGCCTCCTTATCATGCATCGTGATGATATACTCCATGTGGAGCCCTTTGACATGCCACACCTTCATCAGTTCTGCCAAAATCTGCCGTCAACTTTGGATATGCCTTCTCTAGAGCGGCTGATAGGGATGGTGTGGTTGTGTGTGAGGGAGGTGTTCCCCTTGGCGAAGCTATTGAGGTTGAAGGCGGCCCGACGCATGCCCCGTGGGAGCAGTATCCATAGCAAGAGGCTACTGTGTCAAATGGGCGATGGTAGGGAGAGGGCCATTGCTGTGGAGAGAAGGGCTAAGGAGCTCATCAAGGATCAGCGGAGGTTTGTAAGCCTCTTCTCTGGAGGTGGGAAGGGTGTCTGTCCCAGCTCCTTCTTTGTATCCTCTCATCTGTGGTCAGGTAAGCGCCTCAAGTGTTTCGGCTATGCTACAGATGTCACAAAAGTCCTCTCGGTCACTGCGGGTTGCTTTGGAGCTGTGGTGGCATGTGCAGCTATATTCTGGGCTGCATCTACTCGAGAGGATGGAATACAGCTAGTTGTTAACCCTAGATGATGACTACACTCCTCACTATTGTGATGACCACATTTTCGACTGCTTTCTCTGGGCTGTTGTGTCGTAACTGTATACGTGGAGTCGTTGTTGGTTTTTCCCCCAGATGATGTCGGAAGCCCCATCATCACGGACGACATCGGTAAGCGATGATAGTAGTGAGGAGGAAGAAGGCTCTTTTGGGGATGTATTTGATGCCTTGGATAAACGTTGTCGGGAAGTACCTCTTCTTTGTAAACTTTCGGATCTACTAGATGTCGAGCCGGGCCTGATAACCTCAGTCATGATAGCAATGATGGGTGGAGGGCTACTTGTGGGTTGGGGTGCCTTTATGATAAGGTGAGCCACCAGCAGATGCTACAGTAGCAGTAGCAATCCCCTTATGCTCTTAGTACAGCCGTGGCGGTAGTGAACCCTGCAAGGGGCAGTATGAGGGCCATAAGGGATTATCACGCAGATCCCGAACATGGGGCCAAGCAGCTCGAGCGGTGGCTACAGTAGTAACGATAGAGTGCCCATGGTCGGGAGTTGGCACCTCAGATACTGGGTGTGTCTCGGAGGCATTATATTGGTGGAGTCGATAAGCCTGAGTACTCTACTATTTCACTTCCCTCTGTGGTACATAGCAAAGGTGGCCCTCGTGCTCTACCTGCAGATGGAGAAGTGCCCGGTAAGGGAGTACCTATCGTCTGTATGTATCCTTGTTGTTAGGGCCGGTTAGTGTTGTTTGAGTGGATGAGGGACATTATGGGTGGTAGCAGCGTTGAGATGAACTCCGTCACAGCAGTGGCTACAGCCAGACAGTCGTGTAGTACCGAACGAACTCCATCGTCAGAGTAGTTTCAGTCCATGGTCTCACTGAGTTACCCTACTCCCGCTGAGTGTTGCAGGATAGTTCCCACTGATGCCATGTCGACAGCAGCCGGCCCTTCCCCCTCCCCATCACCTGATTCATCTGGCAAGCACATCGCCCTTCTACCACTGTCCTATCACCACCGTATTGCCGAGCATATAGAGAGCAAGCTGAGGGCAGGCGGAGGGGCCTTGGTGGTCATGGGCCAAGGCTTGGGTGTGTGCGAGCTGGTGAGGGCAATTCTGTGGCGCGCGGTAGTTTTGTTCTACTGTGGTGGGTAGGTGTCAGCGTTGCTGAGACGACTCCAAGCGTGTCGCCCTGTTGGAGAGCCACTGATCCTCATCATGAATGCCCGGGAAGGAGAGGCAGAGTGCATTGGAGCTACTCCTGTCACGGCCGATGTCGCACCAGCGCAGAGGGACGAGATGTGGGCCCATTAGGGCTGTAGCGTTGTCGTAGTCTCCGTCCCTTAGGTACTTAGCAGGAGGGTGTTTGTCAATAACTAGTCGAATACTGGTAACCGATTTACTCACGAATAGACTCACCACAGAGATAGTGGCGGGGGTGGTGGTCCTCAACGCCCACGGCAGCTCCCATTGTGAACAGTTCGCATGTGAGCTGTATCGGGAGAGGAAACAGAAGGGCAGGGGCTTCATTGCGGCCTTCACTGACAACCCCATCAGATGCAGGACCCTCATGAATGTCGAGAGTAGCAGCAATCTGGGGGCTGCCCTACTCGGTACTAATCTCTGTGGTAGGTCTCCTTCGGGAGCTGCAGATAGGCTCCACCTCGATAGTGCTGGTACCGCGGTTCAGGAGTGAGGTTATGGATACCTTCAAGCCATCCGAAGGGGATGCTAATGTTGCTGCTCCCTCTGGGGTTAGGGTCTTGAGCAGTATGCCCTTGTATGGCTTGCTAGGAGACAGTGTGTCTCTTGTAGTACCACTCCCTGCCCAAATCGCGGAGGCTGAGAAGACGCTGAATACTATACTGGAGGCGAACTTCGAGGACATAAGCAAAAGCAAGGGCATCATCGACGCTGGTGACCAACAGCACTGACTAGTGGACTGATCTCCGATGCTGTTGCTGGGGTCAGGTATAGTCATCTTCCCTCAAGGCCTACCTAAAGGATCACTACGTGGCCTAGCAGTCATCGACAACTGGTTTACGTTGCGTTCCCAGCTGTCCATGGTAGTGACCATGAGGGGGCGTAGGGGCTGAGGTCATGGTAGGTATGGGACCAGTTGGGCCGACGGACACAGAACATGATCCGAGACGCTGATGCGTTGGAGAAGCTCGCACATAAGCTGAGGTCAGGGGATGCAACTGCGGTGAGTATTCCTCTATGCTAGTATCATCACAGACGGTTTGTTGTCAGTTCTTCGTGTCTCTACTGGAGAGTATATCGGCCCATCCTGATTCCCCCTGGGTCAACGCTGGAGCTACACACCAACTGATCAGCCAAGCACGCCAGAGACTGTAGGCTATCATATCCCTTATATGCTCGGACGTGCGTCGTATTCAACTGCCCTATAATGCGTCTCAGTGCCGAGTAGCCCTGTCTATGGGTCGCCTCACTACTACCGTGATAGATACAACATCGACGCCAGAGGTCTCCATCTACATATCGATCCACCTCCCAAGTGGGCCATGCTCCAGAAGGCCATCAATGATGAAGGTCATCCTATCCACTCCTGCCCCTTCAACTCGATGTCTTAGCCATTCGACATCTCAAGGAGCAGCAGCAGAATGTCTCTCCATTGCCATCATACAGTTCGGCAGAGATAAGGATAACGGTGGTTACCCATGCTCAGACCTCATCGTACATGACTAAAGCCCTCGTGGATCGAGGTAGGTGATAGACCGAGGCTTGTGGCCTATGGCGTATAGGTCCGGAAGCGGCCCTCCTACAGTCTTTCCAGAGCTTCCTTTATGAGGTGCGCAGTAATGATTACTTCAAGCCCAAGGTCGCTGGATCGGCCCTAGGTGGGCATAGTATTCTGCATCGGTCGTGAATGGGTGCACTGAGTCGTTACTGCAGGCATACACTCGACAGAGGCTACTCATCTTAAGGAGGAGCTCTACAATATGTCTGACCGTTGTGCTAATGTATGCAGCCGGTCCCTAGAGGGCCTAAGGGATGTGGTCATTGGGACTACTGAGCAGGGAGAACCTGTGAAAGGGAGCATCAAGTAAGCCATGCACCAAGGAGGAAGAGGAGGAGTTGGTATCGTTAGTGTTATGGTGAATGTCGTGGACGCCTTCAAGGGAGATGGCTACATGAGCACCCGTCTGGCGGAGTTCCAACCCAACGTCGTTATCTTATACGATGCCCCGACGATACTACCGATAAGGGTGGCGGAGCGATACACCTCTCATATGAAGGGAAGGGGAGGTGAGAGAGTTGATGGTTGGTAAAAGCCTCTTCGGGAGTATTCTTATCAGAGCCTCTGGTACACACTGTGATAATTCAAGTGATGAACTCCCATGAGTCCCGTCGACTGTCCCAGTCGGGGGTGCAGGAGCAGCAGGCCTTCCATGACCTCATCAGCATGGAGAAGAGTGTGTCGACGTCCAAGCCAAAGGATGAGTGGCAACCGCTAATGGTGGGCTATATGATAGCATAGTGTATCACACTTGTTGGTAGACCCCAGTTGGAGGGGCAGCAGCAGCATCGTCATCACGGGCAGGGGGTCGGAAGAGGAAAAGAGAGGGGGAAATGCGACAGACGGTCCTTGTGGACGTCAGAGAGCTGAGGAGCAACCTCCCATTGGAGCTGCATCGGAAGGGCCTCACGTTGCTACCGGTGAGGAATTGTTCCATTGCTTGTTTGTCTTCAACGCATGTCTGGCAGTATACCCTCCCAGTTGGGGACTTTATCCTTTCTCGAGACATATGTATCGAGAGAAAGGCCCTTCCGGACCTCATAGGAAGCCTGGGCAGTGGTCGACTGTGAGAGCTTCCTCCTGCTGTTGCCCTTGGGGTATTCAGCTATCCTCTAGGTACCGCCAGGCGGTGAGTATGTCCTTCAATTACCGTGCCCCTTGCCTTTTGGTGGAGGTGCAGGAGACGGAGGCTGGTGCTCTGATGAAGGGTAACTCTGCTAGGATCAGCGACAGTGACACGATATCTAGGCTGGGTACCCGTGGGGCGCTCAAGGGGGCCGATACCATCTATATGTGACCCTCCTCAGTTGCCCTTGTCCTGCACTTCCCTAGCCTTCGCCTTATGTGGTCCCTGTCGGACAGGAGTACTGCTAATCTGTTTGTAGCTTTGAAGGTGTGAAGAGGTGATGGTGTGGTTTGGGTAGTTGCAAGCCCTTCAGGTGAGGGCGGTACAGCAGCCCGACCCAGTAGAGGCTATGAAGAAGCGGGTGGAGGGCAGTGTTCCTGATGACACGATAGAAGGCTCGACTACTACTGCTGGTACTGAGTCTGGCCCCAGCAGTCAGGAGGACCTGGCATCAAAGAAGGCACGGAGCGCTAATCCGGCCTCGACAAGGACCTCAGCTTCAGAGATACTCCTCAAGTGAGTCCTCCTCTCTTCTTTTGGTACGACCAATGTCTGTCAGTTGCCCTGGTATCACGCCGCACATTCTAACTGTTCTGCGCAACTCCCCTAAGGCGAACACTCTGAAGAAGTTGGTGAAGTTGGACCGTGACACGATGACTGAGCTGATGGTAGGCTACTGCTGGTGTTTGCCCTGATGTTGGTGTTGTAGGGACCATCGGCAGCTAAGACTTTCCATAAGTTCGTCAATACCCCTTTGGAAGATAAAAAATGAGTTCAGATTCTGAGTACATTACTATCGCGTTAATATTGAGTTTCACTGCAGATGGTTGCATTAGTGTTGGAACAGGTTACATTGGTCGGAAGGGCCGCTAGTCGTGACTCTCACGCTTAGGGGGTGACTCCCCGCTAGAGAGTCTCGGTTGGGAATTTCCCATTAGTGTTGGTGACGGTAGTTGGACGCGGCATCACTGATCATAACTTGACTAGAAATCATCAGCTCATGTTGGGCTCACAACGTGGGGATGCAGTGAGGCTTAGGGACACTCGAAACCCAAACTGGACCATTGAATGCTCTGGTGGATAATATACTAGACCAGCATTATCTATTTCCTGGGGGTAGGCTGATGTGTTCATGGCAAGGCAGTTCCGCACTCTCATCCCACTACCTTGTTATGTTCAAAAATTTCGAGTTCATCCTTCCACCGGGCCTCAACGACCGGGGCCGAATAAGGAAGCTGCTTGTTGATAATGCTGGTAAGGAGAAGTTGAGACGGGTGAGTACTCCATTGTGGACAATGGGGCATGTGGACTCTGTCCCAGGCTGGTGATAGGGGGACTTCTGAACAGGACATGGTCCTCCTCGACCCTGGGCAGATCAAGGATGCTCATGGCTTCAAGGTGGTCGATGCTATGATGATGGGGGTTCCATACTTGTGTGTAGGGCATGGCAGTGGACGTAAGGTTCATAACAAACTCGGTAGCAGCTGGAGTCCTGGAGAGGTGCAGTGACTATGTGGTGAGGAGATGGTCCTTGTCGAGGGTGGTAGGGCGACGTTTGTCAGGTCACGCCTTCGGACCCTATACCACTAGCATACAAAGTCAGCTTCCCTTCTAGACGCCATGCTGCCCATACCAACTATACTGAGGAGGACGACTTTGCTATATTCTGCTTTATTGTGAATAAGATACCAGAGTACACTAGGAAGGGGAAGACTGTGCCAGTGAGGGGGAATAAGATATGGATGGAGGCTGAGGCCAAGGGTAGGGTGGTAGTAACTACCTATCAAGTGATGTGGATTTTAGATATAGCTGCTCCCCATACTCACGAGAGTATGCGGACTAGATGGATGAAGTTCATCGAGCCGCGGTATCAGGAGTTTGCTGCTCGTCTTGCGGAGGAAAAGAAAAGGGCGAGGAGGGCTGCGACTAATACAGCGGAAAGTAGCAGTACCAATAGCAGTGGGGCTGTGGTAGGCGGGTCTAGCCAGGGTATAGGGCAGAGGGAGGGGGATCATGGGAGGGGCATCCCTGAGCGAGAAAGGAGGGGGAGGCCGGCGGCTAAGAGGCGTCGGGGGTCAGAGGCACCTGTGATGCCATTCGATAGCAGACGACTGAGTGAGTCCTTCTTGTCCTTCAGAGAGGATGATGTTAGTGTTGAATCAGCACGCAGTACTGTTGTCGAGGAGAGGCAGCCCCGGAGGGCCAGAGGACAGGCGAGTGGTGGTGATAGTCAGCAAAGTGGGGCGGGTACGAGCGACGAGCTGTGGGAAGGGTCGGTGTTTGTCGATGCTGAGGAGCCAGTGATAAAACTGAGGACTGAAGAGGATCGACAGGAGGCGTCATCAGCCTCCTTCTCTTCTAGTAGCACGTATGAGAGTATCATATGCGATACACCACCAGAGGGGATGGTGGGGGAGGGAGGAGGCCCAGGGGCTCGGCATGAGCCCTTGGAATCTGGAGTGCCCTTGCGTAGGGGGGAAGATGGAAATCACTGTGGACGGTCGAAGTCAACTCTGGTACCTGGCCTGGGGAAGAGGACCCAGAAGCGGCCCTATAGGAGCGAGAGTGACTTTGTCCCTCGAGCTAATGAGCTGATAGCCTTTATGGAGCGAGTGGAAACGGAAAACGATTTTAAAGCACAGTGGGTGGCTGACATACTGGAATGGGAGGAGGGGTCATCTAGGAGGACGATGGAGATAGCACGGGCGTTGAGGGAGGTCGCGGAGGAGCTAGAGGTGCCACAGAGTGTGGTTATGAGGGTGTATGCTTACATTGGTAATGTAGGAAGGACGCAGGAGAGGGTGGAGGCAATACAGGCCTTACAGGAGAAGACGGGGGTGCGGTATGAATGGGTGTTGTCATGGATGGAGGCTGAAGGCTTTGATGAGGAAAAGGTGGAGAAGTACATCGGTCGGTATAGCAGTGACTGAGTGTAGAGTTATGCGCTTTCTCCAGTATTATATCATTCTCCTGCTACTACTATCATCATAACGCTATAATTCGATACCACCATCATCAGTACTCTCGTGGAGGTGTTGTAGATCACAGGTGGAGACGAGGAACTGCAACGATCGTGGTATGGAGTCAAAAGCTTAGACATCTTGCGCTCAGTCTGGGCGAGCGAGATTTGCAATGCGCTGTTTTCTAGAGCATCCTCCACCTGTATGTACGTCTCACTGGAATGTGTTAGGATGGTAATTACGGCCTTTTGCCATTGTGGATTCTTCGCTATCTGATTGTTCTCTATTGGCTTCTTGTTCGTGGTCACTGACACGGGCTCGGGCTTGGGCATGCGTGCATATCTGAGGGCATCACTAGGCGTCACCGTCAGTAGGAAAGAACTTTTTTCTTATCGTTATGACATTTTCCCGTCGCCGCCTTGCCCTCCTGCTTTTTGCAGCTGTGGCAATGGCTACTGTCGGAAGCCTCGCTAATGCGTCTTCAGACGTTGACCCCGAGGCCCTGAAGTAATAAGATTGAGGCTCCCTCCGCTCGAGTAAATCATCTTGTTTTAGACGTGCTGAATATCTCGATAGCAACAGCGACAAGTGCACAAGTATGATCTTTGGTCGTAAGGCCACTACATTTGGGTACCCGGTGGCGACTCATGCTAACGACTGCAACAACTGCGACAATCGTATGGCATACATCCCACGTGGTGATGGGACTTCCCCGAGACCAGTTTTTGATAATATCCAGTCGCTCTACCCTAGGGTTGTAACCAAGGGTAGAGCGGCCATATACGAACCTCTGCCGGGTAAGAAGGGGGTTGGAGATCGTAATGGCGATAGTAGTTGTTTAGGTCAAAATGAGTCCAGAGCTTTGGGGTATATACCGAGCGAAGGGCCGACCCATGCACTGTGGGAGTCGTCATATCCTCTCATCAACTCTAAAGTGAGTGGGAGGACTACCTGTGGGGCCGGATCGTAGCGGAGTATGATGTAGGGTCTAGCGATTGGTGAGAGTACCACGGCTGAAAGGAAGTCCTTAGGCGTCCAGGAGGTCTTCCTTAAGGATGAGATTACTGGGAAAAACGGTGAGTGTGGTATGAATGCAGGGGCTTTTACGGTGGTCCCTTCATCAGGCACGGCTCTTTTTACCATTGCCCCTCTGATGGCCGTCGCTATGGAACGCTGCGAGACGGCTCGTTGTGCTATCAAAAAGATAGGGACTTTGGCCGAAGAGTATGGCTTTGCTGGGGAGGAGTAATAGTGGGCTGGGAGGAGGCTGAGGGGAGGTATGTATGGTATCAGATACGGGTCTGCTGAGGGTATCACCATCATTGATGACACTGAGGCATGGGTATTCGAGATTCAGGGTGATGGCAAGAAGGGGGCCTTTTGGGTGGCCCAGAGGGTGAGTGCCCTACATTATGAAGTGGTTGTACCCCACATGTAGGTACCAGACGACCATGTCGCGGTGATAGCCAATAATGCTATTATTAAGGAAGTGAAGAAGAATGCTCCTGATGAGTTCATTTACTCGGAAGGCCTCTTTGAGAAGACTAGAGACATTGGTTTATGGGATGGTAGGGTATTGATACTGGGCTCGCGATGGCTGTTGTAGGCGATAGTGTTTAGGTAAAGGCACATTCGACTGGGCCAGAGTTGTAGGAAGTCCCCTCCCTCTCCCGCGCTACGCTTCGCTAAGGCAATGGAGAGTTTTTGACAGGGTTGCACCTTCACAGAAGGTAGGTTGGCCCCGTCGCGTTTTGACTTGGTCATCTTGCATTTACTCAACGTTAGGTACCTAACAACGAGAACCCTCTCGACTACCCATTTTCCGTGCCGGTTGATAAGCCAGTGAGTATCAATGAAATTTTTGATCTCCATCGTGACCATTATGAGGGCACCGAGTTCGACATGACCAAGGGAATCCTAGCGGGTGAGTAGTAGGGGCGGCAACGACGAGATGGGGAAGATTCTACGCCTACTTCAGGCATGTACGGTAACCCCAATTATGAGGTCAGTGGGGTTTTGATGAAGAAGGTGAAGGGGGAGATCCCTCGAGCCATATCCCTACATCGGACAAGCTATACCATGGTCGCTACTAGCCAGAAGCCCTTCCCTAAGGTAGTGCTTTGACTTGGCCATTTTATTCACGGTTGGGGTAGGTTTGGTACGCCTTGGATGCCCCAGCGACCTCAGTTTTTGTGCCCTTCTACTCACAAGCGAACGCTGTAGATCCTAGCTTTGGCACACAGTATGGTCCGGCGTTGCAGGTAGGGAGGTGTGTAGTGGTGTATGAGGGGAAGAGGGTTCTTGTAGGTCTTCAACCGTTCTACAGCTTTTTGGGCATTTGACTTTGTTGCTAACTGGATGGATATCAACTATCAGAATATGAGCCAGGAGATGGTGTACCCAAAGCGGGACGAGCTCCAGAGGTGAGGCCCTGGGGGGGAGGAACGGTGGTGATGGGCTCATGTTTGGGGGCAGGTGGGTACTGGCAGAGGCTGACCGTGTGGAGCAAGAGGCGGCTAAGTTAAGTGACCCTGAGGAGCAGACTAAGCTGCTGAACAGTCTACAGTTGAGGGTACAGAGACGCGTCACTGAGGAGTGGTGGAAGCTGGCAGATGAGCTCATCGTGAGGAGGGGTAGAGATTTGTTGGGTCCCTATAGTGATGACAGGTTCGGTATAATGATGGGTATTACAACTTCCCCAATGGTCGTATGGACTTCCAGGGAAGTCTTCCTCAACCAGAGTGGTACATGAGGATGATAGGTTTTTCTGATGATTTTTACAAGCCTGGGGACCACTATGTTAGACCAGCAGGCAAGGAGGCATATGAGGCCGCGAGGGATGGGGTAGGGGTGGCTTGTTGAGGTGACTGTGAGCGTAGTGAATTGTAGGTACTCCTATCGCCTCTTCCGACTCCTGCTTCTGGTCCCAGTTTCCTGACTACACTGGTGGTAACAATAACAGCTTGTCTTATCACATTCTGGTTGGGTACTTTCTGTGGGAAACGGCATGCTTATCGTAGCTATAGTAAAGTTAATGATGAGTATTCTGAACTGTAGTGAAGGTGTTAAGCATGCAGTGGAAGGCTGAGTAGTTATCCTCCTCATCTTCCTCTCCAGTTTTGAGGAATTGTTCAGCTGGTGCAGCTCAAGCGTTGCATAGAAGTACTGTCCCATAACGTCTCACTCAAAGCAACAAGGGTGTCTGCGAACCATTTGATATTTTTCTGTATTTCTGTATCCTCGTCATTATTATTACAGTGCAGGGCTGAAGGCCGCTACTAAGTATATAGCAATTATTAAGTGCTGTTTGTTCAAGTCGACTCCAGGACTCGACTTGGGATGATAATGTAGTTGAGTTTAACACAGTTGGGAGGATACCCATCATTATCAGCAACCTTGTGGGATGATGACCAGTTACTCGTCGAACCTCACGACATTGCTGTCAGCTAGGTCTGCTGTACAAGTATCACCTCAGCAGGAGCAGCAGGAGGCCACAGTGGACCTAACGATATTAACGCCTCCCTCGGGGCTTATTAAGAGTGGTACATTGTAATAGTAGTGGTTGTGGTAGTCGTGAGGGAACGGGGTGTGGACAGGTTCAAGAGGCGACCTAGGACGGGCATATTCAGTAGACGATGGGTGGAGGTTAGAGGGGGTGTGGTTTCATGGTTTAAGCTTGGCGATGTTAAGGAGCATCAGCTTGCTAGTGTAACAGGGGGATGGTGTGGTGCAGAATGGTCATGGTGGTGGTCGCAGGTTCGATGCCTGGCGGGGGCAACTATAGTGGCGGCTGAGGCATGCCCTCGGGGGGAAGACCTTCCTGTTGGTGATGAAAAGGATGGGGTCTCTGTGAGTACCTATTGGATATGAGCACTTCTAACTCTGGGTGTTTGGTCAGTCATTGGTGTTGGGGACAGGTAGGAGGAGCAGGAAGAGTAGGGCGATGTCCATGTTCACAGTATATCTTGCTAAAAGACCCGGTGGGGCCTCCTCTGTACTCACGGCGTATGATGAGGGTGAATGGTCAGGTTTGAAGATCGAGCCGTTGGTATTCGCTAGCCCTCGTAGTGAAGACAGACCTCAGTGGATAAGGGCCTTCATCAGAGCTACGTCATGGAAGTAGTAGCGATGGTAATGGTAGTTGGTTACTATTAGGGAATCATTGTTAGGTACTTCGACCGCCTACCTCTAGCTATGTCAGCAGCTGCTTCTGGGGTACATATTCAGCCTACGAAAGAGGAGGGGGGCAATGGAGTATAGGATGGTGTGGTATTGAGTGGAGCATCGCTTCGCCTGTCAGGGGGCTCCACGATGCACAACTCAGCCTGGGCTGAGGTTATGTGGCCTTATATTGGTGGATGTGATATCAGCTAAGAATTTGGTAAGGGTGTGGTACCTGTGAGAGGGGGAAAATCGATGATTAGTTGGCGGCTGACTGGGGTGGTAATTCGGACCCTTACGTCGTGGTGGAATTTGATAATCGACAATGTAGCACACGGACAGTGTACGAGGAGCTCAATCCTGAATTTCGACAGGTAGTATCTTAGGTTCAACCAGTAAAGATACGGAATAGGCCCACTACAATGTAGATACTACAACTGCCCGTCTTCCACGATGATCCCTCCTGGTCATTATCATTTTACGTGTATGATGAGGATGAGCTGTCGGCTGACGATCTCCTTGGCGTGGCGACGCTCCCCTTGCATGCCCTCAAGTAGCCCTAATACACAGTGTAGTTGCCGTATGTATCTTCATAGGCAAAACACCACATTAGTATGGAAGCTGAAGCTTAGGAGTGAGAAGCCTAAAGTAACGGATAAGCTGGATAGAGGGGAGTTGCTGGTCCGCACATATTATAAGACACAGCGGTGGACACAGGTAGGCTCGCCTGTGGAGGCCCCTTAGGGCAGGTTTAGTAACTTTTCTTATGTTGTAGTTGTTTTGCATATCATCTGGACGATCGAGGAATGTGTGTATTACTCACCGTCCAGAGTTCAGCCTGGACATGTTCAAATTGCAAGTCCAGAGGTGGTCCTAGTCGGGTCTGTTGGTCGGTGGTTATTGGTCGGCAGGTTGAAGCATTTCATGGTAGTATGCAAGCCGTGGTTGGCTGGTATAGTGGATATACTGCAGTGGCGAAAGCCTAAGTGTAGCATTAGTGATAGTAGAGCAGCATGCTGTTATCGTGTAGTAGGCACGGTACGCTTCTATGTGGTGTATACTGTGAGTGTGCTCTTCCTCACTGACTGGTTACTGTGCCTGATTCTGAGCGGGGTCTTGTATGCCGTACTACGGGCTCATCCACAATACCATCGTTTCTACAATAAGTAGGTTCGAGTACCTCTGAAGGGGACTATAGCCTCCATTAGGTACCTTCGCCCTCTTGGACTCACTTTCCTAGCGAAGGATGACTTTGACTGGAGGCACGCTCTGGACCAGGGAGGTCGTAATGGGCAGTATAGCCAACGCACAGCTAGAGGTGGTCGGAAGGGAACCAGTGCCTAACTCGTAGCTGTTGTCTTTGGTAGTGGATACAGGACGGTCTAGGATGTCGACGCTGAGCACATCTCGTCGTGGATCGGTGGTTAAGTGAGTGGGCGATATGTCTTCGACACTAGCAGTGATAGTGGTCGTAGTGGTACTGCTCCTGCTGGCACTGGAGAGGACTCTGATGGGGATGACGATGATACTGGGGAGGAGATGTGAGTTGGTGGTGATAGGTAGATACTGAATCGGGGTTGCTCGTGTTAGTTGTATACATGTATACGAGTGTGAACGACGCAAGGTGACGGCCCCACCATTCCGATTTAGTCGTAGAGGAGATACAGGGGCAGCTGGGGTTGCCAATATGGGCTATGATGCTGCTGCCCAGGGTAGGGGTGGGCTGTCTGGGTGGATATGGTAATTGCTTGATGTAGTTATACACGGCTTTGGAGGAGCGTTGAAGACCTTTTCTCATGAATATCTAAAGGGAGGGGAGGCACGCTGGTGTAGGTTTGGCCCAGATGGAAATCGTGGTAGTATTTTTCAGACGAATGCCCACCTGACAATATGACTGAGCTAATACCACTCATAGGGGCGCCTTCAACCATCATAGGCGGCGTTAAGTAATGGAGGCACTCCTATGTCCCGTCAGAGCCTGGTCTTAGATACTCCTGGAGAATACATGTGCAGCGGAAGGAGTGTGACCACTTTGGCTGGCAGTAACGCAAGGGTCTTGGGGGGGTTGACGATCTTCTTTGGAAGATATGCTAAGTCGTTCTCTCGAGAAGGAGTGAAATGGGACTCCTCATTTCAAGTGCATAAGCATTGGGTACGCCGGAGGCTATGGAAAGGAGTCCTTGTTGGGGAAGCTACTAGTGCTGATGTAGGGTTATAGTGTTCGGCTAGGTCTAGCTGTTGTGGTATGACAGGTCGAGCTGACCCTCCATGAGCTTTCGGAGGGGACAGAGGATCGGGACCAGGCCTATGACGACTCGGATAATGGTGAGAATAGCAGTGCTGGGTTGTTGGCTAAGTATAGGAAGGTCATGGAGGAAGGCTCGAAAGTAGTATATAGTAGTGAGGGAGGACTAGGGGGCATGATGGTGCAGATACAAATGACGGTGTTTGAAGTGATATCTAAGATCGAGCAGTTTCGCAATATAGTATCGTGGAAGGTGCCGTGGATGACCGATATCATAGTGGTGCTTGGCGTGATGGCTCTATGCCTAGCGGTAGGGCTGCCGTGTGTATGAGACTGTACTTATGATGGGTATCAGGTCTTCTTACCTCAACGTGTAGTGTTCTGGATCATTATATCGGCTATCCTTATAGACGGCTATACGGAGTATGCTAAACGTCAGGTGGATGGTAGGGAGAGGGGACCAGGGTGGGGATGTGGAGGCAGATACATGTGAAGCGCATGTTGGGCCATCTGCAGACTGAACTCAAGTCGGAGCTGCGGCTCACAGCTCAGGCTAGGAGGGCCATGGCCAAGATGGCCACCGACCCCAATGTCCCTTTGGATAAGTTTCTCAAGGGGGTAGTAGGGTTGGGGGCCTTGCATCGAGGGGTGGAGGTGTCGTGATGTAGGTGGAACCTGAGATATTATGTGATATAGTGATGGCAGCAGCAACACAGTTGTCTAGGAGGAACATCATACAAATAGAGGCTGAGGAAGCGGCAGGTTGGTACTACCCTGTAGGTGATTATTACAGGCCGCTGGGGTGTAGGTGATCGGAGAAGTAAGAGTGATGGGCCGGAATGGATACCGCTAGCCCCGAAGCCAGCGTTGGCCCCTAAGGACTTGGAAAAATGTGATGATCTCAGGGAAGTGATAGAAACCTTGTAAGGAGTGTAGACCTGTGATGATGATGATGAGGATATTGTGGAGTCTATTAGGTATCGGAAACAGCTAGGGGAGGCATGGTGGAAGAAACCAAAGCATTTTATCCATCCTATTAACTTAATGAAGTTCCATTTAGTAGATGATTGGGATTTGTATCAGCCACATTCCCATTTCCGCCAATGGTGAATACGTTGACTCTGGTCATGTTGCCGCTTGCCATGTATGTTGCTCCTTAGAGCTTTGTCGTAGTGCCCTGGATGGTGTTGAGTTCACTGTGTTGAAAGGGCTTGGTATAGGTTCAGTGCCATCATGGTGGTCGTTGCTGCCACGGCTGTCAGCGGTAGTCCCTCATCGGCTGATGAGGCCCTACGGGACCAGCTCATAGAGGAGCTCTCGAGTAGTAATTGTTGATATCGTCCTCTACCACTGACTAGCATTGGCAGGTATAATATCGTCCTGGTTCACTAACCATAGTCAGCGTATACTGCTAGGCCTGCCTACTTCCTGTAAGGTCTCTAACTACTGCTGCTGCTACTGTGATGGTGTGTGGTGTAGGTAGTCTCACGTCCTCGTATAGTGATTCCCTGTATCGACCTAAGTGGCAGAATGGTTTTGATGCTGTAGTAGTGGGGCAGGGTTTTAGGCTCTTGCTAAGCCTTGTTGTGTAGTTATGGTTGATACCGCATGTATTGTGGACGTCTAATATGTTCCTGGGGGAGCTCACCACGTCAGCAGAATGCAACTCCCAAGGTCTCAATGGCTTGGACGATACGGAGCTCTCCATGGCACAGGACCTCTCTACGGACCTATTGTAATAAGCATAACAGCACTAGTGGGCATCTTTGACTAACGGAGGCTACAGGCCGGCCCGTGCTTTATCACTATGTCTTGTTGATTATAATAGTATTGGGAGAGGCCCAATGCCCACTGTTGTTGATGATGATCATGGTATTAGGCACTTCTTGAGGCGATACCAAGGTCCCTCGCTCTCAGAGGCATACGTGTCTAATACCCCCGGCACAGTACTTAAAGTGAGGTAGGTTATAGAGTATATCAACGTATGGTCAGGGGTGGCCCTTATCAGGTTCCGACCAATGCCGGGGTCTGACCCTGAAGGGTGTCTAGTACGAGTACACTGCTGCTTCCTACAGCTCACGCCCTTCCCTGCGGACCCATCACAAGTTCTCTCTGATAATACAGGGCTGCTCATCAACAAGCAGGCTGTTAGTCGAGACGACCCTGCCAGTGCAGTGGTAGGGGGAAAGTACTACCTCTGGGCAGGTGGTGACTGCCCCTTCAGGCACTTGTGTTGGCTCAGAGCTACAGTAGACTCCGTAGTGTTATCTGTGCATGGTCGGGTACGGCTGAGCTGCCTGACAGCTACTTGTTGGCGGTAGAGTTTATACGGACCTGGGCTGAGAATAGAAGGATGTAGGGGCGTCAAGTGGCATGTCTGTTGTACTTTGGGTGGTAGTTGCTGTACCCAAGACGACCCTGGCCCTTATCCGTCTCCTCTGGCCCTAGCAGTGATGGTAGGAAGGGTGTGGCAGCATATATTTTATAATAAGAACTATGGTGAAGGGGGCCGGCCTGTTGGGCAAGGGGTTATGAAGAACTGGCCTTGGCAGCTCACTGTCTCGTCATTCTTCCGGCTGTAGGCCCCTCAGACCAGTGACTAAGGCGATTGTGCCGCCTCTGTTCAGATACTCTCTTGAATGGCCCTTTGGTGGGTATGAGATAAGCTCCCAGTTACCAGACGTACTTGATGTCCACACGGAGGCTAAGAGGGCCGGTCGAGGGTCCAAGGCGGTATCGAGCATTCAAGCCCAGGTACGGTTCATTATCTTTCTATGGACTACTGGCTGTCTATATTCTACTTGCATTGTAGCTGTTCCCAACTAGTCTGCCGTGGTTTCAAAGAGTGGGCTTGAAGTGGTCCTTCTTAGGTCCGTACGAGGAATGTTGATGATGGTCGTATACAACTATCCGGTAAGTTCTTCAAAACGTTCAAGTCAGTCCAGCAACTGTCGGGGGCATCGCCCTATCCTGAGGCCAATGGCCAGGCCACCGACGAGACTATAGCTCTTCCTGAGCCGGGTAGATGTCGATAAGCAGCGGAGCGTAGTTTTGATGCCCCTGATCTCAGCCCAACCCGTGGCCCTACTGTTGGAGTGCCCTACCACCATCGGCCTGTCTAGCTTCGATCTGTGCAATGAGCCACCCCCTGCATATTGTGATAAGAAGAAGCCGGTGTCCTCTAGAGGGAAGCTCACTACCCATACACAGCTCCTTGATAACGCTTCTAATGAGGTAATACGAGGGTAGCACATGCGTCTGTAAAGTTCCGACTTGTTCAGGCCTTTTTGGAGTGGTTGCCGGACTATCCCTATGACCAGCTAGATGTCTTCCCAGTCCTGTCACCAACCTACCCTCAGCTCAACCTCCTTGTTGGTATGACTGAGACACACCGTAGAGTGTTCATCTCTGAGATGTATCGGGCCTATAGACTGGTAGCTCCAATCGAGGCTGTGGGAGCATGCTCTATTCCGGCCCCTTTAACTGAGAGGTGAGTAGTAATGACGACTTGCTCTATAATGCGGTCATCATCAGGTTTATGGTGGCAAAGGGTGGGCCCTTTGGATGCTGGCTTGTCGTGCGTTTGATGACGGCATCGACAAAGTTGATCGATGGTTTCTATCATGTGGGGTTCAGGAATGATGATGGGTTGATAAGGGAACTCGAGGCTGAACATGGTGGGTATCTTTTTATCTGTGTTCCACTCGAGTGAACCTAAGATTCTCAGGCGTTCGGATCCGGCCAGTAACCCCATTTTTGACTGGTCCTCTTGGTGACACCGGAGCCCAGACTCTGACCTACATGGCCTACGTTGATTTCCCAGCCAAGTGTAATCCCCTGTGGGGACATGGGCCGCCAGTTAAGCGGCTGTACCCAGAGGAGAAAGAAACGCAACTACCTATGCATGTACTAGGAAGAGGCTTTGGAGCTGCTGCAGCAGTCAGCTGTTGTCTTTCAGTATCCTCGATCGGCGAATGAAGTTTTGGTAGACTTGAAAAAGGCTGTCCAAAGGTGAGGCTGCTGCTTCGCTCCGCCTCTTTTGATTGCAATTTTCGACATTAGATACATGGACAGCTTGTTCCAGACTCTGGCAGTAGAGAATGTCGTGGGTTTTCGAGAGCCTGTCGAGATGGGTTTTGATGAGGAGATCGAGCATTTTGCCCACAATGCTGCAGTAGTGGTCCGAGTCATGGGCAAGGACCATGGCATCGACCTCCTGGGCAAATGTTGGTCCGAGCAGAGGACCACCATAATTTGATGGTGTACTATCCTTCCCCCTTGCACTATAGTATTATAGATAGTACCGCTGTAGACTGTTCCTCTCAATATATAGGAGTCGAGTTAGAGGTGCGTAGACTAGGGCCAGATGTCGCTGGTGTTGGTGGTCCTCTTACTGCTACTAGTCGGTGGGAGAGTTAGAGCCTGCTCAGTAACCCTGTGCTAGGAGGCACTGCTAGTGTTGGCAAACTCTTACGCTTTACCCTTGTGTTGTGGTGCCCAGTGCGGTGGGCTCGAAACCACGCCTATGACCTAGTATATCAAGAGTTATCGTGTATTGTGGGAGGCTAGTGGTAACTCGGAATGGTCATTACCTCCGTCGTGGGCAGGATGAGGCATATTTCCTTGAAGGGGATCTCCCAGGGCATGTCTGGTAACTTGCC